GAAAGTCCTGGAGTTCCTAGCGAGCGAGCGACAAGTGATTTTGGTACTGGGTGACTCTGGATCTGGCAAATCGACATTCAACCGCCATCTCGAACATCGACTGTGGACCGACTACAAACGAGGCGGACCTATCCCCCTGTTCATCAACCTTCCCGCCATTGACCGCCCAGACCAAGATTTGATCGCCAAGCATCTGAGGGCCAACAATTTCAGCGACGATCAGATCCAGGAGATGAAGCAGCACCGCGAACTCATACTCATCTGCGACGGGTACGACGAGAGTCAGCAACAGGACAACCTTCATCGAAGCAACACGCTGAACCAACCAGGACAGTGGAACGCCAAGATGATCATCAGCTGTCGCACCCAGTTTCTCGGACCTACCTACATCGATCGGTTCAAACCGCAGCCCACAGACCGGTACGCTTCTGGTTCTCAGGATGTCTTCCAAGAAGCAGTCATCACCCCCTTCTCCAAGGATCAGGTTAAGAGCTATGTCGAGCAGTATGCCCAAGACCCACAGACGGTGCTTTTATTCAGAAACCAGTCTGCCTGGTCCTCGGAGGAATACATGAACAAGTTGTCGGCTATCCCCAATATCATGGATCTCGTCAAAAACCCATTCCTGCTCACCCTCGCTCTCAAGGCTCTCCCTGGTCTGGTCGCTTTGAACAAGGACCTTGCGAGCATTCGCATCACACGCGCTCGTCTTTACGATATGTTTGTCGACCAGTGGTTGGAGACGAACCGACTACGCATCCAGCCCAACAAGTTGGGCCAGAAGGACCTGGAGGCATTCACCTCTATGGACAACGATTTTATCGGATACGGCGTTGACTACCTGCTACGTTTGGCTGCGGCGATCTTTGAGAAGCAGGACGGCAACCCGGTTGTCCAGTATGTCCATCGACAGGACAAGTACTCTTGGAAGGCGGTTTTCTTTGGGAATGATCCCGAGGCCAAGTTGCTCCGTGAGGCATCTCCATTGACGCGCACCGGCAACCAGTTCCGCTTTGTACATCGATCGGTGCTGGAATATCTCTTGTCTCGCGTCATCTACAACCCGGTCGAGACTGTGGAGGGAGACATGGATCCAGAATCTGAGACTGCATCTCCCACCGCTCTCTTGTCGGACTGCAACAACCCCTTGTTCCAGAAGAACCTACATGCTGAGCCATCCATCATCCAGTTCCTGTGCGATCGGGTCAAGTCAAGCCCAGATTTCGAGCAACAACTCCGGGCTGTGATCGACCTTTCCAAGACCGATGCCGCCGTCACCACCACCACTGGAGCCACCAACGCCATAACGATCCTCGTCCGAGCTGATGTGGCCTTTCACGGTGCCGATCTCCGTAGTATCAGGATCCCTGGTGCCGATCTTTCGGGTGGTCAATTTGACTATGCGCAGTTCCAAGGAGCAGACTTGACGGGTGTCAATCTTTCGAGGAGCTGGCTGCGAGGGGCAGAATTAAGCGGCGCAACGATGGATGGTGTCCAATTTGGGGAACTCCCGTACCTGCAGTTTGATAGCATTGTGGTTGCCTGTGCCTACTCGTCTGATGGAAGAATGCTTGCCGTGGGTGAAGGGTTCACGACAATTGGCATTAGCATTTACGACACTTCATCATGGACGAGGACCTATTCCTTTAGTGCGCCGCATGAGGCGCTAACTATGGCATTTTCACCCGACGGCACAAGGGTCGTGTTTGGAGAGGAGGATGGGATGGTTAGGCTGTGGGATTATGCTAGGGGCCAAGAGATGTTCGCCATGGAAGGGCACCAGTCCGAAGTGAACTCCGTTACCTTTTCACCATGTGGCAAGCAAATCGCCTCGGCCGGTTATGACAAAACAGTACGAGTGTGGGATTCGCATACCGGGGAGAGTCTCTTTGTCTTGGAGGGTCACACGGACTATGTCTGGAGCGTCAAGTATTCTCCGAGCGGAGAGTGGCTGGTGTCAGGTGGAAATGATGGTACGATTCGGTTTTGGAACTCGGAGACAGGAGCACCAGGGGTCGTTTTGGACTCTTCCTTGGATGAGGTTCGCACTCTTGCCTTTTCTACTGATGGACGGTGGATTGCTTCTGGCCATTGGAGGGGCGTATTGCGACTATGGCACGCGGTGTCGGGAGACCCAGGTCCTTTACTGCATGGCCACTCCGCAAGCGTCACGGGAATTGCATTTTCTCCAGACAGCCGGTGGATCGCTTCTTCTGGTTGGGACGGCACAGTGAGACTATGGGACGCGTCTACAGGCACTCTCATTAACACGCTATCAAGCCACAAGACCTACGTAAGCAATGTCGTCTTTTCTCCGAATGGCCTTCAGATCGCATCGGGTGGTTATGACTTCAGGGTGCGGCTGTGGGTTGTGGAATCTATTTTGACATCGGTTGTTGAGCAGCAGGATCAACTGGAAGATATACAAAGGACGGCGTACTCCCCGAATGGTCAAACTATCCTCGTGTTCGGCAGCAACTATACCAGCTGCGGTCAAACCGTCCTGCAATGGGATTCTATAACAGGAGCGCCCGTACCACTTTCGATCGAGTTACCAGAACCTTTATCAGTCGTGTCCGTGTCATATTCATTAGACGACATCCCAACCGCAGTCGTCGATCAAGACGGGACTCTTCAATTGTGGGAGCTTCAGGAAGGAAGTCCAAAGACTATTCTGGAAGGCTCCAGCGCGGTGAATTACGTTACCATATCGCCTTGCTGTCGCTGGATCGTGTCTGCTGGCTGGGACAATACTGTGATGTTGTGGGACCTTTCCAGTACTCAACAAAAGCACGTACTTATTGAGAATGGCGGACCCACTCGCGAGATAATCCGTTGCTTGGCATTCTCGGCGACTGGGCGTCAGCTTGCAATCGGAGCTTGGAAAGGCATCATCTGGCTCTTCGATCCTCAATCGAAAGGTCTGATAACGTCCAAGTCAACATATTGGAGCATTGAGGCGATGACATTTTCGCCGGACGGCCAGCAGCTTGCAGTCGGAACCTATGATTGCTCGATCTACCTTCTGGGTTTACAGTCAGAGGAGCATGCTATAGAGCTGAGACGACACACAAAAAGGGTGAAATGCATTGCCTACTCACCTTGCGGTGAATGGATTGCTTCCGGCAGTGACGACAAAACAGTGCGAGTCTGGCGCAGGCGGCGGTCACCAGGTGATACGGAGACCTGGTCGTGTGTCTCGACGGTCCGTGGTTACTTTGGCGTAGTCAGTGACATTGCCTGGAGTCCGATTGTCCCTATGGAATTTGTCACTGGCTGCGAGGACGAATCCGTCCGGGTCTGGCGAGTGTCGAGCGATGGTGAGGATGTTGTTGTCAAGCTACTCTGGGGCACTAATCTTGGGGTTCTCAACGCCGACGGTCTTTTGCTCAGTGATACGATTGGACTTAGTCCGATGCAAAAGAAATTGTTGGTCCAGCGCGCCATTGATGACTAGTAGAATACATACATGTTGTATTCCTACGCCTTCGTGCACCAAAAAAAAAGTGCTGTGCATTTGAATGACTTTTTCGGACCGCTGTTGTATGTTTCGTAATCTTGACTTTCATAGAAGAACAGACCGAACGACACGTACTGGTTTTGTTTTTAATGCATCGAGGGTACATAAACCTGCTGTACCATGTAGGTACGAGGGTGGGATGAATGGTTGGATGGAGCGAAAAGGATGGCCGACGTTTCGACAACACTGGCAGGCGACATCCCTGATTCAAAACTGATTAACCGAGGTGCGATCCCCGTTTGCACATACAGTAGATGATAACCATTTCGGAAAGTGAATGTGCAGATCTGATAAACAAATTACAGTGCTTTGATCAATGAATAAAAATGACAGCGGGCATTTCGTGCCTGGGATTGACCTGTGCGCAGAGGTGGTGATGGTAAAGGATGCCATAAAAAAGATGAGTCCGAAGAGAGAGAGATGCCTCATCTTTCATGCATTTCTCAGTTTGCTAGTTACCTTTGAAGCGTACGACTCTGCTTTCTTCTTTGGCGTCATTTTGATACTCGGTCAGTTCAGGGTTGGGAGAACAATAACAATAAAAGAAGAGGCGAAGATCTACGAGGTCATGGCTCACCATCTTCGAAAAAAAACAAAAGTCATGAGGATGGGCTTTGGCTTCTTCTTTTGCTCATCTGCGCCATTTTTCTTCATTCTCGCTTTGTTTCTCTCCTTTGCTCTCTCCTTCCACCAACGCCATCACCCTTCTCTTCCATCACCAACACCCCTCCTTACATTCGACATCCGGCTCTCCTTTACATTCATCGCCTTTGTTCATCAGGCACCCCTCGAAACAAAGTAACACTGGTGCATACAGGGAAGAGCACGTCTCCGAAAGCCAGAACAACAATAAAACAAACAATTCATACTCATGCGATCCTCTCGGTCCAAACTCTTGGCGCTTTGTCAATAGAGCTCACTCGACTTTTCACACAGCACACACCAGGTTCGGTTTTCCTTGAGTACATAAGACACTCCAAGTAAGTACAGGCGCATAAAACAAGCATGAAAAAAAAAGATGCTTAATGGCTTCCTCAAAGTGCTCAATTGCTTACTTGTCTCCCTCCGTTTATCCCATCACTGTAGACAGCCAGTCTTCTGCTGCCAACCAATTGTCCCCTTCCGTCCTGCCTTCAGGAAGAGCAAAAAGAGAAAAATAATAAGGCGTTCCCGTACCTGTGACGCTGTGAGTATATTTTGTGTGTTTGCAAGGGAGTGAACAAATCAACCCATTGATTTTTTTGCTCCTTGTTGTCGCTAGAGCCTTTCACTCACTTTTCTCGACACGACCTCCATCAACTCCAAAAGCAACACTTTTCTGAGCCCAACCACATCACACTTCAGCAACCACGAAAAGGTAAGGGTATCGCTCCCTCTCCCTCTGGACATACTCCCCCATCATTGTTTAATTTGCATTGCTAACAACATGCCAATTGTCATATTAAATATTAGCATTCGCAACATGACCCAGCACTCACCCATGCAAACACATGCCATTGGAGACGAAGACGACCCTAGCAACAAACAACACGCCAACAGTTTTCACGGCATTGAAATCGACGTGCAAGATACAGAGTATCTCGAGGACGACCTGTGCAACCTCCGATTGCGGCGACTGGGAGAGTTACAGCAGCTCATCTACATCCTTCCTATGGCTAAGGCCAACCTCCAAGCCCAAGACGACGACATCTTTTCTCTCAAAGAGAAAGTGCAAGAGTTTTTAGCGAGTCAACGTCAAGTGATGCTTATTCTAGGTGATTCAGGAGCTGGCAAGTCAACATTTAATCGGCACTTGGAACACCAACTCTGGACCGACTACAAGCAAGGCGGGCCTATCCCTCTCTACATCAACCTTCCCACCATTGACGACCCAGAACATGATCTGATCGAGAAGCAGTTGCAGCACCACTACTTCTCGAAGGGCCAGATCCAAGAGATGAAGCAGCACCGACAGTTTATTCTTATCTGTGATGGCTACGATGAGAGCCAGCTCAAGATCAACATCCACACCACCAACCAGTTCAACCAGCCGGGACAGTGGAAATCCAAGATGGTCATCAGCTGCCGCAGTCAGTTCTTGGAATCGGACTACCGCTCTCGATTCCAGCCTCAGCCTATCGATCGGGACCAGTCTACTTGGACAAATCTCTTTCAAGAAGCTGTTATTGCGCCTTTCTCCAAGGAACAGATCGAGGAGTATGTCACCTGCTACGTCCCGCTCGAGCCTCGACCTTGGGTTACGGAGGACTATATGCGGATGCTCACCACTATCCCCAACCTCATGGACCTGGTCAAGATCCCCTTCCTTCTGACGCTAGCGCTCGAAGCTTTGCCATCCATTGCCGAGGGCAAGCAGGATCTCTCGACCGTCAGGGTGACTCGCGTTCAACTCTTTGATATCTTCGTTGAACGCTGGCTGCATGTCAATAAACGTCGTCTCCAGGACAATGATTTGTCACAGGATCACCGACGAGTCTTCAATGAGCTATTGGGCGCAGGCTTTGTGTCGATGGGCACTGACTACGCCATGAGGCTGGCGCTGGCGATCTTTGAGAGACAGAATGGAACCCCAATTGTCCAGTACACCCACTTTCATGACCACGACACCTGGAAGGAAGAGTTCTTTGGAACAGATCCAGTTGTGCGACTGTTGCAGGAATCTTGTCCCTTGACTCGCACAGGCAACCAGTTCCGGTTCCTTCACAGGTCCATGCAGGAGTATTTCTTTTCTCGAGTCGTGTACAACCCGGTCGGAACGGACGATGACTCTACAATGGAAACGGAAGCACCTTCCTCTACCCCCCATGAGTTCGACCCTAGTAACCCGTTGTTCCGGCATAACTTGCTTACTGAACCCTCCGTAATTCAATTCCTATGCGACCGCGTAAAACTGGACTCGACTTTTAACCAGCAGCTCCTCTCTGTCGTCAACCTTTCCAAGACCGATGCCGCCGTCACCACCACTACTGGCGCCACCAACGCCATGACGATCCTAGTCCGAGCTGGTGTGGCCTTTCACGACGCCGATTTCCGCGGGGTCAAGATCCCTGGTGCCGATCTTTCGGCTGGTCAGTTTGACTATGCGCAGTTCCAAGGAGCAGACTTGACAGGCGTCAATCTTACGAGGAGCTGGTTGCGAGAGGCGGATTTGAGCAGCACAATGATGGAGGGCGTCCAATTTGGGGAACTCCCGTGCCTCAAGTTGGATGATAATGTGGTTGTCTGTACCTACTTGTCTGATGGAAGAACTCTTGCCGTGGGTGCAGGGCGTTGGGTAGTCGACGTTAGCATTTACGACACCTCGTCATGGACGAGGACCTATTCCTTTACTGGATGGGATGAAGCGCAAACTACGGCATTTTCACCCGACGGCACAAGGGTCGTGTTTGGAGGGAGAGATGGAGTGGTTAGGCTGTGGGATTGTACCAGGGGCCATGAGATATCCGGCATGGAAGGGCACCAGTCCGATGTGAACTCCGTAGCCTTTTCTCCCTGTGGCGAGCAAATCGCCTCGGCCGGAGATGACCAAACAGTTCGATTGTGGGATTCGTATACCGAAGAGAGTCTCTTTGTCTTGGAAGGTCACACGAGCGAAGTCTTGAGTGTCAAATATTCTCCGAGCGGGGAGTGGCTGGTGTCGGGCGGTTCCGATGGGACGATTCGGTTTTGGAACTCGGAGACCAGAGAAGTAGGGATTGTGTTGGACTCTTCCTTGGGTGATGTTCGTACAATTGCCTTTTCTACTGATGGACGGTGGATTGTTTCTGGCCATGGAGGGGGCGGATTGCAACTTTGGCATGCCGTGTCTGGAGAGCCAGGTCCTGTCCTGCATGGCCATACTAGAGACGTTACGGGCGTTGCGTTTTCTCCAAACAGCCGGTGGATCGCTTCATCCAGCCTGGACGGAACGGTGAGACTATGGGACGCGTCGACAGGCACTCACATTAACACGCTGTCAGGCCACATGGCAGAAGTGAACGATGTTGTCTTTTCTCCAGATGGCCTTCAAATCGCATCGGGTGGTGATGACAGCAGGGTGCGACTGTGGGATGTCGACTCTATTTTGACGTCGAGTGTTGAGCAGCTGGATCAATTTGGGGCTGTAGGGAACACAGTGTACTCCTCAAATGGCCAATACATTCTTACAGTCGACAACTGCCAAACCGTCAAGCAGTGGGATTCTCTCACAGGAGCGCCTGTACCACTTCCGATTGCGTTACCAGGACATGTATCAGTCAAGTCTGTGTCATATTCATTAGACGACATCCCAACCGCGGTCGTCGATCGAGACGGGACTCTTCGATTGTGTGAGTTTCAGGCAGGAAGTCCAAAGACTATTCTGGAAGGCTCAGGGAAGGCAAAGCACGTCGCCATGTCGCCATGCTGTCGTTGGATTGCTTCTACTGACCGGGACAATACCGTGATGCTGTGGAACCTTAACAACACTCAACGAATGCACGTGCTTATTGAGAATGGCGGAGTCGATGGCGAAGAAATCAATTGCTTGGCATTCTCGACGACCGGACATCAGCTCGCAATCGGAACTGGGGCTGGCAACATCTGGCTCTTCGATCCTCAATCGAAAGGTCTAATAACCTCCATATCGACACATCGGGGTATTGAGGCGATGTCGTTTTCGCCAGAAGGCCAGCAGCTTGCAGTTGGAACCGAGGATTACTTGATCTACCTTTGGGGCTTACAGTCAGAGGAGCGTGCCATCGAGCTGAGAGGACACACAGAGGAGCTGTTGTGCATTGCTTACTCACTTTGCAGCGAGTGGATTGCTTCCGGCGATTTGGATAAAACAGTTCGAGTCTGGCGCAGGCAGCGACCACCAGGCGACACGGAGAGCTGGTCGTGTGTCTCGACGCTTCACTGTTACTTTGATATAGTCATTGACATTGCCTGGAGTCCGACCGTCCGTATGGAATTTGTCACTGGCTGCAGAGACGGATCTGTCCGAGTCTGGCGAGTGTCGAGCGATGGTGAGGATGTTGTCGTTAAGCTACTCTGGGGTACCAATCTTGGGGTTCTCCAGGCCGAGGGTCTTGTGCTCAAGGGTACGACTGGTCTAGGTTTTACGGAGCAAAAGTTGTTGGTCCAGTGCGGCGCCATTGACGACTCGTTAACATTGGAGGAAGATGGACGATCGGACGTTGAGGAGTAGGAGAAATGATGACGATGGAGAAATGGACATCCAAGAAAGAGTAAATAAACATAGCTGTGACATTTCCCCCATTGATATTGATGAGGTTCTTACAAAACACAACCCAAAGATTGTCTTATTGACAGAACATGACCCACAGTCAAATAAAAAAGCAAAACGTTGGTAAAGTGATTCAAGTGTTTTTAGATCTTTACTATGTAGCTGAATGATAACCTTATCTAAGACTCTCCTGGTTTTGTTTTCATGAGCAGATCAATGTCGCCGTGAGTCGACGCGTATGCCCGAGTACCTTTGTCTTGTCTTCGCCACTGTTGTACTGTTCTGCATGTGTTAAGAAAGGTGAATACCGTCATTAACGTGTTTTGTTATTATCTCTTTATTTTGTTGCCTATTGACGTAATATAGACGATGGCGACGGAGACGATTGGAAATAACATTGCCAGGCTGTTGCGCGACCGGATCGTGGGATATTACCCTATAGAGAAGATAGTCAAGCGATAAAACAAGCATTAACAGCTCATACACACAAATGCACACACAGGAATAAAATGGCACAATGGTTATCATTGGTTCTTGTAAGTGTGATGCATTGTAAGGCATGCAGGCGGTGCAGGGGTAAGGCTGGGCTGGACAGGGGGGTCAAGAAAGCGATCAATTGAAATGGGAGCACAAGTAAAAACAAGACAGTGCAAATGGCATGATGGGACGAAAGGCAGTGCCATGGTTGGCAAGTGGGCTCAAATATTTCGCCGTTGTTTTTCAATGCGCACCTGGCCCTTTTTGTCCCTTTTCTACTTTCTCTTCCTTCGCTCCATTCTCTTCCTCCTCCGACATTCACCTCCCCTTTGTCATCGTCAACACCTTTTCCTCTCATTCTTCATCTTCTCTTCTCCTCGCATTCGTCCTTCTTGTATTCATTCGTTAGACCCCTGCATCAGAAACCTGCTCCCTTCGCCATAATAACCATACACCGGTCCATGAAAGAGTACGCCTTGTCCGGCAAACAAAGCAGCAGCGAGAACGGTTCACACGCTCGCCTCTGAAAGATCTCTCTCCAACATCCATCCAATTGCCTTTTCACAATACAGTCAAATACTCACTCTCCTTCAAAGCCCATAACTGACCAAGTCTTTCTTACAAGGGACAAGACCAACAACAACCCAATTGCTCCACTACCGGGAAGCTTGCACCAAACACATAACACAAAAAAGTAGGCATTATTTGCTTACGGTTTCCTCTACGCGAGCAACGGTGTGACTGTCGACTTTTTCCCGCGGAGAAGGTCCAATTTCTAATACGATGTTCATCCAATCTCTCTATTTAGATTTACCAAAAGAACAACCAAACTTTCCTCGGCATTGACCGTCAGCGTCGCTGAAGATCACACAAAAGGAAAATAACAAACAGGAAACACAGTAAGCGCCTTCGTTTTTTTTAAAACAATCCCACCAGAAGGCTTCTTTGATTATCGACAAGACGGCTTATAGTGCTAACTTCCTTATGCTGTGTGTTTTCTTGCAGTACTCACTCTGATTACTCGCCATCTTCGCCATCCTCACCATCTCCGCTGTCAGTCGACCGACTCCAAATCCATCTTTGCAAACCTCGTACACAATCACAGAAAGACCTCAAGGTACGCACTTTGTAAAACATGCATAGCCCTTCCATGCCAACCTTGCAAGTGCGCCTACTCAATGATTATTATCAATTGCTAACAATTGTTCTCGTTAATATCCATAACAGCACGCAACATGGTCAGCAAACCCTCAAAACAATCAGGTCCGCATGCTACTAGCGATGCTGGCAAAGCCAATGATACCCAGCGCGTCAGGAAGCGCGACGTAATCCGCGAGATCTTCGGCTTCTCCAAATCCAAGATCAAAGAGGTCGATACCGCAGTCACTAACCTGGCAGTGAGTGCTCAAAGCCCTCTTCAAGTTGTGGGACCGCCTACTGCATCCTCAGCCAGTGACGTTCACTCAGTTGCCGACCTAGCTGTCACATCTACCCCTCCTGTTGACAAGTCCCTTCCTGCACCTGTTGAAACCAAGAGGATCTCGAATATCTTTCTCGAGAACTTGCCTGCGCCTATGATGAAGATTGAGTTGCCTGCCGTCCAGGATCGCATTGAGGTCACCCAGCAGTTGGCCTATTGCAGTGCCTTGCTACTCCACGGTCCATCTCCTCCACAAGCCACCGCTGCTGAACTTGAAGAGCAGGCCCGCGATCCTGCCATAACACTGCAGAGGTTCCCAAACCTCGACAAGAAGGAACTTGATTGGCTTGCACAGATGGACAAGAACTTGCCTGCGAAGGAACGTATCTACTGGCTGGGAACACGCATGGTCGACGAGTTTGCCAAGGATGTCCTCAAAGACTCGACCGAGATTGCCGAGATTGTCCTTCTTGGTCCTGTCTTGGACAATGAGACTTACCGCAGCCTGCTGTCGTGCACCATCACCGCATTCGAGCAGTCTGTTCTTCTGAATATCGATCTCCTGCAAGGCGTAGTTCAGTTGGTCCAAGTGGCCCCTACAGGGTCCCTGGTCTCTGACGACTTGGTCAAGATCCTCCGAGTCCTTAGGATTTGCTTGCAGGACACCCACCAGCAGTCCTCGGCGCACCCTTTTCATCTCACATTGGCACTGTCGCGACTTCTTGACGTGATGGCAGAGCACAAGGTCAAGGATTTGAACCGTGTCGAGGATCATGAGCCATTGTCAGGAATCTTGTCAGGACTGAAGGGTAGCTCGGATCCGTACCTGATGTACCAGGCATGCTATGCGTTCCAGGCGTTGCAGTATGTCCCTGATGATGAGAGCGCTCTTCAATCAGTTCTTCGACACGGGACCGGGGTTGTCAATGGCCTCATCCAGGTTTCTGGTGTATTCAAGCTTGATCTGGGAGCAGTTCTTGAGGGTCTAAGCAACCTTCAAGACGCACTTGGTGACATCATGGGAGTTGCTAGTGATGTCTACAAGGGTGTGAACTCTGTGATGGAGAGCGGCCGCGGAGTTCTGGATGGTCTCAAGGAAGGATTCTCTGAAGGAAAGAAGCGGCCATGGTACGCAGCCATCCGTGTTGCTCAGGCTCTCCTCCAAGCTGGCCAGCTGAAGGACCTCAATCAACTCATATACGAGGCACCTTGTCGTGGTGACCCCTTGTTCCAATGGGGTATCTGCCAGCTTCTCGGAGAGATCGCATCCGATGTCATTTGGGATACCAATGTCCGCCAGCAAGCCATCAACTTTCTCGGAGACCTATACAAGAACGATTCACAATGGGGGAAGGATGAGAGCGTCAAGACCTGGATGATTAACATTATTGGACAACTCAGTACCATTCCTGACCAGGCCGTCAACACCATCGCCATTGCCTTACTCAAAGACCTCCGCCAGGATCAAAGTACCACCACCACCCGACTTCCTTACCCACTGAGGAACCGCCTTCCTCTGCCTACATCGTCTCCAATCCTCGCCCGCGTTCAAAACATTACACCCCTCGAATACGATTTGTGCCAATATCAACTTCAGCGATTGCAGCAGCACCACCAGACAGTCTATATTTCACCGTTGGCGAAACCTAGCCTGAAGGCTAAGGATGAGGATATCTTTCCTCTGCTGGAGAAAGTCCTGGAGTTCTTAGCGAGCGAGCGACAAGTGATTTTGGTACTGGGTGACTCTGGATCTGGTAAATCGACATTCAACCGCCATCTCGAACATCGACTGTGGACCGACTACAAACGAGGCGGACCTATCCCCCTGTTCATCAACCTTCCCGCCATCGATCGCCCAGACCAGGATTTGATCGCCAAGCATCTGAGGGCCAACAATTTCAGCGACGACCAGATCCAGGAGATGAAGCAGCACCGCGAGCTCATACTCATCTGCGATGGGTACGACGAGAGTCAGCAGCAGGACAACCTTCATCGAAGCAACACGCTGAACCAACCAGGACAGTGGAACACCAAGATGATCATCAGCTGTCGCACCCAGTTCCTCGGACCCACCTACGTCGATCGGTTCAAACCGCAGCCCACAGACCGGTACGCCACTGGTTCTCAGGATGTCTTCCAGGAAGCTGTCATCACCCCCTTCTCCAAGGATCAGGTCAAGAGCTATGTCGAACAGTATGCTCAAGATCCACAGACGGTGCTTTTATTCAGAAATCAGTCTGCCTGGTCCTCGGAGGAGTACATGTACAAGTTAACGGCTATCCCCAATATCATGGATCTCGTCAAAAACCCATTCCTGCTCACCCTCGCTCTCAAGGCTCTGCCTGGCCTGGTCTCTTTGAACAAGGATCTTGCGAGCATTCGCATCACCCGCGTTCGCCTTTACGATATGTTTGTAGACCAATGGTTGGAGACGAACCGACTACGCATCCAACCCAACAAGCTGAGCCAGAAGGACCTGGAAGCGTACACCTCCCTAATGGACGACGACTTTATTGGATGCGGGATCGGCTATTTGCTTCGTCTAGCTGCGGCCATTTTCAAGGAGCAGGACGGCAACCCGATCGTCCAGTACAACCATCGACAGGACAAGTACTCTTGGAAGACGGATTTCTTTGGGAATGATCCCGAGGCCAAGTTGCTCCGTGAGGCATCTCCATTGACGCGCACCGGCAACCAGTTCCGCTTTGTACATCGATCGGTGCTGGAATATCTTTTGTCTCGCGTCATCTACAACCCGGTCGAGACTGTGGAGGGAGACATGGATCCAGAATCTGAGACTGCATCTCCCACCGCTCTCTTGTCGGACTGCAACAACCCCTTGTTCCAGAAGAACCTACATGGCGAACCATCCATCATCCAGTTCCTGTGCGATCGGGTCAAGTCAAGCCCAGATTTCGAACAACAACTCCGGGCTGTGATCGACCTTTCCAAGACCGATGCCGCCGTCACCACCACCACTGGCGCTACCAACGCCATAACGATCCTAGTTCGAGCTGGTGTGGTCTTTCATGGTGCCGATCTCCGTGGTATCAGGATCCCTGGTGCCGATCTTTCGGGTGGCCAGTTTGACTTTGCGCAGTTCCAAGGAGCAGATTTGACGGATGTCAATCTTTCGAGGACCTGGTTGCGGAAGGCGGATTTGAGCGGCGCAACGATGGATGGTGTCCAATTTGGGGAACTCCCGTACCTGGAGTTTGATAGCATTGTGGTTGCCTGTGCCTACTCGTCTGATGGAAGAATGCTTGCCGTGGGTGGAGGGCTTTCGAGAATTGGCATTAGCATTTACGACACTTCATTATGGACGCAGGCCTATTCCTTTAGTGCGCCGTATAACATGCTAACTATGGCATTTTCACCCGACGGCACAAGGGTCGTGTTTGGAGGGGAGGATGGATTGGTTAGGCTGTGGTATTGTGTCAGCGACCAAGAGATGTTCGTCATGGAAGGGCACAAGCGCAGAGTGAACTCCGTTGCTTTTTCTCCCTGTGGCGAGCAAATCGGCTCGGCCGGAGATGACCAAACAGTTCGAGTGTGGGATTCGTATACCAAAGAGAGTCTCTTTGTCTTGGAGGGTCACACGAGCGAAGTCTCGAGCGTCAAGTATTCTCCGAGCGGAGAGTGGTTGGTGTCGGGTGGCTCCGATGGGACGATTCGGTTTTGGAACTCGGAGACAGGAGAGCCAGGGGTCGTTTTGGACTCTTCCTTGGGTGAGGTTTGCACTCTTGCCCTTTCTACTAATGGACGGTGGATTGTTTCTGGCCATTGGGGGGGCGGATTGCGACTTTGGCATGCCGTGTCTGGAGAGCCAGGTCCTGTCTTACATGGTCATACCGGAGGTGTTACGGGCGTTGCGTTTTCTCCAGACAGCCGGTGGATCGCTTCTTCTTGTAACGACATGACAGTGAGACTATGGGACGCCTCGACAGGCACTCCCATTAACACGCTGTCAAGCCATAGGGCCACTGTGAACGATGTTGTCTTTTCTCCGAATGGTCTTCAAATCGCATCAGGTGGTACTGACGCCAGGGTGCGACTGTGGGATGTCGACTCTACCTTGACGTCGAGTGTTGAGCAGCAGGATCAACTGGAAGCTATACAAAGGACGATGTACTCCCCGAATGGTCAAACTATCCTCGTGTTCGGCAGCAACTATACCAGCAGCAGCCAAACCGTCCTGCAATGGGATTCTATAACAGGAGCGCCTATACCTCTTTCGATCGAGTTACCAAAACATGTATCAGTCGAGTCTGTGTCATATTCATTAGACGGCATCCCAACCGCGGCCGTCGATCAAGACGGGACTCTTCAATTGTGGGAGCTTCAGGAAGGAAGTCCAAAGACTATTCTGGAAGGCTCCAGAGCGGCGAGGTACGTTACCATGTCGCCTTGCTGTCGTTGGATCGTGTCTGCTGACCGGGACAATACCGTGATGTTGTGGGACCTTGACAACACTCAACAAAAGCACGTACTTATTGAGAATGGCGGAGTCAATCAAGAGGAAATCTGTTGCTTGGCATTCTCGACGACAGGACATCAGCTCGCAGTCGGCGCTGAGAATGGCGACATCTGGCTCTTCGGTCCTCAATCGAAAGGTCTAATAACGTTCAAGTCGACACATTGGGGTATTGCGGCGATGTCGTTTTCGCCGGACGGCCAGCAGCTTGCGGTCGGAACCTACGAGGGCCCGATCTACCTTTGGGGCGTACAGTCAGAGGGGCGTACTATCAAGCTGAGAGGACACGCCGAGGCGGTGCAATGCATTGCCTACTCACCTTGCGGCGAATGGATTGCTTCCGGCAGTTGGGACTATACAGTTCGAGTCTGGCGCAGGCGGCGACCACCAGGCGATACGGAGACCTGGTCGTGTGTCTCGACGGTCTATGGTTACTTTGGCATAGTCAGTGACATTGCCTGGAGTCCAATCGTCCCTATGGAATTTGTCGCTGGCTGCAGAGACGAATCTGTCCGAGTCTGGCGAGTGTCGAGCGATGGTGAGGATGTTGTTGTCAAGCTACTCTGGGGTACCAATCTTGCGGTTCTCTGCGCCGACGGTCTTGTGCTCAAGGGAACGACTGGTCTTGGATTTACGGAGCAGAAGTTGTTGGTCCAGTGCGGCGCCATTGACGACTCTTTGACGGAAGGAGACAAGCAGGATGACTACATGGGCTCCGAAGGAGTTGAATCTAATGATGAGGAGTAGCTCGCTGGTGGACTTGGCCATCGAAGGTGGTAGAACGATTCTCCGTCTTGAATAAGTAACAGATATACCTTTCTTTTCATGACTGACTGATTGTTCAAAAAGAAGTTCGTTGGATGGTACTATGTCATTTTGCAATTGCGTTTAGAAGACCTCAGTTCCTGTGGTCGACTGTTCAGTCGACGAAATGCCTGTACCTGAAATCCTAATATCGGAACGTCCATTGATTGATCTGCCCATACACAACTCAACATAACTTTGTTCAAGCAAAAGGCACGTTCATGCGTAATATGAATGGTCATGTTTAATCAAGAAAAACGCGTAAACAAGAGAAACAATAAAAGGAAAGCAATGAAAACAGGGTGCTCTACCACAAATTGTACTTGGAGTCAAGGTCGCCCTCAGCAGGAGCATCCAGATCAACATAAGATGTGACCTTGCGTGGGTCCGACATCCTACTGTTGTCATTAGAAGAATGAACATATAAACAGGGTTAGCATCTTTACAACAACGACGACAGCACCTCATGGAAGCAAAATAGTAGATGTGAGAAAAGGGCGTATACCTTCTGGGATCAAGCATCATGGACGTGGGAGGACGAGGAGGCGCCACGTCGGGCTGCTTAGTCCGTGCCTTGTCTCCAGATTCTTCTTTGGATCCACGACGCTTGGTGAAATCAAACCCAATACGAGGAATCTGGTCCATAGGTGTTCCTGCCATGGCTCCCGCAGCACTGAAGGAGGGTGGGATAAAGTTGGGAGGGAATTGTGGCATGGGCGACATTCCAGGGTTCATAAAGGGCATACCCATAGGGTGTGCTCCTGGCATAAAGCTCATGGGCATGGGGTGGCCACTAAACATTGGACCTGGCGCGCCATATCCAAACGCGCTAGGCTGTGGCTGTTGCTGTTGTTGTGCTGATGGGTTAATATGGTTTGGGTCCAAAATGTAGTTATTGAACAGCAAGATCTACACATAAGGAATGGAGAAACCGAGTGTTAGCTTACGGGGACCTTCATCGTCGAACGAAGATCCGAGAACAACAGCAATAAAAAAGCACGTACGTCGTCCTCGATGGTCTTGATTTCGTCTGGGTGCTTAGTGCGGATATGCTTGTGAACAAACTCCTCGCCTCTAAATGGCTTTGTGCAGATCTTGCAGCGCCACTTGGTAGGTTCATCCTGCTGTGTCTTGCCCTGCAAAAACTTGAGCGAAGCCCTAATGAGTTCATAATTATTAGTTAGTGTTAGTAAGTCAATGTTGGAAATACATGACAACGCAGCCTGCTAGCGCGAAATGCCCACCAGCGTCAGTATCGCTTACTTTTCCAAAGACTTCCCACCCAGCTTGGTGATCTCTTCGTCGGTAGGGTCTTTGAGCTTCAGGTTCAGCTTCTGCTCTAAGTTCTTGACCCAAACAGCGCCTAGTAACGTAGTTAAAAGAAATGTCAATAACTGCAGGTATCTTAACGTCCATAGTGGCGCACATATATCGATTTTCCAGAACATTTTACGTACCCTTGGTTGAGTTGACAGGGACCTTGGTGTCGGGGTTACGGAAGTGCTTGCTGCACTTGCGAGAGAACTCTTCGGCATTGTCACTATCACCGCCACAGTAGTAACAGAACAAGTGCACTTGGCGCAGGTACTCGATAAAGAGGTCCAACGAGCGACGCTATCGCAATGAAAGAAGGTAAACATAGTCGTGTTAATACGAGTTCACCTATTTGCACATGTCATCTTAACGCATAACATTATATGTTTACCTCATTAGCACGCCGAATGGATGCCTGTGCAGGATCCTCCTGTTCTGCTTCGTCCATGGGGGTATCTGTAGGTGCAAGGATATGATCCTTGAGAAGTGCTTCTACCAACGATACGCCATCATAGATGGGGGCATCAGCCTCGCCTTCCACTGCATCGTTCAGACTCTGGTCGCACACCTTGGCGATAGCGAGAGCGAGCTCATAGTCAGCACGGATCCGTGTTCCCGAGTTGGCAATCTCGTGTGTGTAGCGGGCGCGCGTTGGTCTGTGCGCTGCAGTCGTTGCCTGAAAGTCTTCTGTCTCTGGCTCAGTCAATGCGGTCAATGCTGCCTCAACGTCAGTGCCTGCCTGAAATTTGATCCACCCAATCCTCTGCAGCTCCTTCAAAGGGTGGGGCTCTGACAACGACAACATCACGAATCCGTCAAGCTTCTCGCAGCGCTATGAAAGGTACAAAAACAATGAAGAATTGATCAGTAAAATGGACAACATTCACTATCAATGACAACACATCATACTAAATGAAGTGAAAAAGTACCTCCAAGATGGACGCGCGAGTGACGGTGGGGAGAACGGCCTTGAGGTACAGCCAGGCGTCTGACGCATCCTCACCGTTCAACAAAGTATCACCCTCCTTGTCAACAGCAGCCTCGCCGTCCTCGCCTGCAGTCTTTTCTGCTTTGGCCTCTGCAGCCTGAGCACTCTCCTTCTTGGCCAACGCCTCGTCGCATGTAGAGTTGTCAAACTTTCCTGCAGCCAATCCCTCAACAAACTTCCCGTAGCGAGACTTTCGGAGAGCGCGTGACTCCTCGGCACGAGCCTTGGACATATCGGGGTGATACTTTTCCTGGAACCAGGCCTCTGACTTGTGAGCCTCGAAAAAGGTCGACAACTGTTTGGCCACAAATTCCTCCCTGTATGTCCCGTAGCGACTCTGAAGATCCTCGTCCGTGTAACGCTTATAGCGGTGTGAAGCCCGGTCGACGTTTCGGAGGTATTCGCAGTACAGCTTGAAGGAGATCAACTGATCCAGCTTCATGGGATCGTCGATCCTCTCACCACCGCCACCGCTTCCCCCCCAGCTGGGGAGACCATCGCCATAAGGCGCATCTGGACCGTCCATGTCTCCAAAGCCATCATCACGACGCCTAATTTGCATTCAATATGTAAAAATAACAATATAAACGCAAGGTCAGAATCAATAAAACAAAACAGGGCTCAACATCCATAGAAAGTGAACTAACATAACGTCTTCTCTCTAATTAAAACAGGAAGAGAGATGCGCCATGCATTCCGATGAGGGTGTGCGTGTACCTTTGACCACGGTAATCATTGTATCCGCCGTGACCATCAAAACGACCTCCATAATGATCGGGTCGGTTGTGTCTCGGTGCAGGGTTGTATCCATCTCTGTCATAGTTCGGGATGTAGCGGTCGGTCGGATCGTCGCCGTCCTTGGAAGATGAGCGGTTTCTCCTGGGCCGTCTTTCTGTAACAAGGGTTGTGTTTAGTAACAATAAAAAGAAAACAGTTGCAACAACGATTTCCGAGTCCTTCGTCTGATTCCAAGTATGATTTAAAACAACAGGGGGGCCATCATTATTACCTCTGTCTTCAGGGGAGGCGGAAGTCTTTCTTCTCCTTTTATCACGACCAAAGTCATCCTTCTCAGGACTACGCTCGCGGCGGAACTTGTCGCGGCTCCGAGAGTTGGACTCGTCGTCCGAGTAGTCTCCACGACCGTAGTAATCCTTTGGCATTGTGATCACTGAATTAGCTTTTCTTCTCCTGTCGTGGTTGTTTTGTTGTATAGTGTTGTGGTGCAATTAGCTGATTGGAAGTATGGCAGGCCCTATTACTGCGATTGACAAAAGAGATAGGTTCAGAGTTAGTTGCATGCTTCATCACAGAAGTTGTTCTTTAGAGAAGAAGGGGTGTGTGTTTGTGTGTTTGTGTGATTGTGAGGACGTGGCAGATAGTAGTACGCGCCAGATCTGCTCCCTGTTTGGCCCTTTTTGTTGCAATCAAGGGGTTCAAGGGAGACAATAAAAGTGAAAGAAAAGGTGATTCCTTGAGTTGGCAGGTCTCCTGTTACTGCGCCAAAGCTGTTTTTGATGTGAAGAGGAGAAGAAGGGCAGAGAGAAGGTGAAAGAGGTAGTGGTGCGCACCCTGTTGTTAGAGGTCTTCCTCCTCAGTTCAATAGATGGGTCCCCTGGAACAACAAGGCCGAAGTCATCGTGTCGTTGTTGTTGTTTTTTTTGTTGAGGAGGGTAAAAGTGGGAGAGTGCGACAAAGGAGAAAGAGAATAAAGAAAAGAGGAGTATAAAAAGAGTATGGAAAATGAAGATGGGCTTACCCCCGAGAGCAAAGCGAAGAAGAGTGAGTGGTGGTGTGAAGAAGTGTGATGGAAAAGAAGAGAGAAAAGACGAAGTGGCAGAGATAATAAGGATGAAAATCAGGAGGGAGGGGACTTTCTGAGAGTGTCTGAAGGGGGTACAAACAGTACACCTAATAATCTTCCAGCCTCTGCTGGTGGCTTAGGACTCGATCCTCTCTTTTCAAAATTGCATTTCGCTGGATGACAATAATGAAAGAGGCTCAAATGCTTGGCTGAGGTGAGCCGACTGGGACGATATGTATTTCCCTGCCAGATAGGAAATAATAGACAGCCACCCTCTCTCTCTTTCCTTTTTTTTCCTTCGCCCTCCGCTCCTACGCCCTCTTACCCTTCTTTTCTTCTTTCTTTCCTTTCACCCCTCGCCCTCCTTACATCCTACACCTGCTTTCTTTCACCTTTCTTTTCATTTGATACTTCACAACACCATGACCGACAATCTTCCGAGGCTGTTGTGTCTTGTTGACGGCGACCCACGTCCGGCTCAGGAAAGGCCGTCACTGTCATTGATCTCATGGCCAAGCACTATGTCGTCTACTTCGTCTACACGTAACACTGCACATATACCGACGTAAATTTGCCTTCCGGGCTCCGCCGTCTCTACCGACCTCAAGGATCCAAACTTTGTCACTCTTGCCAAGGACGCTGAACGTATATGCAGGAACAGGACCGACAAGGAAGCGAGGACATTGCACGAATTGTTGAATAACGATTTTTTTTTTTTTTTTGCGTGCATGCTCGCGGCTTCTTGAAGTTACCAAGAAACAACTATTTGCCAAGTGTGAAAGAGATGGACGCCTCTTTAATTTATAATTGTTTTCATATCTCAGTTACTTATTGACGATCAAGAGGGAAACAATAGAGAATGACGCTGCCACTGGCACTCTTTTTTATTCTGGAATTGAAGAGGAGCAAAATATAATGGAAAAGTATGTGCGTATACATGTGTGTATAATGTGTGTATATTTGTGTGTAAACCCCCTCAAGCAGAGGACACAATCGCCCGAAGGAGGAAACTGTCGGTCGAAGAAGGGAAACTATTGCTTATAGGGAGAACTGTTGGTTAACGAAGGAGAACTATTTGGTCGAAGGGGAGAGAGAGTGAGAATGGCACACCGAAAGAGCTTTGAATGGGGAACGTCTATGTTAGGAGCATTCCTCAAGAGTGAAGTCGCCCGTTACGTAGTTGTAGCCGTAGCATTCGTCGTCATCTTCTCCCTTGTCACCAAAGAGTTCCTCATAAGTGAACCCCATCCACTCGGCATCGGTACCTCCAGGGGCGGCATCGGAACTTCCAGGGGCGGCATCGGCTTCATTGTCCTGTCTCTTTGCCGGTGCTTTTGCAGTCGCTGGAGTTGCCGCGGCTTTTGGCATCTTGATGCCATCACAGCTGATCCAGAGGTTCTGTGTATGTTCGGCGAGTACATAACTGTTTTGATGGGTGCCTTGGCCGTGAACGCTTCCTCGATGCACTCGCTTTCCTGGGGGGTTTTCCGGCAATACTGATGGAGTCAACGGTGGTCTGGACAATCGCGGACACGCCAATATCGGATGCGGTGTCGCCTTTCTCGCCACCTTGTTCCTCAGTTGTCGTGAAGGCATAGCTGTCGGTGAGACCACCGCTAATAGTAGCTTCCAGGCTGTAGACCTTGAAAATCTAGGCAGCAAACTTGACCTCGCCCTTGACCTCCTTGTAGTTGTAGCGGTCTTGGTCTTGCACTCTGTGAACGCTCAGGTTTTAAACTGTAGTTTCTTGAACCTGAACTTGGCTTGGACTTTCATGTTCTTGAACGAGCAAAGGGCCTTTGGCGGGCCTGCTTGAGCAAGGATTGAAGGCACGGGGGCAGTAGTTCGCAGTGTTGTGGTCACGATCTACTCCATCGCCGCTGTAGGTGTCGCCGCCGACATTCATATTCAACTAACAATTGGAAAAGGCGTTAATCGTCGCGTTCTAGCACGGGTTCTTATTTAGACGCGTACACATCATTCAGCAGTGCTCAATGGATCAACGCATAGAAAATATTGTTCCTCTTCCAAGTTCAGGGGCTAACTTGCATAGATCCATAAACTCAACTACCATACATGCTTAATGTGCTTTTGCCACCTCTAATTGTTGTTTGAGCAGTTTGGTAACCACATTCATTTCCATCTACAGGATCAATCTCAATGCTGCTGCATATATTTCAATTGGTTTTAAACACCGGTTTTTTAATTATGTGATACAAGATAAAATTTTCATTGATGTGGAACTAAACAAGACTGAAGGAAGAACAGTAGACAACCAGTCAACCCGGTGTCCACATATCATAGAAAGAAAAGATGAAAAGGAGAAAAAGCTAAACTCGGGTGCTAGAAACTTGTCACGGGGGCGGGGATCGCTCCCACGTTTTACTTGACGATAAAGAACCCAGCCGAGTCAGAGTACCCGGACTGGGGAGAGTGATCAAAACTCACACGAATCCTCCACCTGATACCGGTTTGCGTTGGAATAATATACTCCTTCTTGGCCACAAACTTGAACCCTTTATCTGCCAAGACCCTGGCGGGGACAGTGGCAATCTTGACGTTCAGGTTGGGCATGGGGATCGACTTTTGAATGATGATATCGATGGGGGTGTTATCTTTGTAGAGGACGTTGTGGACGCCGCCGGTGAGCTTGACCTTGACGGTGATCTTTTTGCCGACCTTGTAGACGCTGTCGAAGACAGGAGAGGTGACGGTGATCAGGTTTGAGGGTGGGGGTGGTGGTTTGGCAAAGACGGAGGAGAGGGAGCAGAGGGCGCAGAGTGCCAGGAGGACCAGCGTGACAAGGTTTCTGGTGTACATTTTTATTTTGGTTTGTGTGGGAATGTGTCTGAGAGGAAGGAACGAGGAAAGAGTTGATGAGAAAAAAAAGAAAGGGAAAGTGCAGACACAACACACTGGTATTTATGTAACTTTTTCCAATGCCAAACATGGATATGAGACACGGCGCTTCTCTCTCTCCCGTGGTGCGTGTGGGTGCTTGTGCCCAAAAAAGGAGGATCTCTGTTATTTTTGTTATCTGGGACAAAAACACACAGAGCATGGAGAAAAACCCTCTTGGCAGTAAACTCATCCTTCACCCTTTCCTTTTTCCTCCTCTCAGGAAGAAGCTTTTTTTTTCTCATTTCGACTACAACACAGCACACATCCGATTGACGACTTGCCTAGCGTCAAGAATAACCCCGGCTGTGAAAAAAAAATATCTCAGAAACGCGGTTCCAACACTACAACAAGCCAAGTTCCTCTCTATTCTTAGACGTCGATAGACGTTTACTGGAAAGGAGAAAAATAGACAGATACGGGCCACCCAATGACTACCATCTTGCAAAATACTCTTGCTGTCCTCCTATTAGCAATTCCTTTGTTTTGACTCCGTGGCTACTCGCACAATAACAGCTGACAACCAAAAGTGGACAATGGCGAGACGAAAACAAGAGGTAAAGATGGTGGGCGTAAAAAGGCGACGGGCAAATGAAGAGACAAGTTGACGAACAACGATGAACTATGAAAAAGAGAAATGAAGAGACGCCGCCTTTTTTTTTTTTTTTTTTTTTTTTTGCAACAAGCCGGCAATGCATGATGGGGTTTAACAAGAGAAGACAAAGACAGAAAAAGAGGAGGTAAATATATCCTCTCAACTTCTCATTACCCTTTTTAGCACGCCTTTAACCTTTGTTTAATCTTGTCTTTCTTTCTAACCAGGGTAGGTGCATGGACATCGTTTTTTTTCTTCGCCAATGAAAAGCCGTAGATTTGACATAGCGCCTGACTGACCTTCTTCCCTCCTATATATTTGCCACAATGCGCACACAAAAACATATTGAACCGAAGAACGCAAGCCAGACAAAAACAAAGCAGCAGTAATATACTCTTTCGTATGGTGTTGGTGTTGGTGGAAGAGGATTGAATGCCAAAAAAAAAAAAATGAACGATGAAAAAAAACAAGAGAGTGTGAGTTTGTGCAGTGGTGCGCGCGCGTGCCTTCACGCGTTTATTTTTATCTCAACTTTCCTGTCGTCGTAAATTGAGTTGTACGACAAACATCCAACAGGGGGGACAAACAAACAGCAACAGAAAAATATCCACGGGGCACCATTTTTATGTTGGCAAACGTACACAAACGTACACAAACAATAACATCTCCCGCACTACACGCACCACACGCACCACACGCACCACACGCACCACACGCACCACACGTACCCACACTAACCAATCTCATTTCAGCGCTCAGCATTTGACACTTTGACTAGGTTGTAAGAGTAAGTTTCGACTCATCGGTGCATTATTTTTATTATTTCTTGCTCCTAATGCGCAGACGCTTGTTTTCTATTCTTGCGGAGCGAACAAAGCGAACAGAACATGGGGAGCGCTCAATCGCCTTTCATCCCAGGTAGTACACGTGGACCAGGTGTTGTTGAGATTTTTTTTTTTGCAAGTCTACGTATTGTTTTCCTTTCTTGTCAATGAAAAGTACGGATTCGGTGAGCAAGGACTTGGCCATCCATGGAACAACAGACCAAGGAACAAAAGCGCAAAGTAAATACAAATATCGGGGCATATTTTGTCGTCCTTATTTATTATGTATGTACTGTCCTTCGCCCAAATTCGACTACGCAGTTAAGATACCAACGCGCCGCGTTCTGACAAACAGTGAGGTCTCATAGTCTCACATATGCACCCTTTTTTGCAGACGCCGTTGGCTGTTCCATTCTCTACTGGTGATGTTGTTGTTGTTGTTGGTACTGTTGTTGTTGTTGCTGGAGGACCTGTTCTCGGTGCTTCCATGCGGCCCTAATTTCCGCCTGCGCTTGCAACAACTATTTTCATCACACCATAAAGAATAAAAATTCAAGTAAGTCAACCTTACCGAGGAAAACAACAAAAAAAGGAAGCACCAATAGGACGCGTTCCGAGTGCTCCATAGAAAAAAAACAACGTCAGCATAGACCGCACGCTATCTAGAAGACAGTAACTGTACCTCATCACGCTCGACGCCATCCCGAATACTCTCCTGGACCTTCTTGACTACGGATGAATGATTGCCGTGCTCCTTGTCATCTCTAAACCGGAAGAATCTCCAACTCGAGTCTTTGGGCGAGTAGTTGACCTCGACCACCCTGTTCTGCAATGGAGTTGCCGTGCTCTTCCAGCTAATCGCATAATTAAATAAACATGAAAGGTGAATGTCAGCATTTGCCTGTCGCCTTTGTTCAACCAACCTCTGCAATGTTTTCGGAGATTTTTTCTTATGGGCGCTGCTACTTACTGCTGCCAGAGTCCATCATCGACCGTCAATACTCCAAAACGGTTGTATTGTTGACCGCCCTGCCATTCATGAAGCACAAACTGTGGCTTTTGGTCATAATCGGGCGCACCCTGGTTGATTGGGAACTCCAGCGACAACCTAAAGTCGATCGTGTTCTCGCTTGGGGGCTTCCACTTCAGCCTAGAGATGTGAGTATCATACGCACGCACAGAATGTTAATGTTATGCGACACGGAACGTTGTGTGGTCGAAGGCCGAAAAGCCGGGCTGGGGTGTTATTGAGCGCAAGACTTACATTTTGATGTTAGTCGAGGGTACGTATTCAGCCACGGCGGAGGTAAAGATTAGTCCGTCGCTTCCATGCTTGAGTCTTGGGAGAACTTCCTTGAACATCTTTTCGATTCCGTACGACAAGTTGACCTCCTTCAACCCAACCCTATTTGTTGCGTGGATTCAAAATGCATGTGAGTTCATTAAACATCTGGTATCTCGCCAGTGATGTGGTACTGTGCGTGTGGACATGCAACTCACTTGAAGGGCTGCTCGCGAACGAACTGAGGTTGAGCGACCTTGAGTAACTCTCTATACGGCGTTATAAACTCCTGTTGTAACCTCTGAAAAGTCCAAGCAATATTGCCAGCAGTTAATATCGGTTTCCACCTGCAGCTTATGTCCATCTTTTCGCCCGATACAAAAGCTGAACTTACAGCCAACCGAGATCTGAGGGGCTTCTTGATGATATTCTGTCCATTGTAAGCCAAAAGATCAAAGGCAAGGTAACGAACGACCTGACTTCCATCCGGTTCCTGGTCCGTGACAAGTTCGCCGTCGACAATTGTCTCATTATGGTACGCCTGGAGGTTGCTGGCAATGGGAAATCTCAATTGAGGTACAAAGCTGAACTTGTTCTTGCGATCCACCTACACATAGCATTCAAAGGTAATGCGTGACTCAGGGTGAGCATTCCAAAGAGTAGTTATTTGCTACCAAAATTGGAATGAATAGGTGGTAGTTACCAAGAAAACTTGCTGTTGGCCACGCTCGTTGATAACACAATAGAGAAGAACGCGGACACCGTCTGACTTTTCGGCGACAAAGTAACTGATGACAAGAAAAAAAGTAAAGCCAGGTACAACAGTAAGTCGCTACTGTTCGTTCCATATAGCGGAATCCAATGACAACATTCGTGTGGGTTCCTGAGGCTCCATGTTGCTTACTCTTCTGACTTGAGTTCCTGAAGTGTCGTACGCGTGAAACTGACGGGCTGAGCACCTAGAAAGATAAAGACAACGCAATGGCGTCGATATCCAGTGTGTCAGTATCGTCTGCCTTCACACTACGCGTCCCAATTGTTGGTCCTGATATTAACGCCGCTCTACTCCAGCGAGCCCCTTCCATAGTCCAGGTCGTTTACCAATGAATCTAGTAAACAAAAAACAAAGAAACATATATCGTTAATCTTCTGCCCATTCGCACAAAGGTCAAGAGCTTCCCCTCTTCGATACAGATATGTTCCCTGGTTCATTCAAGCGCACGCTGAACTCTACCGACTGCCATTGATTCCGATGGCTCGACAGATTCGCTCACGGAGGAAGCTCTCACTTCTGGCATCGATGGGCACACCCGGAATGTCCGGAATAAGCGAATCGGCGGGCATGTTGAACAAAGTAGATGCGTGAGTCCTGCTTGGCGAATGGGTGTGGTTGTTGAGAGACAAGAAAAAAATCAAAAAGGTGTTTAAGCCAAAAATCAAAAAAGGTGTTCCAGCCAGGCGCAGGCTCAAAAAAAAAAGTACCTGACCATTCTTATCTTGGCTCAGCCACCTCTCCGACGGGGAGCACATGCAGTGCGAATTTTTTCACACAACCATGATGCTTCTCGGAAAGTCGTTTTTTCAGGCGCACACTTCGTCCCAACGAGTGGAACTGAAAAAATCTCCTCTCCACTCCCAAGGGATACACAAGCAAGCCAAAAGAAACAACCGCTATTAGATTTTTGACGGTTTTATTAAAAAGACTTATTGTACAAAAAAAGATGCAGATGCAGGTTGGGGGTTGATATCGATTTCCACTGTGTGTTGCTTGTTCATTTCCTTGCCATGGATTCCTCTGTGGACTGACTTAAGCTATTATAGCAATTGAAAAAAAGATAAGATACATGGGTTACTTTCATGGCACAACTGGGCTAGTGAAAGCATGTAGAAAAGGAGTTGGTTGCCCAAGTGATCGAAGAAGCATCTTACCAGAGGGGGCACCCAAGGTGGTTCCAGGGCCTGAGGGAATGGCCTTGACAACGACGGGCTCCTCCTTCTGAACGGGGGCCTCTGTTATATCCAATGAATCAAATGGTAATAGAAAGCGAAGAGAACGAAGAATCAGGTCAGTCAATTGATCCTTTCAAAAAGGGTATACTCCATCCCTTCCAATATCCTTCTCAGGTACTGATCCAGATATGATCATAGCTCCATTTGAAAAGAACGACAAAGCAAAAAAAAAAGCTTACCCTTCATGGTAGCCTCCCGGACGCCTCCAGCCTTGATGAGAGCAGTGTCCATGGCGTGCTTCATGACCGTCTGCTTCTGCTGAGCCTTCTTTTTGGAGATACGGGCGACGTGCTGGATGTTGGTCGAGACAATAGACTTGTACGAGGTCGAGTTCGACTTGAGCGCCTGCTTCCTGACACGGCCGAGCTTCTGGAGGTTGAACTTGGGGCGCTGGATGTTGTGGCGGGTGACCATTGTTGATTTGTGCGTTGATGGGGAGGGAGGGAGAGAAGGTGCAGATGGATGTTTTTGTTTGGACCGTTGTGGGTTGAGCTTCAGCACATTTTTTTTTCTTTTTTTTTTCAAGCAGCTTGGAAACAGTCACATGTATTGGCGGTTTGGCGGCTAACCCTTGTCACAGAATTGGGCACGGAGCTAGTGCTGCAAGCAGCGCCACTAATTTGAGGACAATAATAGCATCGAAAGAAGACTGGAGCGAAAGCTAGAGGCCTCGAAAGCTACGAAGGCACTTTTTCTCCACCATGTCGGCATGGTCGCTCGGTCGTGGCTAACTTCTGCTATATTCTTTGAAATAAACCACAGGTTCAGTTTTTTTTCTATCCAGTGAATACCAAGTGAGCCTCTGGCGACAGCCGCAGGTATCTTTCAAGAATTGAAATGCTCGCAGGACAGAAAACAATCAGGGCCAAGTTGCGTCGCTGACTTGTTCAGCGATGTGGCCAGATGCTTTCAAGCGGTACATTCACTTCATCGTTAGATGGAACTACCATCTCTTGTTTAATCGATATACATAATACACATCCACACCTACAATCTAGTATCACTCCCCAGATTTTGATGATCTATGGTACGAGATGGTTAGCTCCTCTTGCATGTTGCAATCAAAATGAAGAGACACCATGACCCTTTCATCCGTCCCTTCACTTGCAAAAAATTGGCTCCATTCTCTCTCACTTCTCCGGTATCTTGTCTTCACAGAGTAACCATGTACCCCAGACTGCCCACTTGCCCCTTCAAGAAAGGTCCGATCGAGTTGGACACTCCCTATTATCCATCGTCAAATAGGGAATCGAACGCCTTCCTCCGCCCATCGGTTTCCGCCGGAGAAATAAATGCGACTGGTGCACACAGCTAGGAGAGGATAGCTGAGAAAAAAATAATCTTTAATCGGGATATCTATTTTGTTTGAACCAGGCCACCATTGAGAGAGTGTTTAGAAACTTTAGAGAATGCGTTGTAGCAAGATGAAGCAGATTCGTTCCTTTTGTAGACATCGGAGCTGCCGTATGCTCTTCTTTTGTTGTCCAGCAGCCAGCTTGTATCTCAGCAAGATGCATGAAAAAAAGGACAGAAAAGTGAAGGGAAGAGGGGAGGGGAGTGAGCATCGAGATAGATTTTCGTCTCCGGTCAATCGTGGGTGGCCATGGTTGAACCGTTTTGATAATGGAGGGTATAGATGTATAAAAAAACGTTACCTCTTTCTGATGCGATGAAAAAGAGGGTTGCGCAGATCAATGAAGAGGAAAGGATAGACCCGTACGATCGGATCTAGCTTGAAGGACAAAAGGGGGGTTGATACTAACTACGACTTTTGGAGGGGAGATATTTAATGAACGCGCGAAAGGCGAGATACTAGAGAGAGAAGAGTGCTGTGTGGGTACTGTTGCTGCTGCTGCTGATGATGATGATGATGATGGTGAGAGATCGATCCCTCTCTTGTCCCTTTCCATCTTCGAAAGAGGAAGGTGCAGGTGTGGATGGACAACCGGACAATCAGGCGCAAACGATGATAGATGATCTGAGTTTTGCAAGGTTGATTTGTTCCGAGACTTGTTGTCTGAACACGTTCTACGGTTCTTGCGCACGACTGGATGATTTGGCAGAAGTGAGGATTGAATGTCTGGTCGGGCATTGGATTATAATTTCTTCACTGCGTGTGGGAGATGGCATTGGACAGGACATCCTTTCATCGCTACGATTGACAAACCTTGTGCAAGAACCATCAAAGGAGCAACAGAAAGGTCATGTTGGTGCTTTTTGACTGTGTGTGTGCTTAAAGCCATAGAGCTGCATGGAGTGTGGCGATTCAATGTCCATCATTCATGTGTTGGACCGCCTCTATCTCCACCTTCCTTCGTCCTGTTGTTGTCGTTTATCCTCCCTCCCTCTTTTTTTGTGGTAGTCAATGCCTTGACAGAGGGAGCAAAGTGATAGCGAGCGAGCGTTGAAGGAGGCATTGATGAAAAGGACCAGCGCCAGCAGAAAGCACTGGAGAGGAAGAGAGGAAGGGTCAGTTAGATTTTGGGTGATCCGCTCGAAGCGTACTCAGTCAATCAGTGCAACGCTCTGCTGTCTGTCCAAGGGGAAGAAGAACGGACACAACGTGAACCCAGTCTCTGTCCATTTAGGCGCACATGCAGACTCTCATAAAAAAAATATATATCTTTACTTCCCTTGCCCACTCCACTCTATTTCTCTCTCTCTCTCTCTCTCTCTCTCTCTCTCTCTCTCTCTCTCTCTCTCTCTCTCTCTCTCTCTCTCCTTTTTACTTTTCTCCTTCTTTCCTTTTTCACTTTTTGTATTCCCCATTCCACCTGACCTGACTTGCTGCCATCTTCCCCATTCAGTTCCACCCCGGCACCCGTCTCTCTCTCTCTCTCCCTTTCTCCCTCTTTTATCACTCCCGCCCACTTTATACCACTCCCCACTCTAACATACACCTCTCACTCTGAGCCTCTAGCTTCCCCACTCACCCTTCCACTCTACTCCACTCACATTCACACACGCCACAATGAAGTTTGGTGACAACCTCGAAGATTCCACCTACGAACCATGGAAGGACAACTATGTCCAGTACAACGCCCTCAAGAGGCAGCTCGAACAAGGCCTCAACGGACACAATGGCTGGACTGAGCGTGACGAGGGAATCTTTGGTCAGACCCTCGACAGTGATCTCACAAAGGTAAAAAAAAACAAAGAGAGCATTTCTTTTCGCAAGTGTTGGTCCACATATATCTTTCCAAGGTTGTGCTCTTTCTCGTCTCTTGTGTCTGACACCGTGGGTATTGCAAACCAGTGAGCTAATCATATTTTTCCTTATCTGCACCTCTCGCCCTCTCCAACTGGATTGTGTATATTAGATCTATGCGTTTGTGAACTCCAAGTTTGAAGAGTTGCAGGAGCGCACCACCAAGGCAGAGCTGAGGGTGGCGACCTTCCAGGAGGCCTATAACCAAAAGGCTCTCGATTCCTTGACAGCTGCCATCACTGAGATCACGGATGAGGTCAACCAGCTGTCGAAGTACTGCAGAACTAACTATGCCGGATTCCTCAAGATCGTCAAAAAGCACGACGTAAGTAGTCTAATGGTGTGCCGTTTTTTTTGTTTGGGAATGGATCCTTGAGTCTTGAGATATTGGGGAGAGAGGAGAAGCAGTAACGAAGCTCTTTTGAAACGGTTTAACATGGATATGAAAAGGCAAGCGAGGAAAGGAAGAAAGATAAAAAAAGTAAAAGGAAATGAAGAAGGAAAAGGCTAGACAAGGAAAGAAAACTAAAACAAGGAGCATATCAAAACTGACATTACGTCCTTTTTCCATTCATGTGCTGGTAGAAAAATGTCCCTTACAAGTTGAGGCCAGTGTTCATGGTCCAGCTCAAGTCGCGCGCGTTCTACAATGTCAACTTTGATTCGCTCGTCGTCCGCCTCTCCAAGCTCTACCACACCATCGGAGCAGAGTCCCTGGCCTTTGGCACCCCCATCACCCCCTCGACTCTCACAGGAATGATCAACCAGCAGGGCCTCGACCGCAGGTCGTTCAAGTTCTGGGTCCACCCCGACAACGTCATGGAGGTCAAAACCACCGTCCTCAAGCACTTACCCGTCATTCTGTACACCCCTCGCGGACCTGGACCCAACAACTCAGAGTCTCTCGATCCCTCGCTCTCCTCCGTCTACCTTGACAACTCTTCATTCGACCTCTACAACACCAAGCTGGAGCGGAAGGAAGGAGCGCAGGCCATCCGACTTCGCTGGTACGGCAACCCCTCCAACAACGAGATCATTATTGAGCGCAAGATTCACCACGAGATCAACAAGCTGGGAGAGTACCACGATCGCTTCTCTATCAAGGAAAAGTACGTCGACGCCTTCTTGAAGGGCACTTACACCTTGGATCGTCAGGTCGCCAAGCTGAAGGAGCAGGGAGTCAAGTCACCAGCCGAGATTGAGCAATTCCAGGAGCTGGTGAAGGATGTCCAAAAGAGCATTGTCGACATGAAGCTTCGCCCCGTTTTGAGAACCGTTTACAACAGAACCGCTTTCCAGATCCCCGGCGACAACCGCGTCCGTCTCTCGCTCGATGCCGATCTGTGCATGATCCGCGAGGACAACTTGGATGGCGTGACTCGTTCCGGAAACCACTGGCGTCGCATGGATGTCGAATACCCCGTCGGAACCAAGACTGCACACGAGCACGATATGACCCGATTCAACTATGCCATTCTCGAGGTCAAGCTAGAGTTGCCTCCCAACAAGGCCACCCCTGCCTGGGTTGAAGAATTGATGAACAGCCATTTGGTCGAGTCGGCCGAATCCTTCTCAAAGTACGTCCACGGTGTTGCTGTCTTGCTGGAGAGTCACGTCGCCCTTCTTCCCTTCTGGCTGGCACAGCTCGAGAAGGACTCTGGTCGTACTCCCGATTCCATGCGTGGTCAACTGTCGTCCGACACCCCCACGATCAGCAGAGCTCACTCGACTGCCGAGATCGATAGTATCAACAGTCGCCGTTCATCGGTCGTCTCAAGAGCCGAGTCCGAGCACGGACCTGCTCTGTCCAAGGGCAAGAATCGCTCTATGGATGTCGTTGTTGATAACAACTATGGTGGACCTTATGGAACCAGCTCCCGTCCAGGATCGTTCCGGGCGAGCAGTATCAAGAAGGGTTTCGGATTCAAGGGTTTGGGCGGTGTGTTTAAAATGTCCAAAGGCAAGGATTCGCGTGAGTCCAGCCCATTATTGGGACCCACCCAGGCCGATGACGCAATCCCTCAGATCAGGATTATCCCACCCAAACCCAAGAAGGTTGCTGGTGTGTTGAAGGTCGAGGCCAAAGTCTTCTTTGCTAACGAGCGTACGTTCCTTAAGTGGATGAACTTTGCTGTTCTTTTGGGCACTCTCGGTGTCGGTCTCTTCAACGCTGGAGACAACATTGGACGCTTTGCCGGTATCCTTTTGGCCGTCACGGCTCTCTTGACACTTGTCTACTCTATCTGGCTCTACGAGAGACGTCTCACCATGTTGCGTAACAGGGATCCCGGTCCCTACGGTAAGCTTCCTCCTTTATCTTCTGTATTTCCTGTTTATGATTGGTATTGTACAATGAACACTCACTTATTTATTATCTTATATCTTTGTAATAATAGATGAACCTGTCATGCCTACGTTAATGTGTGTCTGCTTGCTGACAGCCATCTCCCTCAACTTTTACTTGAAGTCCAACGTCAAGTCGAAGCCATGAGTCTTTTTTTCCATTCCCACAAATAAAATCATCTCATCTTGCACAAAACACGTGACGAATCAAAGGAAAACGTGATATGAGCCGACCAAGGAATGTGTGGGGCCCCCGTTCTGCCCCGCGGAGCCCGTCGACGATTTCGTTATCGAGGTGAAGCTGCTTCCTGTTTTTCGCTTCCTTTGTAGCGAACAGAGCTCTTGAAAGATCGAAGTCGGTCGGTATCGATGCTTTTCATGTTGTCAATGTAACAGGGATCGTCTAGGTGGCAACCGCCAATGTTCCTTGGAGATGGCCCTTGCGCCGAAAAAAATACGATGTGACGACTGTGCTTGAAGAAGGATCATCCCTTCCATACTTTAAATCCATTGCATAGAAGGAATAAATAAAATGGAGCCGGAATGGTAATGGCGCATGGGGAGCGGTTGGCACTCACGAGCAAAAAAGAAACCGGCGAGGCAGGTTTTTGTGTGGGTTTGGGAGGTCACATTGAGTTGTGTGAGAGCCGGAATTGAAATACGCAATTTCGAGGGAAAAGAGATTTTAGTGTTTGGGATCCCGTCAGCCAGAAGATGCTGCTCATGACCTGCGCCTGGCCTGGGCAGAAGATTTGGGAAAAAGGGAGGGAGGGAGAGCGTCAGAGGGGTTATGACAGAGAGAGAAGCGGGTGTCGTCTCCGTCCGCCTTTTTTTTTTTTTTTCATTCTCTTCTTCTTGGCTTCCGTATCCCGCTCCTCCTCTCTTCTCTCCTTTTCTGTTCCCTTTTCTCCCCTTTTCCTTTCTTCCATCGCACACATACCCATCTACCGACCTTCCCTTTCCCTCTAACTCGGTTGCATCACGCCTTCTCCTTCCCTTCTATTAACCCGCAACTACATCTCGCCGCCACTTCCTCCTTCCACCTCCACTAATACACACGCATTCGCTCAGCCGCCGGCTATTCCACCTTACTCGACACAACGTCTTACTCCTACCACAACGAAGACTACGACTCGACTCATCTCGCCTAAAGGGTGATTTGAGCACATCATACCACAGACACAGCAATTCAACAAGCAGCCATACCCGTCTTTCACGCTTTACAATCGTCCATCAGCGATTAAGACACCCACACCTGCACTTGATTGCCTTACAAACACGCAGACCGACTTACTTTTCGCTCGCGTTGCGCTTTGTGATAACCTGGCCGCCTGGGACGAAATAACAAGGCTACCTCAAGCACCGCAGGTAAGAGACCCACAACAAACAATTGCACCCAAAAAAAGGAGTTTTGCCATTTGCGAAGTATTTGCTACTCCTATCTATCTTGTCATTCAGGCATAGTAAATAATCAATGTTGTAGTCCCCAGTCAGGGAATAAGCTCTTTTTCCATATCACCCCATCTCCCTGTCTTTCCCTTTCCCCCATCTCCTTACCTTGTGCCCACCCCCTCCGTGGCGAATAACTCGCTTTTCTACGTTCACTTCTTTTATGCATTACAAAAACAACAACTACAATACTTTGTTTTTGTTCATCCTTTCCAATCTATGGTCCAATCTCACGCACAGCCACTGTTCTCTCTTTTATGTCCTTTTCGCTCAATCAACATCAATCAATGCAATACCATTGAACACACACAGAGTTCATATTTGGTTTTACCTATCCTTTCTATTTCTTTTATGTCTTCCTCATATAACTACATTTCGTCTCTTTCACTTCATGTTTTACCGCCAATACTTCCACTCCACCATGCATTGATACAACCCCCCCCCCCCCCAAATGCACAAATGCTAGTTCACAGGAGATGGAGTCTTGAGTTTTGTTCTGATCCAGCGACGGCATGGTGTCCTTTTGCTCAATCGAGAAAAGATCACATTCGCATCCACAACAATATGCACTTCAAGCATCGCATTTTTATGTTTCCCGCTTTGCTTATCAAACTGTATTTGCTTGTGGATGCTGATGCTGCGTCCCCTGGATCCCTCTCCCTTTGACTTTGTCCCTTCCGTCACTCCTCACTTCTTCCTTGTTTCCTCTCCCCCCCTCTTCCCCCCATGACCCATTTTTCCTTCATGTCAATTGGCCCCTCAATATGTGCTGCGTGTCTGACACATGCATCCTATCTTGACACCTTCCATACCGTCAGAGACATACATATCCGTCTTATTTTGCCACCAATTGATTCTTCTCTTTCTATTGTGCCTGAGTATGTCGGCCACTCACCCGCCACCAGCAGTTGCAGCTATGTCTTGGTGCTACAAATGCAATATCCACTGGCGCACTTTTGTTCACGATATGAACGAGAAGGGGGTTGGTTTGGCCCCCAGTTGGATTTATTTTTTCTTTTTCTTCATCACATCATCACCCCCTTTATTGCGTTTCTCTGGTGTCCCTGGCAATGGGCGTTTCTGAAGCAAACCAAGAGTAAGACGGGTCAAGGGGGTTTAGTGCAGTACATGGCATGGATTGGCACTGCTAGCGGTAGCCATTCTAGCCATTCATAATCAATTCGATGATTTCAAGGGCGGGATCGTGCTCTGTGTGTGTGTGCCGGGGTCTGCGCGATGCTTCGAATCAGCTCTCTCTCCCCTTCTTCCCTGACCCTGTTGTGAGACGAGAGAATGAGAGCCGTTGACAGGCCAGGTAGTGTCGAAATCAACATCTGGGAAATATTAGTCTTTCATCCGGCCGTCAAAATGATGTCTGAGAGCCTCTCGGCTGCATCTTCGAGGTGTATCATGTGCAGACACTGCCGCCCCTTGGACACGACGACACGACGACGACACACACGCTGTCAGTCGAGGCATGCATTCATCAGCCAAACCCGCCCCGTCTTTTTATTTTTCATCCATTTCTCACTTACCTCTTCTTCTTTCAACCGCCCTTTACTCTTCTACCCGTTATCATAATTGTCTCATATTATCTGCGACATACACACCACAAACCCAAAAGAAAAAAAGAAACGGGCGTGCTTCGCTGTCTTCGTTATATTATTACACGCTTTGCATTGCACCGTGCGTTAGTCAAAAAGAAGGGGCGAACACAACATACTGCCTTTTGCTCTTCTTGTCTCTCTCCCCTCTTCGTGTCTGTCTCCTGTACTGTCCCTCCTCACATTCACACACATACTCTCTCTCTCACTCCCTTCTCGCGTCGTTGTCTTTTTTTTTTTCTTCCACTCGTACTCCCCTTCCCGCACGCACCACACTCTTCATAACAGTCGCACCCAACACACGTCATATCAATTATCCTTCTTCACACCAATGTACTAATCAAAAACCCTTCTGGGATCTTCTCTCTCTGCTTCTCTTGCCGCCATCTCTCCCTTCCTCTTTCTCTTGTTCAACAGAACCCTGATCGTACTCCTATCTCACGCTTCGATCACATCACATCTCTACCAACATCTCTACCAACACGCCTAGAACCAAAAATACACCACTTAGACTACGCCACCATCTTCACCTAGATCTACATCTACGATGGAAGTTGACTCTCAGGACCAACGCGATGTGCCGATGAAGGATGCCGAACAAGACAACATTAGGGTCTCTACTGTAGGCACTCCCTCATCGAAGGGCGACGTTCTCAGGATTGTGGATCAAACCATCGACGACGGCGGAGCTGTTAAATACACAGTTGTATGGGAAAACGGCGATACCACAGAGGTAAGGCCACACTTCCCCGCCCATTCCTTTAAATCGAACTCGTGCACAGTGTTTCAAGGCGTGTGGTTTGGCAGAGGAGGCTCGTTACCCTGGGGCATCAATCGTCACGCACAATCACGATTGGTGAGGAAGCGAGGACTGGTCACTGCGGACATATTTATCAGCAAGAGCTTTAGAGAATAATGGCAGTCTGGTGACAGCCTCACTGATTTCTACCGGCTCCAGGATACACCAAACAGGACCACATTCGTCTTTTTTTCGACTTTTGGACTTCTCCACCTATCGACTTGTTCGCTTGGAATGCTGTAGACGACGGTCTCCTTCTCTTGGAGCTCAGGTGTCAGGGGAGGATACTTCCTTGTGCTCACAACGATGAACATGAAAAGTGATGCAGCCAAGAGATTGAGCGGAAATAGGAGAAAGGGATGGGGTCAACTGAACAGGGACAAAAAAAGGAGTGGGAAGCAGAGAGTTAAATATGAAGGACCAAAGGCAACTACAAGGAGTGGAATGAAGGGGTGTCTCTTGCATTAATGAAGGGTGTCCAGCTCTGTATATTATTAGCAAAATCTAGAAGAAAAAAAGGATCCAGGGGGAAGCGCTCAAGATTCAAGGGATAAAGAAAAAAAATGACATCTATGAGAGCTGGGGTGTTGGGATTGGGCAGCAGTTTGAAGAGTGTTCGCACTGGCAAAGAGGAAAACGACGGCGATACAAGATGCAGGATAGAAAACTACTCCGGAGTCGATCGGAGGAAGGGATGGGCGCCTCTTTGCCTTCGTCATCACTGGGCTCAGTGGACCGAGATCTGCGCAAAGGCCCAAAATCAGAATCAGGGGCTGGCTGGTGGCTTGGCAGATTTATCTTGTTGCGGCGCTTGGGGCTCCATTGCAGCGAGAGCGAATGTGGCACATGTGGCACATGTGGGTATGTTGTTAACCCAAGACGATTATTTGGAACACGCTAACACGTTCTCTTTTGCAAAAATGCTTTTGGGTGGAATAGGAGTCTGTGGAAGCCCTAGGCCAGTGGGATGATCTTGTTCAGGAATACGAACACAGCCAATTTTCAAAATCAGAAGTCAAATCCAACACTCCTTCGCCTCCACCAGCGCAGGTAAAAAAGTCCAAGAGCGATGGCGATTCTTCCAAGCGACGGTCCTCCCTCGCCTCGCGGCCTTCTAGGACGAAAGCCAAGGCCAATGTCCAGTACTTTGAGGGCGGCGACGACTCGGATGATGGTGGTGAATACTCTGGATCTCGAGGAGGCAAGAAGGCGACCAAATCCAAAAAGGCAACATCTAGCGGGGACGATGTTCGGGATCAGGACCAAGATACACCCCCTGCCTCAACAATCTCGGCACGCGGTTATCCACGACGAGCTGCACAATCCGTGGCCAGGACCCAACGGCCAATCGAATCATCGGAAGGCTCTTCCGACGAGTCAGCACCCCAAAAGCCTAAACCCGAGCGTAAAGCGGCGCCGGCGACGTCATGGGCAACAGTACCCAAGTCCAAAAGGACTATTGCTGCCACATCTACTGAGTCAAGCTATGTCCAGGCACATCATCCATTTTGCACACGCTGCGGTCAACGAGGCGAGGTCTCCAAGCGCAAGTCCAAAAAGAAGAGCGACGACGAGGAGGATGACGAACCCCTGGGATCACTTTTGCTCTGCGAGTGTTGTTCAGCTGGATACCATCGTGCTTGTCTCCGAAAGACCTACACTGACAGCCTGATCGGGACTGGATTTCGGTGCGAGGCCTGCATTAAGACCAAGGGAGCAGAATGTCTCGAGTGTCATGAATGGGTCGGTCGGACGCCTCCACCAACACCTACCGCAAAGCCTACAGAGACCACAGCCATGGATACGACGCCACTAACGGATGCTGGAGTGACAGCAACAGTGAACGGGGCGGATGGTGAAGCAACAGCGGGCGGTGCCGCTGCAGCCACTGTGTCTACAGCTGAGACAACATCTGACAGTCCATCGACGGAAGACTCTGGCAAGCCTTCAGAAGCAACAGAGGATTCACCTTCGACAAAGTCAGAGGATTCTGCCGAACCGACAGTCGAGCCTCCCACGATATTGTTCAGGTGTTTCCGCTGCACGTATACCGCTCACGACAAATGTCTCAAGCGGCTGTCAACCATGGATCCAGGAATCAGTCAGGCCGAGATCATACGGCAGTACAGGAAGGACTGGAAGTGCCATCAATGTCTGGAGTGGGATATGGAGCTGGATCTGATTCTTGCGTTCCGTGATGTCCCCATCATTTCTGCTTCGATTTCTACCGCCACCAACGAGACTCAGGATGCTGATGTGGAAATGCAGTCAGTCGATACCCCTAATCCCTCCACACCGAGCTTATCAGAGTCGACCACCAAGGATGGCAGCACCTTCACTCAAGCACCCAACACCACGCGCGAGCTCCTTATCAAGTGGAAGAATATGTCTTACAGGAAGCTGACCTGGGTACCCGCCTACTGGGTCAGCCAAGTGGTGTCACCCGCCAAGATCAAGTCATTCTGGAAGCGGACGCCAGGCCCTGCAGAAATTTCTGATATTGTGCCACCGGAGTGGCTCCAGGTCGACAAGGTCCTAGATGTCATCTTTGATACCGAATATGACGGGTCAGAGGACGACATGGACGCGCTCGACCACATCCAGAGTGTCTTTGTCAAGTGGAAGTCGCTGGATTATGACCAATGTAAGTTTGAGCCTGTTTTCATGTTTTTGGTGGCGTGTGGTTTTTAAGAGCCTGAGATTCTGATTTTTTACGTTTTTGTTTTTAAAAACTTAATAGCCACCTGGGATGAACCAGACGAGCCTGATAGTCCCCACTATGCCTCGTTCAAGGCAGCCTTCAAGGATTGGGTAGCAGCACAAAAGATCCAGATCCCTTCTCGCGCCAAAAAGGGACGGTCTGGCGTTCAGCCACGGCCAGCAAACCAGCCACCATTTGCCGAGTTAAAGGAGCAGCCTTCTTACATCAGTGGCGGCACACTCAAGGACTACCAAATGGATGGTCTCAAGTAAGCACAGTACTTTATTTGCATCTGAGGATTTCCGTATGCACAGAACATGCACTTATTCCTTTTATTTTTGTTGCCATTGTTTGTGATAGTTGGTTGCGGTACAATCACTCAAAGGGTGTCAACAGTATCCTGGCCGATGAGATGGGCCTGGGTAAGACTATCCAGATGGTGGCGTTCGTGAACACTCTGTTCCACCAACTCAAGGCCTTCCCATGTCTTATTGTCGTCCCCAACTCGACTTTGACCAATTGGGTCCGCGAGTTTGCCAAGTGGTCGCCTGATCTTCGTGTTGTGGCCTACTATGGTCCCCAGAGTTCTCGGTCAGTTGTTCGGGACCACGAACTCTTCCACCGTGGCACTCACGACCTCAAGTGCCACGTCGTGGTGACGACATACGAGATGATCGTCAACGTTACCGACAGTGTCCTGTTCAGGAAGAACTCATGGGAGTGTCTGGTCGTCGACGAGGGTCAGCGTCTCAAGAACGAGAACAGTATGTTGTTCGTCAAACTGAACGAGCTGGTGATCGAGAACAGGGTGCTGTTGACTGGAACGCCTCTGCAGAACAACATTCGCGAACTGTTCAGTTTGATGAACTTTTTGGACCCTGTCCAGTTCGCTGACGTGACTGAGCTCGAAAAGAAGTACGAGAACCTCGACAAGTCTGCCGTCGAGGAGCTGCACGGAGTAAGCATATCATCAGTCATTTTGGATGTTGTTGTACCTTGATTCGTTATGATCTTTCTGCTTACGTCACCATTTTCCTCCTTATTATTGTAGTTGCTCAAGCCATTCTTCCTTCGTCGTACAAAGGATGAGGTGCTCAAGGACTTGCCTCCTATGGTAATGACCATTGACATACTGTTTTGATTATTTATATGGCGATTTTCGACACTCTGTCAGTAACTAACCCATTTTTCATTGTAATTTATAGAGCGAGGTGATTGTCCCTGTAGGCATGTCTGCTCTGCAGAAGGAGATCTACAAGGGCATCCTGGCGCGTAACCATAAGTTACTCCAGTCGATCACCAACCGTGGAGGAACTGCTTCCAACCGCAAGGCTTCTTTGCACAACATCCTTATGGAGCTCCGCAAGTGTCTGAATCATCCCTATCTCATCGAGGGTGTCGAGCCCAGATACCTGAACACTGCAGAGCTGGTCCACAAGAGTCTGATCGAGGCGGGTGGCAAGCTCGAGTTGCTCCACAACATGCTTCCCAAGCTGAAGGCGAACGGTCATCGCATCCTCATCTTCTCGACCATGACCCGCCTGCTCGACATTCTGGAGGATTACCTTAATGGCGAACGATACAAATTCGTCCGCCTCGACGGAAGCACGAGCAGCAACGATCGTCAGGCCAGGATCGACAAGTTCAACGCCCCCGATTCAGACGTGTTTGTCTTTTTGTTGTCGACCAGAGCTGGAGGAGTCGGCGTCAACCTGGCGACCGCAGACACTATTCTCATCTACGATGTCGACTTCAACCCAAAGGCAGATATGCAGGCCCTTTCTCGCGCCCATCGTATAGGACAGAAGAACAAGGTCCTGGTTCTCAAATTCATGACTAGGAACTCTGCCGAGGAGCGCATTGTGCAGATCGGCAAGAAGAAGATGATTCTGGATCACTTGATTGTCGAGCGTATGGAAGACGAGAACCTGGACCCCGTTGATGTCGAGAGTATTCTCAAGTTCGGTGCCAAGGCTCTCTTCGAGGAGGAGTCGACGACGAACGAGGATGTCAAGTACGATGACGCCGCCCTAGATGCCCTTCTCGACCGCAGCAAGATTGAGCGCAACAAAGTAGACGAGAACGGAGAGTCCAAGGTCGGCGGTTTTGGATTTGCCAAGGTCTGGACCGAGACCAAGGGCATTGTGGATGAGGAGATCCCCATCGATGCACCGCCAGAGACTGAAGAGCAAGGATTCTGGTCCACCCTGTTGCGAGACCGTCTGGCGATGGCGTATGCTCAAGAGGAGGAAACCCTGGGTAGAGGGGCTCGTCGCAAGACTGTCCTTTCTTATGCGGAGAACGGTAACAACGATAGCCCCTCCAATAAGAAGCGCAAGGCAGGGAAGGAAGTGCCGAAGGAAGAAGAGGAGGACTATGTCGATCAGGAGATGGCGGGATCGGAGGTAGAATCGGGCGATTCTGATGCTGGAGGTGATCCAGAGAACGTGATAAATGAGTTGGATATCGGCAAGCGATCAAAGAAGAGCAAGGGGCTTGCCTACGATGCGAACCAGTCACCTTCGCAGCCGACCGATATGGAGGGCCTGGAGGATGGCTCGAGACCTGGCGGAGAGCACCACACCAATGTAGAAGGATCGACTGGCAAGATCAAGAAGGCACGCATGCAGCCACCGTCGCCTTACCAGATGCATGCAGGACCGGGAGGCATGATTCCTGGACGAGGCGGAGCAGCTATGGATGCTGCTCAAAAGAAGCCAGGGCGCAAGTCACCACCGTGCCTTGTCTGTAGCCGGAGCCACCGAGACCGGTGCCCAGAGAGCCAAGATATACCCCTCGTGTTGGAACGGAGGCAACAGATTGCCACCAGCAACCACCCCGATAATTACAAGAACATGGCGCTCGCTGTTCTCGACCGGTTCTTGCTGGACAAGCAGATCACACCCCTCGAGCTCCCCAAGGGTAAGACTGCCAAGAACCTCACAGCGGCAGCAGCACGGCTCGGCAGCTCCGCATACCAGGACAATCTCCGGTCGATGTCCATTGGCAAGGCCTTTGTCCCTACCATCACCCCTGGTCACTGCATTGTCTGTAACCAAATCCCTTACCACCTGCCGTTCCAGTGTCACGAGTCCAAGAATATCCAGTTTATGCAGGAGCGCTGCAGGGCGATCACACTGGATCCTACAATCCCGGACAGTAAGAAGCAGGATCACATCGCGACAATCAAGATGCTCATCTCAAAAGAGGCGCCGGCATTACCTTCGCGGGGTCATGCTGCTCCCGCTTCAGCTCCTCCAGCATCTCGACGCCAAGCACCATGGGGTGGATCCGGCCCTCCTGGACCTCCATCGTCCCATAACGCCTCCTCGCGCAATGTACCTACATCTGCAGCGGCTTCGGTCATCCTGGCAGCAGCAGCAGCTAGCGGCGGATCTTCTGGCTCCTCATCCAAGCACTCAGGTCAAGGCCAGCGACTCAGCCAGAGCGGTCAGGGCCATCAAGCCTATAGCACCCAGATCCCTCCTCAGTTCATGAGCTCCAGGCCTTCTAAGGGTGGATCTCACGGTTCTCCTTCCAACTCTGGCCAGGCTGCCTCACGACATGATGGTCCTCGTCAGCGCGAGTACAACTACAACCCCAGGACGATGCCCCCAGCCGCCGGACCTCACTTGACGATCGGTGCACGAGAAAGCAGCAACTATCAGCCTCGGAAGCCTGCTTTCCGGGGGGACAATGGCACGATACAAGTCCCATCCGGTCGTGGAGGCGGTGGCGGTGGCGGCCATGGTCCTGCTCAGGAATACTCCGGCTCATTCAGCAATCGCGACTATGGACGGGAACCTCCGCAAGGAGGTGACAACTATGGTCGTGAGCAGGAGCGGGAGCGGGATCATGCAAACTATGGATCTCGGCATGGTCACCCTCAGGAGCCACAGGAACGAGAGCACGACCGTGACCGTGACCGCGAACGCGATCGTGAACGTGAACGTGGACACCATCACCATAGTCACCACAGTCACCACCATGACGGACGCCTTGACGACGTCGCTCGGTCTCAAGACTTTTCGCAAGTAGACAACGTAAGAGAGTAACAATAAATACCCCTACACTCTCCATTGCTTTGATTCCATTATGTTTGCCTACATGAAAATGGCTAACAACTGTGTTTGCTGTATGTGGATTGATGATTTGCTCAATTTTCTAGGGCTCTTATGCTAACAATAAGACTGCTCGTTATCCACAGGAGCTTTCGCCGAAACAGCACCGCTATCCTATGTCTGAGCAGCCACCGCAACAGCAACACCAACACCAACAGCAACATCAACGACAGCAATACCCACACCACCATTCTCATCAGGTCCATGCCAGCAGCAGTGGTAGTTCCCGACCTCAACTTTCAGGTTCTATGTCCCCACCCCCGCGTGATGATCATCGCAGGGTTGGACGGCAGCAGCAGCAGCCGGGAGAGTTGCCTGGAATGGAGAACGGTGACCGACGACGCCCTTCCGGTAGCAGCCAGCCTGAACGAGAGGTGGTGATGGATGATGATATGACCTCTTCTCCTCCACTTGAGCCGCGCAAGCCTAATGGATCTTTGCAACTATCGCGGAAACCGCTTCAACATCAACAACAATATCAGGAGAAGGAGAGGTTTGACCAGGGCGAGGATCTGTCAGAGAGACAGGACGTGTTTGAGCCCTCAACAATGAGACCAACAAGCAACAACGAGCCCGTTTCAGTCCAAGTCCAAGTCCAAGTCCAAGCCCACGAGTAGGGGGCAGGGAGGTGACTGTTAAAGTAGAAATGAAATAATAAAAATCAACAAGGCCCCTTTCGTACTTTTTTTTCTCCAGCCCTTTTTTTATGTTTGCTACTACTCGGTTGCTTCGTCCTTCTTTTTCATCACCACTCTTCAGACGCGTCTCTTCATTCACATTCAACATGGCCAAAGTAAGCAGCACTACCACTTACGCAGGACAGGGATAACTGTAGTTCAACAACAACAGAAGAAGACAGACGCCATATAACGAAGGCTTGCGAATGCAAGGGATCTCAATCGACAAGACAACACCGGAGAAACGCCACTTGCGCACTCGTCAGAGACCCCCTCCCTCGGAGATGAGCTCCGAAGTCATTTGCATTGTTGTTTTGTTAGTTTTCAAGTAAGCTAACAACTATGGCTTTTGCTCTGTTCTTTTTTTTGTTGGTGTTGATAATCAATTAGGTTATCGGAACTCACAACGGACACTTCCACTGCGACGAGGCGCTCGCCGTCCATATGCTCCGACAGTCCAAGGAGTTCAAGAATGCCGGTAAACGTCTTATCTCTCGGTTCAAACATCCTACACACCAACAACACACACACACACACACACACCTTTTTATCTCCCTTTTTTTCACAGAAGTAAAAAACAAGCATCAGGGATACTAACTAACGCGCGCACTACATTTTTGTCAATGAAAAAAAAAAAAAAAAAAAAAAAAAAAACCGACAATAGACCTTGTCCGCACACGCGACCCTGCCAAGTTGGCGACATGCGATGTTGTTGTTGATGTCGGAGGCGTTTATGACCCTGCTACTCAGCGTTATGATCACCACCAGCGTGGATTCACTGAGGTCTTTGGCGGAAAGTTCGATACCAAACTCAGCAGTGCTGGACTCGTCTACAAGTATGTTTCTTTTTTTTTTTTTTTTTTGTTCTTTTGTTGGGAAAATAGGTTGCTTTCTGTAAGCATTTTCGTTCATGGACCCGTCTTTTTTTAACAATTTGTTTGTCTAATTCGACAATGAAAAAAAAATACAGGCATTTCGGAAAGGAGATCATCGCGACTCTCTTGAACTTGGAGGAGTCGGATCCCAAGGTTGAGCTCCTTTACCAAAAGGTCTACGAGAACTTTATCGAGGCTCTCGACGGCGGTGACAACGGTATCTCTCAGTACCCCGCCGACATCAAGCCCAAGTACCGTGTCGGTACCGCGCTCCCTCAGCGTGTCGCAGGATTGAACCCCTGGTGGAACCAAAAGGATGTAGATGTCGATGGACAGTTCTTGAAGGCTGTTGCGATGACGGGTCAGGATTTCACGGATTCGGTTCGGTACTTGGGTCAGTCGTGGTTGCCTGCCCGGGATTTGGTCGTCAGCGCGTTGGATAAGCGGATGGATATTCATCCCTCGGGAAAGATCTTGGTCTTTGATCAGTCTTGCCCCTGGAAGGAGCATTTGTTCAACTTGGAGGAGGAGTTGTGTATTGAGGACAAGCCCGTGTATGTGTTGTACCCCGATGATAACAACCAGTGGAGAGTCCAATGTGTTCCTCCTTCGCCCGAGAGCTTTGAGTGCAGGAAGGCGTTGCCTCAGGAGTGGAGAGGATTCCGTGATGAGGAGTTGTCCCAGCGTAGTGGGATCCCTGGAGGCATCTTTGTCCATATGGGAGGCTTTATTGGTGGAAACAAGACTCATGAGGGTGCTCTTGAGATGGCTGTCAAGGCCTTGGACGTTTAAAAAAAACTGTAGGGTAGGAGGACGACGCATATCCGATCTTGATGATTAAAATTGAATTCAAAACCAAGTAGCAAGCAAGGATACAAGGAAAGAGATGGAGTTTTTTTTTGTATGGATGGGCTGGCGACTGTGACGAGCGCTGCGAAGGTTGCCAGCCTTTTTTTTTGTGTTTTTATTACGATCTTATCTTATTGTTTGTGGAGTAGGGAGTGAGGAGTGTGAATGAAAAGAGTACGAATGCGGAGAAAGAAAAAAAAAAAAAGGTATGAAAACAATAAATAAGGTCATCCTTCAAATCCATAGAGGTATGAGCCTAGATTACCAGGCGACCTTCTTCTTCTTGGAGGGATCAAAACTGCCCAACATGGCGCCCCGGTACAACTCCCGAATAACCTCTCCTCTCTCAATCGTCGCCTCAACAATCGCTGTCGCATGACAAGGCTCCACTCTTCCATACCAAATCGCCATACTCGTCTTCTCCTCGGGCTCCGATCTGTGTACAATCACGTTTCCGGCAAACTTGTGCCCGCCGATATGGGAGACCAACCAGATCTCGACGTCGCCCTCGGCGTCGCCATAGATGTCCTTTCGACGGAGGCATTGGAGGAATTGCTTTTTGAGAAGCGGGGCGGTTTTGGAGCAGCGGTTGTCGCGTTTTCCGTGGGAGCAGATCATAATGGCGGATTTGGGGAGCCACCGGTGGGCGAGGAAGGTTGTGGAGCCGGCTTGTACTTGACGGGTTGTGTCGCTGGTGGAGTGGTGGAAGTGGCCGGGACCGGTGATGGTGGAGGCGGTTGAGTGGATCGAGGAGGATGAGGATGAGGCAGAGATGGTCCGGATGGAGGATGCAGTTGTGGTGGTAGTGGTGGTGATGGTGCGGGTTGAGCCGTCGGCGGATTGTTCGGTGGATGTTGAGCTTGCGGACGAGACCTCTGGTGCACCGTTTGCGGTAGAGATCGAGACTGTTGAGAAGTCTTGTCCGCCATCCTTCTCGACCTGGATTTCTTTGTTGGAGGCATCAGCGACGGTGGTAGTAATAGGTCTATCAAAGACAGCCCCGACCGCAGGCCTCAAGAAAGCCTCAAAGAAATCATCACACTGATCAGGCAAAACATCATTCACAACAATCTGATCCGGCAAGATGACCACCTGCCAGCCCGGACCATCCCAAGTCTCTGCCTTCCTCGACGAATTCGTCAGCACAATCCTAGGCACATCCTTTCCTCCATTCTCATCCCTGAGTCGTTGTTGTCCCGCATCAATCGCCTTCTGCATATGGTGCGCCAGTTGGGTAGGATCAGAGTCAATATGCGCGTCCCAATCGTCTTGGCCGGTCGAGATGAGGACGTGACGGATGTAGGGTTTCATGGAGTGGAGGAGGGGCATTTCATGGTCGATCTTGAGGTAGGAAGGGTAATGTGGGTGGTCTTCGTCTTTGCAGGGTGTTGGGCAGGCGTTGCAGTCTTCGGAGGAGATATAGGGGATGTTTAGGTCTTCTTTTTCTTCTTCTGTGGCTGGTGGTTTGTCACCCTTGTCCTTCTTTTCCTTCTTGTCCTTTTTGTCCTTTTTGTCCTTTTTGTCGCGCTTCTCGCCTTCAGGTGAGGAGAGGGACTTTTCAGAGACGACGGTGGTGGTGTCAGCGGATCCGTTGATGGTCGAGGAGGAGGAGGACAAAGTGGTGGTGGTGGTTGTGATAGTAGTGGCGGTAGACCCGTTGGTGGAGGACTTGACGGAGGTGGTTGTTGTGTCTGCGACGTGGTCTAAAACGGGTGCGGGAGGTGCTGCGGTGAAGATGCCCTTGATGGCCGCGAGAGCGATTGCGACTGTGATGATCATTGTTTGCTGATTCGTTTGGTTAGGGTCCTGATGGAAGTGAGCGTCCTGAATGCAAGGGTAAGTGAAGTCAAGAGGTGAAGAGAAAAAAAAGGGAGAACGAGAGGGAGAAACAGAAGAGTTTGTTAGTTGGTGCATTTTGATAGGACGAGAAGAATATGTATGGACTCTTTTGTTTGTGGGAGAAAGCACGAGAGATATGGCCCGTGTGAGGGTCATTTGCTGTTTCTTGTGTTTGTATGAAAACAACACAGAAGAAAAAAAAATCGAGATGGACAGAAACCAAGAGATCTGTTTTGTCGGATAATGTGCGCGTGGACACGTTCAGATATGCACAGAAAAGTCATAGGATGGGATGTTTCTGTAGAGGTGGAGGTACAGGAGTATTCTTCTTTTTACCTTAGTGGTTACTTGGACTTGGTCTTGCTTGGTGGAGAGAGATGGACTTGGAGGTGAGGAGGGGGGAGGGGTGATGACAAGGAGGAGGAAGGAGAAAGAAGAGAAAAGAGGAGAAAAAAAAAGAGGGCGGGAGTCGTCCCCTTTTATAACTTTCAAGGCTTTTTTCCTCTTGTTCAAAGTTCAAACACATCCATTGGGGGGCAATGTGCCCGGATAAAGTGTCCGAACAAACGAACGCCATTTGGTTGTTCCTTTGGTTTTCCCACCATGCTTTGAATCTGATAACGCCAAAAAGGGGCCCCCATCTGATAACAGAGTGGTAAGAGAAAGTACGCCAAAAGACGCCAAAACAAGAGGACAAGCTAATTGCGAAAGAGAACAGAACAACTCCCTTTTAGGCAACGATGAGGCTGAAGTGGCAGCGGACCAACAAGGTACTTACACCTTACACCGCGTTTCTTGCGTTCTTGGCTACTGTCGTACGAAAAAAGTTGACAAGGTGTGTTGCAAGAAGAAAGAGAGAACTCAATTTTGCTCTCAGCCAACAGAATGCTTCGCTTCTTGTCTTCTTTCTTCTCTTCCTTTCTCTTTCCTTCTCTTCCTTTCTCTTTCCTTCTCTCACCATTCCTCCTTCCTCTTTCTTGCCTTGCTTGTCTTTCTAGCCAGCCTTCCTTCGTATGTTGCCAATTGACAGACCGACCATTGGCACTTTCTGGTTGGTTCCTGGTTCAGAACAGCTGGACAATGACCCCCGCTCGCTCACACGTTTGTTTACTTTTTCTACTTTCTTGTTTCGCACGATGGCATGAGTACCCTGCAAGACACAGAGAGCCTTACAAACAAATGAGGCATTTTCTTTTTGACAGCTCTCTCTACTTTTTCATCGATAATCCCCTCAATTTCCTACTTCTCCTCAGCCACCTGTCTATCTACATGGCTTGGCTTGGGTCTCCTTTCTCTTTGCTTACTCACCCTGCTCCCTGTTCCCTGCTCCCTGTTCCTGTTCCCTGTTCCCTGTTTTCTTGATCCATGTCCCGATTTCGAAGGTTGCGCCAAAAATAGAGTAGAGAAAATGACAGGTCTGTGACAAGGTTTATCTTTTCAAGACGGCGGGATGTTCTCATTTGTTTGTTGCAGCGGTATTCATGGTCAGATACATACATAGCGAGATAAGTAATGCTTCCTTTCAGCAATTGAACCATGGAGAGATAGTTCTCGCGTGAGTTTCTATCTTATGAAATGTGAACCGTGAAGGGAAGCAAGCACCGGTCTATTTATTCATTGTTTGATGAACAGAGGAGAGAGACGAAAGAGAAAAAGAAAAAAGAAAAAGAAAGAAGCGAGAAAAGGAAAAAAACGTGCATGGAATAACAGGAATGAGTGAGTGTTCATATCATATGTTTTCAGGCACAGTTGGTCCCATTCGCATGAATCAAGTTGATGTCATCTCTGTCAATGTCAATGTTTGTTGTTGTCGTTGTCCTACCCCCCCTCCCCCTTGTCCTTGGTCCATTTCCAATTGTCCTTCTCCCGCCGTCCTCCTTTAGTTCTCGGTTCTCGGTTCTCTGTCCCCTTCTCCCTTGTACCTTCTTTCCCACTTCCCATTCGCCCTTCCCGTCGTCCACTCTCCAGTCTGTCCCTTTCTTTGTGTCCCCTCTCTCTCTGCTCTACGCTCGTCCCTCCTCTCTCTCCTTTCAAGTTCCAACCACCTCCCTCGCTCTCTCATTATCTCTCTCTCTCTATCTGTCCCTATCTCTCTCTCCCCCCCCCTCCTTCTCGCTTTCTCGCTTATTGCGCCTTACTGTCCTTGTCCATCCCCTTCTCAACCTTTTCATCTGCTCACTTTCTGCATTCATTCTCACACCTATACCCACACACACATACCTCTCCCCTGTCTACAAGTTGCTCTAAAGAGGCCTCATTCGAACACAGCAACTGTGTGATCAATGACGCCGGCATGGACCCCTCCTCCCCATCCCTCAAAGACTCCGTCCGGGCCCCTTCTTCTTCCACCTCGACTTCGTCTAGTCCAGCTGCTGATAATCCAATAAGGCTCGCTGCACTCATACCCGACGACAGTTCCTCAAATACGACTACTGCACCAAACGAGGCTAGTGCCGCCGCCGGTCATGCCAGTCATAATATCCTTACCCCACCCTCGTCTACAGGCACTACTAGAAAGGAGGAGGTTGAGGAGGCCAATGCGCCACTCGTCGACTCAGCATCCGCCTCGGGCTCAACTCACATAGCCGACAACAACTCTGGACTAGCACCGCAACTACCGCCACCTGGGGCGGCTTCTTCTTCGCCGTCTTCCTCCTCGTCAGGGTCGTCCTCCTCAAATCAATTAACACACCAGGAACAGCAACAAGTTGAGCAGTACAAGGACGACATTATGCTTCACACCCAGCTCCAACTCCAACTATACCTCGAGGACATGGAAGAAGCCGAGATAGCTGCCGAGATTCAGGCCCATATCGACCAAGCTGAGTTTGCAGAGTCCCTCATCAACTCTGCCAACGCCCTCGATCCCCTCCAAGATTCGCTCCTTCCTGGTGGTTATCATGGATTTGCTGGGGGGAGCACTGGTCCATTAAGCCCGGACGCGACACAGATATTTCAACAGCAGATGATGTCCCTCGAGTCGAATGCTCTTGCTGCAGCGGCAGCTGCTGATGCTACCACACCCTTTCAATTAGGCGGCGGTGGTATTGGTGCAGGAGGTGGTGGACTAGGAGGAGGTGGAAATGCAATAGGAGTAGGAGTAGGAGGGGGACAGGGTGAACATGCGCATGATGGATTGGATTTGGACTGGGCAGACATGGACGAGGACGACGAGGACTGCATGCCACCGAGCGAGACAAAGTATATCCTCTACGACGACCATGTCTCGCCCGTGAGCATGACCCAAGCCCTGGCGCTGCTGAACGACCCCTTGCACGAGGACCTGGTCATTCATGTCCACAGCAATAACAGCAACCACTATACCCACGACGGTCAACGACAGTCGCTTTCGATGCTTGGTCGAAATGGAGATGATCCGGACACACCTATTTATAGCGCCTCTCCTTTCTATGATACGAGGAGAATCAACCCTGTCGGTGTCGCTCCTTGGGGGAACGACCACGCATACGAGGAGGAAATTGACGACAACTACCATCCCTGGGAGCAAGAGCAACACGAGGAAGTCTCTCGCAGGGGTTACACGCATACCATGGGCCTCCCTTCCCCTCCCACTGCAGCTGCAGCCTCCAAATCTTCACAGGCAGGATTCTTTGGGATCGACGATCAACACTTGCATGACAAACAACAACGATTTTATGGCGACGATAATGACTGTGCATCCTTAACAAACGATAATGATTGTGACGAAGAAGGCAATTATGCGGAGGAGAACCAACAAGGGCGACCGAGTCATCGCAGGGGACCAGATATCTATCTCAACTTGGCAGGAACCATCATCTCACCCATCAACATCCACGACATCTTCTTCAGCCATTTCTATTCACGACTCGTCTACCTCAACCTTTGGGACACCAACCTCGGGATCTGGGGCGCACAGGCTGTAGGTGGACTGATGGCAGATAGCGTTTGTCGAATCCAGTACTTGAACTTGGGCAGTAACCGGTTGGGGTTTGAGGGGATCATGCAGCTTGCAGGTATATACAAGAATCATTCGTTGATCGAGTTGGACCTGAGCGAGAATCAGCTCGGACCCAAAGCCATCCACTCCCTCCAGCAGGTACGTTTGTCATGTCATTTGAATTTGCGATACGCGCTATTATTTAGCGGTGAAATTACTTCCAAATGCTTCTGGGCCTCACACAACCTTTTTGCGAACATCACTTTACATTACATATAGACGATGGTGAGGTTGCAGAAGGACAAGGCGTGTAACATCCGTCGACTCGACCTATCCAACAACGACATCAACGACGTAGGCTGCATCTCCATCGCCAAGATTATCCTCGGCACCAGCATCGTCCAGCTCGATCTGTCCTTTAACAAGATCTCGGACTGGGGCGCGTCCACCATCCTCGCCGCCTTTGAATCCAACGAGCTGACACTCAAGGAAATCAACATGGAAGCCAACCCCCTGACATTTGCCGGCGGTGTCGATCTCTGCAAGATCCTGGTCCTGTCCCAATCGAGGATCACACACCTGGACCTGCGCGGTGCCAAGGTCACAGATGTCGGTGTCCCGTACCTGGCCGAGGCACTCAAGTCTCACCATTGCCCTGTCGTCTCGCTCAACCTCTATGACTGTCAGCTCACCGATACGGGGGTCTTGAAGCTCGCCATCAAGTTGAGTGTGAACCGGTCGCTGCGAGTTCTGGGCCTCGGACGGAATTGTGTTGGTGATATGGGTATCTTGGCGCTGAGTCAGGGTCTCTGTTTAAACAGCTACCTTGAAGAACTGGATCTGTCGGAGAATGAGGTCGAGTTTAGTAGGGCTGGGTTGGAGGCGATGTTGGCGGCGATGCGGACGAATACGTCCTTGTTGCATCTGACGTTGACGGTAGAGCAAGACCACCACCGTATGGCCGGGAATGAGGGGACAGGACTGTACATGGATATGCCGTTCCACCAACAGCAGCAGCAGTACTACCAGAACGCTGCAACTGTTGCAGTCGAGACGCAGTATTATCCACAGGAAGAGCTACCCAGTATCAATGAACCTGTCGCCTCGACACAAGTTGGAGAAGTCTTGGCGCCTACTTATGCTGCCTTGGCCTTACCGCTTCAAGTTCCTGCCAACGCTCCTACTGATGCTCCAGTGCCGACCGCTGCCACCACGATATTTACGCCGCCACCTCCGCTGCTAGTCTTACCACTAGCACCAGCACCCGTCACCGCCGCCGCGCATGAAGAGAGCCTTGCACGAGAACGGCACCAAACTGCGCGGGCCCAAATGTCGCTCAAGACCTATGTCCGTCACAACTACAAGCGTACAGGCAACATGCGCACGCTGTGCTTTGAAATCTTGGCCGTTGCACGAGTCCTGATGTTCGCCAAGGAGGATCCTAAACGACGTGTGCCGCCGGTGACGATTTCAACACAGAAGGAGGCGGCGGAAGCAGGACTGACGATTGCGGTGCGACCTACGACGATGGAGTTGACACTTGGCTCTGGAGCAGGACACAGCAACCACAACACCCTTATTTCTCCACTAGATTCGACTTCAGATACGACGACTTCTACGGCATGTTTAATATCATTGCAAACTGGACTACCCACCCCACCCCTCGCCACCGACTTTAAATCCTCCGCCATCCAAGGACCAGAATCTTCCCAACACCCCGAACAACAAGATCAACAACAGCAAACAAGAGGAGGAAGTCTGGCAGCGCTGCCGTGGGAACTGAAGGAGATGATCTTGCGAGGTCTGGATCCGGAGGGCCTCTTGAGCGAGCGACAGTTCCAGGCGGTGATGAATTATTCTGCGACGCAGTGGGAGACTGTTCGGCAGCCCTGGGAGCGGTGGGGGGAGATCCGGGAGAAGATTCTGGAGAAGACTAGTTGTTATTATTATGACGCTTGAGGAGTTGAAGGGCGGTTGGGAGATGGAGGAAGGAAGGGAGTGAAGGATGGATGGATGAATAATAAATGGGGAGTGATAGTGATGGGTGAATGATTGCCTTGAGTGGGCTATCTGAGACTGAAAAAAAGTTTCTTCGTTTCAGATTGATACAGTGTTGCGCTGACTTGTTGAGTGATCGTCCTCAAAGATGTCGATCACCATTGTTTGGAAAAAAAAAAGGCAGGTTATATTATTTCCTTGACAGAACTGTCTCTCCTTTCAATTATGACTTTCGAGATATGGAAAAAGAAAGGTTTGTTTGTCAGTGGCAGCAACAGAACTAACAGAACCAAGGGCAAGGAGACAGCATCCTTCATTGAACATTGGTATCACGGACCATCGAGAGCCGAGGTGGCACATTTTCCTCTCTTATATTTTGCACCATCGGTCACTCATGAAAAGAAAATATGTCTATTATTTATGCTTTCAACGGCTCCTCATCATCAGATTCATCTCCACCAGAGCTCGTATAATCGTCTTGTTCGCCTCCTTCCGTCAGAGAGTCATCAATGGCACCGCTCTGGACCAACAACTTCTTTTGCATCGGACTAAGACCAATCGTACCCTTGAGCACAAGACCCTCGGCGTTGAGAACCGCAAGATTGGTACCCCAGAGTAGCTTGACGACAACATCCCCACCATCGCTCGACACTCGCCAGACTCGGACAGATCCGTCTCTGCAACCGGTGACAAACTCCATAGGGACGGTCGGACTCCAGGCAATGTCAAGGACCATATCAAAGTAACTACAGACCGTCGAGACACATGACCAGTTCTCCGCATCGCCTGGTGGTTGCCGCCTGCGCCAGACTCGAACTGTTTTGTCCCAACTGCCGGAAGCAATCCATTCACCGCAAGGTGAGTAAGCAATGCTATTCACACATCCTGCGTGTCCCATCAGGTCGATAGCACGCTCTTCTGACTGTAAGCTCCAAAAATTGATCCAGGAAGCAGTGGTTCCTACTGCAAGCTGCTGGCCGTCTGGCGAAAACGACATCGCCCCAATACCCACAAGTATCGACTTGGACATTATCAGACCTTTCGATTGAGGGTCAAAGAGCCAGATGCTGCCAGAACCAGTTCCGACTGCGAGCTGATGTCCGGTCGCCGAGAATACCAAGCAATTGATCATCTCGCCATCGTCTCCGCCATACTCAATAAGTACGTGCTTCTGTTGAGTGCTGGCAAGGTCCCACAGCACCACGGTGTTGTACAGGTTAGCAGACACGATCCAGCGACAGCAAGGCGACACGGTAACGTAATTCGCCGACCATGAGCCTTCCAAAGTAGTCTTTCGTCCTCCTTCCTGAAGCTCCCACAATTGAAGAGTTTCGTCTTGATCGACGGCTGCGGTTGGGATGCCGTCTAATGAATATGACACGGACATGACTGATCGAGATTCAGGTAACTCGATCGAAAGTGGTACGGGCGCTCCTGTTATAGAATCCCATTGCAGGACGGTTTGGCTGCTCCTGGTATAGTTGCTGCCGAACACGAGGATAGCTTGACCATTCGGGGAGTACATCGTCCTTTGTATAGCTTCCAGTTGATCCTGTTGTTGAACACTCGACGTCAAAATAGAGTCAACATCCCACAGTCGCACTCTGTTGTCCTTCCCACCCGATGCGATTTGAAGGCCATCTGGAGAAAAGACGACATCGTTCACTTCTGCCATGTGGCCTGACAGCTTGTTAATGGGAGTGCCTGTCGACGCGTCCCATAGTCTCACTGTTCCGTCCAGGCTGGATGAAGCGATCCACCGGCTGTTTGGAGAAAACGCAATACCCGTAAGGTCTCCGGTATGGCCATGCAAGACAGGACCTGGCTCTCCAGACTCCGCGTGCCAAAGTTGCAATCCACCCCCCACATGACCAGAAGCAATCCACCGTCCATCAGTAGAAAAGGCAAGAGTCCAAACCTCACCCAAGGAAGGCTCCAAAACAATCCCTACTTCTCCAGTCTCCGAGTTCCAAAACCGAATCGTATCATCAGAACCGCCCGACACCAGCCACTCTCCGCTCGGAGAATACTTGACGCTTCTGACATAGTCCGTGTGACCCTCCAAGACAAAGACACTCTCCCCGGTCCGAGAATCCCACACTCGTACTGTCTTGTCACCACTGGATGAGGCGATTTGCTTGCCACAGGGAGAAAAGGCAACGGAGTTCACATAATCCTGGTGCCCTTCCATGACGAACATCTCTTCGCCGCTGGCACAATCCCACAGCCTAACCGTCCCACCAAACCCTCCAAACACGACCCTTGTGCCATCGGGTGAAAATGCCATAGTTACCATGTTATCCGGTCCTGTAAAGGAATAGGTTCTCGTCCATGCTGAGGTGTCGTAAATGCCAATGCTAGCACCGGTTCTCCAACTAATTGCACCCACGGCAAGCAGTCTTCCATTAGACGTGTAGGCACAGGCACCCACATCCTTCTCCAACTCCAGGTACGGGAGTTCCCCAAACTGGACACCATCCATCGTTGCGCCGCTCAAATCCGCCTCTCGCAACCAACTTCTCAAAAGATTGACATCCCTCAAGTCTGCTCCTTGGAACTGCGCATAGTCAAACTGACCACCGGAAAGGTCGGCACCAGGGATCCTGACGCCACGGAGATCGGCACCGTGGAAGGTCAAACCAGACCGGACGAGAATCGTTATGGCGTTAGTGGCAGCAATCGCAGCGCTGAGGTCGGTCTTGGACAGATCGATCACAGCGCGAAGTTGTTGCTCTAAATCAGGGGTCGACTTGACCCGATCGCACAGGAACTGGATGATGGATGGCTCAGCAAGTAGGTCCTTTTGGAACAAGGGGCCGTTGCCGTCCGACAAGAGGACGGTGGGGGGTGCGATCTCAGATTCTGGATCCATGACTTTCTCCACAGTCTCGACCGGGTTGTAGATGACGCGGGAGAGGAGATATTCCAGCACGGATCGATGTACGAACCGGAACTGGTTGCCGGTGCGAGTCAACGGGGAGGCCTCACGGAGCAATTTGGCTTGGGGATCAGGTCCAAAGAACTCCGCCTTCCAAGAGTTCCTTTCCAGTAGATGGTTGTACTGAACAACCGGCTTGCCGCCCTGCTCCCTGAAAATGGCCGCAGCCAAACGTAGCAGGTAGTCAACGCCGTACCCGATAAAATCGTTCTCCATAGGGGTGTATGCCTCCAGGTCCTTCTGGCTCAGCGTGTTGGGTTGGATGCGTAGTCGGTTCGTCTCCATCCATTGGTCGACAAACATATCGTAAAGACGAACGCGGGTGATGCGAATGCTCGCAAGATCCTTGTTCAAAGCGACCAGGCCAGGCAGAGCCTTGAGAGCGAGAGTGAGCAAGAATGGGTTTTTGACGAGATCCATGATATTGGGGATGGCCGACAACTTGTACATGTACTCCTCCGAAGACCAGGCAGACTGGTTCTGGTTTCTGAATAAAAGCGCCGTCTGTGAATCTTGGGCATACTGCTCGACATAGCTCTCGACCTGATCCTTGGAGAAGGGGGTGATGACAGCTTCTTGGAAGACATCCTGAGAACCAGAGGCGTATCGGTCTGTGGGCTGCGGCTTGAACCGAATGAGGTAGTCGGATCCGAGGAACTGGGTGCGACAACTGATGACCATCTTGGTGTTCCACTGTCCTGGCTGGTTCAGAGCGTTGCTTCGATGAAGGTTGCCCTGTTGCTGACTCTCGTCGTACCCATCGCAGATGAGTACGAGTTGGCGGTGCTGCTTCATCTCTTGGATCTGGTCTTCGCTGAAATTGTTGGCCCGCAGATGCTTGGCGATCAAATCCTGATCTGGCCGGTCGATGGCGGGAAGGTTGATGAACAGGGGGATAGGTCCACCCTGCTTGTAATCGGTCCAGAGTCGATGTTCGAGATGGCGGTTGAATGTCGACTTGCCAGACCCAGAGTCCCCCAGTACCAACATCACTTGTCGCTCACTTGCCAGGAACTCTAGGACTTTCTCCAGCAGAGGGAAGACATCCTCATCTTTGGCCTTCAGACTAGGTTTCGCCAACGGTGGGATATAGACCGTCTGGTGGTGCTGCTGTTTTCGCTGGAGTTGATATTGGGACAAACCGTATTCGAGTGGTGTAATGTTTTGAACGCGGGCCAGGATTGGAGACGATTTAGGCGGAGGAAGACGGCTCCTCAGTGGGTAAGGAAGTCGGGTGCTGGTGCCTTGATCCTGGTGGATGTCTCTGAGTAAGGCAATGACGATGGTCTTGACGATCTGGTCAGAAACGGTACTTAGTTGGCCAATAATGTTAACCATCCAGGTCTTGACGCTCTCATCCTCCCCCCACTGTGAATCGTTCTTGTACAGGTCTCCGAGAAGGACGACGGCTTGCAGGCGGACATTGATATCCCACATGACATCGGATGCCATCTCTCCCAGAAGTTGGCAGATACCCCATTGGAACAAGGGGTCACCACGACAAGGTGCCTCGTATATGAGTTGGTTGAGATCCATCAACTGGCCAGCTTGGAGAAGAGCCTGAGCAACACGGATGGCTGCGTACCATGGACGCTTCTTTCCTTCAGAGAATCCTTCCTTGAGACCATCCAGAACTCCGCGGCCGCTCTCCATCACAGAGTTCATACCCTTGTAAACATCTCTGGCAACTACCATGATCCCACCGAGTGCTTCTTGAAGGTTGCTTAGACCCTCAAGAACTGCTCCTAGATCCAGCTTAAATACACCAGAAACCTGGATGAGGCCATTTACAACTCCAGTCCCATGTCGAAGAACTGATTGAAGAGCGCTCTCATCATCAGGGACATATTGCAGCGCCTGGAACGCATAGCAAGCTTGGTACATCAGGTATGGATCCGAGCTACCCTTCAGTCCTGACAAGATTCCCGACAGAGGCTCATGATCCTCGACGCGGTTCAAATCCTTGACCTTGTGCTCTGCCATCACGTCAAGAAGTCGCGACAGTGCCAACGTGAGATGAAAAGGGTGCACCGAGGACTGCTGGTGGGTGTCCTGCAAGCAAATCCTAAGGACTCGGAGGATCTTGACCAAGTCGTCCGAGACCAGAGAGTCAGGAGGGGCCACTTGGACGAGCTGAACAAGGCCTTGCAGGAGATCAACATTCAGAAGAACGGATTGCTCGAATGCGGTGATGGTGCATGACAGCAGGCTGCGGTAAGTCTCCTTGTCCAAGACAGGGCCAAGAAGGACAATCTCGGCAATCTCAGTCGAGTCTTTGAGGACATCTTTGGCAAACTCGTCGACCATGCGTGTTCCCAGCCAGGAGATACGTTCCTTTGCAGGCAAGTTCTTGTCCATCTCTGCAAGCCAATCAAGTTCCTTCTTGTCGAGGTTTGGGTTCGTCTGCAGTGTTATGGCGGGATCGGGGGCCTGCTCTTCAAGTTCAGCAGCAGTGGCCTGGGGAGGAGATGAACCATGGAGAAGCAAGGCATTACAATAGGCCAACTGCTGGGTGACCTCAATGCGATCCTGGACGGCAGGCAACTCAATCTTCATCATAGGTGCAGCCAAGTTCTCGAGAAAGATGTTCGACATCCTCTTGGTTTTAACAGGTGCAGGCAGGGACTTGTCAACAGGAGGCGTGGAAATGACAGCTTGGTCGGCAACTGGGTGAACGTCACTGGCTGAGGATGCAGTAAGTGGTCCTACAACATGAGGAGGGGTTTGAGTACTCACTGCCTGGTTAGTGGCCGTGGCATCGACCTCTTTTGTCTTGGATCTGGAGAAGCCGAAGATATCACGGATTACGTCGCGCCTCCTGACGCGGTGGGTGTCATTGGCTTTGCCAGCATCGCTAGTAGCATGCGGACCTGGTTGTTTTGAGGGTTTGTTGCCCATGTTGCGAGCTGTTATGAATACCAACGACAACGAGTATTAGTAATCAATAATAATTGTATAATTGTGTAGGCGTACTTGCAAGGTTGGCAAGGAGGGGCAATGCATGTTTTACAAAGTGCGTACCTTGAGGTGTTTCTGTGATTGTTTACTAGGTTTGCAAAGATGGATTTGGAGTCGGACGACTGACGGCGGGATGGTAAGGAGGGCGTATATCTAGACAAGAAAACGACGCAAACAGACAGAGCACAAGGAAATTAGCACCATGAGTCGTGTTGTGGACATACAAGGATGCCTTCCGACGGAGTTACTCTCAAAAACACCAAGGCACCTACTGTGTTTCCTGTTTGTTATTTGCTTTTGTGTAATGTTTGGCTGGCTGACGGTCAATGCTGAGGAAAGGTTGGCTTTGTTCTTTTTGGTATATCTAAATGGGGAGATGGCGTGAACATGACATTAGCAATTGCACCTGCTCCACAGGAAAGAGTCGAAACTCGCACCTTTGAGAGAGTAGAGGAAATCATAAGCAAATAACAGCTACTTTTTTAAGTTATGTGTTTGGTACAAGCTTCCAGGTAGTGGAGTAATTGGGTTGTTGTTGGTCTTGTCCCTTGTAAGAAAGACTTGACCAGTTATGGGCTTTGAAGGAGAGGGAGTAAGTTGACTATATTGTGGAAAGGCAAATGGATACATGTTAGAGAGAGATCTTTCAGAGGATACTGTGTGAACCGTTCTCGCTGCTGCTCTGTTTGCTGAACAAGGCGTACTCTTTCTTGGACAGGTGTATGGTTGTTTTGTCGAAGGGGACAGGTTCCTGATGCAGGAGTCTGACGAATGAATGCAAGAAGGACGAATGAGAGGGGAAAAGAGGATGGCGAATGAGGGGAAAAGGTGTTGACGATGACAAAGGGGAGGTGAATGTCGGAGGAGGAAGTGAAGGAAGAGAAGGAAGAGAAAGTAGAAAAGGTACAACAAGGGACAAGTACACATTGAAAGATGGGAGATTTGAGCCCACTTGCACTGCCTTTCGCCCCATCATGCCATTTGCACCGTCTTGATTTTATTTGCCTAAAGCACTCCCGATCGATTTCTTGATCCTTGTCCATGTCCAGCCCAGCCTCATCCCTGCATCGCCTGTATGCCTTACAATGCATCATATCCACAACAACAAAAAGATAACAAATGGGCCATTTTATTCGTGTGAGTGCTTAAGTGTGTACGTGCTGTTGATGCTTGTTTTATCGCTTAACTATCTTTTCCACTGGGCAATATCCCACGATCTGGTCGCGCAACAGCCTGGCAATGTTCTTTCCTGCAATCGTTTCCGTCTCCATCGTCTATATCACATCAATCCACAACAAAACAAAAGAGATAATAACAAACGTGTTAATGAAGGCATTCACTTTTCTCAACACATAACAGAACAAGTGTACAACAACAATGAGAAGACATAGACACTTACAGAGATGAGGGGGCCAAAGGATTTGACATAAAACACACCCGGAACAACCTCCACCTGTCCCCAAGCCTCCACCGCCTTCTTCTGTGCATCCTGTTCGTGCTGCTTTCGCGCATGCCTCTCAAACACTACCTGTTTCTGCTCCGACGACGCACTCTCTCCCTCACCAACAACAACCTCGGGCTCTGCATCATCCTCCTTCTCCACCAAAGGAATGGGCCTCAGCTTAGGATACGCCTTCCATTCCTTATGCTTAACCCATGTCCTGTTCGAATACAATCGATCCAATAAATCCTTCGACAACACCTCTGGCGAAAAGATCTTTGTAATCGTCTCCCCATTCGAAAGTCGGGCTTGAATACTCAGAGAAATAAACTCTGCGCGCGAGTTAGTGGAGAGGATATGGGTTGGGAAGTCCTTTGCGGAGGGGGTTGAAGATCGAGCAGGGGAGGTTGGGGCATAGAAGTATGAGGGATTGACGTGGCCACGGACGAATGTTGCGTGGATGGTACGGTAGTCGACTTTTGGTTGTGGGGGGAGTGAGATATCAAAGTGGATGTTTGTCGATTCCTGTGTATTGTTCAAAAAGGTGTGTAATAAATAACGCGTTTCTTGTTTAGACTTTTTGAGCTAAATTTCATGTCACAGACGCGTCGCGACACACCCCAAAATACAAACAAAAAAGTACAATGAAAAAGTAAGAAAACTTACAATGGGAGAAGCAAGGACGATTTAGTCAAAGATCTGCTTCTGTCCTGTAGACGTCGTAACCTCAAACTGCGGCTCCTCACCCTCATATCGGGGCTCTAACCTCCTGACCCTCGCAATCTTGGTCCCCAACCTCACCTCAGCCCCAGACTTGGCAACCATCCCTTCAAAGATCTGGAAGTTGCCTCCTTCAATTTGCTGAGCATCATTCGCTGCCATGGTGACCAGTGCTCCCAAGGCATGTATATCATCGAGGTTGGATCCGTAATTGACGCGTGTGGCGACTTCGACGACCTCTTGGGCGTATTGTTTGCTGATTCCGTGGGATTCGAGGTATTCGTTGGTGAGCATGCTGGCTTCGGTATGGATATTGTGGGCAGTTGAGAATTCGTGGATGGAGGTGTAAGATTCTGGGGAGGTGTAGAAGCTGAGGAGGTTATCCAGTGTCGTCTTCAACAGGCGGTTCAACTAATAACATGGACGGAAAAAGGGGAGCGTGAAAAGGGAGTGTGACGTTAGTAGACAGGAAGAAAGGTGCCGTTAGTGTGCACGCGCCCTGTTTTCCATTTACCCTTGCTCAACACCCCCTTGCTGCTTACCTTGATGGGTGCTATACCCCAACGAGCAAGTCCTTTCAGAATCGACCAAAACTTCCAAGAACTCTCCGTAAACAAAAACTTATCCCCATCCCAAATCGCCAACAACTCATCATCCAACTTCTTCACCTTCAACCCAAACTCCTCCGTGGAATCCGCCAAGTGATGGTTAACCTTCACGAAGATACTCGCCCCAACCTCGATCGCCAATTCCTGTTCTGGTTTGCTGTTTTCGGGGTCGGCAGGGTTGGTGGTGAAAAAGACTTGACAACGACCACCGATTTTATCGGATTGGTCAAAGATGGTGATGGTGGTTGGGTGGAGGAGTTGGTGTTTGTGCAGGGGTTCTCCTGGGGGTTGGAGGAGCTTTTGGAGGTAGAATGTTGTTGAGGATCCTCCTGCTCCCGCGCTTATTTTGGGGGGCGAGAAAGAGATGAAGGTAGTGGGGTTTCCATGGATGAGAAATTGCGTTAGACTGGGGTCGTGTGAGAAAAATGGAGGCGTGTGAGAAAAAAAATAACGACAACAAGCAGACAAAGAGTGAGGAGTATGACGCGAACGCGTGCCAAAAAGGATTGATTGTCGCCAAGAACGACAACAATCACAACCGCCACCCGCACACGAGTAACGCGTTCTTGACACTCCTCTGTCGTTACACATCGTCCTGTTATGGCTCCTTTGAAAAGTATCCGATTCTCATTTCCTGTTAGCGAAGAGGATGCCTCTTGAAGGAAGACTGAGGTGTGAGTGTATGTGTGTATGAGAGTTGCGCGATGAAGTGAGTGAGTGAGGAGACGGGATATCAAGTGTAAAGGGAGGAAATGGATGAGTGAGAATGATATTTGTAAAAGAAGAGAAGAGAAACAAAGTAAGAAAAGAAGTGTGTTTATGTATTCAGGGTTCACACTGTGGGCAAACAGCGAGAAAGGCGCCATTGTTGTTCCTGTTGTATACATTTACTTTCTTGCCAAACTAACACCCACATTAGTTTCCTTTACCAGTTTCCTTTTGCCCGTTTTCACCATTCGGTGACAAAGATTATCAGAACACTAACGGTGCAAAAAGTATTTCCCACCTTCTTTTTCCTCTTCTCTCTTTTCATGCGCCCACGTCCCCCAGACAAGGCAGACGTGGTGTGGTTGGCTGGGCCCTTGTTGTTTGTTCCATTGCCAACCCTTGGATCATCACTTCACCCTTTTCTTCCCAACTTCCATCTGGTGATGATTGGAGAAGAAAACACCGCACAAAAAGCATGTCGTCCTTCCTTCTTGATCCTGCAGGGAAAGCAGGGGATATACAGCATTACGCTAACTTGTTGAGTGATCTTCCTCTAAGATGTCGATCACCGTTGTTTGGTGATGAGGTTGAAAGACTGTAGGGAGGAAAAGAGGAGCTACCAAAAAAAATGGAGACTAAATTATTTCCTCGACAGAACTGTCTCTCCTTTCAATTATGACTTTCGAGATATGGAAAAAGAGAGTCTTGCTTGTCGTCGGCAGCAACAGACCTAACAGAACCAACGGCAAGGAGACAGCACCCTTCATTGAACATTGGTATCACGGACCATCGAGAGCCGAGGTGGCACATTTTCCTCTCTTATAATTTGCACCATCGGTCACTCATGAAAAGAAAATATGTCTATTATTTATGCTTTCGACGGCTCCTCATCATCAGATTCATCTCCTTCAGAGCCTGTATAATCCTCAGATTCATCTCCTTCAGAGCTTGTATAATCATCATCTCCTTCCGAGCCCGTATAATCGTCTTGTTCGTCTCCTTCCGTCAGAGAGTCATCAATGGCACCGCTCTGGACCAACAACTTCTTTTGCATCGGATTAAGACCAATCGTATCCTTGAGCACAAGACCGGCGGTGTGAAGAACCCCAAGATTGGTACCCCAGAATAGCTTGACGACAACATCCTCACCATCGATCGACACTCGCCAGACCCGGACTGATTCGTCTTCGCAGCCAGTGACAAATTCCGCAGGGACAATCGGACTCCAGGCAATGTCACTGACTACGCCAAAGTAACCATGGACCGTCGAGACACACGACCAGTTCTCCGTATCGCCTGGTGGTGCCCGCCTGCGCCAGACTCGAACTGTTTTGTCTTCACTGCCGGAAGCAATCCATTCACCGCAAGGCGAGTAGGCAATGCAATTCACCATCTTCGTGTGTCCTCTCAGCTCGATAGCACGCTCCTCTGACTGTACGCCCCAAAGGTAGATCGAGCCTTCGTAGGTTCCGACTACAAACCGCTGACTGTCGGGCGACAACGATATCGCGTTAACACCACGATATACCGACTTGGACGTTATTAGACCTTTCGATTGAGGGTCGAAGAGCCAGATGTTCCCATTCCAAGCGCCGACTGCGAGTTGATGTCCGGTCGCCGAGAATGCCAAGCTACGGATTTCCTCGCGAGTGGGTCCGCCATGCTCAATAAGTACATGCTTTTGATGAGTGCTGGCAAGGTCCCACAGCGTCACGGTATTGTCCCAGTCAACAGACACGATCCAACGACAGCAAGGCGACATGGTAACGTTCTTCGCCGGCTCGGAGCCTTCCAGAGTAGTCTCTCGTCTTCCGTCCTGAAGCTCCCACAATCGAAGAGTCCCCTCTTGAGAGACGACCGCGGTTGGGACGTCGTCTAATAAATATAAGACGGACACGACTGATGGATACTTTGGAACCTTAATCGGAAGTGGTACAGGCGCTCCTGTGAGAGAATCCCATTGCTGGACGGCTTGGCTGTCGATGGTATAGTTGTTGCCGAATGCGAGGATAGTTTGACCATTCGGGGAGTACACCGTCCTCCGTACATACCCGATTTGATCCTGCTGCTCAACACTCGACATCAAAATAGATTCGACATCCCACAGTCGCACTCTGTTGTCAGTACCGCCTGATGCGATTTGATGGCCATTCGGAGAAAAGACGACATCGTTCACAAAGGACTTATGACTAGTCAGCGTGTTAATGGGAGTACCTGTCGACGCATCCCATAGTCTCACCGTTTCGTCGCGACTAGAGGAAGCGATCCACCGGCTGTCAGGAGAAAACGCAATCCCCATAACCTGTCCGGTATGGCCATGCAGGATAGGACCTGGCTCTCCAGACTCCGCGTGCCAAAGTTGCAATCCACCTCCCACATGACCAGAAGCAATCCACCGTCCGTCAGTAGAAAAGGCAAGAGTGCAAACCGCACCCAAGGAAGAGTGGAAAACAATCCCTGGTGCTCCATCCTCCGAGTTCCAAAACCGAATCGCATTATCGCAACCGCCCGACACTAGCCGCCCTCCGCTCGGAAAATATTTGATGATCCAGACTTGGTCCGTGTGACCCTTCAAGACAAAGAGACTCTCTCCGGTATGCGAATCCCACAATCGAACTGTTCGGTCATCTCCAGCTGAGGCGATTTGCTGGCCACAGGGAGAAAAGGCAACGAACTTAACATTGAACATGTGTCCTTCCATGACGACCATCTCTTGGCCGCTGGCGTAATCCCACAGCCTAACCAACCCATCATTCCCTCCAAACGCGACCCTCGTGCTGTCGGGTGAAAATGTCATAGTTTCCACTAGATTCGGTGCTGTTATGGAATAGGTCTTCGTCCATGATGAGGTGTCGTAAATGCCAACGCCGATTTTAGAAATCCCTACACCCACGGCAAGCATTCTTCCATCAGGCGAGTAGGCACAGGCACGCACAGTGTCACCCAACTCCAGGTACGGGAGTTCCCCAAATTGGACACCATCCGTCTTTGCGCCGCTCAAATCCGCCTCTCGCAACCAACTCCTCGAAAGATTGACACCCGTCAAGTCTGCTCCTTGAAACTGCGCATAGTCAAACTGACCACCGGAAAGGTCGGCACCAGGGATTTTGACACCTCGGAGGTCTGCGCCATGAAAGGTCACGCCGGCCTTGACCAAAATCGTGATGGCGGTCATCGCTGCAATCTTGACCGCTTCAGTCGTCGCATTCACCTTGGACTCTTCGACAGCATCCAGTAACTGCTGCCGAAAAGATGGATTCTGTGGCACTCGTTCAGCCAGGAACTGCACGATCGATGGCTCCGTGATAATGTTCAACTGAGACAGGCATGTCATGAGATCAGGACCCGGTTCCCGCTCGTCGAGGCCATCAACAGCTTCTTCGCCATAGTCGAGAGGGTCGTAGATAGTCCTAGAATAAAAGTACTCCAGTAGCGAACGATGAAGAAACCGAAAGAAGGCGCCAGACCGCTTCACCGTACTCGACTCTCGAAGCAGCTTGGCTTGGCCATTGGGGTTAAAGAACGCGGCCTTCCAGGTGTTTTTGTCGCGAAGGTGGGTGTACTTGACGACGGGATTTCCTGCATGATCGATGAAGATGGCGGTAGCGAGATCTTTCTGGTAATGGATTCCATGGTAGAGAAAGTTGTCCTCGATAAGCATGTCCAATTCCAACCGCTCCTCGCTGCTCAAGGGGCTGGCTTCTAGCCTCTCACGGTTGACCTCGAGCCACCGCCTGACGAAACTGTCGTACAACTGCACGCGTGTAATGCGGATTGCCGAGAGATCTGTCTTTGAGGCGACTACGGATGGGAGAGCATCCAGAGCCAGCGTAAGGAGGAAGGGGTTGGAGACGAGATCAATGAGGTTGGGGATGTTGACCAGTTTGTCCATATACTCCTCTGCTGTCCATGTCGGTTTGTTATGGATAGGGTCGACTGTGGGTAGTTCCTTGACATAATCGTTAACATACTGCTGAATCTGAGCTGTGGAGAAAGCTGCGACCGCCGCCTCCTGGAAGAGATCTGTCGCAACACGCTGGTAGCTATCGACAGGCTGAGGCTGGAAGCGAGAGCGGTAGTCTTGTCCGAGGTACTGGGTACGGCAACTGATGACGACCTTGACTTGCCACTGCCCTGGCTGATTGAACTGATTGGTGGTGTGAATGTTGGTCTTAAGCTGGCTTTCGTCATAGCCGTCGCAGATAAGCATGAACTGGCGGTGCAGTTTCATTTCGTGGATCTGGTTCTCTGAAAAGTTGAGATACTGGAGCTGCTTCTCGATGAGGTCGTGTGTCGGATCGTCAATGGTAGGTAGGTTGATGTAGATAGGAATGGGTCCGTATTTCTTGTAGTCCTTCCACAGAGTGTGCTCCAGCTCCAGGTTGAATGTCGACTTGCCAGCACCAGAATCTCCCAGCACCAAGAACACCTGTCGTTGACTACCCAAGAACTCGAGCGCTTTCTCCATGAGCGAAAACAGCGTATCGTCGGGTGACTTCAGGCTGGGTTTGGCCTGGGGAGGGATGTAGACGCCTTTGCGGTACTCCTCAAGTCGCTGCAACCTCAGCTTGTGCAGATCGTACTCGATGTCGGGGATAGCCAAAACGCCATTGAGTAGAGGTGATGATGGTGGCAGAGGAAGGCGGTTCCTGAGCGGGTAAGGAAGTCGGATGGTGGTGCTTTGATCCTGGTGGAGGTCTTTGAGTAAGGCAATGGCGATGGTGTTGACAGCCTGGTCAGAAACAGTGCTGAGTTGACCAATAATGTGAAGCATCCAGCTCTGGACGCTTTCATCCTTCCCCCACTGTGAATCGTTCTTGTACAGGTCTCCAAGAAGGTCGACGGCTTGCTGGTGGACATTGCTATCCCACATGACATCGGATGCGATCTCTCCCAGAATCTGGCAGATACCCCATTGGAACAAGGGGTCACCACGACAAGGTGCCTCGTATATGAGTTGGTTGAGATCCTTCAGCTGGCCAGTTTGGAGAAGAGCCTGAGCAACACGGATGGCTGCGTACCATGGCCGCTTCTTTCCTTCAGATAGTCCTTCCTTGAGACCATCCAGAACTCCGCGGCCGCTCTCCATCACAGAGTTCACACCCTTGTAAACATCATTGTCAACTCCTATGATGCCACCGAGTGCTTCTTGAAGGTTGCTTAGACCCTCAAGAACTGCTCCCAGATCCAACTTGAATACACCAGAAACCTGGATGAGGCCATTGACAATCCCGGTCCCGTGTCGAAGAACTGATTGAAGAGCGCTCTCATCATCAGGGACATACTGCAGCGCCTGGAACGCATAGCAAGCTTGGTACATCAGGTATGGATCCGAGCTACCCTTCAGTCCTGACAAGATTCCCGACAGAGGCTCATGATCCTCGACGCGGTTCAAATCCTTGACCTTGTGCTCTGCCATCACGTCAAGAAGTCGCGACAGTGCCAGTGTGAGATGAAAAGGGTGCACCGAGGACTGCTGGTGGGTGTCCTGCAAGCAAATCCTAAGGACTCGGAGGATCTTGACCAAGTCGTCAGAGACCAGAGAGTCAGGAGGGGCCACTTGGACCAACTGAACGACGCCTTGCAGGAGATCGACATTCAGAAGAGTAGACTGCTCGAATGCAGTGATGGTGCATGACAGCAGGCTGCGGTAAGTCTCCTTGTCCAAGACAGGGCCAAGAAGGACAATCTCGGCAATCTCAGTCGAGTCTTTGAGAACATCTTTGGCAAACTCGTCGACCATGCGTGTTCCCAGCCAGGAGATACGTTCCTTTGCAGGCAAGTTCTTGTCCATCTCTGCAAGCCAATCAAGTTCCTTCTTGTTGAGGTTTGGGGTCTTCTGCAGTATTATGGCGGGATCGGGGGCCTGCTCTTCAAGTTCAGCAGCGGTGACTTGGGGAGGAGATGAACCTTGGCGAATCAAAGCACAGCAATAGGCCAACTGCTGGGTGACTTCAATGCGATACTGGACGGCAGGCAACTCAGTCTTCATCATAGGCGCGGGTAAGTTCTCGAGAAAGATGTTCGAGGTTCTCTTGGTTTCAACAGGTGCAGGCAGGGACTTGTCAACAGGAGGCGTGGAAATGACAGCTTGGTCGGCAACTGGGTGAACGTCACTGGCTGAGGATGCAGTAAGTGGTCCTACAACTTGAGGAGGGGTTTGAGCACTCACTGCCTGGTTAGTGGCCGTGGCATCGACCTCTTTTGTCTTGGATCTGGAGAAACCAAAGATATCACGGATTACGTCGCGCTTCCTGACGCCCTGGGCGTCATTGTCTTTGCCAGTGTCGCTAGGAACATGCGGACCTGGTTGGTTGGAAGGTTTGTTGACCATGTTGTGAGCTGTTATGGATAAAATGACAATGAATGAATGTTAGTATTCAATAAAAATTGTGTAGGCGCATTTGCAAGGTAGACATGGAGGAGTAATTCATGTTTCACAAAGTGCGTACCTTTAGGTGTTTCTGTGATTGTTTACAAGGTTTGCAAAGATGGATTTGGAGTCGGTCGACTGACGGCGGAGATGGTGAGAATGGCGGAGATGGCGAATAACTAGAGTGAGTACTGCAAGAAAACGACGCAAACAAACAAGGTACAAGGTAATTAGCAACATGAGTCGTGCTGTCGACATGCAAGGAAGCCTTCTGACGGGGTTGCTATCAAAAATACCAAGGCACCTACTTTGTTTCCTGTTCGTTATTTCTATTTGTGTGATCTTTAGCAAATGCTGGCGTTCAATGCTGAGGGAATACTTTTTTTCATTAACAATGGAACCTGATTCGTGGGAAAGAGTCGAGGCCTTCAATGTCGTTGGTGCCGTCAATATCAGCAAAAAATGCCTACTTTTTTGAGTTATGTAAGTAAGACTTGACCAGTTATGGAGAGGGAGTATGTTGACTATATTGTGAAAAGGCAATTGGATGCATGTTAGAGAAAGATCATTCAGAGGACAGCCTGTGAACCGTTTTCGTTGCTGCTCTTTTTGCTGTACAAGGCGTACTCTCACTTGGACAGGTGTATGGTTGATATGGCGAAGGGAGCAGGTTCCTGATGCAGGAGTCTGATGAACGAAATCAAAGACGAATGCGAGGAGAAGAGAAGATGAAGAATGAGAGGAAAAGGTGTTGACGATGACAAAGGGGAAGTGAATGTCGAAGGAGAAAGTGAAGGGAACGAAGGAAGAGAAAGTAGAAACGGTACAAAAAGGGACAAATGTACGTATTGAAAGACAAGATGTTTTAACCCACTTGCAATGCCTTTCGTCTTGATTTTACTTGCGCCCTTTCAATCGATCGCTTTCTTGATCCTTGTCCTGTCCAGCCCAGCCTCACCCCTGCACCGCCTGTATGCCTTTCAATGTATCGCATCCACAAGAACTAAAGATAGTCAATGTGCAATTTGGTTCCTGTGTGTGCATTTGTGTGTACGTGCTGTTGATGCTTGTTTATCGCTTGACTATCTTCTCCACAGGGAAATATCCCATGATCCGGTCGTACAACAGCCTGGCAATGTTCTTTCCTGCAATCGTTTCCGTCTCCATCGTCTATACCACATCAATCCACAACAAAACAAAAAGATAATAACAAACGCGTTAATGAAGGCATTCGCTTTTCTCAACACATAACAGAACAAGTATACAACAACAATGAGAAGACATAGACACTTACGGAGATGAGGGGCTCAAAGGAGTTGACATAAAACACGCTCGGAACAACCTCCACCTGTCCCCAAGCCTCAACCGCCTTCTTCTGTGCATCCTGATCGTGCTGCTTTCGGGTATGCTTCTCAAACACAGCCTGTTTCTGCTCCGTCGACGCACCCTATCCCTCACCAACCACAACCTCAGGCTCTACACATTTGAAAAAACAACGACGAGATATTTGAGCCCACTTGCCAACCATGGCACTTCCTTTCGTCCATCGTGTCGTTTGCCTTCCTTCTTTCGACCGATCACACATGCTTCCTCCTCAGTCCCTTGTCCAGCCCTATTTGTGAGCAAGACGAACGTAATGTGCTTCCCTCTACCTCAGTCCTTTACCTCATTCTGTCAAGTTTTTCTCCTCTCTCTGATTCCCTGACGTCGTCTGTTTGTTCTCGCTCTGCGGGATTCTTATTTCCCAGTGTGTGCTCCCCCTAATCTAAGCATGTTTTGCAGATCGTTCTTGGAAGCAAATAAAGAAGCTCACACAACAACCTCCTTTTGTTTGCTTTCTCAAAGACGGTGGAGGCTGTCCTTCAATGATGAAAATCATGTTGTACCCAGGTCTTCCTCTCCATCCAAATCTCCTTCCTCTTTCTTCTCCCCATCACCCTCTCCCACATTCCGAAACCCATTCACAATGCCATCCCCAGAACTAATCATCTACCTACAACCATCCCACTACACCCTTCGCCGGAAACGAAGTAACCCGCAGTGAACCACACCGCTCTACTTCAGGTGCAAAAATTGGCGTCTTCAGCCACCTTCCGGTGTGGCCATCGGTGTGCTGAAGTGGTGGTCCACCGGACGAGAAATTAAATAAACGGTCACATACCTGTTCTCCTTCCAGTGCACACCTGTTCTCCTTCCAGTGTACACCTGTTCTCCTTCCGGTGTACACCTGTTCTTCTACCAGTGTACACTGGTTCTCTCTTATTATCTCCACTAGTAGACACCTATCCTCTATCTGGCTCTCTGTTGTACACTGCTTGTGTTGCCACCCAGTATGCGTCGTAAAAACCATGCTACATTTGACCTGCGTCCACGCACATCAGCCTTCGCTTTGCCTTTCAACATCGCTCCCCAAACGGCAATGTCTTCCCTAAAAGCATTTCCTCACTGTTGTCACTTCTTTGCTCATTATTTTTTTCCTGTCCTTGCTTCGTTTCCAACTCACTCAACTCACTCTCCCACCTTCTTCACTCGCTGGTAAGTCCTCAGTTTCATCCATACCCGCGACTGTATCAGCACATACACCAATAAAGCAGGAGCAAATACGTGATTTACACGTTATGATCTCTCCATAATATCAACGCGACACCCCTCATGTTTGCTTTCCTCTTACTCATATCACTTGGTCGCCACCCGTTCGTTCGTCTGATATGCTTTATAAAAGAAGGGATTTAATGCCAATAAAGATACCCAGGATTCAAGTAATGTGGAAATCTACAGAAGAATTTGTTGAAACTATGGTTGCGCATCAAGTTCCGGAAAGTTGTATGAAGCATCCTGCACCTATTGGTTCCTAGGATTCGTCCGGCACGACTAAACGATCGTTCGGATTCAGATGATGTAGCTGGGATTCCCAAGTAAGCGCGAGCCACGCGGATTAAATATGCTGCCTCGGGGTCTTCCTGCCGTTCGTTCCAGTAATCCAGAGGAAGATCTGCAAATTCGGAAAAATCATTCTCCTCGGCCGCTATTTGCTCGCAGTAATCCTGCACGATCATTGCGGCATTCATCCTTCGCCTGACCAATGTTTGAATGGGCCCGGAGTGGAATCTCTTCTGGCGGCTTGGAGTCGATACTTGGGAATCCTGACGGTTCTGGGCAGAGCGTTGGGCGTCCTCCTCCTGTAAGCGAATGATTTCTGCGACGACCAAATATTTAGCCTTGCACAAATATGTCGATGGATCGCTTCTTCCATTCAACATTCGGAAGACCATATCTGTCACCTCGAAGGCCGGGGGGAGGCGTGCATCGGCGGGGAGCGGCGTATTCCACATGTCGAGCTTTCCATAAGCTGGGGCTAGGAACATGGCCACCAGCATGGAATCGGGATAGTCTCATAGCTCCATGATTGTCGCAACTCTTTCTCCAGCTGTTGATGCATCTCTCGTGGTCCGTCGGTGACGAAAGTGTCGATAGCAGGAAGGATTCCTTCAATCCTGGGATAGACTTGTGAGATAGTCGGGTTCTCAAGTTGGCCTACCCAATGGGTGAAGTTGGCTGCTCCTTGGAGAAGTCGAATGAGCTCGTTGAGGATAGCGACCTCTTCTCCGGATGGAATGAGCTTTTTGAGCGTGAGGGCGTTGGTTCGTTGGTCGTTGTGGGCTGCAAGCATTCGTCGGTATGCTTTTCCGAAGGCCGGAGAAACCTTGACGACCCGGGCGATCATTACATACTTGGAGTTCCATCTAGTGTGGTTCATCGCAAGAAGTTTGTAGCTCTTGCCGAACAGGACCTTCTGCTCCTCTGCCAGGATTGACATCGCATTCGGGTGGGTTCTAAAAAAAACGGACACTTCCGAACACTTGCTGATCAGGGCTGCAACCGTGGCTGATGCTTCCCACGCTTTGCTGATGCACAACTGCATTTTATGTGCAGCACACGCGATCCAGGCCACGTTACTCGTCTCTTGCTGATAAAGAGACAGACACTTTTTCATATTCGCGCCTTGATCTGTTGTTGCGGCAATGACCTTGCCTTCCAAAGCCCAGGCTGCGAGAACTTCTTCTATATTCGAAAGAAAAGCGGAATACGTGTTAGGATCTGATAATATGATTCGTAGATTAGCCCAAACCGCCTCCTACCTTAATAAGACAACAATATCCAAAAAAAAAAAAAAAAAGGAACCTTACTAAGCTTTATCAGCAGATACTCTCCCGTCTGACGCTCTCCTTCAATTAGCACCATGTCGAGGAGGATTGTTGCCGTCCATCTGTAAGCTTGGGGTAATGTAGTGCATTGTGATCCCCAGATACTTGCGCTGGTCCGCGCTTGTCCAGCCGTCGAATGTAATAGCGCAACGGTCTAAGTCCCTGGCAAACAGTCCTCGAAGGTGGAGATATTTGTCACGGGTGGTATTGGCGACTTTCTTCTTCATCGTCTGTGAGGCATGGACGTCGAATCCCCGCATGCTCACTGCCTTGATTTTCCGAAAATTAGGATTGTCGAACAAAGAGTAGTTCACCGCACCCTCGCTGAGGAGATTTAGCCAGCATATTTCCACAGTTGCCTTATCTTCCAAAGTAGGGATCGGAATACCGGGTAAGGCGCTCTGAAATTTCGATTTCCTGGGTGTCCGCTTGGGGGTCGAAGGTGCTTGGTATTCTTGTTGCTCCTGGGACGCGTGAGGGTCGACTGGCAAGCGATCCAGGCAATTCTGGAGCCCCTGGAATAATCGGAAGGCCTCGTACACTGCTTTGTGGGTGCTATTCATATGACTTTCCCGGCCGATCATTCCAGCACCACCGGATAACTTGGTCTTGCAGGAGTCGTCGGTCATTATGGCACAGATGTATTTGCTCTTTTCTTCTCCCTCATCGAAGACCTTGACCGAACGGAAAAAATGAGAGAAGATGGCCTTACCACGAGCCCGCGCACGGTTTGGAACATGTATCAAAGCCTTCATCTCCTCTGGAGCATGCTCGCTACAATCCTCAGGCGAAGGGAGCTCATACGGATGACATCTCTCCACCACCTGCAGCCATCGCTCCGAACACGCATATTGGGCACGCAATTGGCGACGCTGCTCTCCACGAACTTGAGTTGGGTTCATATCATACAACGGGGTCCCGGTCCTCATGTCCTCAATAATGGCGATTGAAGTGGCCCTGGAGTGAGATGTTTGAGACCTTGGAATACCCCTTGGAGCATCACGCGTCTCGGGGTCATCAGTACTCTCACGTCGAGATAATCCAGAAATCGATGTCGAATCCGCGGTATCGGAGAGCGCTGAGGAAGATTGGGAGCGGTAAGGGTGGTAAGCAACCCGTGAACGAGAGGGAGACGCTACGGGGTTGGCAGTTGTTTCGGGCATTGAGGCTATGCGAAGCAATGGAGGGGGCTCAAGAACAGCAGGAGGTTCCGCACGAACGACCGTAGACATCTCTCCCGGTTGTCCCCAAAAACGCGCTTCCGCACTAGGCTGCACGAATCGAATAAAGGGGCAGGGTCAGCAAGTAAACTCGCACAACTTGGGACGGCACAAAATCAGATCCGATAATTTCAAACAACTTACTGAAAGGAGGGACTCAACTTCGCCCTCGTTACTGTTTTCGTCAACAGGTCCGTCAGTCATTTCGTCATCAGCGTTTCGGGCTCCAATGGCACTTCGCCTAAGCTTCGAAGGAAAATCTTCCTCGAACTCTTCTCCTTGTGGACTGTGAGAATAGGGATCTTCTTCCAAGTCATCGTATGTGGTATCCTCTAAGGGATCGTAGTTGTAATTCAATGCGGGCGATGATGGAAGGTTATAGGGTAGAGATGTAGAGATGATGGAAAGGGATAGGGATGATGATGAATGTATTTCCTACAACATACTCTTTACTCCTTCCTTCTGTGTCAGAGCATGGTGTATCCAAGCCTCACCGACGCTGTGACGCATGCGAAGGTGGCAAAAAAAACGAGCAGTATCATGCACCAGTGTAAGAATAAGTGTACACTGGTAGAGAACAGGTGCACACTGGTAGAAGAACAGGTGTACACCGGAAGGAGAACAGGTGTACACTGGAAGGAGAACAGGTGTGCACTGGAAGGAGAACAGGTGTGTGACCGTTTATTTAATTTCTCGTCCGGTGGACCACCAGTGGTGTGGTTCACTGGACTAACCCGCTACCTACCCCAAACAACAATGGTCGGATTCTTTACACTCCATCACCACCAATCCATACCACCACCATCCCCGCAATCATCGAGCACATCGACGCCTGGTGTATTCACCTCCAAACCCTCACTTCAACCATTCCAGACCAACAACCAACGTCCCCAAAAACAGTTATCAACGGCTACTACCGCCCATGCCCAACCTTCCTCTTCATCAGCATAACACCCTCCTCTTACCTTCTCAACCTCCTCCAAACCCTCTCCCAAACATTCCCAGACCTGGGTCTCCGCCAAAAGCAAATCAACCACCTCCCCCTCTGATACTGGGACGACGTCCAACCAGCTTTCACCACCCTCCCTGACACCCTCGCCTTCCGGATATATCTCCTCTCATATATCGCCTAGCTGTATCAACATATTGTGGAGTACACAGCACGATGCTACTCATTCAACAAAATGACGCATAACCTGTATATACTCATCTCTCGCAGAGATCCCCACCGAGACTTGAGCACTTCAATGCAATGCTCGTTACGAACTCGGGTTGAAGTTCCTATTCTCAGGCAAAAATTTACTGCGGGTGCCTTGTACGCTGGAATGCAAGTCGTCGTTAGACGATAAGCCGAATCAGCCAGTAAATATTCCCAGGTGAGAAGTGGTCCTGAGGGTCCTTGTACACATCCATCCGCTAGAAAATTGAGGAGTCGGCCCATGATCCCGACAACCGACATGCACCTCGGTTTAAAGGAGAGCAAAGTGTGGAGGTCTTCATCGGACCATTTGGGCTTGTCCGTGTATTCTCGCAAAATGAACTGCCGTGTTAGGTACTTGCCCTTGCATCCGAAGACATATGATTCTTGTCTGCCTTTCTTTCCCTGCATCCCTGAGCGTCACATCGAGCTTCTTGTTTCCACCGGTGGGCCTCATGAAATTAAGAAAAAGAGAGTCCTAGATTTATCATTCAGGCACAAAATAACGATTTAATAACACTTGAATCACTTTAATTCCATCGTTTCGCTTTTCTATTTGACTGTGGTGCATGTTCTGTCAATAAGACGATCTTGGGTTGTGTTTTGTAAGAAACTCATCTACTCTTTCCTGGATTTTCATTTTCCATAATAATCGTATCTCCTACTCCTCAACGTCCGATCGTCCATCTTCTTCCAATGTTAACGAATCATCAATGGCGCCGCGCTGGACCAACAACTCCTTTTGCATCGGACTAAGACCAGTCGTACCCTTGAGCACAAGACCCTCGGCATGGAGAACCGCAAGATTGGTACCCCAGAGTAGCTTGACGACAACATCCTCATCATCGCTCGACACTCGCCAGACCCGGACTGATTCGTCTCTGCAAGCGGTGACAAATTCCAAAGGGGCGGTCGGACTCCAGGCAATGTCATGGACAATGTCAAAGTAGCAGTGGAGCGTTGAGACACACGACCAGGTCTCTGTATCGCCTGGCAGTCGCCGCCTGCGCCAGACTCGCACTGTATTGTCCCGACTGCGGGAAGCAATCCATTCGCCGCAAGGTGAGTAAGCAATGCGTATCGCCCTTTCTGTGTGTCCTCTCAGCTCGATGGCGCGCTCCTCTGATTGTAAGCCCCAAAGGTAGATCGAGCACTCAGCGGTTCCGGCTGCAAGCTGTTGGCCGTCCGGCGAAAATGATATCGCTGAAATGCCCCGATGTATCGACTTGGACGTTTTTAAACCTTTCGATTGGGCATCAAAGAGCCAGATGGTGCCACCCCAAGTGCCCACTGCAAGCTGATGTCCGGTCGCCGAGAATGCCAAGTGAATGATATTCATGCCACCGACTCCGCCTTTCTCAATAAGTACGTGCTTTTGTTGAGTGTTGTCAAGGTCCCACAACGTCACGGTGTTGTCCCTGTCAATAGAAACGATCCAACGACAGCAAGGCGACATGGTAACGAACTTCGCCTCCCTTGAGCCTTCCAAAATAGTCTCTCGTCTTCCTTCCTGAAGCTCCCACAATCGAAGAGTCTCGTCTTGTTCGACAACTGCGGTTGGGACGTCGTCTAATGAATATGACACGGACACGACTGGTGGTTCTCCCGATAACTCAATCGGAAGTGGTACAGGCGCTCCTGTCGTAGAATCCCATTGTTGGACTTGGACAGTTTCGTCGTGGCTACTTTGGTCGCCGCAGAGTATGAGGATAGATTGACCATCCCGGGAGTACACTGTCTTCCGTACATTAGAGATTTGAACCTGCTGCTCAACACTCGACGTCAAAATAGAGTCCACATCCCACAGTCGCACCCTGCTGTCCTTCCCGCCCGATGCGATTTGATGGCCATTCGGAGAAAAGGCTACATCGTTCACAGGGGTCTTATGGCTTGACAACTTGTTAATGTGAGTGCCTGTCGACGTGTCCCATAGTCTCACTGTGCTGTCGTAACTAGAAGAAGCGATCCACCGGCTGTCTGGAGAAAACACAATTCCCGTAACCCTTTTGAGATGGCCATGCAGGACAGGGCCTGGCTCTCCAGACACCGCGTGCCAAAGTTGCAATCCTCCCACCACATGGCCAGAAGCAATCCACCGTCCATCAGTAGAAAAGGCAAGAGTCCAAACCTCACCCAAGGAAGACTCCAAAACAATCCCTAGTTCTCCTGTCTCCGGGCTCCAAAACCGAATAGTCTTATCGTTACCACCCGACACCAGCCACTCTCCGCTCGGAGAATATTTGACGATCAAGACTTCGCTCGTGTGACCCACCAAGACAAAGAGACTCTCTTCGGTATACGAATCCCACAATCGAACTGTATGGTCATCTCCGGCCGAGGCTATTTGCTTGCCACAGAGAGAAAAAGCAACGGAGTTCACTCTGTGCTGGTGCCCTTCCATGTCGAACATCTCTTGGCCGCTGGCACAATCCCACAGCCTAACAAACCCATCATTCCCTCCAAACACGACCCTTGTGCCGTCGGGTGAAAATGCCATAGTTTTCACTTCTTCCGGTCCTGTAAAAGAGTAGGTGCTCGTCCAAGATGAGGTGTCGTAAATGCTAACGCCGCTGTCGTTAATTAACTCCCCGCCTATCCAACTCGCCTCACCCACGGCAAGCATACCTCCATCAGGCGAGTAGGCACAGGCAACCACAGATTTACTGAACTGCAGGTACGGGAGTTCCCCAAATTGGACACCATCCATCTGTGCGCCGCTCAAATCCGCCTCTCGCAACCAGCTCCTCGAAAGATTGACACCCATCAAGTCTGCTCCATGGAACTGCGCATAGTCAAACTGACCACCGGAAAGGTCGGCACCAGGGATCTTGACGCCGCGGAGATCGGCGCCGTTGAAGTTATTGCCGGCTTTGATCAGGATCGTCATGGCGTTGGTGGCGGCAGTGGTGGTGGTAACGGCGGCATCTGTCTTGGAAAGGTTGACGACAGTGAGGAGCTGCTGGTTAAAAGTCGAGTCGAGCTTTACGCGGTCGCATAGGAACTGAATTATGGAGGGTTCAGTAAGCAAGTTACGTCGGAACAACGGGTTACTAGGGTCGAACCCATGGGCGATAGAGGGACGTGTTTCCGTTTCCATTGTAGAGTCATCGTCCGTCCTGACCGGGTTGTAGACGACTCGAGAAAAGAAATACTCCAGCATGGATCTGTGAAGGAACAGGAACTGGTTGCCTGTACGAGTCAATGGACACGATTCCTGCAAGAGTCGCACAACTGGATCTATTCCAAGAGAACTCCTCCTTCCAGGTGTCATGGTCATGAAAGTGGGTGTACTGGACAACTGGGTTTCCATTCTGTTTCTCAAAAATCGCCAGTGCCAGCCTCATAGCGTAGTCAGTGCCCATCGATATAAACCCAGCATCCAAAAGCTGATTGAGGACCCGTCGGTCATCCTGTGACAAGACGTTGCTCTGGAGACGCCGTTTATTGACACCCAGCCAATGTACAACAAAGGTATCATAGAGTTGAACGCGAGTCACCCTGACGGTCGAGAGATCCTGCTTGCCCTCGGCAATGGATGGCAAAGCTTCGAGCGCTAGCGTCAGAAGGAAGGGGATCTTGACCAGGTCCATGAGGTTGGGGATAGTGGTGAGCATCCGCATGTAGTCCTCAGTAACCCAAGGTCGAGGCTCGAGCGGGACGTAGCGAGTGACATACTCCTCGATCTGCTCTTTGGAAAAAGGCGTAATAACAGCTTCTTGAAAGAGATTTATCCAAGTCGATCGACAGGTTGAGGCTGGAATTGAGAGCGGTAGTCCGATTCCAAAAACTGACTACGGCAGCTGATGACGATCTTGGATCTCCATTGTCCCGGTTGGTTGAGGTGGTTGGTGGTGTGGATATTGATCTTGAGCTGGCTCTCGTCGTAACCATCACAGATGAGAATAAACTGTCGGTGCTGCTTCATCTCCTGGATTTGGTCATTCGAGAAGTTGTGGTGCTGCAACTGCTTCTCGATCAAATCATGCTCTGGGTCGTCAATGGTGGGAAGATTGATGTAGAGAGGGATGGGCCCGCCTTGCTTGTAGTCGGTCCAGAGCTGGTGTTCCAAGTGTCGATTAAATGTTGACTTGCCAGCTCCTGAATCTCCTAGAATAAGTATCACTTGACGTTGACTCGCTAAAAACTCTTGCACTTTCTCTTTGAGAGAGAAGAGGTCGTTGTCTTGGGCTTGGAGGTTGGCCTTGGCCATAGGAAGGATGTAGATGAGCTGCTGTAACTCTCCCAGTCGCCGCAATCGGAGGTTGCACAGGTCGTCCTCGAGATACTCTATATCTTGCACGTCGATTTCGATGCCGTGAAAACTGTCGGTGTGTTGTTTGTTGTTAGGGTCGTCTTCGTCTCCATTGGCATGGGTTTGCATGGATGAGTGATGGGTCATGTTGCGAATGCTAATATTTAATATGACAATTGGCATGTTGTTAGCAATGCAAACTAAACAATGATGGGGGAGTATGTCCAGAGGGAGAGGGAGCGATACCCTTACCTTTTCGTGGTTGCTGGAGTGTGATGTGGTTAGGCTCAGAAACGTGTTGCTTTTGGAGTTGATGGAGGGTGTCGTGTCGAGAAACGTGAGTGAAAGGCTCTAGCGACAAAAAAATCAACAGGTTGGTTTGTTCACTCCCTTGCATTTTCCTGTTGTACACATGACACAGCACAAACACTCACAGCGTCACAGGTACGGGAACGCCCTACTATTTTCTCTTTTGCTCTTCCTGAAGGCGGGTCGGGAGGGAGACAAATAAGCAATTGAGCACTTTGAGGAGGTCATTAACATCTTTTTTTTTGTTTTATTGTTGTTCTGGCTTTGGGAGACGTGCTCTTCCCTGTATGCACGAGGGCCAGATGAACAAAGACGAGGAATGTAAAGGAGAGCCGGATGTCGGATGTAAGGAGGGGTGTTGGTGATGGAAGAGAAGGGTGATGGCGTTGGAGGAGGGAGGGAGTAAAGGAGAGAATCAAAGTGCCAAAGAAAAGAAGGAGCCTTAGCCCAACCCACATGACTTTTGTCTTTTTCGAAGATAGTGAGCCATGGCCTTGCAGATCTTCGCCTCTTCTTTTATTGTTATTGTTCTCCCAACCCTGTACCTTGTCGCTGCTGACCGACTATCCAAAGGGGAAAGTAGAGTTGTACTCTTCAAAGGCAACTAACAAAAGTAACAATCCATGAAGGTCGAGGCATCTCTCACCGAGCCCTACTTTCATATGGCATCCTTGTGTGCGCACAGGTCACGAAATATCCTGCTGCCATTTTCATTCATCGATCAAAGTACTGTAATTTGGTTATCAGATAGGGTTATCAACTACAGTATGTGCAAACGGGGATCCAGGAGCACATCGGTTGATCAGTTTTTGAATCAGGGATGTCGCCTGCCAATTCACTACAAACAAAACAAGTACATGTCGTTCGGTTTGTTCTTCCATGAAAGTCAAGGCTACGAAACATGCAACAGCAGTCAGAAAACGACCTTCAAAGGCACGAAGGCGTAGTACACAACATATGTATTCTATTAGCTTTGCTGATCGCCTTCTCACTACCATGATCCACTTCCTACTCCTCAACATCCGATCGTCCATCTTCCTCCAATGTCAATGAATCGTCAATGGCGCCGCACTGGACCAACAACTTCTGCTCTGTAAAACCAAGACCAGTTGTACCCTTAAGCACAAGACCCTCGGCGTGAAGAACCGCAAGATTAGTACCCCAGAGCATCTTGACGACAACATCCTCACCATCGATCGACACTCGCCAGACCCGGACTGATTCGTCCTCGCAGCCAGTGACAAATTCCATAGGGACGGTCGGACTCCAGGCAATGTCACTGACTACGCCAAAGTAACCACGGACTGTCGAAACACACGACCAGTTCTCCGTATTACCTGGCGGTTGCCGCCTGCGCCAGACTCGAACTGTATAGTCCGCACTGCCGGAAGCAATCCATTCGCCGCAAGGTGAGTAGGCAATGCATTTCACCATCTGTGTGTGTCCTTCCAGCTCGATAGCACGCTCCTCTGACTGGAAGTTCCAAAGGTAGACCGAGCATCCATCGGTCCCGACTGCAAGCTGCCGGCAGTCCGGCGAAAACGACATCGCCGCAATAACCCAATGTGTCGACTTGAACGTTATTAGACCTTTCGATTGAGGATCGAAGAGCCAGATGTTGCCAGTCCCAGTTCCGACTGCGAGCTGATGTCCAGTCGTCGAGAATGCCAAGCAGATGAATTCCTCTTGATTGACTCCGCTATTCTCAATAAGTACGTGCTTTTGTTGAGTGTTGTCAAGGTCCCACAACGTCACGGTATCGTCCCGGTCAACAGACACGATCCAACGACAGCAAGGCGACATGGTAGCGTACTCCGCCGACCATGAGCCTTCCAGAGTAGTCTTTCGTCCTCCTTCCTGAAGCTCCCACAATCGAACAGTCCCGTTTTGATCGACGGCAGCGGTTGGGATGCCGTCTAATGAATATGACACGGATTCGACTAATAGAAATTCCGATAACTCGATCGAAAGTGGTACGGGCACTCCTGTCATAGAATCCCATTGCTTGACGGTTTGACCTCTTGTAAGTATAGCTTGGCCATCTGGGGAGTACACTGTCTTCCTTACTGGCCCGATTTGATCCTGCTGCTTAACACTCGACGTCAATATAGAGTCGACATCCCACAGTCGCACTCTTGTGTCAGTACCACCTGATGCGATTTGATGGCCATTCGGAGAAAAGACGACATCGTGCACAAAGGACTTATGGCTAGACAGCGTATTAATGGGAGTGCCTGTCGACGCATCCCATAGTCTCACTGTGTGGTCACCGCTGGAAGAAGCGATCCACCGGCTGTCTGGAGAAAACGCAATACCCGTAACGTTAAAGGTATGACCATGCAGGACAGGACCTGGCTCTCCAGACACCGCGTACCAAAGTTGCAATCCGCCATCCGTATGACCAGAAGCTATCCACCGTCCATCAGAAGAAAAGGCAAGAGTGCAAACCGCACCCAAGGAAGAGTGCAAAACAATCCCTGCTGCTCCTGTCTCCGAGTTCCAAAACCGAATCGTACCATCAGAACCGCCCAACACCAGCCACTCTCCGCTCGGAGAATACTTGACGCTTTGGACCTCATCCGTGTGACCCTCCAAGCCAAAGAGACTCTCTCCGGTCTGAGAATCCCACACTCGTACTGTTCGGTCATATCCAGCCGAGGCGATTTGTTGGCCACAGGGCGAAAAGGCAATGGAGTTCAAAATTTTCTTGTGCCCATTCATGACGAATATCTCTTGGCCGCTGGCACAATCCCACAGCCTAACAAACCCATCATTCCCTCCAAACACGACCTTTGTGCCGTCGGGTGAAAATGCCATAGTTCGCACGTCATCCGGTCCTGTAAAGGAATAGGTGCTCGTCCATGATGAGGTGTCGTAAATGCTAACGTCAATTCTCAAAAACCCTACACCTAAGGCAAGCATTCTTCCATCTTGCGAGTAGGCACAGGTACGCACACTATTTTCGAACTCCAGGTACGGTAGTTCCCCAAATTGGACATCATCCATCTTTGTGCCGCTCAAATCCGCCCCTCGCAACCAGCTCCTCGAAAGATTGACACGCGTCAAGTCTGCTCCTTGGAACTGCGCATAGTCAAACTGACCACCCGAAAGGTCGGCACCAGGGATCTTGACGCCGCGGAGATCGGCACCGTGGAAGGCCACATCAGCTCGGACGAGGATCGTAATGGCGTTGATGGCGGCGATGGTTGCAGTCTCATCGGACTTGGACAGGTCGATCACAGCCCGGAGTTGTTGCTCGAAATCTGGGGTTGACTTGACCCGATCGCACAGGAACTGGATGATGGATGGCTCACCAAGTAGGTTCCTCTGGAACAGGGGGTTGTTGCCGTTCGACGAGAGAGCGGTAGGGGATGCGGTCTCAGATTGTGGATCCATGTCTTCCCCCACATTCTCGACCGGGTTGAAGATGACGCGAGAGAGAAGATATTCCAGCACTGATCGATGTACGAAGCGGAACTGGTTGCCCGTGCGCGACAACGGCGAGGCCTCACGGAGCAACGTGGCCTCGGGATTAGTCCCAAAGAACTCCGCCTTCCAAGAGTCCTTGTCCTGTCGATGGACATACTGGACAACCGGCTTGCCGTCCTGCTCCCTGAAAATGGCCGCAGCTAGACGAAGCAGGTAGCCGACTCCGCATCCAATAAAGTCGTCGTCCATCAGGGAGGTGTATGCTTCCAGGTCCTTCTGGCTCAGCTTGTTGGGTTGGATGCGTAGTCGGTTCGTCTCCAACCATTGGTCTACAAACATATCGTAAAGGCGAACGCGGGTGATGCGAATGCTCGCAAAATCCTTGTTCGACGCGACCAGGCCAGGCAGAGCCTTGAGAGCGAGAGTGAGCAAGAATGGGTTTTTGACGAGATCCATGATATTGGGGATGGCTGTCAACTTGTACATGTACTCCTCCGAGGACCAGGCAGACTGGCTCTGGTTTCTGAATAAAAGCGCCATCTGTGGATCTTGGGCATACTGCTCGACATAGCTCTCGACCTGATCCTTGGAGAAGGGGGTGATGACAGCTTCTTGGAAGACATCCTGAGGAGCAGTAGCGTAACAATCTGTCGGCTGCGGCTTGAACCGATCGATGTAGGTGGGTCCGAGGAACTGGGTACGACAACTGATGACCACCTTGGTGTTCCACTGTCCTGGCTGGTTCAGCGCATTGCTTCGATGGAGGTTGTCCTGTTGCTGACTCTCGTCGTACCCATCGCATATGAGGACAAGCTTGCGGTGCTGCTTGATCTCCTGGATCTGATCGTCGCTGAAGTTGTTGGCCCGCAAATGCTTGGCGATCAAATCCTGGTCTGGGTGGTCGATGGCGGGAAGGTTGATGAACAGGGGGATAGGCCCACCCTGCTTGTAATCGGTCCAGAGTCGATGTTCGAGATGGCGGTTGAATGTCGACTTGCCAGACCCAGAGTCACCCAGTACCAACATCACTTGTTGCTCGCTCGCCAGGAACTCTAACACCTTCTCCAGCAGAGGGAAGATATCCTCATCTTTGGCCTTCAGATTAGGTTTCGCCAACGGTGGGATATAGACCGTCTGGCGATGCTGCTGCAATCGCTGGAATTGATACTGGCACAAATCGTATTCGAGGGGAGTAATGTTTTGAACGCGGGCCAGGATCGGAGACAATGTAGGCGGAGGAAGACGGTTCCTCAGCGGGTATGGAAGTCGGATGGTGGTGCCTTGATCTTGGTGGAGGACTTTGAGCAAGGTAATGGCAATGGTCTTGACGGCCTGGTCAGAAACAGTACTGAGTTGACCAATAATCTGAAACATCCAGGTCTTGACGCCCTCGTCCTCTCCCCACTGTGAATCGTTCTTGTACAGGTCTCCGAGAAAGTCGACGGCTTGCTGGCGGACATTGGTATCCCAGATAACATCGGATGCGATCTCTCCCAGAAGCTGGCAGATACCCCATTGGAACAAGGGGTCACCACGACAAGGTGCCTCGTATATGAGTTGGTTGAGATCCTTCAGCTGGCCAGCTTGGAGAAGAGCCTGAGCAACACGGATGGCTGCGTACCATGGACGCTTCTTTCCTTCAGAGAATCCTTCCTTGAGACCATCCAGAACTCCACGGCCGCTCTCCATCACAGAGTTCACACCCTTGTAGACATCACTGGCAACTCCCATGATGCCACCGAGTGCTTCTTGAAGGTTGCTTAGACCCTCAAGAACTGCTTCTAGATCCAGCTTGAACACGCCTGAAACCTGGATGAGGCCATTGACAACCCCAGTCCCGTGTCGAAGAACTGATTGAAGAGCGCTCTCATCATCAGGGATATACTGCAGCGCCTGGAACGCATAGCAAGCTTGGTACATCAGGTACGGATCCGAGCTACCCTCTAGTCCTGACAAGATTCCCGACAAAGGCTCACGATCCTCGACGCGGTTCAAATCCTTGACCTTGTGCTCTGCCATCACGTCAAGAAGTCGCGACAGTGCCAACGTGAGATGAAAAGGGTGTGCCGAGGACTTCTGGTGGGTGTCCTGCAAGCAAATCCTAAGGACACGGAGGATCTTGACCAAGTCGTCCGAGATCAGAGAGTCAGGAGGGGCCACTTGGACCAACTGAACTACGCCTTGCAGTAGATCGACATTCAGAAGAACAGACTGCTCGAATGCGGTGATGGTGCACGACAGCAGGCTGCGGTAAGTCTCCTTGTCCAAGACAGGGCCAAGAAGGACAATCTCAGCAATCTCGGTCGAGTCTTTGAGGACATCTTTGGCAAACTCGTCTACCATGCGTGTTCCCAACCAGGAGATACGTTCCTTCGCAGGCAAGTTCTTGCCCATCTCTGCAAGCCAATCAAGTTCCTTCTTGTTGAGGTTTGGGAACCTCTGCAGTGTTATGGCGGGATCGCGGGCCTGCTCTTCAAGTTCAGCAGCGGTGACTTGGGGAAGAAACGAACCGTGGAGAAGCAAGGCACAGCAATAGGCCAACTGCTGAGTGACCTCAATGCGATCATAGACAGCAGGCAACTCAGTTTTCACCATAGGCGAGGGCAAGTTCTCGAGAAAGATGTTCGAGATCCACTTGGTTTCAACAGGTGTAGGCAGGGGATTGTCAACTAGAGGGGTGGAAGCAAGAACGTGATTGTCCATAGAGTGGATGTCACTGGCTGAGAATGCAGTAGGCGGTCCTACAACTTGAGGAAGGTCTTGAGTACTCAATTCCTGGTTGGTGGCCGTAACATCGACCTCTTTGGTCTTGGGTTTTTTGGAGAAGCTGAAGATTTCGTGGATTACGTCGCGCTTCCTGACGCCCTGGGCATCATTGTCTTTGCCAGTGTCGCTAGGAACATGCGGACCTGGTTGGTTGGAAGGTTTGTTGACCATGTTGCGAGCTGTTATGGATAAAATGACAATGAATGAATGTTAGTATTCAATAACAATTGTGTAGGCGCATTTGCAAGGTTGGCATGGAAGGGTAATGCAGGTTTTACAAAGTGCGTACCTTGAGGTGTTTCTGTGGTCGTGTACAAGGTTTGAAAAGATGGATTTAGAGTCGGTCGACTAACAGCGGAGATGGTGAGGGTGGCGAAGATGGCGAGTAGCAAGAGTGAGCACTGCAAGAAAACGATGCCAGCACACAAAGCACAAAGAAATTAGCACCATGAGTCGTGTTGTGGACATGCAAGGAAGCCTTCTGATGGGGTTGCTATCAAAAAGACCAAGGCACTTACTGTGTTTCCTGCTTGTTATTTTCGTTTTGTATGATCTTCAGCAAGGCTGACTAAGAAATTTTGTATTGTTTTGTTTTGTTCTTTTTTGGTGTGTCTGAATAGAGAGATGGCGTGAACATCCCATTAGAATTGAACCTGTTCCTCCGTGGGTAAGAGTTGAAGTCTTCAATATCATTGGCGCAGAGACAATCGTTAGCAGAGAATACCTACTTTTTTGAGATGTGTGTGAGGCACTAGTCTCCGGGCTGTGGAGCAATTAGGTTGCTATTGGTCTTGTCCTTTGTAAGAAAGTGACCAGTTATGAGCTTTGAAGGAGAGGGAGTATGTTGACTATGTTGTGAAAAGTCAATTGGATGCTTGTTAGAGAAAGATCTTTCAGAGGACAGCGTGTGAACCATTTTCGTTGCTGCTCTTTTTGCTGTACAAAGCGTACTCCCACTTGGACAGGTGTATGGTTGTTATGGCGAAGGGGGCAGGTTCCTGATGCAGGAGTCTGACGAATGAATGCAAGAAAGACGAATGCGAGAGGAAAAGAGGATGGCGAATGAGGGGAAAAGGTGTTGACGATGACAAAGGGGAGGTGAATGTCGAAGGAGGAAGAGAAGTGAGTGAAGGAAGAAAAAGTAGAAAAGGAACAAAAAGATGTTTTAGCCCACTTACACTGCCTTTCGTCCCATCATGCCATTTGCACCGTCTTGATTTTATTTGCGCCTAAAGCACTCCCCTTTCAATCGATCGATTTCTTGATCCTTGTCCTTGTCCAGCCCAGCCTCATCCCTGCATCACCTGTATGCCTTACAAATTACAATGCATCACATCCACAACAACAAAAGATAACTAATGGGCCATTTTATTCGTGTGAGTGCTTAAGTGTGTACGTGCTTTTGATGCTTGTTTTATCGCTTGACTATCTTTTCCACTGGGCATTGTCCTACGATCCGGTCGCGCAACAGCCTGGCAATGTTCTTTCCTGCAATCGTTTCCGTCTCCATCGTCTATATCACATCAATCCACAACAAAACAAAAGAGATAATAACAAACGCGTTAATGAAGGCATTCACTTTTCTCAACACATAACAGAATAAGTGTACAACAACAATGAGAAGACATAGACACTTACGGAGATGAGAGGCTCAAAGGAGTTGACATAAAACACACCCGGAACGACCTCCACCTGTCCCCAAGCCTCAATCGCCTTCTTCTGTGCATCCTGTTCGTGCTGCTTTCGGGTATGCTTCTCAAACACTGCCTGTTTCTGCTCCGATGACGCACTCTCTCCGTCACCAACCACAAACTCGGGCTCTGCACTATCCTCCCCCTCCACCAGAGAAATAGGCCTCAGGTTAGGATACGCCTTCCACTCCTTATGCTTAACCCATGTCCTGTTCGAATACAATCGATCCAACAAATCCTTCGACAACACCTCTGGCGAAAAGATCTTTGCAATCGTCTCTGCATTCGAAAGTCGGGCATGAATACTGAGAGAAATAAACTCCGCGCGCGAGTTGGTGGAGAGGATATGATGGAGGAAGGAGGAAGAGGTGAACAGACAACTGAATGAGTCTTGGAGTTGAAAGTGTAAAGTGAGTGAAAAGTGCGTGCAAGGCGGAAAGCGAGGAAGAGGGAAGAGGAAGAAGAAGATAGAAATATAAGGATGCGCGATGGCGTGTGTGTGAATTGTTCGCTTGTTCGTTTGTTTGTTTGTTCGCTTGTTTGTAAGTTCTCCAGCCACTGTCCCTGTGCGTCCATACCACGCATTACTTTATTTTTCTTCTTTCCCTTTCTGTTACCTTTGTGATCGATACGCATGCATGTCGGACGACAAGAAGGTGGGAGAAAGGTGAGGGGAGAGTCATGAGCCACTGTTCCACTTTGTCTTTCTTGACACCTGCAAGAGCTCCTGGAACCACTTCGGAACAGCCAACAGCATCAAGACAAGACAAGCGAAATACGAACACATCCAACTATCCAACTGATCACCAAATCAGGATCAGGGTAGTCTCAAATAAGGTTATCAGCTAGGAACAATCGAATTCAGATTCAGATCCAGGTCGACAAAAGAGACAATTGATCAGATGTATTTTTTATTCACGAGTCCTTTGTGCCTCCATTCTCCGTAACTAGAGCTCCACTGGCTATTCCCCATTGTTCATCCTCGTAAAGGTTGAAGAGCTGTTGATGGCGCCACTCTGGGTCAGCACCTTCTTGTTGTTCGGGTTCTGACCAGCAACGTCCCTGAGTATCATATCTGCGGCACAGAGGATCCTAAAGAACCGACAGCCGACAATCGCCACCAAAAATCTAAACTTAGTCCCCTGCTTTCTATTGCTTTTTAGGTTCATCAGCGGTGCTATTGAGCTGCACTCAGACCATTGACCATCCTCGCTACACCCCCTCGGACATTTGCCTATTCGCTGTTACTCAGGGGAGAGGGTCGACGGCCAGAGTTTTAGGACCGCTGTTAAGTCCTCAATTGGTACGGGGGGGGGGGGGGGGGAAGGGGGGTTGTAGGTTGGAGAGGGGGAAAGTGATAATAACGTCCTAAAAAGAATCACACAAAACAATACACTGCAGCGCGCCAGCGAAACTCTTGTCAATACAGCTCTCGTCCAAGAAGTGATGTGTAAAAGGACAAAGAGCAGACAAGAGGGCTCGGCGCACTACTAATACTATGTCTACTAAAGAATATGACTGCTAACCTAAGGCATCGCCGCCACTGCCTAGCCACCCCATCTTTTTGCAATAACATGAACTAGCTAGAACTAAGCCACCAGGAACGACATAAGAGATCGTTCCTGCTTGGCCCTAATGCAACCTTCTTCTAGTCTAAACCTTATTTTATCGCAGGATTGATTGTCGCCAAGAACGACAACAATCACAACCGCCACCCGCACACGAGTAACGCGTTCTTGACACTCCTCTGTCGTTACACATCGTCCTGTTATGGCTCCTTTGAAAAGTATCCGATTCTCATTTCCTGTTAGCGAAGAGGATGCCTCTTGAAGGAAAACTGAGGTGTGAGTGTATGTGTGTATGAGAGTTGCGCGATGAAGTGAGGGAGCGAGGAGACGGGATATCAAGTGTAAAGGGAGGAAAAAATGGATGAGTGAGATTGATATTTTGTAAAAGAAGAGAAAAGAAACAAAGTAAGAAAAGAAGTGTGTTTATGTATTCAGGGTTCACACTGTGGGCAAACAGCGAGAAAGGCGCCATTGTTGTTCCTGTTGTATACATTTACTTTCTTGCCAAACTAACACCCACATTAGTTTCCTTTACCCCCAGTTTCCTTTTGCCCGTTTTCACCATTCGGTGACAAAGATTATCAGAACACTAACGGTGCAAAAAGTATTTCCCACCTTCTTTTTCCTCTTCTCTCTGTTCATGCACCCACGTCCCCCAGACAAGGCAGACGTGGTGTGGTTGGCTTGGCCCTTGTTGTTTGTTCAATAGCCAACGCTTGGATCATCCTTTCACCCCTTTCACCCCTTTCTTCCCAAGTTCCATATGGTTAATGATTGGAGAAGATAACATCGCACAAAAAGCATGTCATCCTTCCCTCTCCTTGATTCTGCAGCGAAAGCAGGAGATATCCAGTATCGCGCTGACTTGTTGAGTAATCGTCCTCAAAGATGTCGATCACCGTTGTTTGGCGATGAAGTTGAAAGACCAAAGGGAGGAAAGAGGAGTGGAAAAAAAAGATGCGGAGTAAATTATTTCCTTGACAGAACTGTCTCTCCTTTCAATTATGACTTTCGAGATATGGAAAAAGAGAGGTTTGTTTGTCAGTAGCAGCAACAGACCTAACAGACCCAAGGGCAAGGAGACAGCATCCCATCCCTCATGGAACATTGGTTCACGGACCATCGAGAACCAAGGTGGCACATTTTCCTCTCTTATGGTTGCACCATCGGTCACTCATGAAAAAAAAAATGTCTGTTATTTATGCTTTGCGGCCCTCCATGTGCAGAGGATATAAAAAGCATATAAAAAATATCCAAAGCCCAAGGAACGGAGTGTTGACTTCCACAACTGACATATCTCTTCATAGTGGGCAACAGAACACAGAATAAAATAGCAATAGACAGCACATGTTTTTTTTAAATGTAATCTCTCCCCTGTATTTCGCCCCTAAGATACAGTTGAGAGTACAAGTGCATTAGATGATCACATACATGAACTACTCTGCTGAATCTTGCAGTGAGGGGTACAGTTTAATAGTAGATGGACACATTCAAAAGATTGGTGTGCAAAAAATAAGAGGACTTTGTTGTTTGAAGAATATCATGGTGTTTAGTAGGATAGTTAAACAAAAAATGTTACAATGGTTGTCTTACATGCTTGGTATCATATATACATTCCCATCTCATAGTCGCTATGGATATCGTCGAGATCTACAGAGATCTAACAAACTCCATATGATAACTTAGACGTGAAAAGTCTACTTCCGACGGGTCCTCATCATCAAATTCATCTCCTTCAGAGCTCGTATAATCGTCTTGTTCGTCTCCTTCTGTCGGAGAGTCGTCAATGGCTCCGCGCTGGACCAACAACTTCTTTTGCATCGGACTAAGACCAGTCGTACACTTGAGCACAAGACCCTCGGCGTTGAGAATCACAAGATTGGTCCCCCAGAGTAGCTTGACGACAACATCTTCACCATCACTCGACACTCGCCAGACCCGGACAGATTCGTCGCTGCAGCTAGTGACAAATTCCATAGGAGCGGTCGGACGCCAGGCAATGTCTCTGACTGCGCCAAAATAACCACGGACTGTCGAGACACACGACCAGGTCTCCGTATCGCCTGGTGATCGTCGCCTGCGCCAGACTCGAACTGTGTTGTCCTCACTGCCGGAAGCAATCCATTCGCCGCAAGGCGAGTAGGCAATGCGTTTCACCGTCCTTGTGTGTCCTTTCAGCTTGATGGCACGCTCATCTGACTGTAAGCCCCAAAGGTAGATCGAACCATCAATGCTTCCGACTGCAAGCTGCTGGCTGTCTGGCGAAAACGAAATCACCTCAATAATCCAATGTGTCGACTTGGACGTTATTTGACCTTTCGATTGTGGATCGAAGAGCCAGGTGTCACCATTCCAAGCGCCGACTGCGAGCTGATATTCGGACCCCCTGAATGCCGAGCAACGGATTTCCTCGCGAGTGCGTCCGCCATTCTCCATAAGTACCTGCCATCCATTAGTGTTGTCATTTTCCCACAGCATCACGGTACTGTCCCGGTCAACAGACGCGGTCCAATGACCGCAAGGCGACAAGGTAACGTAATTCGCTGCGCTGTAGCCTTCCAGAATAGCCTCTGTACTTCCATCCCGAAGGCCCCGCAATCGGAGAGTTCCGTCTTGATTGACGGTCGCGGTTAGGTTGGCATGTGATGAGTGTGACTGGCCAAATGATCGGGATTCCTGTAACTCGATCGAAAGTGGTCTGGATGCTCCCGTCAGAGAGTTCCATTGCGTGACGGTTCGGCCTCCGCCGATTGTGAGGATAGTTTGACCATTCGGGGAGTACACCGTCTTCCATACACCCTTGATTTGATACTGTTGTTGAACACTCGACGTCAAGACAGAGTCGACATCCCACAGTCGCACCCTGCTGTCCTTCCCACCCGATGCGATTTGAAGGCCATTCGGAGAAAAGACAACATCGTTCACAAAGGACTTATGGCTTGACAGCGTGTTAATGGGAGTGCCTGTCGACGCTTCCCATAGTCTCACTGTTTCGTCCCAACTAGAAGACGCGATCCACCGGCTATCTGGAGAAAATGCAATTCCCGTGACGCTTGTGGTATGACCACGCAGGACAGGACCTGGCTCTCCAGACACCGCGTGCCAAAGTTGCAATTCACCCTTCCAATGGCCAGAAGCAATCCACCGTCCATCAGTAGAAAAGGCCAGGCTGTCAGTCGCGCCTAGGGAACAGTTCAAAACGACCCCTGGCTCTCCTGTCTCCGAGTTCCAAAACCGAATCGTATCATCAGAACCGCCCGACACCAGCCACTCTCCGCTCGGAGAATACTTGACGCTTCTGACATAGTCCGTGTGACCCTCCAAGACAAAGACACTCTCCCCGGTCCGAGAATCCCACACTCGTACTGTCTTGTCACCACTGGATGAGGCGATTTGCTTGCCACAGGGAGAAAAGGCAACGGAGTTCACATAATCCTGGTGCCCTTCCATGACGAACATCTCTTCGCCGCTGGCACAATCCCACAGCCTAACCGTCCCACCAAACCCTCCAAACACGACCCTTGTGCCATCGGGTGAAAATGCCATAGTTACCATCTTACCCGGTCCTGTAAAGGAATAGGTTCTCGTCCATGCTGAGGTGTCGTAAATGCTAACTCTAGGGCGCACTCCCCAACTCTTTGCACCCACGGCAAGCATTCTTCCATCAGACGAGTAGGCACAGGCAATCACATCCTTCTCCAACTCCAGGTACGGGAGTTCCCCAAACTGGACACCATCCATCTGTGCGCCACTCAAATCCGCCCCTCGCAACCAGCTCCTCGAAAGATTGACATCCGTCAAGTCTGCTCCTTGGAACTGCGCATAGTCAAACTGACCACCCGAAAGGTCGGCACCAGGGATCTTGACGCCGCGGAGATCGGCACCGTGGAAGGCCACATCAGCTCGGACGAGGATCGTAATGGCGTTGATGGCGGCGATGGTTGCAGTCTCATCGGACTTGGACAGGTCGATCACAGCCCGGAGTTGTTGCTCGAAATCTGGGGTTGACTTGACCCGATCGCACAGGAACTGGATGATGGATGGCTCACCAAGTAGGTTCTTCTGGAACAAGGGGTTGTTGCCGTTCGACGAAAGAGCGGTGGGGGGTGCGATCTCAGATTCTGGATCCATGCCTTCCTCCACAGTATCGACCGGGTTGTAGATCACACGAGAGAGGAGATATTCCAGCACTGATCGATGTACGAACCGGAACTGGTTGTCGGTGCGCGTCAAAGGGGAAGCCTCACGGAGCAACGTGGCCTCGGGATCAGTCCCAAAGAACTCCGCCTTCCAAGAGTCCTTGTCCTGTCGATGGACATACTGAACGACCGGGTTACCGCCCTGCTTCTTGAAGATCGCCGCAGCCAAACGTAGCAGGTAGTCAACGCCGTACCCGATAAAATCGTTCTCCATAGGTTTGTATGCCTCCAATTCCTTCTGGCTCAGCTTGTTGGGTTGGATGCGTAGTCGGTTCGTCTCCAACCACTGGTCGACAAATATATCGTAAAGGCGAACGCGGCTGATGCGAATGCTCGCAAGATCCTTGTGCAAGGCGACCAGGACAGGTAGAGCTTTGAGAGCGAGGGTGAGCAGGAATGGGTTATTGACGAGATCCATGATATTGGGGATTGTCGCCAACTTGTCCATGTACTCCTCCGGGGACCAAGCAGACCGGTTTCTGAATAAAAGCACCGTCTGTGAATCTTGAGCATACAGCTCGACATAGCTCTCGACCTGATCCTTGGAGAAGGGGGTGATGACAGCTTCTTGGAAGACATCCTGAGAACCAGAAGCGTAACGGTCTGTAGGCTGCGGCTTGAACCGAATGAGGTAGTCGGATCCGAGGAACTGGGTGCGGCAACTGATGACCATCTTGGTGTTCCACTGTCCTGGCTGGTTCAGCGCGTTGCTTTGATGAAGGTTGCCCTGTTGCTGACTCTCGTCGTACCCATCGCAGATGAGTACGAGTTCGCGGTGCTGTTTCATCTCCTGGATCTGATCGTCGCTGAAGTTGTTGGCCTTCAGATGCTTGGCGATCAAATCCTGGTCTGGGTGGTCGATGGCGGGAAGGTTGATGAACAAGGGGATAGGTCCACCCTGCTTGTAATCGGTCCAGAGTCGATGTTCGAGATGGCGGTTGAATGTCGACTTGCCAGACCCAGAGTCCCCCAGTACCAACATCACTTGTCGCTCACTTGCCAGGAACTCTAGGACTTTCTCCAGCAGAGGGAAGACATCCTCATCCTTGGCCTTCAGACTAGGTTTCGCCAACGGTGGGATATAGACCGTTTGGCGGTGCTGCTGTTTTCGCTGGATTTGATATTGACACAAACCATTTTCGAGGGGAGTAATGTTTTGAACGCGGGCCAGGATCGGAGACAATGTAGGCGGAGGAAGACGATTCCTCAGTGGGTAAGGAAGTCGGGTGGTGGTGCTTTGATCCTGGTGGATGTCTTTGAGTAAGACAATGGCAATGGTCTTGACGGCTTGGTCAGAAACGGTACTGAGTTGGCCAATAATGCTAAGCATCCAGGTCTTGACGCTTTCATCCTTCCCCCACTGTGAATCGTTCCTGTACAGGTCTCCAAGAAGGTCGTCGGCTTGCTGGCGGACATTGGTATCCCAGATAACATCGGATGCGATCTCTCCCAGAAGCTGGCAGATACCCCATTGGAACAAGGGATCACCACGACAAGGTGCCTCGTATATGAGTTGGTTGAGATCCTTCAGTTGGCCAGCTTGGAGAAGAGCCTGAGCAACACGGATGGCTGCGTACCATGGACGCTTCTTTCCTTCAGATAATCCTTCCTTGAGACCATCCAGAACTCCGCGGCCGCTCTCCATCACAGAGTTCACACCCTTGTAAACATCATTGTCAACTCCTATGATGCCACCGAGTGCTTCTTGAAGGTTGCTTAGACCCTCAAGAACTGCTTCTAGATCCAGCTTAAATACACCAGAAACCTGGATGAGGCCATTGACAACCCCAGTCCCGTGTCGAAGAACTGATTGAAGAGCGCTCTCATCATCAGGGACATATTGCAGCGCCTGGAACGCATAGCATGCCTGGTACATCAAGTACGGATCCGAGCTACCCTTCAGTCCTGACAAGATTCCCGACAAAGGCTCATGATCCTCGACGCGGTTCAAATCCTTGACCTTGTGCTCTGCCATCACGTCAAGAAGCCGCGACAGTGCCAGTGTGAGATGAAAAGGGTGGGCCGAGGACTGTTGGTGGGTGTCCTGTAAGCAAATCCTAAGGACACGGAGGATCTTGACCAAGTCGTCAGAGACCAGAGAGTCAGGAGGGGCCACTTGGACGAGCTGAACAAGGCCTTGCAGGAGATCAACATTCAGAAGAACAGACTGCTCGAATGCAGTGATGGTGCATGACAGCAGGCTGCGGTAAGTCTCCTTGTCCAAGACAGGGCCAAGAAGGACAATCTCGGCAATCTCGGTCGAGTCTTTGAGGACATCTTTGGCAAACTCGTCGACCATGCGTGTTCCCAGCCAGGAGATACGTTCCTTTGCAGGCAAGTTCTTGTCCATCTCTGCAAGCCAATCAAGTTCCTTCTTGTCGAGGTTTGGGGTCTTCTGCAGTATTATGGCGGGATCGCGGGCCTGCTCTTCAAGTTCAGCAGCGGTGGCCTGGGGAGGAGATGAACCATGGCGAATCAAGGCACAGCAATAGGCCAACTGCTGGGTGACTTCAATGCGATACTGGACGGCAGGCAACTCAGTCTTCATCATAGGCGCGGGTAAGTTCTCGAGAAAGATGTTCGAGGTTCTCTTGGTTTCAACAGATACAGGCAAGGACTTGTCAACAGGAGGGGTGGATATGACAGCTTGGTCGGCAACTGAGTGGGTGTCACTGGCTGAGGATGCAGTAGGCGGTCCTACAAGTTGAGGAGGGTGTTGTGCACTCACTGCATGGCTGGCGACCGTGGCATTGACATCTTTTGTCTTGGATTTGGAGAAGCCGAAGGTATCGCGGATTACGTCGCGCTTCCTGACGCCCTGGGTGTCACTGGCTTTGCCAGTATCGCTAGTAGCATGCGGACCTGGTTGTTTCGAGGGTTTATTGCCCATGTTGCGAACTGTTATGGATATTAACGACAACGAGCGTTAGTAATTAATAATAATAATTGAGTAGGCGCACTTGCAAGGTTGGCATGGAAGGGCAATGCATGTTTTACAAAGTGCATACCTTGAGGTGTTTCTGTGATTGTTGCAAAGATGGATTTGGAGTCGGAAGACTGATGGCGGAGATGGTGAGGATGACGGAGATGGCGAGTAACGAGAGTGAGTTCTGCAAGAAAACCACGCAAAATACAAGGCACAAGGGAATTAGCATCATGAGTCGTGCTATCGACATGCAAGGAAGCCTTCTGATGGGGTTGCTATCAAAAACACCAAGGCACTTACTATGATTCCTGTTTGTTATTTCTTTTTGTATCTTTGGTAAAGCTGACGGTCAATGTTGAGGAAAGTTAGTTTTGTTCTTTTGGTATATCAAAATAGAGAGACGTGAACATCGCATTAGCAATTGAACCTGGTCCGTGGGAAAGAGTCGAGGCCTTTAATGTCGTTGGCGCTGAGACAATCGTCAGTAGAGAATACCTACTTTTTTGAGTTATGTGTAAGGCACTAGTCTCCGGGTTGTGGAGCAATTGGGCTGTTGTTGGTCTTTTCCCTGATTGAAAAAGACTACGGGGTTTGAAGGAGAGGGAGTATGTTGGCTATATTGTGAAAAGGCAAATGGATGCATGTTAGAGAAAGATCTTTCAGATGATAGTGTGTGAACCGTTCTCGCTGCTGCTCTGTTTGCTGAATAAGGCGTACTCTCTCTTGGACTGGTGTATGGTTATTATGGCGAAGGGAGCAAGTTCCTGATGCAGGCAGGAGTCTGACGAACGAAAACAAGAAAGACGAATGCGAGGAGAAGAGAGGATGATGAATGAAGGGAAAAGGTGTTGACGATGACAAAGGGGAGGTGAATGTCGAGGGAGGAAGTGAAGGAAGAGAAAGAAGAGAAAGTAGAAAAGGTACAAGGGACAAGTACACATTGAAAGATGGGAGATTTGAGCCTACTTACACTGCCTTTTTCGTCCATCATACCGTTTGTACCGTCTTGATTTTATTTGCGCTTAAAGCGCTTCCCTTTCAATCGATCGATTTCTTGGTCCTTGTCCTTGTACAGTCCAGCTTCACCCCTGCATCGCCTGTATGCCTTACAAATTACAATGCATCACATCCACAACAACAAAAGATAACTAATGGGCCATTTTATTCGTGTGAGTGCTTAAGTGTGTACGTGCTTTTGATGCTTGTTTTATCGCTTGACTATCTTTTCCACTGGGCATTGTCCTACGATCCGGTCGCGCAACAGCCTGGCAATGTTCTTTCCTGAAATCGTTTCCGTCTCCATCGTCTATATCACATCAATCCACAACAAAACAAAAGAGATAATAACAAACGCGTTAATGAAGGCATTCACTTTTCTCAACACATAACAGAACAAGTGTACAACAACAATGAGAAGACATAGACACTTACGGAGATGAGGGGCTCAAAGGAATTGACATAAAACACACCCGGAACAACCTCCACCTGTCCCCAAGCCTCAACCGCCTTCTTTTGTGCATCCTGTTCGTGCTGCTTTCGCGCATGCTTCTCAAACACTGCTTGTTTCTGTTCCGACGACGCACTCTCTCCCTCACCAACAACAACCTCGGGCTCTGCACTATCCTCCTCCTCCACCAGAGAAATAGGCCTCAGCTTAGGATACGCCTTCCATTCCTTATGCTTAACCCACGTCCTGTTCGAATACAATCGATCCAACAAATCCTTCGACAACACCTCTGGCGAAAAGATCTTTGTAATCGTCTCCCCATTCGAAAGTCGGGCTTGGATACTGAGAGAGGTAAACTCCGCGCGCGAGTTGGTGGAGAGGATATGGGTCGGGAAGTCCTTTGTGGAGGGGGTTGAAGATCGGGCAGGGGAGGTTGAGGTATAGAAGTATGAGGGATTGACGTGGCCACGGACAAATGTTGCGTGGATGGTACGGTAGTCGACTTTTGGTTGTGGGGGGAGTGAGATGTCAAAGTGGATGTTTGTCGATTCCTGTGTATTGTTCAAAAATGTGTGTAATTAATAACGCGTTTCTTGTTTAGACTTTTTGAGCTAAATTTCATGTCACAGACGCGTCGCGACACATCCCAAAATACAAACAAAAAAGTACAATGAAAAAGTAAGAAAACTTACAATGGGAGCGGCAAGGACGATGTAGTCAAAGATCTGCTTCTGTCCTGTAGACGTCGTAACCTCAAACTGCGGCTCCTCACCCTCATATCGGGGCTCTAACCTTCTAACCCTCGCAATCTTGGTCCCCAACCTCACCTCAGCCCCAGACTTGGCAACCATCCCTTCAAAGATCTGGAAGTTGCCTCCTTCAATTTGCTGAGCATCATTCGCCGCCATGGTGACCAGTGCTCCCAAGGCATGTATATCATCGAGGTTGGATCCGTAATTGACGCGTGTGGCGACTTCGACGACCTCTTGGGCGTATTGTTTGCTGATTCCGTGGGATTCGAGGTATTCGTTGGTGAGCATGCTGGCTTCGGTATGGATATTGTGGGCAGTTGAGAATTCGTGGATGGAGGTGTAAGATTCTGGGGAGGTGTAGAAGCTGAGGAGGTTATCCAGTGTCGTCTTCAACAGGCGGTTCAACTAATAACATGGACGGAAAAAGGGGAGCGTGAAAAGGGAGTGTGACGTTAGTAGACAGGAAGAAAGATGCCGTTAGTGTGCACGCGCCCTGTTTTCCATTTACCCTTGCTCAACACCCCCTTGCTGCTTACCTTGATGGGTGTTAGACCCCAACGAGCAAGTCCTTTCAGAATCGACCAAAACTTCCAAGAACTCTCCGTAAACAAAAACTTATCCCCATCCCAAATCGCCAACAACTCATCATCCAACTTCTTCACCTTCAACCCAAACTCCTTCGTGGAATCCGCCAAGTGATGGTTAACCTTCACGAAGATACTCGCCCCAACCTCGATCGCCAATTCCTGTTCTGGTTTGCTGTTTTCGGGGTCGGCAGGGTTGGTGGTGAAAAAGACTTGACAACGACCACCGATTTTATCGGATTGGTCAAAGATGGTGATGGTGGTTGGGTGGAGGAGTTGGTGTTTGTGCAGGGGTTCTCCTGGGGGTTGGAGGAGCTTTTGGAGGTAGAATGCTGTTGAGGATCCTCCTGCTCCCGCGCCTATTTTGGGGGGGCGAGAAAGAGATGAAGGTAGTATGGTTTCCATGGATGAGAAATTGCGTTAGACTGGGTTCGTGTGAGAAAAATGGAGGCGTGTGAGAAAAAAAATAACGACAACAAGCAGACAAAGAGTGAGGAGTATGACGCGAACGCGTGCCAAAAAGGATTGATTGTCGCCAAGAACGACAACAATCACAACCGCCACCCGCACACGAGTAACGCGTTCTTGACACTCCTCTGTCGTTACACATCATCCTGTTGTGGCTTGCTCCAAGTGTATCTGCCTTGACTATTCCTGTCTTTGAGTGTGATTTCCCTTGATGTGATAAATAACAACAAACCGTTCCAAGCAAGAATGAGGGGCGCAGAACAACAGGACTTACCGATGATGGCGACAGACTTTGTGAGGACGAGTTCCTTTGCTGTGTCTGGTCCACCAGAAAGTTGGAAGGTGGAAGGGGTGAAGAAGGCCGTTACAGCCGCCCCCACCTTTGAAAAGTATCCGATTCTCATTTCCTGTTAGCGAAGAGGATGCCTCTTGAAGGAAAACTGAGGTGTGAGTGTATGTGCGTATGAGAGTTGCGCGATGAAGTGAGTGAGTGAGGAGACGGGATATCAAGTGTAAAGGGAGGAAATGGATGAGTGAGAATGATATTTTGTAAAAGAAGAGAAGAAGAACAAAGTAAGAAAAGAAGTGTGTTTATGTATTCAGGGTTCACACTGTGGGCAAACAGCGAGAAAGGCGCCATTGTTGTTCCTGTTGTATACATTTACTTTCTTGCCAAACTAACACCCACATTAGTTTCCTTTACCCCCAGTTTCCTTTTGCCCGTTTTCACCATTCGGTGACAAAGATTATCAGAACACTAACGGTGCAAAAAGTATTTCCCTTCTTCTTTTCCCTCTTCTCTCTTTTCATGCACCCACGTCCCCCAGACAAGGCAGACGTGGTGTGGTTGGCTTGGCCCTTGTTGTTTGTTCAATAGCCAACGCTTGGATCCTCATTTCACCCCTTTCGTCCCAGGTTGATTGGAGAAGAAAACACCGCACAAAAAGTATGTCGTCCCCCTTCCTCTCTTTCATTCTGCAGGGAAAGCAGGGGATATAAATGGTCTGCGCTTCGACCTTCTTTTGTTCGCCCACCCCCTTCCCGTCTATCTCTGACGTGCTCGACCAGTGTGACCCAATTGTTGTGTTTTGCCCATCTTCCCATGCGGTTTGTTGTAGTGTTCAGTGTTCGATGGATGTATGTGTGCGGTAAGGATCGCTTAGTGCAAAGGCTGGACCCTAACTTTAACAAAGGGGATATCATGAGCAAAGAACAAAAAGGAAGCACAAAAGCCCAAAGGAAAACAAAAAAAGTAAAAAGAAAAAAAAGTCCCAATTTCACCACCATGGACCAACCAACAAGGTCCGTACAAAAGCCAATGTACCTCTCTCCTTTTCTTTATTCCCTCCCCCGCCTTCTTGTGAGTGCCTGTGCTCTTGTGAGATGACTGCTTTTCCATGTTTAGTATTTTTATTCTCCTTTTGGGTGTGCGATTGTGTGAGCGTGCGTATCCTGGACAAGGGCAAGCTACGTCCCGCCATGCTGTTCGTGGAGTGTGGATGTGCTGGTGGTGGTGTTGACCCTTGACGACCTCTGACTGCTTTGAGTGGTGCGCTGTTGCTGTGGATCCAAAAGTGGGTTCTCACTCGAGTGGGTCTGAAGGTGGGTATTACTATGGTTGTGGTTGTAGTTGTTGTGGCTGTGCGTATGACTCTCACCCAGCTCTGAGACCCCATCCAATGGCCCTCCTCCTCCTCCATGACGACGTTGTTGCTCTCCTCCTTCCACACCCTCACCTTCCCCCTCTACATCCAGTCCCTGCTGATGATACACATAAGCAGCACTGTCGCGACCACCATCTTCTTGCCCATCCTCCTCGTCAGGCCCATCCTCCTCCGCAAAAGAACTATTATTCAGATTATTCTGCCCATAGATCTTGATCAGATCATCCCTTCGTCGACTCCACCTCGATAGCTCCTCTCCACGTTGGGCAGCGACAGAGCTGGCAGTAGACCAAGTCGAGATAGGTCGCCCCTTGGCATCATGCTGAATGACGACTGCGACGGGAGCTCGAGACCGATTGGCGTCATAATAAGAGGTGCTCCTGCGTCTGGCCAACAGACGCTCCTGTTCTGTGCGTTCGTCTTCCTCCTCTGTATCACTGTTTTCTCCATGATTATGGTGGTTATGAGACTGGTCGTTGGATCCGTAGGTTGTGGAGGAGTGGGCCTTCCAGGTGGAAGTGGAGGGCGAAGGGGAGAGGTGCATGGCTTTGAAGCGACGGTAGAGACAGCGAGCAAAGATGAGGGATAGGATGAGGATGATGAGGAGGATCGTGAGGATGAATATCGGAAGGAAGAAGGATATCGAGTCTCTATGGCGTCTTGTTGTCCCTGGTACCGTTGGTACCACCACTTCTGTTGACGTGTCTGTGTTGAAGAGTCTTTCTCCTGCGTTTGCGCCAGGTGCTGCCAACTCGAGCAGGTCGAGGGGCGACAGGCTTGACGATGCCTTTGGTGTTGGGATAAGCATCGTTTTGTGTAATGTGATGTGTGCGTGTAAAAGAAGGTGTATGCGAGGTTGAAGGAGTACAGAGAGAGTGTGTGAAAGGGGCTGTCGTTTGACGAGGAAAGGTGTTGTATACTGTTGGTTTGTGTGTTTGTTTGCTGAGAGGAATATGTGTCGATGAATGGGTGGAGCGGAGGATGAAAGGTGCCAAGGTTAAGAGGGGAGAGGGTTGAGCCCTGGTTGTCAGGTGAAGGGAGACAGAGGGACAGTTGGAGCAGAGTACAACGTTGTCTGCTGCGGGTTGAGTGAATTGAAGTGAGAGCTGCGAGTGGGATAGAAAGAACGATAGATAGACCTAGAGAGCCGGTGGGTGGATTGTGTGGGTGCCAATGGGTGCCAAGAGGGATAATGGGTGGGTGTGGGAAGAACGGAACAAAGGACGAAAGGAAAGAAAGATGAAACGTGGGTTTGGAGGGACCAAAAAAGAGAGTGAGACGAGGACAAGAAAAGGAAGAAAAAGGAGAAAAAGGTTATCGACGATAAAGAAGTTGGAGGGTGCAAGAGGAAGGGAAGAAGGGGTGTTTGGATGAAGAAAGAACAGAAAAAGAAGAGAGAGCAAAGACACCAAAAGGGCGCGCAGAAGAAAAGAGAGAAGAAAAAAAGACGCATTGTGCACATGCTCAGATCTGACAGTGTGACTGACAGCCACTGAGAACCAAGAAGTGAGTGACTCTTTTCGATGGTGCTCTTTTTCTCTGGTGGCAAAGGCAAAGGGGTTATCTGACTGTGTGTGAGGTGTGAGCATAATCTAATCAACGACAACAACAACTCCTTTCATTAATCACACAACAAAAGCAAACCAAGGAAAACTAGACATGGCAACCATAGTGGCGTGCCACCTGCCACCACCCCTCACTCATTCGACCTCTCACTCGGCAGGATCACCACTCCTACAACAACTCACACCCAACAACTACAACAACAGGAATCAACAACGAGTAATCATAATCCACTCACACCCATCAACACTCCACCTCTTCACCAACAACTCCCTCCAGGTAACAAAAACACTCACGAAAGCGCGTCGTTTTTTTCTGAACAACTACAGCCAAGTAGAAGTATGCATAGAAACGTGCAACCAGCAAAAATAATAATAAAGAAGTAACGACAACAACTTAACTCTCTAGAGTGTATGGTCTTTCCCACACCCGATCGTATCCTACTCGTACTCCTGCAACAACACCAATAGCAACTCCAAGAAGGGTGCCAAGCAACGACAAGAACACCAAGGACGCGAAGAAAATGGGATCGTACTTGTTGTTGCCACGCAGGACGGATCGATCTGGAACGTGCCTCCACCCGTGACCAACACCAACGACAACAATTCATTGAACCAAGGAGATGGTCGTGGGAGTACAAATTACCAAACATCAACAGCAGCTCTAACTTCGCCTGAGATCGCCATCAAGATTGAAAATGACGACAACAGCAAGAGATTGGAAGCAGAAGAAGAGGAAGAAGTTGAGTTGTGGAACGACGAGGATGGATTGGTGGTTGATGAGGATTTCGATGCACTCGATTCACACCTCCCCCCCGCAAACAAGCGACAAAGGACTGCCTCACCCCTACCATCAACAACAACAACAACACCAACCTCTCACGGTACCGCAGATCCCGCTCGCAAAGTGCAGCTCGTCAACAACGCGCAACATCTCATCGGATCTGAAGTAAAGCAACCACTCCCTCAATTATCGATACATTTTTTGCATATCATCTCATATATCGCGCATAATCTGACATTCAACTTCCTTTCCCTCTTTCCCCCCACATAGACAAACGTATCACATATCGCGTTCGTAGCAGGAGACCTTCTAATTTTCCGCCATGGGGAAGAGCTCGTCCACTGGACCTCACGCCACCAATTTGCTCCGCACACAGAAATCACTCGCCAGCTCGTTCCCAAGGCGCATCGACTGCAGGCTGTCACTCGTATATCTGAATACCCACTTTACAGGACACAGAATGGACATGCAGCGACTTTGTTTGTGGAGACGAGAGCCTCAGTCATCTATCGCATTTCAATCTCTGCTGGCACAGTTAATATTCAAGAGTTGTTCTCAGTCGAGGTAAACGAGGGGTCTTTTTTTTTTTTTTTTTTTTTGCAAGACGTGAACCACGGTTTGGGAGCCCAAGATTGATCGACTAAATTTCTAATATTGCCAAAATTGAATAATTAGGAATCCATTGCAGCACTACTTGCCATCCCAAGCAAATCCCCAAGTCATGGCCAGAGTCTTCTAGTTGTTGGGTAAGAGAAATACTCCATGACTTACTCGTCTTGGACATGCGTTATAACAACTATCGCTAATAACGCACATCTGTCCTCGCTAAATAACACTACGATAGATCAAAAGGGACGATGTCATGGACCGGAACGCAGGTGGATCAAGATATCGCTCCTTTGGCCTCTGCACCAAAGACTCTAGCTCTTGACATGGATGTTCAAACTGCGTTTGTTGCAGAGGTAAGACTTTATCACTCATCACGAACCCATTTCGCCCAAACGTTGGTCCTTTAAAGCAAAAACAAAAAAAGCACGTTCTGATCTCGTCCCCCGTCTTCCACATCATCCACCATAGGCGCATTTGTATGTGTTGACAGGAAAGGGTCGCGTTATTCGAATACCAATGACGTCATTTGGAGACTCAGATCTCAAGGACCAAGAAATCATGGACTTGCCTCCACTGTGCGCCATATCACCTATACTCTCAGATGATGAAACAAAGACAGTCGAGGGGCTCTACGGATTCAACCAACAAGGTCAATTGCTCACATTCCCATCAGAGTGGACAAAGTAGGTCTCGCTTTTTTTTTGGTTTTCACACGCTTGAGTGGGTCATTTTCGTAATAACGTGTTACGCGAAACATGAAATACTTCTTTTTTGCCCCATTTACACGAACTAACTCAATTATGCTCCTTTGTTGTGGCTAGACACGCGAGGTCACAGGGGGTGGTAGATGCAAGAGAAACAGTCGGAAGGGCGCTTTCGGAACTGGAGAGGTTATCGGATCAAGTCAAGCGACTTGAGGTCCAATGTCAGGTACAGGTCTTCTTCTTCTAAACCGACTCTAACATAACCCGATAGAAGGACACGGATACGCGTTTTCCCTTGCGTGTTTGTTATTCGTTTTGTGTTTTTGAGTTGTTCTTTAGCATGTGTTTGATAAGAGAAAAGGGGGGTGGGGTGAGGCAGCCAATAAGCAAAAGAATGCACGGGAATATAAAGTGAAATAATGTATTGAAAGCTAACCTAAACCACATCCATGGTGTTGGCTTTTATCATCTTTTTTTTTTGTTTTTTGCGTAATAACAAAAAACTCTTAATTCCTTTAGTTGGAGAATCAACGGATCGCGACGTATAATCGACTTGTCTTTGAACTACAACAGTCGATCATGGCTACCTCTAGCTCCGCTCAACCGGATGCCAGCGAGGAGGATGTGGATATGAACATGGAAGCAGGACAGTTGATCGAGACGTCGTTGTCGACATTCTCGCATGTCGTGGCGGATGGGTATGAGGGGACCAAGCGATTCTATGCGCAGTTGAGGATCAAATCCAGAGCGAATATTGATTGGAGTCATGGATGGTCAGGTACCGTCCTGTTTTTTTTTGGTTTTTTTTGTTGCCTCTCTGAGATCATGCCTAACCGTTTTTTTTTTTTTTTTTTTTTTCTGGAATGCGAAACTGAACTTTTTGTCGTTGTTTTTTCATTCGTAACATGTAATAGTAGGAGTTAATGTGGCGAGCAAAGTCGACTTCTGTCCGCACGGAAAGCCGACCACGACCTTTCATCGAGTACATCACAACACCAGCTGGAAGAAGAAAAGCAGGACGCATCATCAAACATTCGCAAGTCTACAAACTCTTACCCGTCAAACACCTTGGGCGCTGGATATTGAACTCGATCGGGAGATGGTCAGCAACTTTCCCCTACAGGTCTCGATCGGCTTGTTGTTTTGTGAAGGTGGACATTTTCAACAGTCAAAGGCAGAAGATGGCCAGGGCCAGGCAGGAGAAGGAGGGTTTTCGGCGTACTTTGTGGTGGACAGTTTGGAATTGGATGTAGTGGATTTTGTGGAAGGGGTTGAGGATCTGTCGAGACGCGATGTTCCTGCGTTCGTACAGCGTGGTCCTATTCCTCTTCCTACCGTAACCAGCAACACCAATATCAGTAACCGCGGTGGGGTTAGGCAAGTAGTTGGAGATGTTGAGGAGGAGGAGGAGGAGTGCATGCAATGCACGATCGAAAAAGGAAACACGTCCGGCGCAGGCACAATGACAGCGACAACCACCACCACCACGGGTCAGGCAGGTGCAGCGTCAGCGTTTCGACCTATAGAATTCGAGATCGACACGACGTCCATCCCCATCCGACAATGTCTACCGGCCCTCCTCCTTCTCCCCTCCGCAGAAAACTGTCATGCCCGTGATGGTGATCGGAGGGGGCTCAAGGTTGTGGACATGTCGATCGCAGGTGGCGGCGGAGACAAGTCGGTGTCGGGAATGGGTCGTGGTGGACGACGGCAAGCTTGTTTCAGAACGTGTTTTGTCGTCCCAGATGAATGTCTCAGTTCTTCTGGAAGGAGTGATTACGCGGCGCAGCCTGTGATGCGTCCGACTACACAGCAGGGGATGCAGGGTTATCGGGGTCGAGGTCATAGGAGCAGCTATTTTGATGCAGACGCGGCTCGGAGTTCTAGGGGGATCAACCACTGGGGGAGTGGGACTGTTGGTATGGGTGTGGGAGGAGTGGCGGGTGGACATGGACGGATTGAGGATCCCGATGCGCGGTGTGTTTGGGTTGACCTTGAACTTCCTTCATCTGCAGGTAATGGACCGGAGGAAGAGCGAGTGGTGAGGGCTCAGGTGCTAGTGCGAGGGTCTGACCTGGAGCGGGTGTTTGCTGTTCGACAGGCGCTTGAGCGACGGATCCTAGCACTTTTCGATTGAGAAAAATCGATATGCTCACATCATTCGAGGAGAACATAGCATTGTTGCTTTTTTTCACTTTAGACCAATTCATGCAAACATTTCTTAATGCGGATATAATAGTTTGGAAAAAGGAGAAAGTGTACAGCTGTTTATTGTTTTTGTTTAAAATGCAAAGGCAGGAAATGAAGACAAGAAAAAATAACAAAAACAAAAAGAATAAGGAAAAGGAAAGGATAGGGAAAGGAAGAGAAAAAAGTGGTAGAGTGGGGAATGTGTGATTTTGAGCCTTCATCAGAGACAAAAAAAGAAGGGTATAGTTTTTTGAATGATACGAACAACGAAAAAAATACGAGGGGGTTGGCACCTGTAGAGGGAAACGAATAAGAAATGCTTAGAGGGAAGAGCTGTGGTAGACCATGGAACCATACCAAGCAATCAACTCCTTAACGCCTGTAACAGCAGTATAAACCTGCCACAACACGCCGGGTCCATCTGCCTTTACCGGGTACGAGGTATCATTCGCCCGCCGAGCGACGATGCCATCCTTGGACGAGAGACGGTACCGCCGCGATCTGGCATGTTGACAACGTTTGTGACGAGATCCGGTAGAGTGCCGTCTCGTCCTGCCGAGTCCATTGAACTCATCGTGCTCATCGTCCTCCCCGTCCAGGAGATCCTCCGAGTCGTTGTAATCGTCCTCGTCGTCTCCGTCATCAGTGAACTCCTCATCCGTGGTGGAGTTACAACCCCCGCGACAGTCCTCATAGTAGTAATCGTCGTCGTTAGAGTTGCACTCGGGCCGATTCTCATCATCCCGGTAGTACAACCTCGACCGAGATCCATGAGACGACGAAGAGGCGCGGACCTTGATAAAAGTTGTGGTCGTGTTCTCGAACGAGGCCTCAGAGGCAGCGGGTTTCGAGAAGAGACCCGATCGGCGCAACGAATGCTGCTGCGCAGTCGACAGACCATCTTGATGCTGACCATGAATATGAGACGACTGCGGGGCAATGAAAGAAGAGGAGGTCACGGCTCGAATGGCGGGGTCAGAATGCGCCCTCGTGGGTCTGGCGCGCGTGATCCGGAAGGGAGGCGAAGTCGGCAAGAAAATCAATTCTTGGACTTCAAGACTGAACCGCAGCTGCTTGGCGGACGCAGAAGGAACCAAGCGCCCATTATGATGACGGCGACCAGAGGTACTGCAATGACTACCTCCAATGGTGGCTCGACGCCCACCAGCGACAGGAGCATCGTCGACAGAGACGTCCATGTTGAGGTTGATATTGACGTTCAGTTGATTCGGGTGGGATGCAGATTTGGGGAACGATGCTCGCCGACGGTCATGGCTTCGGAAATGGTACTTTGTCGGTGAGGGGAAGATGGGCAACAAGAAGGTTGAGCCGTCGTTGTTGCCACCGTCAGTGATGGGCGACATGGGCTCTGACTGGGTACCTTCCACGAGCTCCACCAGGGTCGATGACGAACCTTCAGCTGACGAAGTCAGGGAGAAGGAGTCGAGGGCCTTGGTGAGGGCGAGGTAGTGAGGTGTCTGGGTGAAGGACCGAAGCTCCTCAATGGTTTGGGCCATCGTGCCCAACTGCTTCAAGGCCGATTTTGGTCGGGAGAGTGTGTTCTCCTCGGTAAGCGAGGACGACAACGACTCGTTCTTGACCGCAGTAGGGGCAGAGGTGTCGATGTGAAGGGGGGAAACAGAAACGTCTGCGCCTGATTGCCTATCGGATGCAGGGACGGAAACATTGATTGCTGTTGTTGTTGTTGATACTGCGGTGTCGACTGCGATAACTGCATCGGGAGCAACCGAGTCGGGCGAAGACGTGGAGAGTGATGGTAGTGAAGGTAGAGTTTCGATGGCGGTCACCGTCGTCGATGACTCCGGTGTCTCGTCTTCTACTGCTTCTGTTGCCACTGCAACTGTTTGTGGTGCTGTTGGCAATTCCTCCAAAGGCGATACGGAGACCTCAGTTGGTGCTGCAATAGCAAGAGATTCGATGTCATTGGAGAGACTATCTACTGAGATGGGGGACGATGCGGGTTGTTGGTGAGGAGAGTATTGGGAGAAGGTTGTCGTCCAGTCACAAGTAGGGGATGAATGCACTTGATGTTGATGTTTCCGAGGCTGGGTAGCATTGTAGAGGGGACCATAGAGCCATAGTACATCGCATTCCTTCTGCCTAATTACATAAACACGCGTTTAGACGAAACAATAAAAAGGTAAGCCGAGTGTGATTAGTGTTTAGGTTTGTGATAGTGGGAGTGGAGAAACAAAGACCATCCCTTGCATGCGTTGTTGTGTCTCTGTGGCATGTATGGATGTCTTGGATGGGTAATGAATGTGTGTGTGTGTGTGTGTGTGAGTGGATGTTATCTGGCATCGATGTTACTTTTTCCCTTGTGTATTCTACAACCCACATTTGGTTATCCATGGCCAATGTTCACATGGGATTGAAACAAGAAAAGGAAAAAGAGTAAAAAAAGAGAGGTGTAGTTCTATGTATATCCATCGGACCTGTGTTACTCCTCTACAGCGAGATTTAGGTATGATCACAGTTCGGTCCCGTTGTACCACTGGGGTATGGGTGAATAAGAAAGAAAAGAGTCGAGTAGGTGATGTGATAAAAAGGGGGGGAAAGGGTGTGTGTGCACTGTTGTTGCTGTTGTATGGATTAAGAGGACCAACCAACCAAAGAGTAGGAAAATGCTCTCTTTGTTTAGATGTGTCCTGTTTGCATAATAACAGGCACTAGTGCAGGTGATTGATGGGGAAAAAAGGGTGTAGAAGTACAACTGATAGAAAAGGAGAGAGCAAAGATACATTCAAGTAAAGTAAAACAGAACGAATCAATTGATCCCGACCGATCAACCAACCTTCGTGCTCGGTCCAGCCACTCATCAAAGAGTACATATAATTCATAAAGACAAAAGGGTCGACTTCTGCAAGGTGGCCAAAGCTCACTTTCTTCTTTCTTTTTTTGCTCTCTTGCTCTCTTGTAAAGGGAAAGGAAAAGATACCCAGGCGATAAACAAGGGTTGCTACAGCAACTATTGACTGCACAACAATTGAAAGGAAAAAGAAGAGGTAAAAGGGACGAGTAGGGGGAAGGAGGAGTAGGGGCAGTGAACAACAACAACAACAACAACAACAACAACAACAAAAAGAAGAATAACAACAAGGGGGCGCAAAAGTTGAAGGGGAATGAAAGACGAACAAAGGCTCGCCTCAACCTCAACTCTAATATCCACATTCGGGGCTTTCTGAACACTCCGATATCCATCCCTTCTTTGTCCAATCTGAGATGAGTCGGAGGATGTAAATGTAGGGTTAAGGCTGTGAGGTAAACGAAAGTAGAGACAGGGGGTCACAAAAAAAGATGGGGTAAAGGGAAGAAGTAAAGAGGCCCTCTTGTCGAGAACAAGAATATCGGACGGACCATTCTCCTTCTCCTCCTTTTCTTTCTTCTTTTTTTCCATCATCCATGAGCAAGAGTTGGTAAACAAAGATCCAAACTCCAAAAGGGAACGAGGAAAGATCTTCTCTTGTTGTTGGTTTTTTTGTCATGCATGCAACCATCATTAGCGGGAAAAAAGGATTACGGGGCGATCCTATTTTCCTTTCCTTTCTTTTTTTTTTCCTCTTCCATTCTTCCATGCTAGCAGGCAAGCAGGCAAAGAGAACACCACAACGTCACATATACCCAACATTTGGTAGCAAAGTGAGGCTGGTCAAAGGGGAAAGAAGTAGGATAGCGAATTTGATAGGGAAAAGGCGCGCATAAATAGGATACAAAGTAAGAAAGAAGGAACATGCAGGGGGTTCCGATTTGTCAAAGGAGACAGAGGATAGTAACAAATGGCCTAGAATCAATTCTTTTGTTCACTCTCGTAATGAATTGATTCACTCTCGGAGAAAAAGGATCATCCGTTGATGCCGCGTTCGATGGATGGATGAATAAGAGGGAGAATGAAGTAAGGACAGGTTGGGATGAAGAAAGAGATGGAGGGTTTGCAATTGACAGTTATCCAAAAAGGTGGCCCAAATCGCTTGTGCTTAATAACCACCACCACCCAATGGCGACCAATGCCCAATGTTGAGCACCACGCGGGATCAAGATAAAGCAATAATGGGGAGAGAGATATTACCAGTTCAATGATTCGGGCCGGACGAGAGCGACGTCTTTGGCGAGGCTTGATTGGGATGATCGGCGCCAGAGGGCGTTTTGCATGCGCTTGAGCTGGGATTGGCAGCCGACGGGGGCTGGGCGTTCCTTGGTCTGGGGGATAGCGAGGGTCTGGTGTTGGCCGAGGAGCTCGATCATGGCCTGGGATTGGTGTTGGAAGGAGATGGCAGCATCTTTGGCGGAGAGGGGGGCATGGGCGATCTGGCGAGTGATTTGTTGGTAGCAGACGAGGAGGTGTTCTGAAGAGAGGGGGTGCGAGAGGTAGTCCACGTAGAACGTGGCCACCAGTGGTTGGCTTGTCATTTAGTTTGGGTGTGATTTGTTGGTATATAAGGGTTTTTGTAAGGTGGTGGGCGGAACGATGGTTGGAATTGTTGGTGAAAAGTATGCAGAAAAGGGTTTATTTGTATGTTGGATGCTGGTGGCTGTCGGGATTGGGTGGTAAAGCGGTAGAGTGGGTAGAAGTGGAAGGGCGGTAGAGGCGGTAGAGGTGGTAGAGGCGGAAGAGCGGTAGAGGTGGAAGGGGGAGTGTAGGCCGAGTGGAGCAAAGGTGATGATGGGTATATTAAGTGTGTGGGTTGGGGTATTGAGTGTCGGTGTATGTGTTGGAGTGAGTGTGTGGGAAGAAAAGACAAGAAAGAAAAAGGAAAATGGTGTCAAGTCACGGCTCGATTGTGTGTGTGTGTGAATAAGGTAATAAAGGCCAAGCTGTGTCGAGGAAACAAATAGGTGGAATAGAATGCGAGTGTGAATGAATGAAATGAAATGAAATGAATGAATAATAGGGACTGCACAGGTGATGAGTCGATGAGAAGAGGAATGGCGAATGAGGAAGTAAAGGGGAAAGTAAGGAGAAAGAAAAGAAGTAGAGAAGGGAAGAAGAGAAGAAGGAGCAATTGGAAGAAAAAGAAAAGGCGAAATAAATACTCGAAAAAGAGAAAGGGGCAAAGTAATATAGAGGGGGGCAACGACCATTCACCATTCGCTATTTTGACCATGGGATTAAGACTGGTCGGCTATCTTGACGAATTGAATCCTTCTCCCTATCCCTCTCCCTCTTCCCCCCTCTCTCTCTCACTCTCTCTCTCTCTAGATCGATCACCCTTGTTGCCACTGGACTGCTCATTATCTTTAATGCGCCTTGTGAAAAAAAGACCACCATCGCGCCATCGCATTTGCACCATGGACAGCAAGAAACAAGACCCTGCCAAATGGCCAAATGAAGTTGTATTCCCGAGTGGGAGCAAAATAGCCAAGAAAGGCTTTGCGGAAGAAGAAACCAAAACCCAAAAGTAATATTAAAAAATGGAGTGGCGATACCACCAGACCATGCACCATGCACTATCTATCTCGCTTCTTTTTTTCTTTTACGTGCTGTAACTGTGCCTCAACCTTCATCATTTCCTGCTCTCTGTTATCAACAACATACACACACACACACACAAACAAACTCATCGCAATCACAGCCTGCTCCATTTTTAATATTCTTTTCTACATCTACATCTTTTAATTACCAAAGCATTCAAAATGAATTCAATGGTCAATGCCACACCAACTAAGTTTGTTATTTCCTTTCTCTCTCTCTCTCTCTCTCTCTCTTCCTCCCTTCTGCATGTTCCATTCCATTTCTCCATCTATTTCACCTCCCCTCCCTCCTTTACACTAACGAAAGAAAAAACAGAACCTTGAAACGAGAGAGCGAGACACAGAAGGGATAAAAAAAAAGGTCCGACACCAAAAGAAAAGAAAAGAATAGAAAAGAAAGAAAAAAAAAGGCTCGTTCTCTCCCCCAAACCTTTCATTTCCGCTCGGTCGATACATGTGGGGGAGGGGCATGGGGCAGTGTGGGCGGAGAAAGAACAGGCGAACAGACTCCAAACACAAAAAAAAATATGCACACAAGTTTGGGCTAGATTCCTTTCTTTTCTCGCTTGCTTTGCTCTCACGCCTTCGTACCCTATCTTTTTCCTTTCCGTCGGGATCGTTGCTCACTTGTGTGAAGAAGACAAAAAAGGTTGTGGGAGGGTGGGTTTGGTTGTTTGCATAAGGAAAGAAAAAATGTAAAAAGGAAGAAAAGTAGGAGAAAGAATGACCTACGGCGTACAGGCGTGCATGCGTGTGCGTGTGTTTTGTGGGTGAGAGAGGGAGAGATAGAGAGGGAAAGAAAGGCGTTGGGAGAGAGGAAGGAGGTATGACAAGGAGGACGCAATGGCGTGTCTGTCCTTTCAGGTGTCGTTATCTCTGCCCTCGTCTCTCTCCCATTCTGTTGGTTAAGGCTCGAGTCCTTCCTCTCCTTCCCCCAGCCTCCGTCGCACATCGTTTTTGCCTTGCATATCTCTCGGAGGCCGATCCGCAATTGAACAAATCAGACAGGACTGATGTGGCAGCCTAACCAAGTTTACTGGACTCGATTGTCTGGATTATTGTTCAGCTGCAAAAACGAGCTCTAGCCCTGGGTCGTGCTTCTTTTTCTCCTTCCCTCTTCTCTTTCCTATTTCCTATGATGCTGTTGGGATGATAGGCCCAATCTCACTGTCCCCTTGAAATTGTGCCCATGCCCTCATTTTGTCTCTCATTCAGAATGTGTTTGCCTTATCCATTCCCTTCCCCTCTCCGTCTCCCTCCGTCTTTGCTGTCCTTTCTTTTTGCCTTCTTTTTTTGATTGCTCGAACATCGTCCTTCCTTCCTTCTCTCCATCTTTTCATCGACCCCTAGCCAGCATTGATCTGTCTCTCTTTTCGTGAATGGGCCATGCACCAGACGCGAATCAAAAACAACAACAAGCAACGTTATGCACATGCACCCGGGCCATCCTGCACTATTTTAGTGTCCCTGGTTTTGCTTGTTTGTGTGCCCGTTCTTTTTCTTCTTGTCACGATTCACTGTTTGATTCTTGTTTTTTTTTTTTTTTTTTTTTCCTTTGCCCAACATGGTCTCCTTTACGATAGTTATTTTTAAACCCCGTTTCGTTTCTTCGTCCTTTTTCTCTTTCTATGCTAATAAAGCAACGGACTGACACAAAGGAATAGAAAACATCGCAAAAAAACGACGGAGAGGGGGAAAGAGGGGGAAGTTTATGTGCTTGTCCTTCTTTGATCGCTGTTTTTGGTACGACTAGGAATTACTCGAGATAACCCCCGGCCGAACTTTCTTCACCCACCCGATCTGCCCTTGACCTAGAGCGCAATGGAGCAAGCCAGACAGTTGAACTCAACTGCTGCAGCCTAACCAAGTCAATCCAACTGTTTGGCTTTGCTCAATTGCAGACTATCCTCTAGCCTGAGGCAAGAAGGGGAAAAAAGATTGAATAGTCTCTGTCTCTTGCATCATCATGTTCTTCCTTCCTTCCTTCAACCTCAAGAGGGGGTCAAAGTGTGAAATCGGTCAATCCTGCATTTTTGGTTCGAGGAGTTAGAGTGTCCTAACGAACACACACACACACACTGAAAAAGATAACAAACGGTTTTGGTTAGAAAAAGACGCTTGGCAGCATACCAAAGTCAAGGGACTTGCAAGATTGTTCGAGGGAGTGTCAGTCCCGATTACTGGTCGGTTGAGGGCTATGAGACCTTTGAGATCTCTTCAGCTGAACTCGTTGGATAAATGCTTCATCGGCTAGGGGTCCTTTGTGTCGGGTGGCCTTTTGCTCTTGTCACTGATGGAGGAGGACCCCCAACCTGCAGGAGGAGTAGCAACAGTCAGACTTGGCTCCTGTGGTGTTGGCATGAACTTTGGGAGACAACGTTGGTGCTGTAGCAGTGACTGGCAGATCATTGATATGTTTTCAGCACCCACACCGTCGCGATCAAAGTGCATCCGGCAGTTTCGGTAGTACCTGCTTCTGTTTGGAAGAGATTCTAGGAACTCGTTGCAGCCCTCCTTGAGGCACTTCGCTGATGTACAGAAGTCAATACAGCCGACCTCAATGTATCCCAGTGGTCGGGCCTATTACAGCCCAAAAAAAAAAAAAAAAAAAGAGAACCAATGTGTTAGTTTGTGCATTGACCATGAATCACCAAAGCGTTCTGTGAGTGTGAAGGCAGAAACCTTACAATTTGAATGAACCGACGGGTGAGCTTGGCGCGTTTCGATGGAAGACCAGTCCTTGAGCTGAACTGGGCTAATCCTATACATATCACAACCGGTCACTGCAGAGACTCGTTCTTACTTCACCCATAAACAGCTCTCATGGCCACATTGCCATCCTGATCGAGAACCAGCTTGCCCTCGTCGTTCAACCCTGGCACCGTGGTCTCCACCATGTTCAATACAACATCCACAGCCATATCAAGACTTCTCCGTTGGGCCCTCAAAACGTCCCATTGTTTTATGCGATACCATTTTAGGCGATAGGACGAGAGAAGAGCTTGAAGAGTTTTTTGCTGTTGTCCTGTGGTGCCGGCCGAGGATCACATGTAGGAGACGTATCTATCCATGGTCGGGAGCGTGAGACTTGGCATGCTGGTCTCCAACTCCGCTATGTTATTGATCCCATCCGTGTGTTGCCGCTCCTGCGGTGCCTTCTTCCTGCCCTCTCCATATCTCGTCGAAATCTCACGGTGGGTCTCCACAAATAGGGCCCTTGTGATCTTCAGTGTGTGTGTGTGCCGCCCGTCGGAGGATTTGGGATCCAATCCCGACTTGACATTAACATTCTTTTCGCCAGGGTCCCAACCAATCACGAATGTGCCCTCTAGGGTCCGGACAGTCTTCTGGGCGTGAGAACGTTAACTGCGCATTCGGGAGCAGCTTGGATTCGGCGGCCTCACGAGTCCATTCCCTGGGAACACTGCTGGGGCGGTTGTCGTTATCCTGATTCTGGCTTGTCTCCTCGACTTCATCCTCAATATCCAACAACTCAAAATCGTTGTCCATCGTGTCCGGCACGCTCGGCGTCCAGATCGTCGGAGATGCTGTTGCTGTTTCTGACGATGCTGTTGATGCTGTTGCTGTTATTGCTGTTGCTGCTGTTGCTGCTGCTTGTTGGATTGCTGTCGCTGTTGCGAGTGTCGTGCTTTCGGAAGTGTCAAAGGGCGAGACGATTAATCATTAGTCCATTAGTTTGGATCGTCCCTTTGATCTTGTAGCAAGTTCTCCAAGCATCGCTAACGATAGACGCACTCTTGTTCGAATGTCCATGATAACTAAAGAGAACCTCGATGAGTGATCCTCGGGAGGTTGATAAGAAGGCGTTAGCGTATCTTGTATAATCGCTCGATAATGCTCCGGGATAGTATGCAAAGTCGATCAGGGAATCCGATGATCCTCTTTTGTGTTGTCGTTGGCGTAGAACACACCCTTCAGAGAGGGCTCCGTGAAGTAGATATAGCCGGTGGTCAAAAGTTGAAGTGTGGAAGTCGCATTTTTGCTGAGTCTAGACAGGTCAAAAGCGGTCCGAGTGGAGCTTCCCTTCAAAGAAGATGTCAGTATGACTACGACCCAACGATTGAATGAGATCCTACAATGTATATTTGTAGGTCAGATTCATGTTTTGGGAAACTGCTTGCAATAATACTCTCAAATTTCATTATAATATGTCTTGACCGCAGCGAACACAGGGGTCATTGCCACGGGCGCTATGGGAGCTGCTGGCAGTCGTCGGTTGTCTTGGCAAGGCAGGTCGTTTGTGGCCTGGACAAAAAAATCCATACGCGAGGTGAGGAAAAAATGTGGTTGGCCTTCTTGACGCCTATTAGCGGAGTGGAGACCCTTGGAATGTACGATTTTCATATCTTCACATGACAGGATAAGAGATGCAAAAGCCAATCAATCTTCATTAGTCAATCTAGAGCCAATTACAGCGTAAGACTACCATGAGGATGTGGACATCTTTTCTTGCGAGTTCCTTCTAAGTGAATTACCTGAGGATGATGTTTTTGAGAGTTGCCTCCTAATGAGAACTTGTATGCATTGTAGAACTGACATATTTACGACAATTAATATATAGGTTTTTGAAAATAAGAACAAAAACTGGCATCAGCTGAGCCAAAAAATGAGGTAGAGACGCGTCTGAAGGTTGCATAGACGGTGTCGCACATTTTAGTATCCACTCGTTTTCCAATATCAGAACTTCATTTCTGCTCCTTAGGAACTCAAGAACGCCTTTTTTTATTGGAATTGGACTACTATTAAGCAAGGTCAGAAGTCTCAAAGAGCTCCATCCACTCTATGCATGAGACAGCGACATCTGAGTCTTTCCTCATGCGCTTGGTGATGATGGAATGCCATTCGTTGTAAACGTCCTCGTACGTGATAAAGTCGTTCCATGAGAGCCTTTGACCGTCCCCTCGAAGAATCTGAGTGAACTTGTCGTAGTCCATAGTCAGCTGCTGCATCACCTTTTGGATAGCAGATCCTTACAGAATCAGGTTTCTTACAGTAGCGTTGATGTCAGCAGAATTCTGGCGAGTACCGAGGTCCGTAAGGCTACCGAGTGTATGATTGTGGTGATGTCGATAACTGATCCAGTACATGAAACTGTGAAGCCCCATCCTCTCCTGTGGGTTTCTGCCATACAGCAATGATTCCGGACAGGGCAACCTTGCTTCATGCTCTTCTTTCGGATTCTTGGTTTCTCTGACGCTCCACCTACAATCCTGTCCTTCCGAATCCGAGGATGGCCAGCACACTGACATTCAAAAGTTTTAACATACTCCAAGGTACCTTCTCGTATATATTCACCTCTGACAGCGACAAAGTTGGCAGTGATACTCTGCTCGTGTTGCTAGGAAGGAAACTCTAAAACTCTTCGAGTGCGGGACTGCTTTTTGGCTTCAGGAGCTGAGTGCGAAATCGCGTAGACTTGGAGAAACACGCCTCCCACAATGATTAACTCTGCCTCCTTCACACCACATCAGCAACGAGAAAAGCAATGGCAGACGACAACAAGACCATCGACGCCATCGACAACCTCACAGGAGGCGATGACGATGACTTTGACATGGACGGCATCGAAGGCGGCAGCGGGGCACATGACGGGCCTAGCAGCGAGACGATTGAGGCCATTGCTACCTTCCAGACATTGCTCGAGGCGAATCCCAATCAGTATGAAGCACACACACAACTGATCACCTTGCTCAAGGGTGCCGATATGTTTGAAGAGCTCCGTGATGCTCGTGAGGCTATGAACAGGCTTTATCCTTTGTCTGAAGGTACATGAGTCATAGAGACAATGGGGGCTCGCTGTGTTGTCCCGGTTCTGTTTTGTTGCTTGGCACACAATTAATTTGAGACTCGATTTCGTTGTAATAGACCTTTGGATGGACTGGATCAACGACGAGGTCAACATGGCGACATCTGGGGACGAAAAGAGACATGTCCTCTCCCTCTACGAACGAGCCACTACTGAATACCTTTGTAAGTTTTGAGACACCGGGCCGCATTGCACCCCTTCCTCCCCCCTCCCACTCATTTGTGTTGCAGATTGTCTTTCACTCTGTTTTGGATGTCTTTCATCCTGTTTTGGACTGGTAGGGTCTACAACATTGCGTCAATGAAACAATAACAAACTTGTCGATTATGCCTTTTTCTTCACGTTTTAGCTATCAAAATCTGGAAGTCCTATGTCGACTATGCACTGCAGGAGTACAACGAATCAAAAGAGTACCAGGACGCACTAGAGGAAGAAGAGACTGTTGTCAACGCTCAGGAGCTGAACAAGATTTTCAAGAGGGCGGACAAGTGGACTGGATACCATATCCCTGAGAGTCATACCATCTGGAATGTCTGGATAAACTTTGAGCTCGAGAATCTTGCAGCCCGGGTAAAAACAGTGGTGTACTTATCTTGTGTCATAGTGATCTAACACGCAAGCATTGTGCCAACTCTAATATTTTGATTTAATTTACCTATTGATTTGTGCTATTTATCTAGGATCCTGCATCGTAGGTTACCATTTCCGTCCTTGCCGATGCATGCACGCCGTCGCAGTCTTGGTTGCACATGGGACTAATCAATACTCATACTTGTTTTATCATACTAGACCTGAGGATGTCAGGAGGGTGAAAAAGATGTATCTGGACAGAATCGCTATCCCCCATGTTACACTGGAAGAAACATTCTCAGCTCTGTCTCCATTAATTTCCAAATACGAGCCTGAGGAGTACGAAAAGACAATGGAAAACTGCAGCAAAATCAATGCCGCTACACGCAAGTTGTTGACTGAACGGGAGGCTTTTGAGCAGAACTTGGTAGGACCTCAGTTTAGTCTAGGCGTCTCTCTTTTCGATTGGAGTTGTATGAACAAAAGCAAACAACTGACCATTCTGTACTGCATATTATAGGTTGCAACAGGAAACAGCGTGGAGGCGTTTACGAGCTACCTAGACTATGAGATGCGGCCGGAGCGGAGACATTTTGCAAGGACGCGGACATTATTTGAGAGGGCTGTTGCTGTACACTGCCTTGTGCCTTCAGTCTGGATCGACTATATCACCTTCATGATGTCTATGGTAACACTCCGCAGCCTTGTTTATGCACTCTATTTCTCGATCGTAGGCATAATAGGGTAAACTTACTCATATTGACCTTTCTCCTTATGTCACCTTACTCTAGAACCCTCAAAAAGCTGGATACGATCTGGACCCCAAAGAAGTACTGACTATCGCCGAAAGGTCAACGAGGAATTGTCCATGGTCAGGGGATCTCTGGGAAAGTCGGTTCCTTCTGATGGTACGCCACGGATGAAAACAGAATCATGTCTACTCCCCCCCTTTTTTTGGGGGAGAATAGGCTGGAATGGAAGCTGACACATATATTTCTGTCTTTTGTATGGGATCACCAATAGGAAATGTACCACAAGCCTGAGGAGGAATTGAATGGTAAGTTGCAGTGGAATTAATATTGGGGAGAAGAGAAATCACGTCTTTTCATGTAGTAATTTCTAATGCATAACCTACCTTTATCCAATCATTGGCGCTGCTTAGCATTGTTTGCTAGTGCACTGAGCGATACCACTCTGTTGGCAAGTCCGCAGGAACTTTCCAAGGTTCTGCAGGCCAGATGCTCTTATGTTGTCCGTGCGGAGAAGAAAGACGAAGGTAAATAGTTGGGACGGCTGAGACTTTTGACTATACGAATGCTTGATCATGTACATGGAGTAGGCACTGACATGAAAGATGTTCTGCGTTATAGATGGCAAAACCAAGATTAGGGCGGCGTTCGAGCACGCAGGAGCTGTCCTTGAGTCAGGTGAATACAAGCAGAGTTACCAGGCGTCGATCATGATTTTCATCTTACCCAAGTGATAATGATAACTAATTCTATTGCTTTCTCGTATAATATTAACATAGTGGGCGGAGATCCTTACTGCAAGGTTGAACAGTTCTGGATCGAGATTGAGGCTGGACCTCTTGAGAACAAAGAGAATGCGCGTGCATTGTGGGCCAAGATTGAGAGCAAGCTCAAGGCATCCTCAGAGTCATGGCTGGCGCGCGTGGCATTGGAAAAGTAAGTTCAGCTTTCGCAAAGACAATTAGTGGCCCTCTGCCGTTGTCATCCTTTACCTGTGTTATTGAGTCAGAAAAGTTGACTCAACTCGCATTTTATACTTTATCATGCATTTATTAGGCGATTGGGAAGCCCCAAGCAAGCGCGGCAGATTTTCGCAAAGGCATGCAATGTTGCCAAGCAGATTGACTGGCCAGAAAAGGTCTTTGAGGCATGGCTGTTGTTTGAGCGGGAACATGGGACTGTCTTAGAATACAAGGACGCTCTGACTCGGTCTCGTGCTGCCATGAAAACCGTAGAACTTTTCCGCGCAGAGGTAACAACAGCCAAGCATGCGCCGACGGTGCGAATTGCGGCCTGGTAGTCAGCAGTAGTCTAACGCCTTGCCTTACACTGTATATTTAACATAGGTTGCGCTTAATAGTGCATACGTGGATCAGAGCGCATATGCGGTGGCAGAGCCTGCTGTAGCCATTGAGGAGCCGACACCTGTAAGTCAATAATTTTGTAGACAGTGACAGGAATGTGTGAAAGAAATGACAGATACCAGCAAGCTAATTTGCATCTACGAATATCCTATAGGTGCCTACCAAGAAGAGAAAGGTTTCGTTCCAGGACGAGGTAGAGACATTCAAAATCCCAAAAGTGGAGCCAAAGCCCAAGGGAAGGGTCAAGGAAAAGCCGGATGCGGTTGCGGAGCGAACTCCTGTCAAGAGGTACATCACTTGAGGTCAATCTGGGACGTTTGGTTCTCCACCTTCGCTGTTATTTGCTGAGAGCTAACACCCCAGCCCAAAATCATTTCGTTGCGATAGTGAGTCAAGCCATTCGCAGAAGCCACTGGATATCAGTGCTGGACGGCACGAAGATACCTTGTTTGTTGTTAACTTTAAAGAGGACACGACAGCGGCCAAGTTGAAGGAGATGTTCGGCGAGGTAAGATTGGAGGGACTTTGGACACTCTTTGGCTTGCCTTCTTGTGCTTTGAATATCAACGTACTAACCAGATTGACTGCATTTGTATTAATAGTATGGCACAGTGCTCCGATGCACGATGGCTGCACCTAAGCAGGGCAAAGCACGGTATTTTGCATACGTTCAGATGTCCAAACCTGTAAGTTTTTCATTTTCTATCGGTCGATTCCGAGACTCACCTGGGAGAGTATAGTCGGTGTTTTGGAGTTTTAATCCTGTTCAACGTTCACATTTATTTCCTTCACATAGGAAGAAGCACAAGCAGCGCTGGCTTTGGATGGACGGGATGTGGGTCACAGGCTAGGTCTGCAGGTCAGGATCTCGGACACGAACAAAGCCTCGCGAGCGCCTCCCTCCGTAAAGCCTCCGTAAGTTATTACTCATTCTTCTCGCTTATGATTTTGGTTCGGATAGTCCACTCACTAACCTGATTTGCTTACTTGAACTGCCATGGCCTACCAGGTTGCCCAAGGAGAGTCGACACGAGCTGAACGTTAAAGGGCTGGACATTGATGTCAAAGATGAGGATCTCCGCAAGTTGGTCTCCTTGGTAAGAATTAGTTTATGTTGTATCTTGCAGAAGCAAGCGCATCGAGGTGGATTATGTTGACAACTACCTAACATGTAATATATTTATGCCATCTTTCGACCTTTAGTATGCTGAGCCCGAGCATGTATATGTGCAGAGACAAGCTGACGCAAAGGGAGGCACCTGGGCCAATATCAAGTTCCACACTGAGGTATGGTATCTCTCATTACTACAACTCATCGCTCATCATATTGTTGTATGCGTGCTCGCTCTCTCTCTCTCTTGCCTTGGTTATTAACACGTCCCTCCCTCTCTTCATTTCTACCAGGCGGATGCGGACGCGGCGGTAGCGATGAGCGGACTTTCTTTCCAGGGCAAAACTTTGGAGGTAAGCCGCCGGATGTTCAAGAACCCAGAGTACGAAGGGTTGACGAGAACCGAGAGAAGGAAACTCAAGGCCAAGAAGTCAGAGGAGAAGCGAGCTCAAGGCGGTGGTCAAGATCATCCTGATCATAAGGCAGGTGGCAAGGCTCAAGATGTGGAGATGACAGAGACAGCCGCAAGTGAATCGGGAGATAAAGTGCCAACTGAGTCGTCTTCTGCCACTACAAAGTCGAATTCAGCCTCTGCAAAGTCAGATTCTGCGACCTTTGCCAAACCAGCGCCACAAACGTAAGTTATTCTTTGACTGTGTTGTTGACAAGTTCTTTAGTGTAAAAAGGTATGTTTAGGCGCTCAATTATTTACGTCAAATACTTTGTCGTTTGATTCTCGTGGACCCTATAGGAAACCGATGGCAAAGCTGACGGCAATGGCACCTAGATCGATGCAACCCAGGAGTACGATGCAAGCTGGAAAGGCGCTCCGGGCAAGACCACCGCGATCTGCTGGCACAGGAACTCCTCTTGGGGCTTTCAAGCCAGCCTCTACTACGTCTACAGGATCGTCGTCAAGCGGAGCAGGAGAAGCAGCAGCTACTGGAGTGGGTGGAGAGGGCGCGGAAGCAGCAGCTGCACCTGTGGCACCCAAGAGTAATGCTGAGTTCCGAGCCCTGATGCTGAGCGGTGGTCTCAAGAAGTCTCGTCAATGAGTTCAATACGTGAGGGAGTTTTTTTTTTTTTTTCGTTCTTTCATTTCTTGCAGATTGCTGTGACATTAAATGACTATTTGCTGCACCTGGCTAGTATTTTTTCGTTTTATCTGCGTGCTGTGCCAAGGTTTAATTGCGTTGGATTATTTATGTATGAAGAGGGGGGGGGGGGAATGTGTAGAAAACAAAGAGACCCTAGACGAAAGAAGGGAGGGTCCAGCGTTTGATCTCCTGCAAAGGGTACGGTAACCCACTGGCCTTATTACGTCCCTCAATCGAGTAGATGACTACATCCCAGCCTTCATTCTCGATGGTGGTGCTGGCAGGGATATCGACCATTGGGATCTTTTCTTGTGCGAGGCGCGTTGCCTGGTTTGTTAACTCGACGCGTTCTGCGAGGAGGGTGTCGGGGATGACAGTTGGTTGGACGTCGTCCCAGTAGCAAAGGGAGAGGTGGTTGATTTGCTTTTGGCGGAGACCAAGGTCTGGGAATGTTTGGGAGAGGGTTTGGAGGAGGTCGAGAAGGTAGGAGGAGGGTGTTATGCTAATGAGGAGGAGGGTTGGGTTAGGACGGTAGAAACCGTTGATAACTGTCTTTGGGGAGGTTGGTTGTTGGTCTGGAGTGGTTGAAGTGAGGGTTTGGAGGTGAATACACCAGGTGTCGATGTGCTCAAGGATTGCGGGGATGGTGGTGGTGTGGGTTGGTGGTGTGGGAGTGTTAAAGAATCCGACCATTGTTGTGTGGGGTGGGTAGCGGGTTGCTTCGTTTCCTGCGAAGGGTGTGTGGGTGGTGGCGGTGAAGTAGTGGGAGAGTTGGGTGTGGAGGGTGGAATGGTAAGATGGTTCTAGGTAGATGATTAGTTCTGGAGGTGGCATTGTGAATGGGTTTGGGGTGTGGGTGAGAGTGATGGGGACGAGGAAGAGGAAGGAGATGTGGATGGAGAGGAGATGGTTGTGATCTAAAAGAAGAAAGTGAGAGATTGGGGAAACGGAATAAGGAACCCACTGTAGTCAAGAGAAGATAGCTTGCGCCACCAAAAAAAAAGGGTGTTTCGTTCCTGGGCACAAAACAGCTCGATATTCATATGTGGGCGACTGCAAGAACGGCTCGACCCAGATCCCTCTGTCGTTCGACTTTGAATCGTCTTTTGATAAAGGAGGTCGAGGAGGGTGTGGTTCTTTTCAAAGAACGATCTGCAAAACCTGATTAGATTACAGGGGACCACGCACCGCAAAATAAGACTTTCGTGGAAGGAGATAGCGTAAGGACAGACAGACGACATCAAGGAGAAAAACTTGGCAGAGTGAGGTAAAGGGCTATTTCATCTTGCTCATGCCATTTTTTGCATGCATCCATGTATGCATGTGAATTATCAAACAAATAGGGTATGGGCCATCTATTCTTTTTTCGTATAATATTCCCTTAGTAAGCTTGTTCCTGTTTATACCTTTTTTCTTTTCCACTTCCTTCGCTCCCTTCTCTACCTCTTCTGACATTCACCTCCCCTGTGTCATCATCAACACCTTTTCCTCTCATTCATCATCCTCTCTTTTCCTCGCATTCGTCTTTCTTGATTTCGTTCATCAGACTCCTGCATCAGGAACCTGCTCCCTTCGCCACAACAACCATACACCGGTCCAAGAAAGAGTACGTCTTATTCGGCAAACAGAGCAGCAACAAAAACGGTTCACACGCTGGCCTCTGAAAGATCTTTCTCTAACATGCATCCAATTGCCTTTTCACAAAATAGTCAACATACTCACTCTCCTCCAAACCCCATAACTGGTCAAGTCTTTCTTACAAGGGGCAAGACCAATAGCAACCTGATTGCTCCACAGCCCAGAGACTCGTGCCTAACACGCAACTCAAAAAAGTAGATATTCTCTGCTGACGATTGTCTCTGCGCCAACGACATTGAAGACTTTGACTATTTCCCACGGACCAGGCTCAATTGCTAATGTAATGTTCATGCCATCTCTCTCTATTCAGATATACCAAAAAGAAGAAAAAACCTTTCCTAAGCGTTGACCCGTCAGCCTTGCCAAAGACCATATAAAAAGAAAATAACAAACAAGAAACACAGTAGGTATGTTGGTGTTTTCGAGAGCAAACCCACCAGAAGGATTCCTTGCATGTCGACAGCACGACTCATGCTGCCAATTTCCTTGTGCCTTGTTTGTTTGCGCAGTTCTTATTCACTCTAGATATACGCAACCTTCGCCATCCTTACCATCTCCGCCGTCAGTCGACCGACTCCAAATCCACCTTTGCAAGCCTCATACATAAATACAGAGACACCTCAAGGTACGCACCTTGTAAAGCATGCATTATCCCTCCATGACAGCCTTGCAAACGCGCCTACACAATTATTATTGATTACTAACATTCCTTGTCGTTGTTATCCACAACAGCTCGCAACATGGCCAACAATCCCTCCAACCAACCAGGTCCCCATGGTACTAGCGATGGTAGCAAAGCCAATGACACCCAGCGCGTTAGGAAGCGTGACGTAATCCGCAAGAGCTTCGGCTTCTCCAAATCCAAGGCCAAAGGGGCCGATGCCACGGTTACCAACCAGGCAGTGAGTGGTCAAACCCCTCCTCAAATTGTAGGACCGCCTACTACATCCTCAGCCAGTGACATCTACTCTATAGACAATCACGTTCTTGCTTCCACCCCTCTAGTTGACAAGTCCCTGCCTGTACCTGTCGAAACCAAGCGAACCTCGAACATCTTTCTCGAGAACTTGCCTGCACCTGTGATGAAGACTGAGTTGCCTGCCGTCCAGGATCGCATTGAGGTCACTCAGCAGTTGGCCTATTGCTGTGCCTTGCTTCTCCATGGCTCATCTCCTCCCCAAGCTACCGCTGCTGAACTTGAAGAGCAGGCCCGCGATCCCGCCATAACACTGCAGAGGTTCCAAAACCTTGACAACAAGGAACTTGATTGGCTTGCACTGATGGACAAGAACTTACCTGCGAAAGAACGTATCTACTGGCTAGGAACACGCATGGTCGACGAGTTTGCCAAAGATGTCCTCAAAGACTCGACCGAGATTGCCGAAATTGTCCTTCTTGGCCCTGTCTTGGACAAGGAGACTTACCGCAGCCTGCTGTCATGCACCATCACCGCATTCGAGCAGTCTGTTCTTCTGAATGTCGATCTCCTGCAAGGCGTAGTTCAGTTGGTCCAAGTGGCCCCTCCTGACTCTCTGATCTCCGACGACTTGGTCAAGATCCTCCGTGTCCTTAGGATTTGCTTGCAGGACACCCACCAGCAGTCCTCGGTGTACCCTTTTCATCTCACACTGGCACTGTCGCGACTTCTTGACGTGATGGCGGAGCACAAGGTCAAGGATTTGAACCGCGTCGAGGATCATGAGCCTTTGTCGGGAATCTTGTCAGGGCTGAAGAGTAGCTCGGATGCGTACCTGATGTACCAAGCTTGTTATGCATTCCAGGCGCTCCAGTATGTCCCTGATGATGAGAGTGCACTTCAGTCAGTTCTTCGACATGGGACTGGAGTTGTAAATGGCCTCATCCAGGTTTCTGGTGTATTTAAGCTGGATCTAGGAGCAGTTCTTGAGGGTCTAGGAAACCTTCAAGAAGCACTCGGCGGGATCATGGGAGTTGCCAGTGATGTCTACAAGGGTGTGAACTCTGTGATGGAGAGCGGCCGCGGAGTTCTGGATGGTCTCAAGGAAGGATTCTCTGAAGGAAAGAAGCGGTCATGGTACGCAGCCATCCGTGTTGCTCAGGCTCTTCTCCAAGCTGGCCAACTGAAGGATCTCAACCAACTCATATACGAGGCACCTTGTCGTGGTGATCCCTTGTTCCAATGGGGTATCTGCCAGATTCTGGGAGAGATCGCATCCGATGTCATGTGGGATATCAATGTCCGCCAGCAAGCCATCGACCTTCTTGGAGACCTGTACAAGAACGATTCACAGTGGGGGAAGGATGAAAGCATCAAGACCTGGATGGTTAACATTATTGGCCAACTCAGTACCGTTTCAGACCAGGCCGTCAAGACCATCACCATTGCCTTACTCAAAGACCTTCACCAGGATCAAGGCACCACCAGCCGACTCCTTTACCCACTGAGGAATCGTCTTCCTCTACCTGCATCGTCTCCAATCCTGGCGCGCGTTCAAAACATTACACCCCTCGAATACGATCTGTGCCAATATCAAATCCAGCGATTGCAGCAGCATCGCCAGACGGTCTACATTTCACCGTTGGCGAAACCTAATCTGAAGGCCAAGGATGAGGATGTATTCCCTCTGCTGGAGAAGGTCCTAGAGTTCCTGGCGAGTGAGCGACAAGTGATGTTGATACTGGGTGACTCTGGATCTGGCAAGTCGACATTCAATCGCCACCTCGAACATCGACTGTGGACCGATTACAAGCAAGGCGGACCTATCCCCCTGTTCATCAACCTTCCCGCCATCGACCGCCCAGACCAGGATTTGATCGCCAAGCATCTGAGGGCCAACAACTTCAGCGACGACCAGATCCAAGAGATGAAGCAGCACCGCGAACTCATACTCATCTGCGATGGGTACGACGAGAGTCAGCAACAGGACAACCTCCATCGAAGCAATGCGCTGAACCAGCCAGGACAGTGGAACATCAAGATGGTCATCAGCTGTCGCACCCAGTTCCTCGGAACCACTTATGTCGATCGGTTCAAGCCGCAGCCCACAGATCGTTATGCTACTGGTCCTCATGATGTCTTCCAAGAAGTTGCGATCACCCCCTTCTCCAAGGATCAGGTCAAGAACTATGTCGAGCAATATGCCCAAGATCCACAGACGATGCTTTTATTCAGAAACCAGAACCAGTCTGCCTGGTCCTCGGAGGAGTACATGTACAAGTTGACAGCCATCCCCAATATCATGGATCTCGTCAAAAATCCATTCCTGCTCACCCTCGCTCTCAAGGCTCTCCCTGGCCTGGTGGCCTCGAACAAGGATCTTGCGAGCATTCGCATCACCCGCGTTCGTCTTTACGATATGTTTGTGGACCAGTGGTTGGAGACGAACCGACTACGCATCCAAGTCAACAAGCTGAGCCAGAAGGATCTGGAAGCATACACCTCCCTGATAGACGATGACTTTATTGGATGCGGGATCAGCTACCTGCTTCGTCTAGCTGCGGCCATTTTCAAAGAACAGGACGGCAACCCGATTGTCCAGTATGTCCATCGACAGGAAAAGGACTCTTGGAAGGCGGAGTTCTTTGGGACTGATCCGGAGGCCAAGCTACTCCGTGAGGCCTCCCCATTGACTCGCACGGGCAACCAGTTCCGATTCGTACATCGATCAGTGCTGGAATATATGTTCTCTCGCGTCATCTACAACCCAGCCGAGACTGTGGAGGAAGACATGGATCCAGAATCTGAGACCGCATCCCCCACCGCTCTCTCGTCGGACGACAACGGCCCGTTATTCCAGAAGAGCTTGCTTGCTGAGCCATCCATCATCCAGTTCCTGTGCGATCGGGTCAAGTCAATCCCTGCTTTCGAGCCACAACTCCGGGCTGTGATCGATCAGTCCAAGACCGATGAGACTGCAACCATTGCCGCCACCAACGCCATAACGATTCTTGTCCGAGCTGGTGTGGCCTTCCACGGTGCCGATCTCCGCGGTGTCAAGATCCCTAGTGCCGATCTTTCCGGCGGTCAGTTTGACTATGTGCAGCTTCAAGGAGCAGACTTGACGGGTGTCAATCTTTCGAGGAGCTGGTTGCGGAAGGCGGATTTGAGTGGCGCACAGATGAAGGGTGTCCAATTTGGGGAACTACCGTACCTGGAGTTGAGTGACGCTGTGTATACCTGTGCCTACTCGTCTGATGGAACAATGTTTGCCGTGGGTGTGTTGGGCTGGACAATCGACTGCGTTAGCATTTACGACACCTCATCATGGACGAGCACCTATTCTTTTACAGTACCGGATGAAGTGCGAACTATAGAATTTTCACCCGACGGCACAAGAGTCGTGTCTGGAGGGAAGAAGAGGTTGGTTAGGCTGTGGGATTGTGCCAGCGGCCAAGAGATGTTCGTCATGGAAGGGCACAGTGACTTTGTGAAATCCGTTGCTTTTTCTCCCTGTGGCAAGCAAATCGCCTCAGCCGGAGAAGACAACACAGTACGAGTGTGGGATTCTCAGACCGGAGAGTGTCTCTTTGTCTTGGAGGGTCACACGAGCGAAGTCTCGAGCGTCAAGTATTCTCCGAGCGGAGAGCGACTGGTGTCGGGCGGTTGTGATGATACGATTCGGGTTTGGAACTCGGAGACAGGAGAGCCAGGGGTCGTTTTGAACTGTTCCCTAGGCGCGACTGACAGCCTGGCCTTTTCTACTGATGGACGGTGGATTGCTTCTGGTCATGCGGGGGGTGAATTGCAACTTTGGCACGCGGTGTCTGGAGAGCCAGGTCCTGTCCTGCATGGTCATACCGATTACGTTACGGGTATTGCGTTTTCTCCTGATAGCCGGTGGATCGCTTCTTCCAGCAGTGACGGCACAGTGAGACTATGGGACGCATCGACAGGCACTCTCATTAACACGCTGTCAAGTCACAAGGCCATTGTGAACGATGTCGTCTTTTCTCCGAATGGCCTTCAAATCGCATCGGGTGGGAAAGACAGCAGGGTGAGACTGTGGGATGTCGACTCTATTTTGACGTCGAGTGTTGAGCAGCAGGATCAAATCGGGCCAGTAGAGAAGACAGTGTACTCCCCAAATGGCCAAGCTATTCTTACAGTCGGCAACATCCACGGCCTCCGCAACAGCCAAACCGTCCAGCAATGGGATTCTCTCACAGGGGTGCCTGTACCACTTCCGATCGAGTTACCAGAATCTCTATCAGTCTGGTTCGTGTCATATTCATTAGACGGCATCCCAACCGCTGCCGTCTATCAAGACGATCAAGACGAGACTGTTCAGTTATGGGAGCTTCAGGCAGGAGGTCCAAAGTCTATTCTAGAAGTCCCAAGGCCGGCGAAGAACATTACCATGTCGCCTTGCTGTCGTTGGATCGTGTCTGTTGACTGGGAAAATACCGTGACACTGTGGGACCTTGCCAGCACTCAACAAAAGCACGTACTTATTGAGAATGGCGGAGTTGATGGAGAGAATATCAATGGCGTGGCATTCTCGGCGACCGGACATCAGCTCGCAGTTGGCACTCAGGGCGGCACCATCTGGTTCTTTGATACTCAATCGAAAGGTTTGATAACGTCCAAGTCGACACATGGGAGTATTGAGGCGATGTCGCTTTCGCCGGACGGCCAGCAGCTTGCAGTCTTAAGCTATGATAGCTCGATCTACCTTTGGGGCGTACAGTCAGAGGAGCATGCTATCGAGCTGGGAGGACACACAAAGGTGGTGAAATGCATTGCCTACTCACCTTGCGGCGAATGGATTGCTTCCGGCAGTGAGGACAACACAGTTCGAGTCTGGCGCAGGCGGCGACCACCAGGCGATATGGAGAACTGGTCGTGTGTCTCGACGATCCATGGTTACTTTGACATGGTCCTTGACATTGCCTGGAATCCGACAGTTCCTATGGAATTTGTCACTGGCTGCGAGGACCAATCTGTCCGAGTCTGGCGAGTGTCGATCGATGGTGAGGATGTTGTCGTCAAGCTACTCTGGGGTACCAATTTTGCGATTCTCCACGCCGCCGATCTTGTGCTCAAGGGTACGACTGGTCTTAGTCCGATGCAAAAGAAGTTGTTGGTCCAGCGCGGCGCCATTGACGATTCATTAACATTGGAGAAAAATGGACGACTGGACGTTGAGGAGTAGGAGGTGGATCATGGTAGCGAGAAGGTGATCAACAAGGCTAATAGTAGAATACCTTATGTGTTTATTCCTATGTAATAAAAAAGCGCTGTGCCTTTGAGGGTCGTTTTCTGATCGCTGTTGCATGTTTTGTAGTCCTGACTTTCATAGAACAGACCGAACGACATGTACTTGTTTTGTCTTCGTGCATTGGCGGGCGACATCCTTGATTCAAAACTGATCAACCGAGGAGCTCCTATTGTGGATCCCTGTTTGCACAACAGTAGTTGATAACCCTATCTGAAACTGAACGTGCAGTTCTGATACACAAATTACAGTGCTTTGATCGATGAATAAATAAAATGGCAGCGGACATTTCGTACCTGGGACTAATCTGTGCGCAGTGGAGGTGGTGATGGTAAAGGATGCCATAAAAAAGAAGAGTTCGGAGAGAGATACCTCGCCTTTCATGCATTATTCCTTTTGCTAGTTACCTTTGAAGCGTACGACTCTGCTTTCTTCTGTGGCGTCCTTTAGATAGTCGGTCAGCGGTGAGAAGGTTCAGGGTTGGGGGAACAATAACAATAAAAGAAAAGGCGAAGATCTACAAGGCCATGTGGGTTGGGTTCAGGCTCCTTCTTTTGCTCATCTGCTCCCTTTTTCTTCTTTGGCACTTTGTTTCTGTCCTTTGCTCTCTCCTTCTGCCAATGCCATCACCCTTCTCTTCCATCACCAACACATCTCCTTACATTCGATATCCGGCTCTCCTTTACATTCATTTTTTTTATTCATGAGGCCCCTCCACCAGGAATCAGTAGCCCCTTGAAACATAGTACCACTGATGCGCACAGAGAAGAGCACGTCTCCGAAAGCCAAAACAACACTTTTTCTCTTGACAACATGCCAACAGAGCTCACTCGACTTTTCACGCAGGACATACCAGATTCGGTTTTCCTTGAGTACAAAAGACACCACAGGCGCATAAAACCAACATAAAAAAGATGTTAAATCTGGGGATTCAGCTCTTATTTTGATCACAAGCGTCGAAATACACCACTTGGAGAGCAGATGTATTTCATGTCAGCCCTCAATTGTCTTGTTCCTCTTTTTTGACAACACCAGGGCTGCGAAGCCTTACAAGTCCGAACACCGGTAACTAATCGAAGAGTTGGAGACTATCATCATTCTCTTGAACAATGATGGCGAAGATGATGAAACAAAAGATCTGTGTCTTCTTTACCAACACGTCCTAGACTCGCGATACACTGCAGAGCGCACGATAACAAGGCGACCACCCCATGACCTCACCGAGATGTTCCCAAGCCTAACCAAAGCTCATAGTTTCGGTCGATGTTCAGGGCGACACGAGAAGGATTCTCGGATCATTTGGACGAGATACAGGATCATCCGGTATTCTCTAATAACTTTGTCTGGCTCCAAGCGCACCCCTCCCTGCAGCTGGCGGTTACCCTGACTCGACTCGGAGTCCATGGAACCATAGCAAGTGCCAGCAAGATGCAAGCCCTCTTTGGTATTGGCACTGGAACTACAACGGTTTACACCAGCCACGTTATTAATGCCTTAATGGAGATGCGGAATGGCTGGGGTTGTTTGGCCAAACGCCGAGAGAAGTAGGGAGATCGGACGAGTTATGAGAACGGAGGGCTTTCCCAACTGTGTAGGTTTCATTGACGGGACTACACTTCCACTTTGTATCTTTTTGCCGAGGACTTGTCCGACGGCTTACAAACATTGTACGAGATGGGAAACTTCATGTCTAACGTGACAATCTTTATTTTCTCAGTAAATCCAAAGATAAATGAAAAAAAAGCGCAGTACGTAGAACCTCACCATCAGCGTAGGAACTTTGCGAGGTAGAACACTAAACTAAATGGGGTGGGATGGGCGGGACATGAAGTGGGTTTCCCATCTCGTACAATGTTTATAAGCCGTCGGACAAGTCGTCGGCGAAAAGATACATTAATCTATTCTCACAAGGGCTGTGTGAATAAGCCATTATCCAGCTAGGGCAGACGAGCCATGTCTATGTAATCAGTCTTCATGGGTTGCACTCGAGAAACTAAACTAAGGAAAAATAAAGTCTGCTCGATCTCTGGATACCATCTTTCTGACCGAGCACGAAAAAAAAGAGAAAAGAAAAACTAAACTAAACGAAAGGGAGGGTTGGGAGGGCACAGACATGGCTCGTCTGCTCGGATAATGGACGTAAGACTTCCTTCGTCGTCTTCGTAACCCAATTTTTTTTTTTTTTTCTGTGTCGAGACAGGGTTTCGGAGTTCACTAACAGGGTCGTTTTTTTTTTTTTTGGTGGATTTTTTTTTTTTGTCCTTGCAACTTCGCCTTTGGACTTCACCATGCCTTACATTTCCGAGCGCAGATGGCTTCTTCGGGACCTAGAAACAGCAATATTTCTTGCCCAAGACGATGGTGACCATGAAGAAGCGAAGGAATTTTTTACGCCTATACGCTCTCGTTTTCTTCTTCTCGCCCGCACTAGGCGACATCGAGACGATCATTTTTTTTGTCGAAAAGTTTCCAACAATCATCCAATGAATTCGGAATATACAGGATATGCGCCATTTTGTTGAATGGTGATGTGTACTCCACAATATGTTGGCACAGCTAGGCGATACATGGGAGGAGATGTATCTGGAGGGTGAGGGTGTCAGGGACGGTAGTGAAATCTGGTTGGACTTCGTCCCAGTAGCAGAGGGAGATGTGGTCGATTTGCTTTCGGCGGAGACCTAGGTCTGGGAATGTTTGGGAGAGGGTTTGGAGGAGGTCGAGAAGGAAAGGAGAGGGTGTTGTGCTAATGAGGAGGAGGGTTGGGTTTGGGCATTAGCAGCCGTTGATAACTGTTTTGGGGGACGTTGGTTGTTGGTCCGGAGTGGTCGAAGTGAAGGTTTGGATGTGAATACGTCAGGTGTCGATATGCTCAAGGATTGCGGGGACGGTGGCGGTGTGGTTGGTGGTGTGGTTGTGTTAAAGAATCCGACCATTGTTGTGTGGGGTGGGTAGCGGGTTGCTTCGTTTCCTGCGAAGGGTGTGTGGGTGGTGGCGGTGAAGTAGTGGGAGATTTGGGTGTAGAGGGTGGTGTGGAGGGATGGTTCTAGATAGATGATTAGTTCGGGGGGTGGCATTGTGAATGGGTTTGTGGTGTGGGGGAGGGTGATGGGGACAAGGAAGCGGAAAGAGATCTGGATGGAGAGGAAGGACAAGAGATGGTGTGATCTAAGAGAAAAAGTGTTGCATGACCGTGTGAAACTTGCGCCACCAAAAAAAGTGTGTTTCGTTCCCGCACAAGACAACACGATTCTGTGAGCGACTGCAAAAAAGGCAGAGTCCAGATCCCTGGACCCTGTCCTCGAGAAAGAAGAAAAAGTCGTGGGGCAGGATCGAGGACGAACTTGACTTTGAATCGTGTTTTGATAAATGAGGTAGAGGAAGAATAATCTGCAAAACCTGATTAGATTAGAAGGGATCACACCCCGCAAAATACGAATTTTGTAGAGGAGAAAACTTAGAATGAGTTAAAGGACTAAGGTAGGGGAAGCACATTGTTCTTGCTCACAATAGGGCTGAACAGGGCACTGAGGAGGAAGTCTATGTGATCGGTCGAAAGAAGAGCAAAACGCGCTAGTAAAATCAAGACAGGGCAGATGGCATCATGGGACGAAAGGCAGTGCCATGGTTGGCAAGTGGGCTCAAATATCTCGTCGTTGTTTTTCAATGTATATTTGTCCCTTTTTGTACCTTTTCTACTTTCTCTTCCTTCTCTCCCTTCTCTTCCTCCTCCGACATTCACCTCCCCTTTGTCATCGTCAACATTTTTTCCTCTCATTCATCATCCTCTCTTCTCCTCGCATTCGTCCTTCTTGTATTCATTCGTCAGACTCCTGCATCAGGAGCCTGCTCCCTTCGACAAAACAACCATACACCTGCCCAAGAAAGAGTACGCCTTGTTCAACAAACAGAGCAGCAGCGAGAACGGTTCACACGCTCGCCTCTGAAATATCGCTCTCTGACATGCATCCAATTGCCTTTTCGAAATATGGTCAACATACTTACTCTCATTCAAACCCCATAACCGGTCACTTTCTTACAAAGGACAAGACCAACAACAACCAATTGCTCCACTACCGGGAAGCTTGTACGAAACACATAGCTCAAAAAAGTAGGCGTTATTAGATTGCGATTTCCTCTACGCGAGGAGTTCCGACTCTTTCCCGCGGAGTAAGACCAATTGCTAATGCCATGTTCACGCCATCTCTCTATCTAGATACACCAAAAGAACAAAACAAAAAAAGCAAACATCCTAGGCATTGACAGTCAGTCTTGCTAAAGATCACACAAAAGAAGCCAGCAAACAGGAAACACAGTAAGTGCCTTCGTGTTTTTGATAGCAACCCCGTCAGAAGGCTTCCTTGCATACCGACAGCACGACTTACGGTGCTAATTCCCTTATGCTTTGTGTTTTCTTGCAGTACCCACTCTGGTTACCCAACCATCTCCGCCATCCTCACCATCTCTGACCGCCTCCAAATTCATCTTTGCAAACCTCGCACACAACCACAGAAACACCTTAGGGTACGCACTTTGTAGAACATTAATTGCCCTCCATGCCAACCTTGCAAGTGCGCCTATACAATCATTATTGATTACTAACACTCATTGTCGTTGTTCTCCATACAGCGCGCGACATGGTCAACAAAGCCTCCAACCAACCAGGTTCGCATACTACTAGCGATGCTGGCAAAGCCAATGACACCCAGAGCGTCAGCAAGCGCGACGTAATTCGTGAGATCTTCGCCTTCTCCAAATCCAAGACAAAAGAGGTCGATGCCACGGTTACCAACCAGACAGTGAGTGCTCAAACCCCTCCTCAAGTTGTAGGACCGCCTACTGCATCCTCAGCCAGTGACGTTCACCCAGTTGCCGACCAAGCTGTCACATCCACCCCTCCTGTCGACAAGCCCCTGCCTGCACCTGTCGAAACCAAGAGGATCTCGAACATCTTTCTCAAGAACTTGCCTGCGCCTGTGATGAAGACTACGTTGCCTGCTGTCCAAGATCGCATTGAGGTCACCCAACAGTTGGCCTATTGCAGTGCCTTGCTTCTCTACGGTTCATCTCCTGCACTGGCCACCGCTGCTGAACTTGATGAGCAGGCCCGCAATCCCGCCATAACACTGCAGAGGTTCCAAAACCTTGACAACAAGGAACTTGATTGGCTTGCAGAGATGGAAAAGAACTTGCCTGCGAAGGAACGTATCTCCTGGCTGGGAACACGCATGGTCGACGAGTTTGCCAAGGATGTCCTCAAAGACTCGACCGAGATTGCCGAGATTGTCCTTCTTGGCCCTGTCTTGGACAAGGAGACTTACCGCAGCCTGCTGTCGTGCACCATCACCGCATTCGAGCAGTCTGTTCTTCTGAATGTCGATCTCCTGCAAGGCGTAGTTCAGTTGGTCCAAGTGGCCCCTCCTGACTCTCTGATCTCTGACGACTTGGTCAAGATCCTCCGTGTCCTTAGGATTTGCTTACAGGACACCCACCAGCAGTCCTCGGCGCACCCTTTTCATCTCACACTGGCGCTGTCGCGACTTCTTGACGTGATGGCAGAGCACAAGGTCAAGGATTTGGACCGCGTCGAGGATCATGAGCCATTGTCGGGAATCTTGTCAGGACTGAAGGGTAGCTCGGATGCGTACCTGATGTACCAAGCTTGTTATGCATTCCAGGCGCTCCAGTATGTCCCTGATGATGAGAGCGCTCTTCAGTCAGTTCTTCGACACGGGACTGGAGTTGTAAATGGCCTCATCCAGGTTTCTGGTGTATTCAAGCTGGATCTAGAAGCAGTTCTTGAGGGTCTAGTCAACCTTCAAGAAGCACTCGGTGGCTTCATTGGAGTTGCCAGTGATGTCTACAAGGGTGTGAACTCTGTGATGGAGAGTGGCCGCGGAGTTCTGGATGGTCTCAAGGAAGGATTCTCTGAAGGAAAGAAGCGTCCATGGTACGCAGCCATCCGTGTTGCTCAGGCTCTTTTCCAAGCAGGCCAGCTGAAGGATCTCAACCAACTCATTTACGAGGCACCTTGTCGTGGTGACCCCTTGTTCCAATGGGGTATCTGCCAGATTCTGGGAGAGATCGCATCCGATGTTATCTGGAATATCAATGTCCGCCAGCAAGCCGTCGACCTTCTCGGAGACCTGTACATGAACGATCTAGAGTGGGGGAAGGATGAAAGCGTCCAGAGCTGGATGGTTAACATTATTGGCAAACTCAGTACCGTTTCAGACCAGGCCGTCAAGACCATTGCCATTGACTTACTCAGAGACCTCCACCAGGATCAAGGCACCACTACCCGACTTCCTTACCCGCTGAGGAACCGTCTTCCTCTGCCTACATCGTCTCCGATCCTCGCGCGCGTTCAAAACATTACTCCCCTCGAATACGACTTATGCCAATATCAAGTCCAGCGATTACAGCAGCACCACCAGACAGTCTATATCTCACCGTTAGCGAAACCTAGTCTGAAGGCCAAGGACGAAGATGTCTTTCCTCTGCTGGAGAAAGTGTTAGAGTTCCTGGCAAGTCAGCGACAAGTGATGTTGGTACTAGGTGACTCTGGATCTGGCAAGTCGACATTCAACCGCCACCTCGAACATCGACTCTGGACCGATTACAAGCAGGGTGGACCTATCCCCCTGTTCATCAACCTCCCTGCCATCGACCGGCCAGACCAGGATTTGATCGCCAAGCATCTGAGGGCCAACAACTTCAGCGACGATCAGATCCAGGAGATGAAGCAGCACCGCGAACTCGTACTCATCTGCGACGGGTACGACGAGAGTCAGCAACAGGACAACCTCCATCGAAGCAATGCGCTGAACCAACCAGGACAGTGGAACACCAAGATGGTCATCAGCTGTCGCACCCAGTTCCTCGGACCCACCTACGTCGATCGGTTCAAGCCGCAGCCCACAGATCGTTACGCTTCTGGTTCTCAGGATGTCTTCCAAGAAGCTGTCATCACCCCCTTTTCCAAGGATCAGGTCAAGAACTATGTCGAGCAGTATGTCCAAGATCCAGAGACGGTGCTTTTATTCAAAAACCAGTCTGCCTGGTCCTCGGAGGAGTACATGTACAAGTTGACAGCCATCCCCAATATCATGGATCTCGTCAAAAACCCATTCCTGCTCACCCTCGCTCTCAAGGCTCTCCCTGGCCTGGTCGCTTTGAACAAAGCTCTTACGAGCATTCGCATCACCCGCGTTCGTCTTTACGATATGTTTGTGGACCAGTGGTTGGAGACGAACCGACTCCGCATCCAACCCAACAAGCTGAGCCAGAAGGACTTGGAAGCATACACCTCCCTAATGGACGATGACTTTATTGGATGCGGGATCAGCTACTTGCTACGTTTGGCTGCGGCGATCTTTAAGAAGCAGGGCGCCAACCCGGTTGTCCAGTATGTTCATCTACAGGACAAGGACTCTTGGAAGGCGGATTTCTTTGGGAATGATCCCGAGGCCAAGTTACTCCGTGAGGCCTCCCCATTGACGCGCACCGGCAGCTTGTTTCGCTTCGTACATCGATCGGTGCTGGAATATCTCCTCTCTCGCGTCATCTACAACCCGATCGAGACTGTGGGGGAAGACATGGATCCAGAATGTGAGAATGCATCCCCCTCCGCTCTCTCGTCCGATGGCAACGGCCCCTTGTTCCAGAAGAACCTGCTTGCTGAACCATCCATCATCCAGTTCCTGTGTGATCGGGTCAAGTCAACCCCAGATTTCGAGCCACAACTCCGGGCTGTGATCGACCTGTCCAAGACCGATGAGACTGCAACCATCGCCGCCGCCAACGCCATAACGATTCTTGTCCGATCTGGTGTGGCCTTTCATGGTGCCGATCTCCGCGGCGTAAAGATCCCTTGTGCTGACCTTTCCGGTGGTCAGTTTGACTATGCGCAGTTCCAAGGAGCAGACTTGACGGATGTCAATCTTTCGAGGAGCTGGTTGCGAGAGGCGGATTTGAGCGGCGCAAAGATGGATGGTGTCCAATTTGGGGAACTCCCGTACCTAGAGGTGGAGAGCTTTGTGCGTGCCTGTGCCTACTCGTCTGATGGAAGAACGCTTGCCGTGGGTGTAGGGATTTTGAGAATGGGTGTTATCATTTACAACACTTCATCATGGATGGAAACCTATTCTTTTGCAGGACCGGATGAGGTGGAAACTTTGGGATTGTCTCCCGACGGCACAAGGGTCGTGTTTGGAGGGGAGGATGGGTTGGTTAGGCTGTGGGATTGTGCCAGCGGCCAAGAGATGTTTGTCATGGAAGGGCACAACAACTTTGTGTACTCCGTTGCCTTTTCTCCCTGTGGCAAGCAAATCGCCTCATCTAGCAATGACGAAACAGTACGAGTATGGGATTCTCGGACCGGAGAGAGTCTCTTTGTCTTAGAGGGTCACACGGACGAGGTCTGGAGTGTCAAATATTCTCCGAGCGGTGAGCGGCTGATATCGAGTAGTTGGGATGGGACGATTCGGTTTTGGAACTCGGAGACAGGAGAAGTAGGGATTGTTTTGGACTTTTCCATGGAGGAGGTTCTCAGTCTTGCCTTTTCTACTGATGGACGGTGGATTGCTTCTGGTCATGCGGGGGGCGATTTGCAACTTTGGCACGCGGCGTCTGGAGAGCCAGGTCCCGTCCTGCATGGCCATACCAGAAGCGTTACGGGAATTGCTTTTTCTCCAGATAGCCGGTGGATCGCTTCTTCCAGCCTGGACGAAACAGTGAGATTATGGGACACGTCGACAGGCACTCCCATTAACACGCTATCAAGCCATATGACCGCTGTGAACGATGTCGTCTTTTCTCCGAATGGCCTTCAAATCGCATCGGGTGGCGATGACAACAGAGTGCGGCTGTGGGATGTCGACTCTATCTTGATGTCGAGTGTTGAGCAACAGGATCAACCTGGGGCTGTAAGGAGGACAATGTACTCTCCGAATGGCCAAGCTATTCTTACTCTCAGCAACGGCAAAACAGTCAAGCAATGGACCTCTCTGACAGGAACGCTTGTGACACCTCCGATTGAGTTACCGGAATCTCTATCAGTCAGATCCGTATCATATTCATTGGACGGCATCGCAACCGCAGTTGTCAAGCAAGGCATGACTCTTCGATTGTGGGAGCTTCAAGCAGGAGGTCCAAAGGCTATTCTGGAAGGCTACAGCGGGGCGAAGTACGTTACCATGTCGCCTTTCTGTCGCTGGATCGTTTCTGTTGACTCGAACAATACCGTGAAGCTATGGGACCTTGCCAGTACTCAAAAAATGCACGTACTTATTGAGAATGACGGAGTCGATGAGGAAGGAATCCGTTACTTGGCATTCTCCCCGACCGGACATCAGCTCGCAGTTGGCACTCGGGGTGGCACCATCTGGGTCTTTGATGCTCAATCGAAAAGTCTAATAATGTCTAAGTCCACACATCGGGGTATTGCGGCGATGTCGTTTTCGCCGGACGGTCAGCAGCTTGCAGTCGGAACCGGTGATTGCTCGATCTGCCTCTGGAGCGTGCAGTCAGAGGATTGTGCTATCGAGCTGAGAGGACACACAGAATGGGTGGAATGCATTGCCTACTCACCTTGCGGCGAATGGATTGCTTCCGGCAGTGCGGACAAAACAGTTCGAGTCTGGCGCAGGCGGCGACCACCAGGCGATACGGAGACCTGGTCGTGTGTCTCGACAGTCCGTAGTTACTTTGATCCCGTCCTTGACATTGCCTGGAATCCGACCGTCCCTATGGAATTTGCCACCGGTTGCAGAGACGGATCTGTCCGAGTCTGGCGAGTGTCGAGCGATGGTGAGGGTGTTGTCGTCAAGCTACTCTGGGGCACTAATCTTGCGGTTCTCAACGCAGAAGGTCTTGTGCTCAAGGGTGCGACTGGCCTTAGTCCGATGCACCGGAAGTTATTGGTCCAGCGCGGCGCCATTGACGAGTCTTTGACTTTAGGGGAAGTTGGAGGTCTGGGCGTTGAGTAGTAGGAGGTGGATCATGGTGGTGGGAAGGTTATTAGCAAGGTTATAGTATAATACATATGATGTATTCCTACGCCTCCGCGCGCAAAAAAAAAGGTGCTGTGCCTTTGAGGTTCTTTTTCTGGCCGCTGTTGCCATAGAGGAACAGACCGAACGACATGTACTTGTTTTGTTTTTTCGTGCATTGGCAGGCGACATCTTGATTCAAAATTGATCAACCGAAGTGCTCCTGAATCTCCGTTTGCACATAATGTAGGTGATAACCAAATTATTGCGCTTTGTTCGATGAATAAAAATGGCAGCGAATATTTCGTGCCTGGGATTGACTTGTGCGCAGTGGAGGATGCCATATAAAAGAAGGGCTCGGTGAGAGATGCCTCAACCTACATGCATTGTTCCTTTTGTTAGTTTCCTTTGAAGTTATATAACTCTGCTTTCTCTTTTGGCGTCCTTTAGATAGTCGGTCAGCGGCGACAAGGTACAGGGTTGGGACAACAAAAACAATAAAAGAAAAGGCGAAGATCGACAAGGCCATGGCTCAGTATCGTCGAAAAAAATAAAAAAGTCATGTCTGGACGTACTCCCCTATCATTGTTTAGTTTGCATTGCTAACAACATGGCAATTGTCATTTTGATTATTAGCGCTCGCAACATGACTCATGACTCACCCATTCAAACACATGCCAATGGAGACAAAGACGACTCTAACAACAAACAACACACCGACAGTTTTCACGGCATCGAAATCGACGTGCAAGATACAGTACATCTCGAGGATGACCTCTGCAACTTCCGATGCGGCGGCTAGGGGAGTTAAAGCAGCTCATCTACATCCTTCCTATGGCTAAGGCCAAACTCCAAGCCCAAGACAACGACCTCTTCTCTCTCAAAGAGAAAGTGCAGGAGTTTTTGGCGAGTCAACGTCAAGTGATGCTTATTCTAGGTTATTCAGGAGCTGGAAAGTCAACATTTAATCGACACTTGGAACACCAACTCTGGACAGACTACAAGCATGGCGAATCCATCCCTCTCTATATCAACCTTCCCACCATTGACGACCCAGAGCATGATCTGATCGAGAAGCAGTTACTGCAGTACAACTTCTCGGAAGATCACATCCAGGAGATGAAGCACCACCGACAGTTTATTCTTATCTGTGATGGTTACGATGAACGTCAGCTCAAGATCAATTTCCACACCACCAACCAGCTCAACCAGCCGGGACAGTGGAGATCCAAGATCGTCATCAGCTGCCGTAGTCAGTTTTTGGAATCGGACTACCGCTCTCGATTCCAGCCTCAGCCTGTCGACTGGGACCAGTCGACTTGGACAAATCTCTTTCAAGAAGCTGTTATTGCGCCTTCGTCCAAGGAGCAGATCGAGGAATATGTCACCTGCTACGTCCCGCTCGAGCCTCGACCTTGGGTTACGGGGGACTATATGCGGATGCTCACCACTATCCCCAACCTCATGGACCTGGTCAAGATCCCCTTCCTTCTGCCGCTAGCGCTCGAAGCTTTGCCATCCATTGCCGAGGGCAAGCAGGATCTCTTGACTGTCAGGGTAACCCGCGTTCAACTCTATGATATCTTTGTTGAACGCTGGCTGAGTGTCCATAGAGGTCGTCTCCAGGACAATGACTTGCCACAGGATGACCGACGGGCCTTCAATGAGTTATTGGGTGCAGGCTTTGTATCGATGGGCACTGATTACGCCATGAGGCTGGCGCTGGCGAACTTTGAGAGACAGAATGGAAACCCAGTTGTCCAGTACACCCACTTTCATGACCACGACACCTAGAAGGCAGAGTTCTTTGGAACAGATCCAAATGTGCGACTGTTGCAGGAATATTGTCCCTTGACTCGTACAGGCAACCAAATCCGGTTCCTTCATAGATCCATGCTGGAGTATTTCTTTTCTCGAGTTGTCTACAACCCGGTCAGGACGGACGATGACTCTACAACGGAAACGGAAACACCTTCCTCTACCGCCCATGAGTTTGACCCTAGTAACCCATTGTTCAGGCGTAACCTACTTACTGAACCCTCCATAATTCAGTTCCTATGCGACCGCGTAAAGCTCGACTCGACTTTAACCAGCAGCTCCTCTCTGTCGTCAACCTTTCCAAGACCGATGCCGCCGTCACCACCACTACTGGCGCCACCAACGCCATAACCATCCTAGTCAAAGCCGGCTTTAACTTCAACGGCGCAGATCTGCAAGGTATCAAGGTCCCTGGCGCCGACCTTTCTGAAGGTCAGTTCGATTCTACTCTGTTTCGAGGAGCCGACTTGGTGGGCGTGAACCTTACACGGAGTTGGTTGCGGCAGGCTGACTTGAGAAATGCGAAGATGGAGGATGTGCGCTTCGGAGAGTTGCCAAATCTTGAAACGGGTCGGTGGGTGGAGGCCTGTGTGTATTCTCCTGATGGCAAGATATTTGGTGTAGCTCAGCGTGGTGGCGGGCTCATTATGTACGACACATCAACCTGGAACATGCTATGCCAAGTCGAGAACGTTCGGGATGCCTTCTGTGTAGTGTTTTCGCACAACAGCAGAGATATCGTATACGGCTGCAACGACCACACGCTTGGTGTCTGGGATTGCATCAACGGGGAGAAGGTATTTCATGTGAAAGGTCACACCGAGGAGGTTACGTCTGTTGCTTGCTCACCTTGCGGCACACAGATTGCGTCCGCCAGCAACGACTACACAGTGCGGATATGGAACTCTCAGACGGGAGAGAGCGTCTTTGTCTTGAAGGGCCATACTCACAAGGCCCGAAGCGTCAAGTATTCCCCGGACGGTCGACATCTTGTATCAGGCAGTTGGGATGGCACGATTCGGTTTTGGGATCCAGAGACAGGGGAGCCAGGGGTTGTTGTGACTCCTCCTTTGGGAGGGGTATACAGCCTTGCCTATTCTCCGGATGGCCAGTGGCTTGCTTCTAGTCACGACAATGGCGCAGCACAGGTCTGAAATGCTGTCACCAGAGAGCTAGGCCCAGCTCTACGCGGCCACACCAACACTGTTGGAAGGATCCTGTTTTCTCCGAACGGTCAATGGATTCTTACTTCGTGCGAGGATCTGATGGTACGATTATGGGATGCGTCGACGGGGAGCCTTTTTTCCATCCTGACCGGTCATAGCAACTTCGTGTGCGATATTGCCTTCTCTCCGGATGGTCGCCAGATTGCGTCTGGAAGAAACGGCGGCAAGGTGCGCTTGTGGGATGTCGAGACTTGTTTGTCGATTGTCGAGGTGAAAAGTCGAATTCAATATGTACGGAAGGTGACATACTCGCCCAATGGTCACGCCGCCTTCTCTTACAGTATTCGCAGCACAGTTCAGCAATGGAAATCCTCGACTGGAGAACCTGAACCAGCTCCGTTCACGACCCCAGACTTTTCAACGATTATATCTCCGTCATTTTCGCCGGGCAATTGGGATCAAATGGCGACTAACGGTGGCTATAATGCGATCCGATGGTGGGATTGTCGGACTGGCATGTAGGGACTTGTGTTGAAGGGACATAAACAAGCAGTAGTCAAGATAGCCTTGTCCCCTTGTGGCCGCTGGATCGCGTCGTTCAGCAGGGATGAGACGATTCGACTCTGGGACCTCCACGACACGGACCAGCAATACATTCTTGCCGATCTCGACGAAGGGAACTATTCTGGCATTGGCGACATGATGTTCTCGCCCTCTGGACACCAGCTTGTAGTTGTTTGTGCGACCGGTCATGTAGTCCTGTTCGTTGCAGATACCCAGGAACTCGTCCAATGCAGAAAGTTGGTCTGGAAGGAGGCCTTTCAGAAAGTAGCCTATTCTCCAAACTGTCAGCAGCTCGCTCTAGGGACCAGCAGGACGATCAAACTTTGGGACTTTGTTTCGGAGGAACCGAGTGCGATGTTGGATGGACATAACGGTATGATCGTATCCATGGCCTATACACCTTGTGGCCAATGGATCGCGTCCAGCAGTGTCGACAACACGGTTCGAGTCTGGAAGCGTCAGCCTGAAGATGTAGAGGCAGAAGTGGCAATGGAGAGTTGGTTGTGTGTTGCGTCAATCCTCGAGTTCTTCAATACCGTGCAGGACATTGCTTGGAATCCAATTGTACCAATGGAGTTTGTCACTGGTTGTCAGGACGGATCCGTTCGTGTCTGGCGAGTGTTGAGCTATGGTGAAGGTGAAGGTGAAGGTGAGGACGAGAAAGGTGTTGTGGTCAAGATGCAGTGGGGCACAAACCTTGGGCTTTTGTGTGCCAGCGGATTGATTATGAAGGACGTGGGTGGCCTTAGTGCGGAGAACAAGAAGCTATTGGTGCAGCGTGGTGCCATTGACGACTATGTAACTTTGGGCGAAGGTGGACGATTGGATGTCGAAGAGTAGGAAATGGATGACGAATGGAGTCGCAAAGAAATAAAATCAGACTGAATATACTTTGCCTGCATTTATGCTGTTATTTTACTGCTGTTGTTTCTAATATTAAACTGACCATTGCTATGTCCTTGACAATTCCCTCAGCTCAGTCGCTGATAACCTTATCTGGGACGCGACTTGTTTTGGATCTGATCGCCAGATAAGATCTGCGATGGACAATCGCGGCTTCGACGTTATTTTCCGCGTCAGCTTTTATTTTTCTTCGCTTACCTGGGTTACAGGTTAACAGGAAGGATAATACCGATGTCGAGACCATAGGCTAGGCTCGTTGTGCATTGTACCACATCGTTTCCCCCACCTCTCTCTCTTTTTTTTTTTTTTTTTTTTTTTTTGGGTAGGCGGTGAAATCTCTCTAGTAAACGCATGAAGTGAGTGAGTGAGGTGGAGAGATGACGTGAGAGTCAACTCCGACTTAATCAACACTCAAAATATTTTGTCTTGATTCACTTAGGGTTTTTTTATGTCGTGGGACATGGTGAATTGTTAAATGTCCGAGGGGGTGTAGCGAGGTTGGCCAATGGTCTGAGTGCAGCTCACAAGCACCGCTGATGAACCTAAAAAAGCAATAGAAAGCAAGGGAGTAGGTTAGCTTTTCGGTGGCGATAATCGACCGGTGAGGGTGTAGGTGTTGTAGTCAGGTAGCTGTGGGTTCTTTAGGATCCTCTGTGCCGCAGAGATGATACTCAGGGACGTTGCTGGTCTGAGCCCGAACAACAAGAAGGTGCTGACCCAGAGTGGGGCCATCGGTAGCTCCTCGATCCTTGCGAGGATGAACAATGGGGAGTAGCCAGTGGAGCTCTAGTTACGAAGAACGGAGGCGCAAAGGACTCATTAATAAAAATACATCTGATCAATTGTCTCTTTTGTCCACCTGGATCTGAATCTGAATCCGATTGTTCCCGATGTTACAGAAGGCAGGGTTTGTAGGCAGGATTGTAGGATAGCTGTAGTACCCTCAACTGGTAGCAAATAAAGAGAAGACGAGTCTGTGATGCGGCAAGGAAACACTTGTCATTTCAGTTGCTATGTCTCACTGCAATATGTTAAAAGAGACAGGGAGCAAGCAAGCGACCTCTGGTGCACTACAAATACTACAGTAAAAGTGCGATTAATTAGACCACAGATACCTCACGACATACGGAAAAAGTGGCACTGATTGAAACGCCATCTATCTAGGTCTTCACAGAGGAGGGGCAAAGAAACTCATATGAATAAAAAATATGATTTGATCGATAGTCTCTGTCTGGTACAAAATATGCATCATGGTTCTCGCTACTAATTTTAGCTTTACTATTCTCCTTGTTCAAGCATTCATCTTTTTGTTGGCCTGCTGTACAGGTGCAAGGGGTAAAAATGACGGTGTAAACCATTATGGCTCACTGTATTGACATAGGTATCATTGTCTACGGTGCCATGCCCATATGTGTGACTTCTTTTATTCCTTTTTAACTGACGAAAACTAAATGTTCCTTCTCTTCTTTTCGACAGCAAGGGTGGTGAGGGCGGGACATATGTCCATGGCACCTATGACAATGCAAGTAGTCCGTCCTCTGTAGGACACTTGTGGATCAAAGTCATGTGGACTCGGATTGCCCTTCTTTTGCTTTTCTTCTCTCTTTTTTTTGTATCCCTTCCTTCTCTCTTTTCGTTTCTCTCCTTTCTCACTTTCCCTCCGCCAACATCATCGCCCTCTCTCCTTTCATCAGCAACACTTTCTGCTCATTCAACATCCACCCTTTTACTACTTTTTACATTCATCAGACTCCCACGTTTGGAATCAGCACTTTTGAACAAACCAACAACCAAGTTCAAGAGGAAGTAAGTCGTTGTCGGTCAGAAACATCAAACACAAACAAGGAACAAGAAAAAAGAAAAGCGCTCGTGTATTTCTTCAAGACTGCCTTCCCTTACCCTATTCTTTCCTCCCCTTGCTACCTGCCTCTAGTCAACAACCTCGAACCTAGCTCTTTAAGACGTCATGTCCACCTATCCTTTTTACATATTCTACAAAGTACCACTCCCAGATCGCGTCAGACACGTCTTGAATGCCATGGAGCGTGAAGATCACATAGAGTTGACGTACGTGGAAAAAGATACTACTGTGGATGAATACAAGTCTTTTATTAGGTCTGGTCCTGTCGAATTGGGCCCATTTGTCGTCTATGATGGGTTTAAATCCAAAGATGGGACAGATTGTATTACGTGGTTTAACATGAATGAGGATGACGGTCTGTTGTGTGACATAGACTCATCTTGGTATCTTCTGCGTGAATTTTTATTGGGGTTCTCTGGAATTGGTGAACTTCTCCAATATGTCAACGAGGAAGGTATCTTTACGGCCGCTGAAGAGCCCTGAGATTAACATGCATTTCACCGTTGAGGAATTATTTTTTTTAATTAAAATATGTTGCACATCATATCCTTCTTATTCTTCGCAACACATGTTATCGCCCAACAACATCTCATCGTTCCCGATGCCAACGGAATACCTCGGGGAGTTATGGTACATGATTGGGACACGATGCCCAATATCGTTAACGGCATTCTTAATGCTGCATGGGGACACGACAGAGGTAAAAGAAAAGGGTGGGGCATTGATCGATTGTCTCTGTCTGGCTGATAACCTTATTTGAGACTAACCTGATTCTGATTTGGTGACCAGTTGGATAGTTGGATGTGTTCGTTTTTCGCTTGTCTTGTCTTGATGCTGTTGGCTGTTCCGAAGAGGTTCAAGGGGCTCTTGCAGGTGTCAAGAAAGACAAAGTGGAACAGTAGCTCGTGACTCTCTCTTCACCTTTCTCCCATCTTCTTGTCGTCCGACATGCATGCGTATCGATCACAACAGTAACAGAAGGGAAAAAAGAAAGTAATGCGTTTCTGACAAAGGGTATGGACGCACAGGGACAGTGGCCGGTGAACTTACAAACAAGCGAACAAACAAACAAACGAACAAGCGAACAATTCACACACACACCATGGCGCATCCTTATTTTTCTATCATCTTCCTCTTCTTTCTTTCTCGCTTTTCGCCTTGCTAGCACTTTTCACCCACTTTTCACTTTCAACCCCAAGACTCATTCAGTTGTCTGTTCACCACTTCCTCCTTCTTCCATCATATCCTCTCCACCAACTCGCGCGCAGAGTTTATTTCTCTTAGTATTCAAGCCCGACTTTCGAATGGGGAGGCGATTACAAAGATCTTTTCGCCAGAGGTGCTGTTGAAGGATTTGTTGGATCGATTGTATTCGAACAGGAGGTGGGTTAAACATAAGGAATGGAAGGCTTATCCTCAGTTGAGGCCTATTCCTCTGGTGGAGGGAGGATGGTGCGGGCCCGAGGTTGTGGTTGGTGAGGGAGAGAGTGCGCCGTCGGAGCAAAAACAGGTGTGTTTGAGAGGCATGCTCAAAAGCAGCACGAACTGGATGCACAGAAGAAGCGGTGGAGGATTGGGACAGGTAGAGGTTGTTCCGGGTGTGTTTATGTTAACTCCTTTGAGCCCCTCATCTCCGTAAGTATCTGCATGTGTTGAGAAAGGTGAATGCCATCATTAACGCGTTTTGTCGTTGTCTCTTTGTTTTGTTGTGGATTGATATGACATAGACGATGGAGACGGAGACGATTGCGGGAAAGAACATTGCTAGGCTGTTGTGCGACTGGATAGTGGGATATTGCCCTGTGGAGAAGATAGTTAAGCGATAAAACAAGCATCAACAGCACATACACACATAAGCACTCATAGGAATAAAATGGCACATTGGTTATCTTTGGTTCTTGTGGATGTGATGCATTGTAAGGCATTCAGGCGGTGCAAGGGTGAGGCTAGGCTGGACAAGGGTCAAGAAAGCGATCGATTGAAGGGGGAGCGCAAGTAAAAACAAGATAGTGCAAATGGCAAGTGGGCTCAAATATCTCGTTAATGTGCGCTTCTCCCATTTCACACCTTTTCTACTTTCTCTTCTCTTCCTCCTCCGACATTCACCTCCCTTTTGTCATCGTCAACACCTTTTCCTCTCATTCGCCATCCCCTCTTCTCCTCACATTCGTCTTCCTTGTATTCATTCGCCAGACTCCTGCATCAGGAACCTGCTCCCTTCGACAAAACAACCTTACACCTGTCCAAGAAAGAGTACGCCTTGTTCAGCAAACAGAGCAGCAGTGAAAACGGTTTACACGCTGGCCTCTGAAAGATCGCTCTCTAACATGCATCCAATAGCCTTTCACAATATAGTCAACATACTCCCTCTCCTTACCCCATAACTGGCCAAGTCTTTCTTACAAGGGAAAGACCAACAACAACCCAATTGCTCCACAACCCGGAGACTCGTGCCTAACACAAAACGTAAAAAAGTAGGTATTTTCTGCTAACAATTGTCTCTGCGCCAACGACATTGAAGGCCTCGACTCTTTCCCGCGGAGCAGGTTCCATTACTAATGTCATGTTCACGCCATCTCTCTATTTAGATACACCAAAAGAACAAAACAAAATAAAACAAACATCCTCGGCATTGACAGTCAGTCTTGCTAAAGATCACACAAAAAGAAAATAACAAACAGGAATCACAGTAAGTGCCTGCCTTGGTGTTTTTGATAACAACCCCGCCAGAAGGCTTCCTTGCATGTCGACAGCACGATTCATGGTGCTAATTTCCTTGCGCTTTGTGTTTTCTTGCAGTACTCACTCTGGTTACTCGGCCATCTCCGCCATCCTCACCATCTCTGACCGACTCCAAATCCATCTTTGCAAACTTCGCACACAGCCACAGAAACACCTTAGGGTACGCACTTTGTAGAACATTAATTGCCCTCCATGCCAACCCTACAAGTGCGCCTACACAGTTATTATTGATTACTAACACTCGTTGTCGTTAATATCCATAACAGCACACAACATGGTCAACAAACCCTTCAATCAACCAGGTCCGCATGCTACTAGCGATGCTGGTAAAGCCAATGACACCCAGAGCGTCAGCAAGCGCGACGTAATTCGTGAGATCCTCGCCTTCTCCAAATCCAAGACAAAAGAGGTCGATGCCACGGTTACCAACCAGACAGTGAGTGCTCAAACCCCTCCTCAAGTTGTAGGACCGCCTACTGCATCCTCAGCCAGTGACGTTCACCCAGTTGCCGACCAAGCTGTCACATCCACCCCTCCTGTCGACAAGCCCCTGCCTGCACCTGTCGAAACCAAGAGGATCTCGAACATCTTTCTCAAGAACTTGCCTGCGCCTGTGATGAAGACTACGTTGCCTGCTGTCCAGGATCGCATTGAGGTCACCCAACAGTTGGCCTATTGCAGTGCCTTGCTTCTCTACGGTTCATCTCCTGCACTGGCCACCGCTGCTGAACTTGATGAGCAGGCCCGCAATCCCGCCATAACACTGCAGAGGTTCCAAAACCTTGACAACAAGGAACTTGATTGGCTTGCAGAGATGGAAAAGAACTTGCCTGCGAAGGAACGTATCTCCTGGTTGGGAGCACGCATGGTCGACGAGTTTGCCAAAGATGTCCTCAAAGACTCGACCGAGATTGCCGAGATTGTCCTTCTTGGCCCTGTCTTGGACAAGGAGACTTACCGCAGCCTGCTGTCGTGCACCATCACCGCATTCGAGCAGTCTGTTCTTCTGAATGTCGATCTCCTGCAAGGCCTTGTTCAGCTCGTCCAAGTGGCCCCTCCTGACTCTCTGGTCTCTGACGACTTGGTCAAGATCCTCCGTGTCCTTAGGATTTGCTTGCAGGACTCCCACCAGCAGTCTTCGGCACACCCTTTTCATCTCACATTGGCACTGTCGCGACTTCTTGACGTGATGGCAGAGCACCAGGTCAAGGATTTGGACCGCGTCGAGGATCATGAGCCTTTGTCAGGAATCTTGTCAGGACTGAAAGGTAGCTCGGATCCGTACCTGATGTACCAAGCTTGTTATGCATTTCAGGCGCTCCAGTATGTCCCTGATGATGAGAGTGCACTTCAGTCAGTTCTTCGACACGGGACTGGAGTTGTCAATGGCCTCATCCAGGTTTCTGGTGTATTCAAACTGGATCTGGGAGCAGTTCTTCAGGGTCTAAGCAACCTTCAAGAAGCACTCGGTGGCATCATCGGAGTTGCTAGTGATGTCTACAAGGGTGTGAACTCTGTGATGGAGAACGGCCGCGGCGTTCTGGATGGTTTCAAGGAAGGATTCTCTGAAGGAAAGAAGCGACCATGGTACGCAGCCATCCGTGTTGCTCAGGCTCTCTTCCAAGCTGGCCAACTGAAGGATCTCAACCAACTCATATACGAGGCACCTTGTCGTGGTGACTCCTTGTTCCAATGGGGTATCTGCCAGATTCTGGGAGAGATCGCATCCGATGTCATGTGGGATACCAATGTCCGCCAGCAAGCCATCGACCTTCTCGGAGACCTGTACAAGAACGATTCACAGTGGGGGGAGGACGAGAGCGTCAAAACCTGGATGGTTAACATTATTAGCCACCTCAGTACCGTTTCAGACCAGGCCGTCAAGACCATCGCCATTGCTTTACTCAAAGACCTCCACCAGGATCAAACCGCCACCATCCGACTTCCTTACCCACTGAGGAACCGTTTTCCTCTGCCACCATCATCACCTCTACTCGCCGGTGTTTTGGCTATCTCCGACATCGAGTACGATCTGCACAAACTGAGGTTGCAGCGGCTCGAGGAGTACAGCAAGGGCGTTTACATCCCTCTCCAGGCTAAACCCAGCCTGCTGTCACCCGACGATACGCTGTTTTCGCTCATGGAGAAAATTCTCGAGTTCTTGGCTGGTGAACGACAGGTGTTCTTGGTGCTGGGAGATTCTGGTGCCGGCAAATCGACATTCAACCTCGAGCTGGAGCACACTCTGTGGAAGGACTACAAGAAATACGGACCCATTCCTCTCTACATCAACCTACCCACCATTGACTATCCGACACACGACCTCATCGAGAAGCAGCTCCAGTATCTCAACTTTTCAGAGAACCAGATCCACGAAATGAAACTGCACCGCCAGTTCATGCTTATCTGCGACGGCTATGACGAAAGCCAGCTTAAGACCAACATTCACACCACCAATCAGTTCAATCAGCCAGGGCAGTGGCAAGTCAAGGTCGTCATCAGTTGCCGCACCCAGTACCTCGGACAAGACTACCGCTCTCGCTTCCAGCCTCAGCCTGTCGATAGGTACCATCACACTGCGACAGATCTTTACCAGGAGGCGGCGGTCGCAGCTTTCTCCACAGCTCAGATTCAGCAGTATGTTGACGATTACGTCAAGGAACTACCCATGGTCGACCCTATCCATAACAAACCGACATGGACAGCAGAGGAATACATGGACAAACTGGTCAACATCCCCAACCTCATTGATCTCGTCTCCAACCCTTTCCTCCTTACGTTGGCTCTGGATGCTCTCCCATCTGTAGTCGCCTCAAAGACAGATCTCTCGACCATCCGTATTACACGTGTGCAGTTGTACGACAGTTTCGTCAGGCGGTGGCTCGAGGTCAACCGTAAGCGACTAGAAGCCAGCCCCTTGAGCAGCGAGGAGCGGTCGGAACTGGATATGCTTATCGAGGACAACTTTCTCTACCATGGAATCCACTACCAGAAGGATCTCGCTACCGCCATCTTCATCGACCATGCAGGAAATCCCGTCGTCAAGTACACCCACCTTCGCGACAAGAACACCTGGAAGGCCGCGTTCTTTAACCCCAGTGGCCAAGCCAAGCTGCTTCGAGAGTCGAGTACGGTGAAGCGGTCTGGCGCCTTCTTTCGGTTTCTTCATCGTTCGCTACTGGAGTACTTTTATTCTAGGACTATCTACGACCCTCTCGATTATGACGAAGAAGCTGTTGATGGCCTCGACGAGCGGGAACCGGGCCCTGATCTCATGACATGCCTGTCTCGGTTGAACATTGTCACGGAGCCATCGGTCGTGCAGTTCCTGGCTGAAAGAGTGCGACAGAATCCATCTTTCCGGCAGCAGCTACTGGATGCTGTCGAAGAGTCCAAGGCGAATGCGACGACTGACACGGTCAAGATTGCAGCGACGACCGCCATCACGATTTTGGTCAAGGCCGGCGTGACCTTTCATGACGCAGACCTCCGTGGTGTCAAAATCCCTGGCGCCGACCTTTCCGGTGGTCAGTTTGACTATGCGCAGTTTCAAGGAGCAGACTTGACGGGTGTCAATCTTTCGAGGAGCTGGTTGCGAGAGGCGGATTTGAGCGGCGCAAAGATGGATGGTGTCCAATTTGGGGAACTCCCGTACCTGGAGTTGGATAACAGTGTGCGTGCCTGTGCCTACTCGCCCGATGGAAGAACGCTTGCCGTGGGTGTAGAGATATTTGGAATCTACGGCGTTAGCACTTACAACACCTCATCATGGACGGAGACCTATTCCTTTGGAGCGCCGCGTAAAATGCAAACTATGGCATTTTCACCCGACGGCAAAAGGGTCGTGTTTGGAGGGAAGGGTGGGTGGGTTAGGCTGTGGGATTGTGCCAGCGGCCAAGAGATGTTCGTCATGAGAGGGCATACGTATAAAGTGAACTCCGTTACCTTCTCTCCCTGTGGCAAGCAAATCGCCTCATCCAGTGATGACGAAACAGTACGAGTGTGGGATTCGCATACCGGGGAGAGTCTCTTTGTCTTGGAGGGTCACAGAGACCAGGTCAAGAGCGTCAAGTATTCTCCGAGCGGAGAGCGGCTGGTGTCGGGCGGTTCCGATGATACGATTAGGTTTTGGAACTTGGAGACAGGAGAAGTAGGGATTGTTTTGGACTCTTCCTTGGGTGAGGTTCGCACTCTTGCCTTTTCTACTGACGGACGGTGGATTGCTTCTGGTCATGCGAGGGGTGGATTGCAACTTTGGCACGCGGTGTCTGGAGAGCCAGGTCCTGTTCTGCGTGGTCATACCGGAGGTGTCACAGGCATTGCGTTTTCTCCAGACAGCCGGTGGATTGTTTCTTCCAGTCACGACTACACAGTGAGACTATGGGATGCGTCGACAGGCAACCCCATTAACACACTGTCAAGCCACAAGGCTGTGTACGATGTCGTCTTTTCTCCGAATGGCCTTCACATCGCATCGGGTGGTGATGACTGCAGGGTGCGGCTGTGGGATGTGGACTCTATCTTGACGTCGAGTGTTGAGCAGCAGGATCAAATCGGGGATGTACGGAGTACGGTGTACTCTCCGAATGGCCAATATATTCTTACAGTCGGCAACAGTCACACGGTCAAGCAGTGGAATTCTCTCACAGGAACGCCTGTACCACTTCCGAGTGAGTTACCGGAAACTAAACTAGTCTTGTCCGTGTCATATTCATTGGACAACATCCCAACCGTGGCCTTCAATCAAAACAGGGCTCTTCGATTGTGGGAGCTTCAGGCAGGAAGTCCAAAGTCTATTCTGGAAGGCTCCAGCGCGGCGGAGTACGTTACCATGTCGCCTTGCTGTCGCTGGATCGCTTCTATTGACCTGTACCATACTGTGACGCTGTGGAACCTTGCCAGCACTCAACATGTGCACATACTTAATGAGAAGGGCGGACCTACTCGCGAGATTATCAGCTGCTTGGCATTCTCCCCGACCGGACATCAGCTCGCAGTCGGCGCTTCGAGTGGTGACATCTGGCTCTTCGATCCTCAATCGAAAGGTCTAACAATGTCCAGGTCCATACATTGCTGTGTTGGGGTGATGTCGTTTTCGCCGGACGGCCAACAGCTTGCAGTCGGAACCTATTATAGCTTGATCTACCTTTTGGGTTTACAGTCAGAGGAGCGTGCTATCGAGCTGAATGGACACTCAAAAAGTGTGCAATGCATTGCCTACTCACCTTGCGGCGAATGGATTGCTTCCGGCAGTGAGGACAAGACAGTTCGAGTCTGGCGCAGGCGGCGACCACCAAGCGATACAGAGACCTGGTCGTGTGTCTCAACGGTCCGTGGTTACTTTGACATGGTCCTTGGCATTGCCTGGAGTCCGACCATCCCTATGGAATTTGTCACTGGCTGCAGCGACGAATCAGTCCGGGTCTGGCGAGTGTCGAGCGATGGTGAGGATGTTGTCGTCAAGCTGTTCTGTGGCACCAATCTTGCGGTTCTCCATACCGCCGGTCTTGTGCTCAAGGGTACGATTGGTCTTAGTCCGATGCAAAAGAAGTTGTTGGTCCAGCGTGGTACCATTGACGACTCTTTGACTTTGGAGGAAGATGGACAATAGAAGTCAATGGCTTTGTCGAATAATTTTGAAGTGCAAGCTCTTTTTTTTTCCAGGAACAAGGAACAGACCCATGCTCTGATGCTTCTTCAAGTTCGTTCCGGAAACACGCAACGTTCATGTTTGAAGAAGCCATTTCAAGGTACAACATGTACATGTAGATTGAAATACAAGAAATAAGAAACTATGTTTTTGTTTTGCAATAAAGAGAGGGTCTAATAGTTAAGAATAGTGTGTTGCTTTTGTTGCTGTTGTTGTCTGTTTGTTTTGTTGTATCGACAAAATCCCCCCCACTCCTGAGATAAAAAAAAAATAAACCTCCCAAAAACCCGCCCTCCCATCCATCGCCAACCCCTACTTCTATAGGACACACATCAAGTCATCCAAAACCTTGGGATGGATATGTGGCTGCATCGCCGCCTTGGCAATAACTTCCGTGTACTGGACCAACAGGTGCTCATTATCCTTCGAGACCACCCGTAAAGTCTCGACCGTCCGCATGCTCGCTGACGTGTACGCCGGCGTCCGCACATCCGCCAATATCACGCTCAGCCTCAATAGACAACTCACAAACCCGGGCTGCAACACCATGTACCGCCGGAAATCCATCTCCGACAACGCCGCTAGGTTGTACGCCGCCAGCATCAACGTCTCCAGATGCGCCAGTCCCGAATGTGGCATCACCACTCCCGTCGCCTGTTGTGCCGTCACCGTCGTCAGCGCCTGCGCCAGCATCGCAGAAATCGACTCAAAAAGAGGCAACAGGAATCCACCAGTCTCCCACTTTTCTGGTTCATCAAAGCTCAACATGTGGTAGTTGTGGTGGCTGCGGCTATTATGGTGATGATGACTTGAAGACGACGACTTTGGATTCCGGGTCGGCAACCGTCCGCCATTACGTTGTTTCACACCCTCCATCCTCAGATCCCGATCGACACTCGACAGCAATAGCCGGTTGTCGTGGCTGATCCCAAGCTTTGCAACTGCTTCCAAGGCTAGACTGGCGTAGTACGTGTCCTGGGCTTGGAGAAAGTCTAGGATCAAAATCATGATCCACTGTGCGCTATCCGAGTCCGGTAGAATCAGGTACCCCGAAAGGTTGGCCAAGATCGTCAAAATGTCTTTCCGGTGCTCAAGGATCGTCAGAGCCCCGGTCGACGGGAGCCAGCCATTCTTCTGATACGTCTCCTCCAGTGACCTTGATGACTCCTCCTCCTCTGTCGTTGTTGTCGCGGTGCTGCTATTATTGTCGTCACTACTCCGTACGGCGTTGGACTCGTCGGCATCGCTCTTGACATCCTGTGCTCCAGCACCAAACGACTGAGAAAGGCCCTTCATCTGCAACCTCAACAGCGTGCCCTTCAGGACCTGCAGGAACCGTGGGTAGTGCGCCAAAAACTCAAAGTTGCCCGGTGAGAACGACAGATTCCGGAGGAGGTTGGAGAGTGCCAAAAACTGGTCCTTGTTGGACGACCATTCTTGGAACCGAAGCATCGTCTGTGATGACTCTGTGTCCGTGTCCGAATCGCCTTCCTGATCATCCACCAACATCAGCGAGCCTGGCTGGATCTCCATCAAGTGACAAGCCTCATCTACACTGGCCTCAAACAGCTCCTCGTAGGTATCAAAGCGGGCCTTCTGTGAGAAAATCGGTGGTGGTGGTGGTGGAGCGACCGACTTTGTACATGGCTCCGTGTCCATCGCGTCCTCTACCAGTTCGGGTTTAGCTGGTGCCATTTGAATGCCCTCGCCGACCTTCCAACTGTCAAACGTCTCTTCCGTCAAGTCCAGTATCGTATCCAACAGCTCTGGACACCGTGCAAGTTGCAAGTTGTCAGAATCCTGTCTCGTGAGCGTTGATAGCGTGTTCAGCGCAGTAGTCACCTCCATCTTCATTCCCGACTTTAGTGACATGATCAGCGCATGAATGTCCACCGCGCCTACACAAGAATATAACATAGATAAAATGAGTCAATAAAATGCAAAAGGCGAAGGTGGAAAAACAATGGAAATTTCAACAACAATTCCGCAATATGACAAAGGCTGCAGCCTTACCAAGGTGTTCACGTGCTGGAACATAATGCGGGATGTGAAACTTTTCCATGGCAAGAATGTCAATGCCACCGTAGGTGTCGACTGCTCTTGTGATGGGATGGTATGCAACCACCATAGGTAGCTCTTCCACAACTGGCGATGGCTCCTTCACCGAAGCAGGCGCAGCTTTGCTCGGTGCAGCTGGTTGTGCCGATACCTTGGCCGCATCAACGAGTCCATGAGGTCCATGTCCATGAGGCAACGACGATGGCAATGTGATGACCGGTACCGGGACAGCCATCATGGCTTGAGCGAATCCAAGAGTCGAGTCGGGAAGACCTGTGGAAGTTGCCGTGGGTCCGCCGGGCGCTCCTGGTCCTTGCATATTGGCAGCCGAAGCGCCGCTAATAACAGGGGCGTCGCTGCCTGGAGCTTGCGTCAAAGCATTAGGATCAGCGACGACACCTCCTGCTCCTGCTCCAGTTGCTCCTGCACTTGACGCGTCCTGTCCAGATCCATCAGCTGCGCCTTGCGCCTGCGCAGTGGGTGCTGAAGATGCGGGCAGTGCCTGCGTGTCTGTAGAGACAGGAGCCGAGGCATCACCTTGTGATTCACCCTGGGAAGTGTTGGAATCCTTGTCCTGACCTGCAGCAGCTTGTCCAAGGTCAGGTGTCGCGCCTGCAGAGGCATCCTGGCCTGGAACGGTGGTGTCAGGGAGGGATGGCGATGCTTGAGCCTGGGCTTGTGCTTGAGCTTGAGCCTGGGCTTGGGCCTGTGCCTGTGCCTGCTTCAAAAGCATGGCAGTAGGGTAGGGCGAGAATCGCGCAGACGCATTGGTGGCTGGACCCGAAGAAGTCATGGGGCCAGTAGTGGGGACCCGTGCATTAGGCAAATGTGGTTGCTGTTGCGCTTGCGACTGTTGGGACTGCTGCTGCGCCTGCTGTTGAGCCTGTTGTTGCTGCAAATGCTGCTGTTGTTGCATCTGCTGCTGCTGCTGTTGCGCCTGTTGTTGCTGAAGTATCTGCTGCTGTTGAATTTGCTGCTGCTGAATTTGCTGCTGCTGCTGCTGGTATAACTGGAGCTGGTGTTGTTGCAGCTGCATCTGGTGTTGCTGCATCATAGGATTAGCTGGGAACCCTTGCTGGTGGAGGAGGTGAGGGGCGCCCATACCCATCTGAGCCATTTGTCCTATTTGACCCATTTGCGCCATCTGACCCATCGGGTTCATTGGGTTCATCTGGTTCATCTGGTTCAGCTGTCCCATTTGACCCATTTGACCCATTTGCGCCGTCTGCTGAAGGCCTAGGTTCATATCCATCCAAGCGGAAGTAAGGAGAACATTTGTTAGTCTAGCACAATTAAAACGCGATGTGCTGTGTCATTTGTTCATATAGTCGATATATTAAACATACCTTGGTTCTCCATAGGGTCTGGCAATGGAATCACTGGCACAACACCAAGTGACGGATGGACGGTCATGCCAGAATTCTTGGCAAGCGTGAGAGCTTCCTCGAAGGGATGCAAAAGGAGAGAATAGTGTTTCCGGAGTGTTTGGGCGGCGGTCGCAAGTGTGTCCGGAATATCCAGCTGACTTGCGATGCTCTTCCACGCCTTCTGCTTGGAGACCTATAATATCGCACAACGACAAGAAGAATGTGGAGACCTATTAGCGGAGCACTTCAAATTCGCATACCCAAAACACATTTAACATAAAATAATAAGGGCACTTACACTCTCCATTCCTCCCATTGACATGGAGATGCGGAACAGCAACAACAGGTTGATCTTCTTGCTGCCCATGCTTGGAATCTTGGTTGGCAAAGGGGTGTTGCGGTTCTTCATAAAGTCCCGAAGTTGCTCCTCGAACTCGTCACCAGTGATCGTCGTGTAGTCAATGTTCAGGTTGGGGATGACGTTATGGATAATAGGCAGACTGGCATTGGCTTGAGATGGCGAGGACTGGGCTGAGGTAGGCTGAGATCCTTGCTGCTTCCTTGCTTTCGCTCCTGCGCCGCCTGAGAGCGCATTGTTCGCGGGAATGCCGTTTACGTTATGCATGTGCTGAGGAAGTTGCTGTTGTGGGAGCTGTCCTTGCTGCTGCTGCTGCTGCTTCTGTTGTTGCTGCAACTGTTCGAGTTGCTGTCGCTGCTGAAGCATCTGCTGCTGCATTTGAGGCGTTCCTTGCAGGTGCTGTTGTCCCTGGAGGTTCATCTGCATCTGCATCTGCTGGCTCTGCGCTTGCTGCTGGGGGGTATAAGGAGGAGAACCGAAAACGCCCTGCTGCTGCGCTAGGAGCTGCTGCTGCTTCTGCTGGGGGGTCTGTGCCATCATCATATTGCCCAGAGCATTTGGAACCATCTTGGGACTCTGGTTGGCGCCTTGCCCTGCTGCCGCCGCAGCCGCCGCAGCTTGTTGCTGCATGATCTGCTGACGGAAGCTCCTTATCTGCATCTCGGCTTGGAATTGCTGTTGCTGAGCTGCTTGTTCCCGCATGTTGTCGAACTGGGAGTTCACCGTAGCAATCACTCCTGCGTCTCCGTTAGCTGCAAGAAGTGCTTGCTGCTGCCGCCGCAGAATCTCCTCTAAGGTGTTCTGGTATCGTTGCCGGCTCGCTTGTTGAAGAAGGTTCATCTGCTGGCGCATTTCCATGGAGATGAAGGGCATGCCTGGGGTCACTCCATTGGGCATCTGCTGGCCTGGTTGCTGGGGCTGGCCTTGTGCCTGCTGCTGGGCCTGTTGCTGCTGGAGCTGCTGCAACTGTTGCTGTTGTGGCGAGGGCTGCATCATCATACCTGGAGGGGTGTGGCTGTTAGGGCTCATGCCATTCCGGTTCTGATTTAACTGCTGCTGCTGCTGGAGTTGTTGCATCTGTTGCCTCTGCAAGTTCAATGCTGCCGCTGGTGTTTGCTGATTTTGCTGATTTTGCTGATTTTGCTGAGGCTGTGCAAGTGGTTGTTGAGCTTGCTGCATCTGTGCTTGTCCTGGGGTTCCTGGAAACGATGAAGGCGAGCCAGTCGCTTGGTTGAATGCAGTTCCTGCTGCCATAGAGCTCTGACCATTAGCACCACCGTTGTTGGTGTTGTTGTTGTTATTGGTGGCGTTGGCATTGGCTGGGGAGTTGTTTGCGTTGGTACTGGCGGCGTTCGCGTTATTGTTACCGGCGTTGCTGTTGGTGGTGGTAGCTGCGGTGGCTGCTGTGGACGTGCCCTCGTTTGACGTGCCGCCATTTTCATCAGTCGATTTTGGAGGGCTGGACTGTGACGCTGTCGTGGGAGGACCCATGTCGGTAAAGTCTACAAAGGAGTCCAGTCCGAAAAGATCGTCGTTCATATCGCCACCGGGTGTCTGGCCAGCCTTTGATGCGTCGGTGTTAGTATCCACTGTAGAGGGCTGTGGCTGTGGTGGTTGTTGCAATTGAAAGTTGTTCAACATCGACGTCTGCTGTTGCTGCTGCTGCTGTTGCTGCTGCTGCTGTTGATGCTGTTGCTGCTGCTGTTGTTGTTGAAACTGCTGAAGCTGGAACTGTTGCTGTTGCTGTTGTATCATATGCTGGTGTTGGATTTGACGCTGTTGTTGTTGGCTCAGGGCTGCAAAGGCCGGGTTGTTGCCATTCATCTGGAAGGGGGCGCCAAGTGCTTGTCGCTGTGCGAGGGAGAAGGCAGGATTCTGCCCTGCCATTCCTGGGTTTATATTCGGCATGGCGTTTGCCATCGTTGGTGTCCCGTACATGCTCCTGATCTGTGCTCCTGTAACGCCATTAGCTAGAATAGTTCACGAAGAGAAACAAAAGTGTAAGTAAAAGGACGATGAGTATTTTTTGAAGCGCGCCGCGTTCCATTTTTATGTTGTTTATCTCTTTCTTTCATCGTCAAACTCATTTCCATCTCCCGAGCCCCTTTCAACACCATCAGGAAAGAGCAAAAAGCAAGAACAGCAAACACAACAGGGTGGTCTGAGCTCTTTCGATACAGTGTCAACTCTGTTTCCCAGGCGCAAAAAGACGAGAGAGAAAGAGGAAGAAGACAACGTACCATTCATCCTCCCAACCAAGCCAGCCTGCGAGAACTGCAGCTGTGGGTTGAACTGGCCGTTGTTGGGTGTTTCGTTAGACATTGTGTTGCGCGCGACCTTGGAGTCGGGAGGCGGTGTGAGGAGAAAGGACAAGGGGTGTCGAGTGTGTATCAAGTAGCGGTCCAATTGACGGTGCCCCGACCTTTGATGTAAATCGTCCCGGCTGGAGTAAAAGAGAAAGAATAGAAGGCCCCCTGGAATAGTTGACGAAGAGAGAGAGAGAGAGATATATAAAGACGATGCGTCAGCAATGCGATGTGGCCCTTTTATTATGTCGGAGGTGTTCACCCCCCCTCAAAAAAAAGAACCAAAACCCTCGAGGCTTTCTTTTTTTTCTTACTGTGAATCTGATTCGACTTCCTCTTTTTGCTTCTTTCGCTTTTTTAGGAACAAGGATATTTTGCGAGCTCGAGGGGTGAGAGGTGTGAAATGAAGAAAAGACGCTAAAGAAGGAGATCGCAATGTAAACGAAGAGAATAAAACAAAGAGATCGCGATGAGGGTGCAAGTGAAGCAACGGCGAGAGGGAAGGGGAGGATGAGGAAGGAGCGAAGGATGAAGATGTAGATGAAGAAGGAGGAGGGTGTTGACTGGAGTGAAGAGAGAAGGAGAGAAGGTGAACCCAGGCAAGAATGGGTGGATGGCGAACTCAATCTTCAGTGGGAGAGAAAAAAGGAGTGAGCGGAAAAGTGCACACTGCAGCCATTGCGATGATCAGACACTTCCTGTCACGTGTACTCTGAACATCTACGCGATGTATATAGTTATGTAGTGTAGAGACAAAAGTTGGCGGCAAAAGCGCAAATAAGCATGGAACAACGACAAGGACGAAGGGGTTGTGTTGAAACAAAGGGTTTTTGTTTTTTATGTAGTTATGAGTGACAGTGGTTGGAAACTATGTGCAGGTGTATATGTGTGAGGAAAGATACAAATGATCTTAATGGTACTATGTTACAATGTTGAATTGAATGAGATGGTTTGGAAACAGGGAAAGGAGAGCAAAAAACTGAAGTTTGTTATGTGTTTTTCCTCATACACCGGCTTGGAGACAAGGACACGCAATAAAGCATGCTGTTGTGTCCACCGCTTAGTAGCGGTAGTGCTCGGGCTTGAAGGGACCCTCGGGAGAGAGACCGAGGTACTCGGCCTGGACAGGGGTCAACTTGGTGAGCTTAACACCAATCTTGGCCAAGTGAGAGGCAGCGACTTCCTCATCGAGCTTCTTGGGGAGCATGTGGACGCCCAAGGGGTAAGACTCAATGTCGGTCCAGAGGGCAATCTGGGCCAAGACCTGGTTGGAGAACGAGTTGGACATGACGAACGAAGGGTGGCCGGTGGCGCATCCCAAGTTGACCAAGCGACCCTCAGCCAAGAGGATGATGTGGTTGCCAGAGGCGACCTGGAAGCGGTCGACCTGGGGCTTGATGTTGACGTGGGAAATAGCGTTCTTCTTCAACCAAGCGACGTCCAACTCAATGTCGAAGTGACCAATGTTGCAGACAATCGAGTCATCCCTCATGGCAGCAAAGTGCTCGCCGCGGATAATGTCACGGCAGCCGGTGGTGGTGACAAAGATGTTACCCTCCACGACGGCCTCCTCCATGGTGGTGACCTCGTAACCCTCCATAGCGGCCTGGAGAGCGTTGATGGGGTCGATCTCGGTGACGAGGACACGGGCACCCATACCCTTGAGAGCAGCGGCGGAACCCTTTCCGACATCACCGTATCCGGCAACGACGGCGACCTTACCGGCGATCATGACATCGGTGGCGCGCTTGATTCCGTCGATCAAGGACTCGCGGCATCCGTAGAGGTTGTCGAACTTGGACTTTGTGACAGAGTCGTTGACGTTGATGGCGGGGACCTTGAGCTTGCCGTCCTTGAGCATCTTGTACAAGTGGTGGACACCGGTGGTGGTCTCCTCAGAGATACCCTTGATCTCGACAAGGAGCTGGGGGTACTTCTCGTGGATGAGGGTGGTCAAGTCACCACCGTCGTCCAAGATCAGGTTAGGGCCCTTGCCATCCTTGAAGGCGAGGAGTTGCTGCTCGAGGCACCACATGTACTCCTCGTCAGTCTCACCCTTCCAGGCGAAAACCTATGTCGTTACAAATTAAAATCAAATGTTTGTGGGTTAGTTCCTCTGGAGTTTTTTCTCTTTTCCACTGCGTTTATCTCGAATATTAGGAGTTGTGTACAACAACAACGTGGTGCAAGACGGTGCTGGAATAACAATAAAAAACATACGGGGACACCGGACTCGGCGATGGCGGCGGCGGCGTGGTCCTGGGTGGAGAAGATGTTGCAGGAAGTCCAGGTAACCTCAGCGCCGAGGGCAGTCAAGGTCTCGATCAAGACGGCGGTCTGGATGGTCATGTGGAGCGAGCCGACAATACGAGCACCCTTGAGGATCTGCAGGGGACCATAATTCTGGCGAAGAGCCATAAGACCGGGCATCTCGTTCTCAGCGAGTCCGATCTCCTTGCGACCGAAAGCGGCGAGGCTAATATCAGCTATTGGGGAGAAGTGTGAGAAAAAATAATGAACAGTTGGAGGTCAATGCGTGGCAGGAAGGACGAAAGACAGGGAATGCGCGATTATGCGGTTGAGGCTTAGTGTTCGACGAAAGTGTATGAAAATGACCCCCTGAAGGTGTTCGCTGCTCATGGAGAACTGTGCGGGCGTGTGTGGTCAGGGGAGAGGAAGAAGACGAGGGTGGACCAGGGGGACATAGGAAACGAAAAAACACCGTGTGAGAATAGCGGAGTGGAAGTGGACAAAGGGATTTGGGGATAGATCGACTTACCGACTTTGTAAACCATGGTGTAGGTGTGTGTTGTGTTTGGGGGTTGGTGTTGAAGGGTGCGTGGGGATTTGTGCAAAGGAGAAGCGCAAAGAAGAAGGGAAAAAAAGAAAGAAAAGAGGAAAGAAGAAAAAAAGTCAAGTCATATAAATACTCGTGAAAAAAAGGGCCTGGGTCCTGGGTTTGCCAGTCACATCCTCCTCTTCCTCCGCCGTCAGGACGACAAGCGCCCCCATTTTTCTTTTAGCTTTTTGCATGGGTGACAGAGAATGTGAATCTAGCGTAGTCGTTGGGCTATTGCTCTCGTCTTTGGATTGAATCTTTTCTTTTCTGGGGAAAAAAGAAGGCGTTCTTTCTGTTCTTTCTCCTTCGTTCTCTTATCCATTCACCCCTCTTCTCGTTCTTTCTTTCTTTTCCTCAGCTCGTGTCATTTATGCTGACAAGCGCCTTCTCTACTGACTCCTCGATATTCGCCATCCCTCCTCACCAATGCAATTGATGTACATGAGGCCATGTGCGGAGCCTGTGTCTGCGTAAACGCACAGACGCAGTGGTACGATAATACCATGGTGCCTATCTCAATGGACAATCGCCCTCTCGCGAGGTCGATCCTTAAAGAAAAAGATACGCATGGAAATCGAGGAATGAGCCGCTTCGCCTCAATTGAATCCCCTTTCTTGTCAAATGCGATGGCCTGCTTTGACGACAGCGAGAACAAAATGGACAGGGGTGCATTTTCGCATGCCCGCCCTATCTCTCTTTTTTGCCCCACGAAAGTGCCTGTGCTCGCGACCTCTTTCCCTACTCCGCTCGGTCGCCAATGACAATCCATGTGACGACAGTGGCTTTGACAAAAGAAATTCGCACGGCGACAGATAAAGGGGAGCTGTATCCAGCGCTGAGACAAGGGAGGCACTGCCAGAGGGACATCTCGCACCTCACACTCCACTCCTGTCGTCCTGCACGTTGTGCACCTGCGCGCTTTCTGTCCGTCAAAAAAAAGGGAAAAAAAAGACCCAGCCTTGTCCTGCACTCTACTTACCCCACTCTCCCCATTGCCAACTTACCTTTTTCGCCATTTCACATAAACCGCACAAATGGCCGACAACGACAGTGACATCCCCACCATCGACGCCATCTTTGTCGTCCGCTTCGACACCCGCCAAGGAAACGTCCTCGAGTGGAGCGACTCTACACCAGGTATGCTCTATTTTCATTGACCACTTGTGCCAGAGTTACTTGTTTGCAACAGGAAACGGAGGGGAAGCTGGAGTTGGTGGGGGGGAGTAGGAACCAAGTGCTCGTCACTAACAATCTAATTGTTGCTGCCTCTCTACGCTATCGTTCTGTAGGAATTCAGCTCACCGGGGTAGAGTTTTCGGCACTTCCAAGTGGACTCCACACTACCTCACAGGATGTTATGTAAGAGGGAACTTTTTCGACCTTTTTCATTTTCACTCTTAGTGAGCGAGTGTGCGCGCACGGCATGCTTTTCAAGTCCGAAAAATAACTCACATGTCCATCGCTTGTGGGTTTTTTTTTTCAATCGAAACAGATATTTTCAATTGGAAGGATGTGTGGGCGTAGCCGTCTTCAAAAACACACCAGCAGACCGCGAAGAGCATCGGGGCGCAAGGATGATTTCTGTGGGAGTCCTCGTCAAACCATCTGCGGATACTGGACGTTGTGGCCAGGTCTGGCGACACATTGACTTTTTGAAGAGTCGAGCTGGGTAAGGACTATCAATTGACTGGAAAATAGCCAGAATGGTGGCATCTGGAGACCAATAAGGTCTGACCATGTGTCTTCTTTTTCAACACTATTTAGACACCATGTTATTGAAGGCTCGGACACGGCGGACTTGTCTGACTACTTCACGACCCACAAAACACTAGCACCTACGGCACGACCATCTTCATCATCATCCAGCAAACGGGATTCGTACAGGGCTCTGGGTCGACGTAGGATCAGTCGCTCGTTCACTCTTTCAGAACCCATCCAGGCCATCCAGTCAGCGCCAGGGGGAATGCCAGAGAACTCTGATGCGGATGAAATTCCTGTAAGTCTTTGTCCATTTCAACTTTCAACATCCTTGCTTACCGTAAATATGCTTAATTTCATGCCTTTACTAACGAGGCTGTTGCGTTTTTAGTTGTCGCATCCCTCACACCAATTCCTTCAACTGGTCGAATCCTTCGGACCATCTGTATATACCCTTTGGAAAGCCGCCCTGTCCAGGAAACGCATCCTCATCTATACCCCACCTCCCATCGAGTCTACCTGCTTAGCCGGTAAGGTTGTCTAATGCCACCATTTCGGATTGACCAAAAGTGCACTGGTTAGCCAGTGAATGCAAGAACTAACAAACGTTTTTTTTTGGTCTTTTGCATTTATTTAGTGTACAATATTTGCTTGATGGCAACGATACCATCAGGAGAGATTTCGTTAGCGCAAACTAGATCAAACGAGCGGCTCCAACCATTGTTCTGTGTCGGGATCCATGATATCGACCACATGTCCAGCGTCAGCGGCGGATTCGTTGCATGTAAGTTTGTTTGGCGTTGGTAGCGAGCAGTCAACATCGCTGGAGGTAGAAGCACTAACATTTATTTTCATGTTTCACTCGGTGATAGGTACGACGGAAAAGCTGTTTTTGTTCAAGCTTCACCTGTTCGACCTCGTCGTCGATCTTTCAACGTCTTCAGGAAGTGCTGTTGTCTATACATCGCCCAAAGAAGCACACCCACGTCTCTCAATAGTCAAGGAAGTCGGTGGAGAGTACGCACTGGAGGCCACAGAACCCTACATGGCCGACCATCGTCGATACTTTGCACTCATGCAGCAGTTGGCGAGATATCAACGACGACAGGACTGGATGCAGAAGCGACTTGTGGAGGAAATCTCTGAAGCGGAGGCCAACCGAGATGGGGGTAGCGGTAGCGATGCAATGACATTAGAGGACCCGGATCATCATCGTGATGGAAGTAGCGGCGGTGGTGGTCATCGACAGGGCTCAGGATCCAGTAGCAGTAGTACTGGAGGGTTCAACATGTCGGATACTCTGGGAATGATGCTGACAGGTGGATGGTGGTGGTGGTATGGGAGTGATGATGCCGAGGTGGAGGATTATGAACCGTTGATTCCGAATAAGTCTGTGCCGGGTCAGGGTCAGCAGGACGGAGACGATCAACGTCGCAATGGAACTCGGATTCAGGTCTTGCAAATGCAAACCAGTGGCAGTTCATCTACCGAGGCCATCAGGTACGCTTCCTATTCCTAGTTTCGGGGCTGTTGTTTACTCTGGGCTTCTTGTTTTCATTTGGCTCATTCTTATTCATTTATCAATTTTGGTGGCGTGTTGTTTTAGATGCTTCCACAACCTGACAAGGACAGTTCTCTTAGAAATGAGTCGACTGATCGCGTTCAAGGCAACGGCGGCCATCTTTGATGACCCAATCGAGTCCTCCTTCTCATCCGAAAGAGGAAGCGCAGACGAGACAACTGTTGCCTCTGCTTCTCATACCGCCGCTGCACCTCTGCAGCTGAGTCGACACGATGTGCAGCAATTGGGTCTGGATCTGTCGAGGGAGGGCAAGTTTGTTGAGGAACTAAGCCATATCTACTTTAATGCAGATGTTCGAGTTCAGGACGGGCTGTTGCGTGGATGGATTCAGAGTCTTGGTGGTTGCTGTAGTTCGAACCACACTGCATCTTGTTGTCATCTCTGTGGATAGGAAGATGACGAGATATGCGGAGCGGAGAGGAGAGAAGAGAAACGACGAGGAAAGAAGAAAATAGTGTCCCTTGTGTATGTTGACATGCATTGTCTTGCTGGTGCTTTCTTTTGTCACTTTTTTTTTTCATTCTTTGTAACCCTTTGACAGGAGACGACATAATAAACAAAAACGCATCCACTACTGCATCATGGGCGATGAAAGTCGAACGGATGAAGACAAAAAAAGCAAATAAAAATAAGGGGTCAAAAAAAAGAAAGAAAGAGGGTAATGCAAAAAGGGGCAGAACCGTCACCTGCCACTTTCCGTTTTTCATTTCTGCATTGCTCCTATGCTCATTTTTTTGTGTGTTTTGATTGCTGCTGTTTCTGCTTGCTCCCTTCCTCCCTTCCCCTGATGCTGCTTTTGCTTACCCCCCACTTCTGTGTCCCTACCAACAGAAGAGGATGAATAATTGAATGAAAAAAATGCAAAGCATGTATGAACTGGAATTGGTAGGAAGGGAGGAGAAAGGGGGAGAAGAGAAGGGGACAGGGTCTTGCCATGAGGCAAGGGATGTAGTATGACAAGGACAGACAGACAGACATACACAAAGCAGTTCATTCAACCTCCCATCACTCCCTTCCCCCTTCATTGACCCTACTTAAATCACAGTTCGGTATCGGTCTAGTAAAAATGACTAAAAGGGCATGTTGCACACTCCATGGAGGTTGCTGTGGTTGTTGCATTGTTTTTTCTGGTGTTGTCGTTGCAAGGTGTTCAAGAAGAACAAGATGTTGGGAGGTAATTGCTCTCGAGGTCGAGGAATAGGAGAATATGGCGTTCTTGCTGCTCTTGGTATTTTCCAGCCTAGGGCGAAGGTCAATTAAAAAAAGGTGAAGACATACAAGAGAAAGGGTATCGTTGTCGTCCTTGGTTATGATTTGAAGGCCCTCGGAGTCTGTTCGTGCGATGCTGCCTTTGTCCCGCTGTCTGTCCCGATTGATGTGCTGTACAGACGCGGATAAGGCGAAGGAATAGATATCACCCACTCTCGATAATGGGCCAACGGTAACAGATATCTCACATAACGGTTGTTTGACAATGCGGGGAAAGCAGGGCATCATCAACCACACAGTAACAAACCAACTGACGGTGTATGCCACCCCTCATCACCGACAGCAAACAAACAACGCACAAATTGCTTCTTTGGTGCTCTTGGTGGTTGGTCGACCACTCTCTCATTGCTCAATCAATCCTCACAGCCATCTCTTTCGCACACACACACACACTCTCTCTCTGTCCTCCTACACGTCTTTGTATGCCCTATCGCTTTTTGATCATGGAACTTTCGACAGGCCTTCTTTCTCTCTATTTTCCACCCCTGGCTCAAATATCTCCTCCCTTTCAGTTTGGGTGGACATGCATCCTAAGGTTGTACCTGCAACTTATGTCCTCCCACTTCATATTATTCCAATGTACCGTTCACAGTTAGCGAAAGGAGAAATAAAAAGGGCGTTTTTTATGCAGGCAGTGTTTTGTTTTCTATCTTTTTTTTCCTTTTCATTTTCAGTATCAAAAAAAGCGTTAGTGCTATTCATGCGCCAGAAAAAGAAAAGGAAAAGTGAGAAAAGAAAAGGTAATAATAAAGAGAGAAATGAAGAAGCAAGACAGAGAAGGAGAAGGGAAGGGAAGGCTAGACCACAAGATATATAAAGGTTGCAGCAGCGGTTTTCTTGTGTTTGTTGTTTTGTGGGAAGTCGGCTCTCGTATTTATTTCTTTCTTTTCTTTATTTTCTCCTTTGTGCTATTGAGAATGCATATACGGATAGAAATCAATAAGCATTGTGATGATGGCTAATGCGAATGCTAATGCTGCTCATACTTTTCTATGTGTCCTGGCTGTCTCCGTTTTGAGTGCTCGTCGTTTCTTTCTCACCTCCAAGTCTCCTCCTGTTGGTCTTCGCTCCTTGGTGCCTTTTGACTCGTCGTGTATTTCCTCCGTTGTATGTGGGTCTTCTCCACCAATTAGCCCGCAGACAAAGACAGACTCAATGCCATTATGCTTTTCTCGTTTTTTTTGTTCATGTGGCGATAAGGTCCATGTCGTCTTCCTTGTACCTGAACAGAACCAGTAAACAAACAGGTGTCCTTTTCTACTACGATGACTTTTGTTGCATTTTGTCACGACTCTTAATGTTTTTTCTTGTTCAATGTCGTTATTGTCTTTGTTACTTGTCTTTGTTGTTACTCGTTGATCGTTTGTAAGTGGACAGACGATCGCCTGCTTTCTCGTCTCTCCTTCTCTCACTATGAGACCGTCGATTTTAAACTTTTTTTTGCCACTACACACACACATACGCACCTTGTTCGCTTCCTTCTGTCTTTTTCTTCCCTCCTCTCTTGTTTTTATCTCGCCTTCCATCTCCTTTTTCCCTTTTCTTCTCTCTCTCTCTTCCCTTTCTTCCCTTTCTTCCTCTTTTCTTTCCTTTTCTTTGTTCATCTCCCTCGACCCACCCCGACCACCCTCCACCTTCCCTTCTCCCCTCTTCCCTTTCCTCCACTTCTTTGTTGTTTTATTTGCCTCTCTTATTTTTGTATTTACTCGTGTGTTCGTTCCTCCTTCACTGTCTGTCCTCATCCGCTCATCCCCATCCTCATCCTCCCCGCGCCGTCACCCATCCCTTTCACCTTTTTTTAACTCCCCTCTCCCCTTCATCATCACGGCAAACAGTCTAACACACTCACTCTTACACTCCCTCACGCACTCAAAACGTAAGAACACAAGTTGCAACAACGACACTCATTAACCAACACACTCACACTCACCCACACGCACTTGCGCTGACACACCTTGTGCCAGCCCACCAGTCAGTCAGTCAGTCAGTCAGTCATCGCCGTTTTTTTTTGTTCTGGAGTATTTCTGGTTTTGCAAGAGTGAGGTCGCTTTATTTATGACCCTTGTCGACCCTCCCTCTTTGGCTCACGTTTACACACTCCCCCTCCTCCTCCAACTGGTCACTCATCACTCCTCTCTACTCAACTGGCCTACCACTTGACTCTATTCAACTTCGTACACTTGCCCAGTTATACTCGCCAGGGCAAAGTCGTTGTCTCGTCCCGTCCTTTCTTTTCCTCTTTCTTATTTGTCTCTCTCTCTTTTTCTCTCTGCCACCACCTCTTTTCACTCTGCTCCGCATTTCTTTTTATCCTCCACTCTCTCGCGCACACCTTCCCTTACCACCGATACCCATCTCACTACAATCACACCAACAACAACAACAATCAACAACCGGCTCTCCTCCCATCCATCCATCCATTCGTCCATACCCAACTCAACCAACACAGGAACACACATCCCTCCATATTAGACTCGTCACCCCCTCCGCCATCCTCTCGCACACATCTGGCACAATTTATTTGGCCTAATATCTCTCTTTCGCCCTTCATTCTTTGCCTTGTCAACAACGTAAAGTCCTCCCTTTCGCTTTCCTTTGCCCTGCACACTCTGCCACACTCGCACACTCGCACACATAGTTACACCTCCTCGCACTCCTGTCCTTCCTTAAAGGCGGAAGGAGAACCCCTTGCGCCCTCTGCGTCTTTGTTGTTTTTTCATTTCTTATTTTTCTTTTTTTATTGACTTTCATTCCTATCATTTTGTGTCCCTGTCAACAATCCATCTCTCCTCTCCTTTTCTCGTTGTGTATTGTTTGTGGTTGTGTCTCTACATCTACATATCTGGAATATTCGCCTGGGTTCCCTTTCTCCTCGATGCTGGCGACTGTAATGGACAAATCTCCTCCGATGGGTCAATTGGTGCGGAATATCGGGAGAATATACTATCATAATGACCAAAAAAACCTCACGAGTGGACTTTTCGGCCTTAACCCCGTTCAAATGGTTAAAGAGAGGGTGGGAGGGGAAAGGACCTCTCCCGCCCAGAGACAATTATTACACACACGCAGGGTACTTTTCTTCTCCCGCGGATACAGTTCCCTCCCTTTCTTCATCCCTTCCTTATCGTCCCCTTTCCCAATCATTCATGCTCATCAGCCTGGACCCGGATACCTCGTCCATCTACAGTACATTTTTCCCAGTGTGCATCGCCAGGAGAACAATGATATCCTTGTTCTTGCATATCCACAATCGTGCGCCATAATTCCTTTTGGCCAGAAATGCTCACGGCGGGGGAAACTGTTTTTGTTTTATTGCGTTTTCTGATCGTGTACGACCAACGAGCGAAATTGAAAAAAGAAACAAAGAAGAAAAATGATTGAATTGCATAGGATACGACGGAAGCACGACCGGCGGTAGAGTGCGCTCTTGTCTCGTCTCGCTCATAGATGAAGAGAAAAAGAACGAACGAATGGGCATTCCGAACCTTCTGCCACTTGCTCTGACACTCTCGCTCCGTGGAACGACCATCCAGTATAGCGACTGCGACTCAATGACACCAGTTCGCTTTTTTTTTTTTCTTTCGTTGAGCTCCTTTTCATCTGCTTTTTGCATCGGCTACTTTTTTTTACCTGTGCTTCACGTTGCACTTGCTCCTCTCTCCTTCTATTTCCCCACACACCACAAACATACTCACGTACACGCGAGGTCTTATGCAAAAGCCCGAACTCCGGCCACTCTCGTTCCTCTCTTCCCAAGTCAACCTTCTAACCAAAACCTACCTGCCTGTTGTGCCGTTATCACTCTCGTAGGGACCAATTTCTCCTCGGTCGCCCTGAATCCTCATGTCAGGCAAGAGCAATATTACAACAAAGGAGCAAGGTAAAACTACGGTTGACACAGCAAGGATGTAACATGGTTATCGTCCATCGACTTTTCCACACACATCAACGGCACAATCCTTGTTTTTTGTTTACTTGTGTTCAACCACAGGCCTTGAATGAACCTTCAATCGATTTCCGTCTCTCAAGGAACAGCATATTGTCTTTTCCTCTCCTTTTTCCCGCTTTTTTTAACGACACTTTGCATGGGTTTTATGGCTGACCCTTCATGACCTTGACGCACGCTTCTATCGATTGATTTTTCGACATGCTTTTCACCCTCCTCCTCCCTCCTTTTTCAATGTCGGCTTACATCTGTCTCCCTTTTTGCGCACTCATGGGGTCATTCGTACGTCGTCCCACCTCCGGGTCAACCGCATATTCACCCACCCTTCATTTGCCACTTATTCCCCCCTGACCGGCCAATAGGAGCCTCTGCCAGTCCTTTGAGTGACCTGTCAGCCGGAGCCAACACTGCCGCCGCCAGCAATGGCAGCAGCTCCGGACCTACCACTGCTGTTGCTCCCCCTTCAGCAAAGTCACGCAAGAACCCCATCGAGTCTAAGGCGCAAAAGCCTTCGTTCTTGTCGCTGATTTTCTGTTGTGGAGCCAACTTTGTCAATGACAGCGATGCATCGGCCCTTCAGGTTGGACCGCAGAGTCGTCCCCCGACTGTGAGCACTGGAAGAGCGGCAGGCAAGAAGGCCGTGGCCGGACAGTTGGCCGATGAGAAGCCTCCTCAGGCCCAGCCGACCTTGGTGGATATCACCGCCACTGCGGTCCTGGAAGACCAGGTCGGGGTAAGTTGCTCGTTTCAACCTCAGGAGGCATTCTATCAATGGACTCCATACTTTCATTTCACTACCATGGATCAAGGACAGGGCTCGCCATGCATTGCAGTACACCATTGGCTCTCACTCAATAGCTCTTACTCTCAACTTCAACCCGATATGTATATTGCGTTTCGCTGTGAGCCTCGTCATATTTTGGGCGATACGGAATCGGAACAGGAAGATAGCACGAAAAAAAAATAGGGAAAAGAAAACCACAAGCACAAGGAATCCCAGACATTTGGGCTTATTCATCCAAACAAACACTACGCTCTCCGTCAGCCTCTGGATCGCTTACGCTCATGGCACTCCGCGCTTCAGGATCACACACACATCACTCCTGGATTACACCTTGCGCTGCTTGAGGCAAGAGTGCTTCACTCGACCGATTAAAAGTGGACATAACACCTAACCGATTACAATGCCTTTTGTAGACCAATTCGAACTCACAGGAGATTGAGCCACCTGGATTACTCGGACCCATCGCACCAGAACACCAGGGCAGAAAGTGCTTAGTGCTTGATCTTGATGAGACTCTTGTTCACAGTTCCTTCAAGGTACGTTTCCTATATTGATATTGGACCTGGCCCATGCATTTTTTTGTTGTTGTGGTGGTTAAAATTTCAATCTTCTCACATTTGCTTATCTTTACCTGATTTTCACAGCTCATTCCTCAAGCAGACTACGTTGTCCCTGTCGAGATTGATAACCAGTCGCACAACGTCTATGTGATCAAGAGACCCGGTGTCGATACATTCTTGCAAAAGATGGGAGAGATCTACGAGGTTGTGATCTTTACCGCCAGTCTGTCCAAGGTACGAGCATCATGTTTTTTTTCTTCCTCGGTGGCTGTGTTAAAATCTCAGTTGCAAGGTGTCCTAGCAATTGATAACTAATGTTGGTAATATTTCGTACAAAATAGTATGCGGACCCAGTTCTGGACATGCTCGATATCCACAAGGTGATTAAGCATCGTCTGTTCCGTGAGTCGTGCTTTAACCACAAGGGCAACTACGTCAAGGACCTCTCCGTAATAGGCCGTGATCTGAATAATACGATCATTATCGACAACTCCCCAGCCAGTTACATTTTCCACCAAACCAATGCGGTCCCGATCTCGTCATGGTTCAACGACCCGCATGATACCGAACTGCTGGACCTCATCCCCTTCCTTGCAGATATGACGGTGGTGGACGACGTCAATCCCATTCTGGACATGACCAATGAGGAGCAACAATAATACCAGGGTCTCTCTGGCGTTTGGTGTCCAGACAGCGAGATCCCCATCCAAATATCTATTATTTTTCTATCCTTCAAATGGCTTCTGCAACATGATACCAAATTCTAATATGCCTTTTTTTCCTAGAGCTGCATTCGGATCGGCAGCTTGGAGATTGCAATGTCTCTTCCGCTCTTTTTTTTCCTTCATACTTCCCCCTCCCCCCCCCCCCTTCCCCCCTTTCCCCCTTTGCTTTTGCCTTTTCCCTTTCTATTCCCCTTCCCCTGCTTCCCCTTCTCCATATTCAATATCTTCAATGACCCTCACTTCCTCTGTAAGAAAAAAAAATCTAAAAGAGAAAAGGAAAAAAAAATATGACCAACCCCCACTCCTCCCAAAAAATGAATGAATTCTACGAACGAACGAACCCCAATGAACAAACGAACGAACGAACGAACGAACGAACGAAATCGCAGTAAAAATGACTCCGCGTGGCAAATATGTTTTTTCTGCCCGCTAAGCAAAAACCTTTTCTCTTGACACGATTAAGATGGATGATAGAAGTAGAAAAGAAAGAAAGGGACTTTTGCTGCTGTGGTGATGATACCATGGACGAAGGTTTTCCCGAATTGTGATGAATTAAGGCATGCCTTTTTATTTTTGTTGTTGTAAATCCTGAACCTGGTCTACTCATGCTTTGCATGTGTGTGTGTGTGTGTGTGTTGCTTGAGCTGTTTTTTCAATCCAATCCGGCAGCATCGGTAGCTTCGGCTTTGGCTCTGGCGAGACGACGCTGTTTGACATCCCAGTTGTAGACACGGGCGGTGTTGACCTCCATGGTGGTGATCTGGTCCCTCAAGTAGGCCAGATCCTCCTCGGTGTTCTTTAACGTCTTCAACGCCGCGGAAAGCTTTGATGCCAACAGTTCTGCAGCCTCCTCGACTGGGTATTCCAGCATCACATTTGCCTGTTGTGCAAAGTTGATATAAAAATGGTGTGAAAAGAAAACCAGGCGTTAGAAGTTTTTGACGCATAACAAAAAAAAAAAAAAGGACTGGTGGCATAGCACGCAAAAGTGGTCATGTCATCAGAAAAACGAAACAAAGAAAAAAAAAAAAGATGGTACATACGCCGAGCCAGAGACAGACTTTTCCTGTACGCTTGATCTTTGCGGTGGCGTATAATGTGTCATTCAATTCGTACATGGTCTCGATCTCCTTTGAGTCGTCACCGTTGTTTGCTTCGGATTCGAGGAACTGGACCATCTCGAGGGTCTTGCGGATCTCTGGGATTTTTGCGTCGAGGTTGCGTTTGCGTGTGAGGTGGTTCATCTCCATGAACTTGTACTTGCTATGGACAGGTATTAGGGAATTGGTGGTGGTGGTGGTGGGGGGGGTACGTTAGTGTCGCGTTTTGACGCTGATATCCTGTAAGGCTGTATATTCAAGGTTGAGAGTTGCATAGGGCGCATGACTTGATGAAAGTATTGATAACGTCTCGGCAGTGTCGTGTTGCAGCATGATCCGCGATATCGAGAACCAAGGCAGAGTCCTTTGTTCGTCCGACGTCTGACTTTCCTGGTTCCTGAGTACACTGAGGCTGAACCGCTGTTATAGCTCCTCTGAGTCCAGGTAAGGGGGTGTCCAGATGATGCAAGGCTGCCTATGTGATGAGAGACTTACGCCGTGGCCTCTTGGAACTTCTTGAGGACAATCTCAACAGGCTCCTGTTCACTGACATGGTCCTCGACGTTCTCGACGAAGGGTGCCTTGGGGATTCCTCGTGGGTTGACTTCCAATTGTTGTTGCTGCATGTTTGGTGATTAGTGTGTCCTGATCGGATCGATGTGTGAAGAGATGAAAGGAAAGAAAGTTGGCAGGAAACTGGCTTTAACCACCGTTGGCGGGTTCGAGCAAACGCGCCCCAGACATCAGCGTAAGGCACAGAGCGAGTGAAAAAATACGTACATCACGTGATATGTGATTTGTGTACGTCGATTTTTTGAAGACTGGCAAAAACACAACAACCTTTTTTTTTCGTTCACCACCCCTTTGAGCGTCAGTTGTCCATTTTCCTTCTCTCTTCCTCTCTCTCTCTCTCTCTCAATCTTACCATCACTCTCACAAAACAACATCATCATGCCTTCCGACGCTCCCCAGGACGGTGCCCCCGCACCCAAGGTCGACTTCACATCCGCCCTCGCAAAGGTTAAGGCTATCGCCGCAAAGCTCGGAAGCTCAGCCTCCACCGCTGCTCCTGCCATCCCCGCTACTGCCCCTTCCACTAGCGCTCCTCCCATGATGAAGCGCCCCTACGAGGACGACTCTTATGGCCATAGCGGTCATGGTGGTCACGGCGGCCACGACAGCCGAGGCGATGATAACAGCTACGGAAAGAGAATGGCGTATGAATCAGGTAGAGGTATGGTTTTTTTCATCACCATCTGGTTGTTGTCTTTTTTCAAGAGCATCAAGCTCTGGAATCAGCAGTTTTCTAACGACTGCGTATCCTTCTCCCCTTCTGGTCTTTGAACAATCTTTTTGATATATAGATTCTGGCCCAATGCACCGCCCTGGCCTCGGATCCCAGGTCTCGCACTATGCTCCTCCTATGCGCAACGAGCACCAGGTTCAGGAGGAAATGGGTGTTCCTGGAAACCTCGTTGGTTTGATTATCGGACGTGGAGGCGAGAACTTGAAGAGAATCGAGCGTGAGACTGGATGCAAAGTGCAGTTCTCTCAAGGTAACTTTTTTCTATTCTCGTCTGTTTTGAAACCAGAAAAAAAAAAGCTCGGCTTGCTTTCTTTGTATAAAACATACTGACATGTAATTGTTGATTTCTTTTGATGGCTCTGTAGATGGTAACCCTAACGATCGTGAGCGATTTGTCAACATTGTTGGACAGCCTGCCGGCATTGCTGATGCCAGACGTCAGATTCAGGAAATCATCACAAGCTCTCAGACCGGAGAGCGCCCCGGTGGATATGGCGGATTTGGAGGTGGAGGAAACTATGGCATGGGTGGTGGTGGTGGTGGTGGTGGCGACGGATATGGCCGTGGAGGCTCATCGTCCACTATCCAGATTCCCAGCACCAAGGTTGGCCTTGTCATTGGACGTCGCGGAGAGACCATCCGCGACTTGCAGGACCGCAGTGGTGCCCGCATTGCGGTTACCCCTACCCCTGAGGACCACAACTCCCCCTCAAGAACTGTTACAATCACTGGAGATGACAGCGCCATCGAGCGCGCCAAGACTTTTATCGACGAAATTGTCAACGACATGGCACCCAGAGGCGCATACGGTGGCGGCGGATTCCAGAACACCCCTCCTGTCACCATGACCGTCCCCCAAGAGTCGATCGGTTTGGTCATCGGACGAGGTGGAGAGACCGTCAAGCAGCTTCAGATCCAGTCCCGTGCCAAGATTCAGGTCCAGCAGGTCGACCCCAGCGTACCAGCCCCTGCTGAGCGCACCATCAACCTCTTTGGACCTCCCGAGGCCGTCGAATACGCCAAGCAACTCATCATGGAGAAGGTTAACGGAGCGGTAAGTCATACAGACTCGTTTGGGGGATTGTGGGAAAGAGGTGTCATTTTTTTCTCGTTGCTTTTGTGCGTCGATGCTTTTTTCGCAATGCGATGATTTGCCTTTTTGCTTGGTGATTTGTGTGCTTGTGTGGAAAGATGTTATACATTTGATTCACGGGACAGTCAGTGGGCAACCAGCCGTTCAGGAATTCAGGAATTCAATTGAAACGCCTTTGCACTCGGAATTGTATCAAGGACAACGACACTTGTTCTTCGGAATATGTTTGCATCGCCTGGACTGCTTCTCTTCACTCTCGCATCCTTCAGGATACGTTTGCAGCGTCATTGTCCCCTGCAGAGCATGGTACAATAGTTTCACATGGATCCTACACGAGATTGCGTTTGCGACATGTAATGCAGTTCTGCTTATGACGTGTTTTGCCTGTGGTTTCCTGAATCATTTTGTTGTCATAACATGCTCGGCCGCTTGAACATGGGATACGCGACGCTTTCAATTTCTTATTTTTTACCCACTGCCGAGGATCCGACCCTACCGACGCCGTTCAGACCGACGCGATCCAAGATGAGAACCTCCCTTGTCTTGCACATTGGGTCAATGTTTGCTTTCTGGCACTCTCTTCCTCGTTCATTATTTTTATCGTGCACTGCATGTTACATGGGGGTTATTATACAGAAAAGGGGGGCATTGGGAAGGTGATGTGGTGTATATCGACAACACAAGCATCAGGATGGCTCAGGAGACAGCTTTCCCGCAACAAACAAACTGCAAAACGAAATGAAGCATTGATAATCTTATTCTCTATTCTCTCTCTCTTTTTTACTTATGCCTGTTGAACCGATGTCTGTGACAACTTTCAATGTTTCTGCCACTGCTTTATGCCTTGAACTTTGTCTCGTCTACTTCCGCCTTCGACTGTCGCTTTTGCTCTCTGCCTTCTTTTGTCTGTTCTTGCGATTCGCCCTATCGTTCAAATGACTTTTGCTGCAATTGCCCCCCTCTTCGCCTACCTTGCCATTTGAACTTTTTGTGTGCTATTGTCGGACAATCTCCTTTGCCTTTGCCTTTGCCGCCCTTGAATGTGCTCTTCGAATATTTGGTATTTTCCAACTCTTAGCGCGACAACGATCGCTATGGAAGCCGTGACCAAGGGTAAGGATTCTTCTTTGTCCTTTGTCGTTTTTCTTGCCTGTGTTGTGTGACAATTTAACCATGTTTTCTAACGCGACCTTTATTTTGTATTTGATCTCGTATTTGTAGAGGATATGGAGGATCGAGCGGTGGATATGGAGGATACAGCCAGCAGCAGTCATACCAGCAGCCAGCACAGGCTACGGGAGCATACGGTCAGCAATACGGTAGCGGATATGGAGCTGCTGCTGCACCCGCTGCCACCCCTGCTGCCAGCACCTACACTCCCGAGCAGCAGGCTGCTTATGCTCAGTACTACGGTTACCAATACGGCAGTGCCGCTGGTACGTTTCCTCTCCATGTTTTTTTATTTCTACATATTGTTATTTGTCCGACCTGTTAAGGATTTGCAAGCTAATACTCTTTTTGTCCTTATTGACTACCCTGCTGCTACCTGCTGCCACTTTAGCTGTCCCTGGAGCTGATGCCACTGCTGCTTCGTCTGCAGCTGCCGTACCTGCTGTCGGTGCTGATACCTCGTCATATGGCACCTACGATTACTCTCGCTACGGTCAATACGGTACCGCCGCAGCCTCGTCAGCAGCCCCCGCCACATCATCGAGTGCTGCTGCCGTGACATCTACCCCTATTGGTGATGCCGCTATCGCCTCTTCTGCCGCTGCTCCCGCTGCTGCATCAGCAGCTGGTGGTGCTGCCGCCACTGACTATTCTGCATACTATGCTCAGCAGGAGGCTTACCAGCAGTACTACAGCCAATACTATGGATACCAGGCACCAGCTGCTGATGGCTCTGCTCCCGCTGCTGCTGCTATTGCTGCCAATGGTGGTTCGGATGCCTCCTCTGCTGCCCCTGCCTCTGGTTCTGATGACAAGGCTAATGCCTCTTCCTCTGACGCTGCTGGCGCTGACTCCACCAAGGACCAGTAAACCTTGCTCTCTGTGTCTAGTCTGTGTCTAGGGCGTCTATCTGTTCACATTTTGCTTTTCTGCTCGTAATCTCTCTCTGCTGTAATCTCTTTCCCTTTGAAAAATAAAATAAAAAATTCCAGTCTTCCTTGAAGCAATCACGATCATGATCGGTACCTGAGCGTCACAAATTCCCGAAATGGCTTCGGCTTTTCATATTTCGGACCTTCCCTGCATCCCGCAACCCCTACCAGCAAAACTCTCACATCATCCATTATTTCTAAACCATGTCGGCTGTTCCTCAACAAGAGCTGCCCCGCCCCGGTGGGTTCCCCGAGATCAGATATAAGCGCTATGTCCCCAAGATCGGCCCTTCAGGTCTTGCCCTCTTCTCGGGTATCACCCTCATGTGCACGCTTGGACTTTACAGAACCGGCCAGGGTAACCTTGAGCGCAGGTAATAAACCATCCGATCACGAAAAAAAAGCGACCGGGCGGAAGGACGAGGACGAGGATGCGGAGGGGCTGTGGGAGGAAAAAAACGGAATAAAGTAACTTGCATGTGGATGCTCGTTTACTTTGTACAGGATCCGGAAGAACGCATCGTGGTTTCAGGACAGGAAGGAAAAAGGAAAGGCTTGCCGTTTCGGATCTGAAGGATGAGTTTTTGATTGATGCTGTCTGTGCGGGTTGGTAGGGAGAGACAATCGAGTCAATCAGGAAGTACTTGGCATGAGCACCGGATCGGGGCTTTTTCTTTGCAGTGGGCCCTTGGACACGCGATGCTAGGCCTTGTCACCCCCCCTCCCCGGTTTTTCTTCAGTTGGAACCATAGCGCACAAACGACAGGGAAAAAAACCCCCTCGCCTCGTCCTACTTCAGGACGCGACTTTCCCCGACCTTCCTGGAAAGGAGGGGCGATAGTTTTTTTTTCTTCTCGCGGATCGACATATCAATTGGATCAGGAACAAGGAACAAGGAAGCTTTTTGGCCAGGAGTAATTAAACGATCAATTGGCGCATCATGCCTTGGACGTCGACACCACGCAATACCCTGGACCTCTGGGTGAACAGAGAACAGCGCTCTCCCGGACGAATGTCGAAACCACCACCCCCCTCGCCATACTCCTTCAACATCTCATATCTGAGCAGCAAAACAACCAAAACAGGCGTTCACTAACCCTGCTACCTTCATACTGAAACCAACAACAACAAAAAATATAGGGAACTCGAGCGCGAGAAGGTGTGGTCGCGTATCCATTTGATCCCCCTCCTCCAGGCCGAGGCTGACCGTGACACCTACCGTCGCGAGGCTGCTGCCAACGAGCGTGAGGCCGAGGTCATGAAGAACGTCAAGGGCTGGAAGGCTGGCGAGTCTGTCTACAACTCCAAGCGTTACACCCCACAGACCTTCGTCGTCGTCCCATAAACGATTGTCATTTTTTTATCCCCCCTTCCACTCAAACATATTTTAGAAGCACTACCACCCCCTCTACGACGACGTGCCGCGATTACGAAAACGAGCAAACGAAGTAAACACAAACAATACAAATATACTCACTCCACTCTCAAAAATAATAACAATCCTGGTTCATCGATAATGATCGTCATTCAATCTTGACAAGGAAACCCCTCATCCACAAAACAAGGGTCGACATGAAAAAAATCAAAGAAACGTATATTTTATGGCAGGAGGGGTCCAAAATGACTCTTGGGGTTCTTCAGAAAGGGCGCGAAACTGGGGCGCCAGCAAATAGCAGTAGTGAGAGACATATTATATAGGAAAGAAACCTTCAGAGGGCGCGGGTTTGGATGGAGGCCTCACGACCACTCTTGGCCTTCTTGTAGACGTTCTCTTCCAATCCTTCAAACTTGGCTGCATATCTGGCTGCCGCGAACAAATAATCGCTCAGACTACAGTTATTTCGTAAGAGAATAGAGAAATGGAGAGAGGGGGGGGGTTGTGTTTAGTAACTGCAGTTGATGAGAAAGGGAGGCCAGTAATAATAATTCCCATTAGAAACGACGGATATGACTTTACCGGTTGAGGTACTTGAGAACAGACTCGTCGGCGTCGTTGGCCTCGACGACGGGGATAGTAGTTCGCTCAGCGCGTCTGCAGATCTACAAGGACGATGATAGGCGACTCCACGATTTAATTAGTCCAGTTATTTATCTTTCTTGCACTTCACAGCAAGTAAAGTAGTAATGTAGGTATAGAAAGATAACAAGGGTGAAAGGGGTAACTTACGGAACGCGCCTGGTGCAAGAAGATACTGGACTCGCCACCGGAAGGGAGGATGAAGTTGCGCAGAGGAGGGAGATTCTATTCATGATATCATATAATGCAAGTCAATGTCAAAGAGATGAAATTGAGTGATGATGGGTCCGTACAAAGCGGGCACCACATGTTCAGTGGGTTACACAGCGGTAGTATGGAAAACGCGGGTAAGCACAATAAGACAAAGCCTCTTACCGAGTCAAGAGTATCGATCCAACCCTCCAGCTTCTCGATATGCCCATCATCAAACGCCGTGTTTCCTATTAGCACAAAAAATACATAGACAGCAGTATAGTCAGCAAAAACAAAAAATGGTCGATGAGTAATTGGAACAAGCCACACGATGATGAATATAGGCGCGACTCAGTCTAGCCATCCATCGTCGTTCCTGAGATGGAAAGCCCGTTGGAACATAAGAAAATAGGGATGAGGGGTTTAGCGGAGGAAGAGGAGGGCGAGATGAAGGGGGGGACAATACTGAGCTGAGTTTCGGATGCATCGTTTCTGGGCGTGGCAATGTTCGAGCCGATGTCCTGCAGGTTACATTGGATCTACGAAAAACAGGGAAAGCAAAACAAAAAAAAAAAGAGAAACATGAACAAACAAGCCAAATAGAAGGGTTTGAATCGAAGGAAAGGGTATGGGTAAGTGGGATAGAAGGGTAAGAAAGAAGGTGAGGCGAAAAGGCAAGCCGGCGTAAGATGAAAAAAAATGAGATCTCGGTTAGTTGGGTTGGGTCGAGTTGGGTTGGAATAAATTAGTCCGACAGAGGAAAGGGACACAGATCGGCGCTTTTTGTTGTTTTTTCTCATGGGTTTTGTTAAGTATGGTATTCAATCTTGTATGAATTGAATCGATGGGAGATGGTTCTCTCGCCGACAGACCCACCAAAAAACAAAAAATACAGACCGACAGACTGCCCAGGTCGAAAAGAATACAGACCGACAGACTGAAAAAAAAAATACAGACCGACAGAGAGCAACCGCGCGAATCAATTGGTTGAATACAAAAAAGCTGTTGTACAAGTCGACATAACCCAACTCCTCTTTTTCCGTTGTTTTTTTTTGTCGCCGTTGGGCGAGCGAGCGCGAGGGCTGAATGAAGGTGGCATATTCATTGTCATTTGTAGCTAAATGATCGTATGTGAGTGTTTACCTCGATCAATTGCCCATCCAGGCCGTTTGCGGACTTTGAGCAGTAATGGTGTGCGATCCTATCACGACATTTCGACAACCATGCGGTCAGTTTCTCCAGTTTGCTTTGCATTGATTCGTATATAACAGACGCTTGGGCTGAGAATTGAGAGGGTATTTACCCGATGGCAGAGTTGAGCTCGTCAACGGCTCCCAGGGCCTCAAAGATCCTGTCGGTCTTGAGGCGACGCTCGCCATTGTAGAGGGACGACTCGCCTAATAAGATGGGAAGCAGTATAAGTACGAGGTAGAAGGTTATAGGGCAGTAGAGACATATAGGAGGCGGGGAGAAGTGGTGTACCTTTGTCACCAGTACGCGTGTAGAGCATCGACTTCTTGGGTCTAGGAGGACAAGAAGGAAGCGCGTAGATCGGCCCAGGTACGAATGAAGGAGGTTGTATTCAAGCGAGAGAAAGAGAAGAGGCAAGCATCAACAAAACAGGCACACACAGACGTTAAACCTTGCCCTGGGTACCAAGCACAACCCCAGCAACACAATAAAAAGACTAGCATCAGGGTGATGAACAAGTAACTGTGCTGACTCCTGTGGTTCATCATCTGTCCCGAGGATCGCATTCATTCGCCTTACTGTTCAGTGGCCATGATGGATGAGGGTGAGATGATTCCTGAAGTAGTGGTTGAGAAGTGCGAGTGCAGATGGGAGTGAAGTGCGAAGTCGATCAGTAATCCCTTCCCCACGGTGTATGAGAGTGTGTGTCATAGAACTTGATTTCCAAAAGAGGGCAAGCCACGTTCCCACCCAGCCTTCTTCCCTGTCAGAGTGTCTCTCCTCCCCCGCAATTTTTCAAGAATAGAGCTGTTGTGTCTGCACATCAATTGTATGCACAGACGTCTCACTCTACTCCCACGCCCTTCCCCTGTTCACTTTTCTGCTCGTATATTCTCCACCAGCAATGGGGCCCAGGGCAGATCGATCGACAAAACATTAGATTGGTTTTTTAACAGCCACGCCTTTTCAATTCTGAAGAAAAAAAGGTGTTGGGTATTGGAGGTATGTGCAAAACAACACCCTAGCTCCCAATTGACTATCATAGCTCTAGCAACTACAACTGAAAAAAAGAGGGTATGTTTAGTCAAATGAGTCAATTGAAGGAAGGTGAATGTAGAGGAAGGAAGGTGGTAATGAAAAAAGCGGGGTACCGTGTTTGTCAACAGCGTCTGAATGTAATGCGACCTGGTACAAGGGATACGTAGTCAGTTCTCGATTCAGGATCGACTGGAGTTCCCCCTCCTCTTTCTCTTCCTATTCAATGGCGCTGAGTGGCAGGAATGGCGTTATGTCGACCTGTCTATGAGTCTAGAGAAAAAGTGACCAACAAAAAAAAGACGGTACTCGCTCTCGTCATCTAGGTACCTTGGGGATTGAATACAAAAGCGTTGAATAGCGTAACCAACAAAAAAAAAGCGGAAAACCCCAAAAAGGGCATCCTTTGGTTTTTGGTATAGAGAAAGGTCGAGCTCATTCTTTGCTCCTTGTTCAGTGCTCCCTCCCCACTTTTCTATACTTGATTTCCCTCTTTTTTTGCCCACGCAGGTATGTGGGGCCACGTAGCGACAGAACCAAGCCTGTTGTCTGTTACTTTTGTCAGCAACAAGGATACGACACATCGTCCTCTTGCACCATCTCTCTTCTTTTTCATTAGTTTTTATTGGTGGTACTCATCTATAGTAGACAAAGGGTATGCAAGTTGCGGCTTAGGAATAGAAGACGAAAGGCAGAAGATGGCCTAGTACGCACTGCAAAACAAATACAAGCAAAGCGGTAATAAGAATGAAGAATGAGATGGCCTGAGCCTTTGCCATCCAACAAAAAAAAAAAACGCTTTCTTATTTTGTGGGGAAGCGAAGGCAAAAACTGAAGAGAAAATGCCCAAAATTTCATTTCTCTCTGCCCGCCTGTTGCCTGAATGGTATTCAATTATTACACGCATCCAGTACTAGTACTCCAACAAAACAAATGAGAACCTATTTTTTGCTTTTTGGTTGTGGAGATTGAAAAATGAGAAAGGGCGATGGAGTTTGAAATGTCCAACTCTGCCTCCCTCCCCTTTCACACACTCTGTTTCTTTTCTCGACCCTTCTTTTGCCAGTGTCGTGCAAGGATGTGGTCTTAGGGTAAAAGTTCAGTAAACAACAAAAAAAAAAATGAAAGCGCGATCCATGGAGAAAAAAGAAGCCAACAAAAGAACAAAAACAAAAACGACGCAATGGTTGCTGGGGTTGTAAATGCGACATTTTTGCAAGATGGCAGAGTACATGAATGATGGGGCAATGACACAGCGAGGAAAAGAAAAAAAGGAGTGAAGACGCAATGGAGAAAAGGAAAATAGTATTCCTTTACTTTACTTGTTGGTCAGACAACAATTGTCCTCTCGCCTTTTGATTTCTCTCGGTTGCTCCCCTTTTTCTCATTTCCTCTCCTTTCTTTCTGGCGCGAAACAACTTGCAGCTTGCATTTGTTGGAATTGCTAGCGAGATTCTCCATCATTGAAGGCACGTTTGAAGAGGAGTACTGTAGTTAGCTTGTTCGCATAAACACACCGAGCATTGCAAACAAAATAGATGGAGAGATGACGAGGGAGATGGGGGCGAACGCAAGTGAACAAGAATAGCCATTATTGTTTCTTCGTTTCGAGTGTTTGTTTTGCATGTTTGTTGGCTTCAGTGGCTTGAAGTACGTGGGGTAGAGAAGGATCTGCTTCGTTCAGTTATTTTTATTTGCTGCTTGTAACAACTTGACTCTCGCTTTGAATCGACTGGAATCGAAAAAAAAGAATCGGGATCGCCCAACCAAACCCCTTTACGACTCACTTCTACCTTGCGAGTGAGGAGAATAGAAAGGGACAAGTTGTATGAGTCTGTCCAGGAACCAGGACGAAGTGGTGGAGGTATGTGTGCGAGCGAGTGAGAGTGCAATTGTCTGTCGAAATAAACAAAGAAAAAAAAGGCGGGGACCAATCAGAAGCTGGTTCCGTGTGTGCTGATTCACCTTGTCCTGTCCACGGGCTACTTTTTTCTCTCACTCTCTTTTCACTTCAGAGAAGAGGAACTCATTCTTTCTTTTTTTTCACTCTCAGTTACTTCAATCGAAAGAGGGAGAGTAAGCGGGCAACAGAGAGCGAGTGCAAGTCAAGCCTTTTTTCTTGTTTCCACTTTTACCTTGAAGACATCAAGGGTTTGCCTTGGGAATGAAGTGCGCTGTTTTAGATGTTAGAAAAATGAATGTCTCTCATAGTCACGGACCAAATAACGGATGACAATAATGGCTGGTTGTCGATGTTGTGCGTAATAAGAATGGGCGAGGGGCAAGAGTCATAATTGAAAATGCCGAAGAGGGAATAGTGTGGGGCAATTTGTTTACATCTGTCTGTTTCTTGTAGAAGGTGTAATAATAGAGTGTGTGGATGACTGAAGAGACAAAGAGAGAGTTGGCCGTTGTTCCTTATTTGTTCTTCCCACGAAATTGAAAAAGGAAATCGAAAGTTGGGTCGAGAAGAACTCCTTCTTGTCCCCATAGAAAAAGAATGAGTAAAGGATACAATTGAATCGCTTGCAAACTATAGTACATAATGCTTTTGACTGGGTGAATGACTAGTCATGCCATTCAGTGAACTCACATATAGAGTCAGGCACATAATACCAGATCGATCAAAGAGAAAGGGCTAGTTCACTAGTAATTCATTCCTTCATTCATTCATCACTTGTATAGTTTGGAGGAAACAATGGTTTAAAAGGAAAGGACATCCGCACCTTTTTTTTTCTTTTCTCTTACTTGTTCATCATCCCACCTCTCTTCAACTTTTCACCCGCCCCCCCCCTTTTCGCCCGTCTCTCTCTCTCTCTCTTCCTCCCTCTCTCTCTCCCTCTATAGCATCTTTCATCCCTCTTCCTCTTTGTTCTTTCCTGTTTCTCTTTTCTTGCATCTGTACATTCATCACATAGACCCCAGCATATACCTCTTCCTTAATCACACAACAAAAAACAAAATGACTGTCACCGCAGAAACTTCCCCCGTCCCCCAGACCCACACCCTCAAGGACATCTCGGGCTACATCGAGAATGCCTTCCCCGGAAAGCAGGCCCAGATGGTCCAGGTCACCGAGTACCTCTCCGAGAAGGCCTTCATCCCTGCTGCCCTTGCCGAGAACGAGGTCTCCTGGTTCTACGGGTATGTTCTTTCTTCATTGCCTTTTGTGTTGAGAATGACAGTTGTGAATATTGCGAATTCGACATTGCATTGGGCATTATATCTATTCGTTTGAGTTGTTATTCAACTCCGCTTTGGAAGGAGAAAGAATTCAACAGAAAGAAAGAAAAAAAGGCAAAGAAAAAAGACAACTAACACTCGCAATTTGCAACTATATGACGAATAGAAACTTGGGAATTGACGACATGTACTTTGCCTCAGAGTCGGTCGAGTCGATTGCCAACCACATCATGGCCTTGTACGGAGCCAAGATCTTTGCCTACACCAAGAACGACAACGGCCTCGAGATCAACCTCGAGCGCGAGACCGACGAGGGCGCCGTCTACATCCACACCTCCCGCCCCGGTGTCTCCCAGCTCCAGGGACCCCAGCACGAGAAGAGGTATTTTTAGTTCTCGTTTGTGGGTCCAAGGCACAAGTAATTGAATCAGGATCGTCATTGCAGAACACTAATCGTTTATATTCATTTTTCATTACCCTCGTTCAGAATCGATGCCAAGTATCTGGATGTGAGCAACACCGAGCGTGCTTACCGCTTGGAGTCGTACCGCTCCAAGGGAACTGTCTCGTCCTCGTCGTCGACCCAGCTCCGCACCTACTTTGTCCGCCAGTGCGCGTTCGTTAACCCCAACCCCAACAAGGAGCAGGAGTCTGACATCCGCGAGACCTCGGACAAGTCGTTCCTCGAGAAGGCCACCGAGAACACCCTCGAGATCTACTCCGACGTCATGAAGACCGCCCTTGCCCGTACTGGACCCGTCATCGAGATGTTCGAGGTCGAGGGCTCCCGCGAGCGCCGCCTCGTCATCGCCTACAAGCAGCAGACCACCCAGTCGTTCTTCTCGGCCATCTCTGACTTGTACCACTACTACGACCTCTACTCGACCCGCAAGTACGTCGAGCAATTCTCGAACGGCATCACCATCGTCTCGCTCTACCTCAACCAAATCCCCAAGTCGACCGCTCCCCCAATTGAGCACTCGATCCACCAGATCATCAAGGAGGCTTCGCTCATCTACTGCTTGCCCACCACTCCCCTCCAGTCCTTCTTCCAGACCAACAAGCTCTCTGTTCAGGAGTCGATCTACGGTTACATTGGTTGGATCTTTGCCCAGCACTTCCTCAACCGTCTTGGATCTGAGTACACCTCGCTCGTCAACATCCTCGATTCGTCCAACTCCAACCACCAGGATGTCCTCTCCAAGATGAAGAAGCGTCTCCGCACTGACACCTTCACCCGTGATTACATCCTCGAGATCATCAAGACTTACCCCGAGCTCGTCAAGTTGCTCTACATCAACTTTGCCATGATCCACTACGTCAACCCTGCCGTCAACTCGCTCACCCCTACTCTCTCCTACCAGCGTCTCCGCACCGACACCGTCTTGACCGATGAGGAGCTCTACGACAAGATCCGCCGTACCACCTCCAACTCGCACGAGCTCATGGTCTTTGAGTCCTTCCTCATCTTCAACAAGCACGTCTTGAAGACCAACTTTTACCAGCCCACGAAGGTTGCTCTTTCCTTCCGCATGGACCCCTCCTTCTTGCCCGAGATCGAGTACCCCACCAAGCTCTTTGGCATGTTCCTCGTCATCGGTTCCGAGTTCCGTGGTTTCCATCTCCGTTTCCGTGATGTTGCCCGTGGTGGTATCCGTATCATCCGCTCCCGCAACCGTGAGGCCTACTCTATCAACTTGCGCTCGCTCTTTGACGAGAACTATGCCCTTGCCGCCACCCAGCAGCGCAAGAACAAGGATATCCCCGAGGGCGGTTCCAAGGGTACCATTCTTTTGGATGTCAACCAGCAGGACAAGGCTCTCGTCGCTTTCGAGAAGTACGTCGATGCCGTCTTGGACTTGTTGATCCTCGGCGAGACCCCTGGCATCAAGGAGCCCATTGTTGACCTGTACAAGAAGCCTGAAATTCTCTTCTTCGGTCCCGATGAGGGTACCGCCGACTACATGGACTGGGCCTCTGCCCATGCCCGCGAGCGCGGCGCCTCCTTCTGGAAGGCCTTCACCACCGGCAAGTCCCAGTCCCTCGGAGGTATTCCCCACGACACCTACGGTATGACCACTCGCTCGGTCCACCAGTACGTTTTGGGTATCTACCGCAAGCTCGGACTTAAGGAAGAGAACGTTCACAAGCTCCAGACCGGAGGTCCCGATGGTGATCTTGGATCCAACGAGATTAAGATCTCCAAGGACAAGACCTGCGGTATCGTCGATGGCTCCGGAGTCTTGTACGACTCTGAGGGTATTGACCGCTCCGAGTTGGCCCGCCTTGCCGAGAACCGTCTCATGATCTCCAACTTTGACATCGCCAAGCTCTCGCCCAAGGGATTCCGTGTCCTTGTCGACGAGGTCAACGTCAAGCTCCCCTCGGGTGAGATCATCGACGACGGTCTCTCCTTCCGCAACAACTTCCACTTGAACCCCATGGTCAAGACTGAGGTCTTTGTCCCCTGCGGTGGTCGCCCCGAGTCTGTCGATCTCCAGAACGTTGGCCGTCTCCTCGATGCTGACAACCACCCCCGCTTCAAGTACATTGTCGAGGGTGCCAACCTCTTCTTCACCCAGGAGGCCCGTCTCCGTCTGGAGCGTGCCGGCGCCGTCGTCTTCAAGGATGCCTCTGCCAACAAGGGAGGTGTCACTTCCTCCTCCCTCGAGGTCCTCGCCGCCTTGTCGTTCAACGACGAGGAATTCGCCGAGCACATGCAGGTCACCCCCGACCACATCCCTGCCTTCTACCAGGAGTATGTCAAGGAGGTCCAGGCCATCATCGAGCGCAACGCCCACCTCGAGTTCGAGGCCCTCTGGCGCGAGCACCAGCGCACTAAGACTCCCCGCTCCATCTTGTCCGATGACTTGTCCTTGGCCATTGTCCAGTTGAACGAGAACTTGCAGCAGACTTCCCTCTGGGAGAACTTGGCCCTCCGCAAGGTTGTCCTCGAGGAGGCCTTCCCCAACATGTTGTTGAAGCAGGTCGGACTCGAGACCCTCATGAAGCGTATCCCTGAGAACTATGTCCGTGCCATCTTTGGTTCTTACTTGGCTTCGCGCTTCGTGTACCAGTATGGTACCGAGCCCAGCCAGTTTGCCTTCTTTGAGTTCATCTCCCCTTACTCCATCAAGGCCCAGCAGTAAATCGTGCCAACTTTTGAGCGCGTTTTGTGATCGAAATATCTTTTTTCCAACCCATTTGTACATACCCATGAAATAAATACATGCATTTTTTTGAATAATCAATCGTTTATGATCGCGAACATTTGTTTCTTATGGAGTGTTTGAATGATGGAGCGATGCGAGGGGGCCACCCTTCTGGCAACCAAGTAGCCAGGTACCTTCGTTACGATCACCAAGCCGGTCCTTTTTATGATGAAAATGATGATGTCAAAGAAGTTGGAGATGCTGTGGAGGTGAAACATGTCCAGTGGGGAGAAACCATTGTCAGTCTCAAAAGAGACAGGCATGAAACTGGCCACCCTCTTTTTTTCCCCATTTCCTGCGTAGAGGTGGAAGGAAAGGGTGCAAGTCAGCAAGTATTCCTCCTGCATTGTGAGGAGATGCCTTGATCTAAGATTACTATTTCCTGGGCATGGGTTAGGGCAGGTAGAAGTTGAGTGCGAGATGCTTAGTTCATCTTTGTCGTTAACCCCGTAAGGTATGATGGATAGGGGAGAACTGTAATCGAATTGGAGTGTAGGTGGCATGGAAAAAGTATATGAAGAAAGGCGTGCATGTTGATTTTTGAGGAACACACAGCCTACCAGCGAAAGGTACAGTACATTAGTACATGCACAGGCATGCACGCAGATCTAGACGAGCTAGTGCACCACTCACTCACTTGTTGCTAATTGCTACATTGAGGGACACTTGAGTAGGACAGAAGTAATGTTCCATGTACCAGGGAAAAATCATGAGCACAAAGTGAAGGAGGTGCCACCAAAACATGACGAACGAGGGAGCGATAAAGTCGATTTGCATTGGACTTCCTAATCCTTCTTTTGCTCTTCTTGCACTTCTTTCTTTTCCTTTTTACTCTCCTCCTTCGGATCAATTCACTCCTTACTCTCTCATTCATACATTCTCTTTCATTCATTCGCGCTTGTACATCACTACCTCTTTCTCACTCATTCACCTCCCTCATTCAACTGATCCACACTCCTTCTTAACCTCACAACAAGCACCGACCACCACAAAGAGAGCAACGCAAATCTTCCATAATAACAACTCAAACAAAAGAGTACACAGACTCTACACTCCTCCTCTCTATCTCACGCTCTCTCTTTTTTGTGCAACCACCGACCATCCGACACCCCTTTTATACCCCCCGTCTCTCATCCTACATAGAAAGCGCATACCTACATGGAAAACAACAACACAAACACAACAGAGACCAATAATGACATACACGGATCTGAAACATCCATCAAGGCCTTCACTTCGGCCTTGCTCTTCAACACAGTCGTTGGTGCGGCTCTCTTTATTGCCTTCTTGTTTGTACGGCACTGGAGCAGGAAGATCTACCAGCCAAGAACCTACTTGGTGACCAAAGAGTAAGTCTAAAAATATTTGATCAGCAGGAACAAAGGTCAAGGCCAAGGCAGGCAACAGGATTCAAACCAAAATGCAGGTTAATGTATTTCAAACACACCGTCCATCTGCACCCTCCTTTACCAGGACTCCTTCTGCATCTACGATACTCGGAATATCCATGATACATAATTTTTTAATAGATGGCATGACAGATGGTATCCAGGTCTGAATGGAAACTCGGGACATTATCATTTACAGTATTAAACCTGGATCAGATCAAACTTGGACATACACAAGAGGATTTTACACTCATGAACAGCGAACAATGGGAAAGACAACACGCCTGAATTGAACCTCCTCGTCGCCATCAACCTTCCCCCATTGCATCCCTCCCTCTGCTCCCGCATGTCGTTGTGTTGCACCTTATTTTCACTTTACACGGGAAAAAGATCATGGACACAAGGCCCTCTCTGCTAGCACCAGAAAGTCAATTCCTCCCTTGCTTCCTTTCCTTCCCCATACTTTCACCTTTTTTCACTCCAAAAGAGCTCTATCGCAATAGTCGGAGCAAAATAATACATGGTACCGTACCACACATGTACTAACTGACTTCGTCCCTCTTTCTTCCTTGTCCTTTCTATGTGCCGGTGAAAACTTCTTTCTTATTGTTAGCATTCAATCCCCGCCGTTGCCTCCTGGAGCGTTCAGTTGGATCACGGCGTCGTTCAAGGTCAAGGACACGGAGTTGTCGGAGAGGGTTGGGCTGGATGCTTACATGTTCTTGCGTTTCCTCCGAATGAGCGCGTAAGTGTTTAACCAGAAAGGGACTTAGAAGAAAGAGCAAGGGATATAGCATGGAGTAAAAACCAGGAGGAACAATGGAACAGGGACATGGTTTGGATATAAAAAAAAAGTTATTTAAAATCGATGATGGCGATGATGACGCAAAAAAATGGAGAGGTGTATGCAATGCACCAAGGGAGAAAGGGATAACCAAGGAACCTTATCGTGTGCGAGCTTTGTTTGTGCCACACACTGCTAATCGTTGCTTCGCGTCCTCTTATCAATTAGAATTCTCTTTGGAGGATGCACACTCTTGGCAGTCCCTATCCTTATCCCAATCAATGTGACTGGAGGTGGTAATGCAGAGGAGCTGTTGGAACTGACTATCGGAAATGTCGCTTTGCCGTGGCGTCTTTGGTTCCATCTTACATTGACCTACCTCTTTTGTGGTAAGTTGTATCCTATGCATTGTTGCTGTTTGGTGTTGAAACCTTTTGGTGTTGAAACCTTTTGTTGTTCATGTGTGCTGAAAATCATTCGTCTTTGAGGGACCATAGTGAGATAATATGATCTTCTCATTAATGGTTGATGGCATCCTATCTCTTTTCTGGACGACAGGGTCATCGATTGGGTTACTGTGGCGTGAAATGCGGGAATACACTCAGCGTCGTCATGTTTTTCTTATGAGCGCGCGCCACAACAAGGCACCCCAGTCAACCACCATTCTCGTCACTGCCATCCCCGAGGGCTTGAACACCGAAGAAGCACTCTTTGACATCTTTGACCGGTTCTCTGGTGGAGTGTCCAAAATCTGGCTCAACAGGTATCACCTTCTTGACTACTGTCGCCGATTCGCTGTTTATGAGATCAGTCTCTACCATCTTTTCTAACTCGATTTTATTACCTCCATGATAGACACCCGAAGAACATATTGAAGCTGTGCAAGGAGCGGGATGAGATTGTACCAAAGCTGGAAATGGCAGAGTACAACTACATTCGATCAGCATACAGTAAAAAGGCGCAAAAAGATCCCAAATTCAAGGATCCAGCACGACCTCTTGGGAGAGTGTCAAGAATCCCATTCTGGGGCAAGAAGGTCGACCTCATCAACTTCTACACGGAACGGCTCGCACACCTTAACAGTGAAATCGAATCAGCACAACAAACAGGATCCCTCAAATCACTCAACTCGGCCTTTATCCAGTTCAACTGTCAGTTTGGCGCCCATAGTGCTGTACAGACGGTCGTTCACCCTAAACCATTCCACATGACACCCATGTACTCGGAGATCTCGCCCTTGGATGTTGTGTGGGACAACATGAACCTGAGTACGATCGTCACCAAAGGTCGTCGTCTGGTTATTCTCGCAGTCTCGACGGCTATGATCTTGTTCTGGACCGTCCCTACGCTTTTCATCGCCAGTATCTCCAGTTTGTCAGTTTTGGTCGATGCGTTTTCATTTCTCGCCTTCTTGGAGCAGCTGCCGAGTGCAGTGATTCCTCTCGTCGAGGGTATTATTCCACCACTGATGCTTGCTGGACTCATGGCTGTGCTCCCCGTTATCCTGACGACTATGGCGACCTATGAGGGACCCGTTCGACACAGCGCTATTACGCACTCGCTCATGACCAAGTACTTCTTCTTTCTGGTCGTCAATGTGCTGCTCATCTCGACTCTGACAAACGGCTTTCTCGGGACCTACCACCAACTCGAAAAGAACGGCTTCAAGCTGGATGACATTGTTAGGCTCGCTGCGGAGAACCTCCCCAGGTCGTCTGCCTTCTTTATCAACTATGTTCTTCTTCGCGGATTCACCGGACCGGCGTTGGAGCTCATTCAGATCGTTCCGCTGTTGCTCAACTTTTTTTTCACCAACCTCACGGCCAAGAGTCCCCGGCAGATCTGGGATGTCCAGGGTCGACTCGCGTCCGTCAACTATGGAGTCCTCTTCCCCGAGCAGACTTTGATTTTTTGTATCGGCATCGTCTACTCGACCCTCGCGCCTCTAATCCTGCCCTTTGTGACCTTTTACTTTACCGTCTACTATTTTGTCTTCCGGCACCAGTTCCTGTACGTCTACAGCCAACCGGTCGAGACTGGAGGTTTGTTGTTTCCTACGGCCGTCAAGCAAGTCTTTACGGGGATCTTTATTGGCGAGATTACGCTGTTTGGAATCTTTGTCCTGAAGCAGGCTACATACAACGCGGTCCCCCATCTGGTCTTGATGATCATCCTGTTCGTCTGCACCTCCCTCTCACTCAGTAACATGAACGAAGCCTTTGACCCCTTGGTGACCTTTTTGCCTGTGGCTCTATTCTCCAAGGACCTCCACGTGGATCGCCATGGAAATGTCACGGATGGAGATGAGAAGAGGAAGGAGCCCAAGTCAAAGAAGCACGACCACCAAGAACAGCCACAGGACCAAGAGGATGTCGAGCGACCCAGTGGAGACGGGACCGTTATGATGCTGGAGAACCTGTCGAACAAGAACTTTACATCCAACACAGCAGCTACTGCTGGAAGCATCTCGTCTCCTCTGGATCATCTCCGAGCACAGCCACAAGAAAGCAGGACTGAGCTGCATCATAGAGCCTATACTATGGATTACGACTCATTGGTGCCCCCTCCTTCTGACATTGACCCTCAGCCACCACAACACTACGCGACGATCGATATGACTTACTTGGACCCGGATCAGTTCCTGCGCCCCAACATTTCGTACGACAGTCGGGAGTGGGGATCCAAGGATGGGTCGCATCATATGCTGCCGCATGACTTTCACCAACAGTCAAGGCGGTATCAGTCCGAGGACGATATCACGCGCCTGTCGGGTCAACGCCAAGGTCACCTTATACGGTTCGCGACTCAAAGCCCTATCAATTCGCGCCCTGCTTCGTTGCACAATCGTCCTGTATCGTATGCTCATCCTGCGACTTTCAACCACAGCGCCAACATCAACATCCACAACCACGACAGCGACCGTCCAGCATCTTTCATGGATCGACGTGATACCCACAACAGCAACGATTCAGGACATGGAAGAGGTGGACCATGGCCCGAAGTAATGGAGGTGGATGCGGAACTGGAGCGCCTACAGGATCAGGCATACTGTCATCCTGCAATCTATAATGTCCAAAAACCTGTTTGGTTGCCCATGGATGAGAGAGAGCTAATGCAGGCCGAGATTGACAAGTTGCGGAACAGGGGTATTGTGGTGGCTACCGAGGGTGCTTATTTGGATGGCAAGACTTCCAAGGCCTGTGTTGGAGGGTTGATTTATGCGCCTGGCGAGGAGGCTCAGTATCGTCTTGAGCGTGGCGAGTAAAGGGTGTTTTACGAGGAGGGGGGAGGAGGAACAGTAGGAGTATGAATCTCGACCTTATTTGTGGCAGGTGCGTTTTTTTTTGTGTTATTGTGATAATAAAAAAAATGGTCTCGAGCATACAATTTCGAGGTTGGTACTGGTCTAGGCATTGGCAAAGTGTAAGGAAAAAGAGGCTAGCTTAATAAAGGTCCTTCTTAGCTCTTTAGCCTTTGCTTTATTCTTCACACTCTTCAACTCTCTTCTCTCTCTCACAGCAATCGACCAGCTTACTTTCATTTCATTCAAACAAACATAAAACAAAGCGCACAAGTTTACAAGCATCTATCCAGCCGAAAACAGCACCAGCGTGTTATCCCTTTTTTTTTCTTCGTGTGTTACTCTGTAATTTCTTTGGGATGCTGACAATAGGCAGGGGGAACCAGCACTATCGATGGTATCTCCTGATGGACTTCAGCTTGCTATTGGCTCTAGATATGACACCATTTACCTTCTGGATCGTCTGTGTGTGTGTGTGTGGAGGGGGGGAAGCTGTTGTCGTCGTCAATTAAATTGGACAACGAGTGTGGCATTATGGGACTAACCTACTCTCTAACCGGACAGCACGATCCGACTTTAGGACCTGCATTCAGACCAGCCCTACGACAGTTTGGAGGGACACGCAGCACAAATCAACTGTATCGCTTATTCACCGTATGGTAGGTGGATCGCTTTCGGTTTGTCATGATAAGTCAGTTCGACTCTGGCATCAACAACAACCCCAACAAGCCGGTGAACGTGTCGTGTATGTCTCGACTGTCCATGAATCCTTTGACCGCATTTCCAATATCTCCTGGAATCCGATGCTCCCAAATGGTGTTTGTCACCGCCTCCTGGGATGGATCTATCCGAGTCTGGGGAGTGTCGACGACCGGTGATGAAGGTGTTGTTGTTGGCAGGGAGCTGTAGGGGGGACCCGATTTGAAGATTCTCTGTGCCGCTCATACGATACTCGAGGACGTTGTTGGGGTAGCCAGTGAAGCTCTAGTTACGGAGAATGGAGGCACAAAGAACTCATTAATATACATCTAATCAGTTGACTCTTTTGTCGTCCATAACTGAATCCGAATCCGATTGTTCCTGACTGATAACCTTATTTGAGACTAACCTGATTCTGATTTGGTGATCAGAAAGATGTGTTAAGTTTTTCGCTTGTCTTGTCTTGATACTGTTGGCTGTTCCGAAGTGGTTCCAGGGACTCTTGAAGGTGTCAAGAAAGACAAAGGTGAATAGTGGCTCGTGACTCTCCCCCATCTTTCTGTCGTCCGACATGCATGCATGCATGCATATCGATCACAAAGGCAACAGAAAGGGAGAAAGTAATGCGTTTCTGACAAAGGGGATGGACGCACAGGGACAGTGGCGAACAAACAAACAAACAAATAAGCGAACAATTCCTACACACACACCATGACGCATCTTTATTTTTCTATCTTCTTTCTTCCTCTTCCCTCTTCCCCGCTGTCCGCCTTGCACGCACTTTTCACTCACTTTACACTTTCAACCCCAAGACTCATTCAGTTGTCTGTTCACCACTTCCTCCTTCTTCCATCATATCCTCTCCACTAACTCGCGCGCAGAGTTTATTTCTCTCAGTATTCAAGCCCGACTTTCGAATGGGGAGACGACTACAAAGGCATTTTCGCTACAGGTGTTGTCGAAGGATTTTATTGGATCGATTGTATTCGAATAGGAGGTGGGATAAACATAAGGAATGGAAGGCTTATCCTCAGCTGAGGCCTATTACTCTGGTGGAGAAGGAGGATAGTGCGGAGCCCGAGGTTGTGGTTGGTGAGGGAGAGAGTACGCCGTTGGAGCAGAAACAGTCTGTGTTTGAGAAGCATGCCCGAAAGCTGCACGAACAGGATGCGCAGAAGAAGGCGGTGGAGGCTTGGGGACAGGTGGAGGTTGTTCCGGGTGTATTTTATGTTAACTCCTTTGAGCCCCTCATCTCCGTTAGTATCTGCATGTGTTGAGAAAGGTGAATGCCGTCATTAACGCGTTTTGTCGTTGTCTCTTTGTTTTGTTGTGGATTGATGTGACATAGACGATGGAGACGGAGACGATTGCGGGAAAGAACATTGCTAGGCTGTTGTGCGACTGGATCGTGGGACATTGCCCTGTGGAGAAGATAGTTAAGCGATAAAACAAGCATCAACAGCACATACACATATAAGCACTCATAGGAATAAAATGGCACATTGGTTATCTTTGGTTCTTGTGGATGTGATGCATTGTAAGGCATTCAGGCGGTGCAAGGGTGAGGCTAGGCTGGACAAGGGTCAAGAAAACGATCGATTGAAAGAGGAGCTTAAGTAAAAACAAGACAGTGCAAATGGCAAGTGGGCTCAAATATCTCGTCGTTGTTTTTCAATGTGCACTTCTCCCTTTTTGTACCTTTTCTACTTTCTCTTCCTTCGCTCCCTTCTCTTCCTCCTCCGACATTCACCTTTTCCTCTCATTCGCCATCCCCTCTTCTCCTCGCATTCGTCTTCCTTGTATTCATTGTCAGACTCCTACATCAGGAACCTGCTCCCTTCGACAAAACAACCATACTCCTGTCCAACAAAGAGTACGCCTTGTTCAGCAAACAGAGCAGCAGCGAGAACGGTTCACATGCTGGCCTCTGAAAGAGTCCTCTCTAACATGCATCCAATTGCCTTTTCACAATATAGTCAACATATTCCCTCTCGTCCATAACTGGTCAAGACTTTTTCAATCAGGGACAAGACCAACAACAACCCAATTACTCCACTACCCAGGGACTCGTGCCTAACACATAACTCAAAAAAGTAGGTATTCTCTGCTAACGATTGTCTCTGCGCCAACGACATTGAAGACCTCGACTCTTTCCCGCGGAGCAGGTTCCTTTGCTAATGTCATATTCACGCCATCTCTCTATTTAGATACACCAAAAGAACAAAACAAAACAAAACAAACTTCCTCGGCACTGACAGTCAGTCTTTCTAAAGATCCCACAAAAAGAAAATAACAAACAGGAAACACAGTAAGTGCCTTGGTGTTTCTGATAGCAATCTCGTCAGAAGGCTTCCTTGCATACCGACAGCACGACTTACGGTGCTAATTCCCTTATGCTTTGTGTTTTCTTGCAGTACTCACTCTGGTTACTCAGCCATCTCCGCCATCCTCACCATCTCTGACCGACTCCAAATTCATCTTTGCAAACCTCGCACACAACCACAGAAACACCATATGGTACGCCACACAACATGGTCAGTAAACCCTTCAACCAACCAGGTTCGCATGCTACTAGCGATACTGGAAAAGCCAATGACATCCAGCGTGTCAGGAAGCGCGACGTAATCCGTGATATCTTTGGGTTTTCCAAATCCAAGACAAAAGAGATCGATGCCACGGCCACCAACCAGGCAGTGAGTGCTCAAACCCCTCCTCAAGTTGTAGGACCACCTACTACATCCTCAGCCAGTGACGTTCACCCAGTTGCCGACCAAGCTGTCATATCCACGCCTCCTGTTGACAATCCATTGCCTGCACCTGTCGAAACCAAGAGGACCTCGAACATCTTTCTCGAGAACTTGCCCGCGCCTATGATGAAGACTGCGTTGCCTGCTGTCCAGGATCGCATTGAGGTCACCCAACAGTTGGCCTATTGCAGTGCCTTGCTACTCCACGGCTCATCTCCTCCACTGACCACCGCTGCTGAACTTGAAGATCAGACCCGCGATTCCGTCATAACACTGCAGAAGTTCCAAAACCTCGACAAGAAGGAACTTGATTGGCTTGCAGAGATGGACAAGAACTTGCCTGCGAAGGAATGTATCTCCTGGCTGGGAACACGCATGGTCGACGAGTTTGCCAAAGATGTCCTCAAAGACTCGACCGAGATTGCCGAGATTGTCCTTCTTGGCCCTGTCTTGGACAAGGAGACTTACCGCAGCCTACTGTCGTGCACCATCACCGCATTCGAGCAGTCTGTTCTTCTGAATGTCGACCTCCTGCAAGGCGTAGTTCAGCTCGTCCAAGTGTCCCCACCTGACTCTCTGGTCTCTGATGACCTGGTCAAGATCCTCCGTGTCCTTAGGATTTGCTTGCAGGACACCCATCAGCAGTCCTCGGTGCACCCTTTTCATCTCACACTGGCACTGTCGCGACTTCTTGACGTGATGGTGGAGCACAAGGTCAAGGATTTGAACCGCGTCGAGGATCATGAGCCTTTGTCGGGAATCTTGTCAGGACTAGAGGGTAGCTCGGATCCATACCTGATGTACCAGGCATGCTATGCGTTCCAGGCGCTGCAGTATGTCCCTGATGATGAGAGCGCTCTTCAGTCAGTTCTTCGACACGGGACTGGAGTTGTAAATGGCCTCATCCAGGTTTCAGGCGTGTTCAAGCTGGATCTAGGAGCAGTTCTTGAGGGCCTAAGCAACCTTCAAGAAGCACTCGGTGGCATCATGGGAGTTGCCAGTGATGTCTACAAGGGTGTGAACTCTGTGATGGAAAGCGGCCGTGGAGTTTTGGATGGTCTCAAGGAAGGATTCTCTGAAGGAAAGAAGCGGCCATGGTACGCAGCCATCCGTGTTGCTCAGGCTCTTTTCCAAGCAGGCCAGCTGAAGGATCTCAACCAACTCATATACGAGGCACCTTGTCGTGGTGACCCCTTGTTCCAATGGGGTATCTGCCAGCTTCTGGGAGAGATCGCATCCGATGTCATGTGGGATACCAATGTCCGCCAGCAAGCCATCGACCTTCTCGGAGACCTGTACAAGAACGATTCACAGTGGGGGGAGGACGAAAGCGTCAAGACCTGGATGGTTAACATTATTGGTCAACTCAGTACCGTCTCTGACCAGGCCGTCAAGACCATCGCCATTGCCTTACTCAAAGACTTCCACCAGGATCAAAACACCACCATCCGACTTCCATACCCGCTGAGGAACCGTCTGCCTCTGCCTACATCGTCTCCAATCCTCGCCCGCGTTCAAAACATTACACCCCTCGAATACGATTTGTGCCAATATCAAGTCCAGCGATTGCAGCAGCATCGCCAGACGGTATATATCCCACCGTTGGTAAAACCTAATCTGAAGGCCAAGGATGAGGATGTCTTCCCTCTGCTGAAGAAAGTGTTAGAGTTCCTGGCGAGTGAGCGACAAGTGATGTTGGTGCTGGGTGACTCTGGGTCTGGCAAGTCGACATTCAACCGACATCTCGAACATCGACTGTGGACTGATTACAAGCAGGGCGGACCTATCCCACTGTTCATCAACCTTCCCGCCATCGACCACCCAGACCAGGATTTGATCGCCAAGCATTTGCGGGCCAACAACTTCGGCGACGACCAGATCCAAGAGATGAAGCAGCACCGCGAGCTCATACTCATCTGCGATGGGTACGACGAGAGTCAGCAACAGGACAACCTTCATCGAAGCAATGCGCTGAACCAACCAGGACAATGGAATACCAAGATGGTCATCAGCTGTCGCACCCAGTTCCTCGGACCCACCTACATCGATCGGTTCAAGCCGCAGCCTACAGATCGCTACGCTTCTTGTTCCCAGGATGTCTTCCAAGAAGCTGTCATCACCCCCTTTTCCAAGGATCAGGTCAAGAGTTATGTCGAGCAGTATGTCCAAGATCCAGAGACGGTGCTTTTATTCAAAAACCAGTCCGCCTGGTCCTCGGAGGAGTACATGTACAAGTTGACAGCCATCCCCAATATCATGGATCTCGTCAAAAACCCATTCCTGCTCACCCTCGCTCTCAAGGCTCTGCCTGGCCTGGTCGCTTTGAACAAGGATCTTGCGAGCATTCGCATCACCCGCGTTCGTCTTGACGATATGTTTGTGGACCAGTGGTTGGAGACGAACCGACTACGCATCCAACCCAACAAGCTGAGCCAGAAGGACCTGGAAGCATACACCTCTTTAATAGACGACGACTTTATAGGATGCGGGATCAACTACCTGCTTCGTCTAGCTGCCGCCATTTTCAAGGAGCAGGAGGGCAACCCGGTTGTGCAGTATGTCCATCGACAGGACAAGGACTCTTGGAAGGCTGAGTTCTTTGGGACTGATCCCGAGGCCAAGTTGCTCCGCGAGGCCTCCCCGTTGACGCGCACCGGCAACCAGTTTCGCTTCGTACATCGATCAGTGCTGGAATATCTCCTCTCTCGCGTCATCTTCAACCCGATCGAGACTGTGGAGGAGGACATGGATCCAGAATCTGAGAATGCATCCCCCACCGCTCTCTTGTCGGACGGCAACAACCCCTTGTTCCAGAAGAACCTGCTTGCTGAGCCATCGATCATCCAGTTCCTATGCGATCGGGTCAAGTCAACCCCTGGTTTCGAGCAGCAACTCCGGGCTGTGATCGACCTGTCCAAGACCGATGAGACTGCAACCATCGCCGCCGCCAACGCCATAACGATTATCGTTCGAGCTGGTGTGGCCTTTCACGGTGCCGATCTACGAGGTGTCAGGATCCCTAGTGCCGATCTTTCCGGTGGTCAGTTTGACTATGCGCAGTTTCAAGGAGCAGACTTGACGGGTGTCAATCTTTCGAGGAGCTGGTTGCGAGGGGCGGATTTGAGCGGCGCGAAGATGGACGGTGTCCAATTTGGGGAACTCCCGTACCTGGAGTTGGGTGACAGTGTGGTTACTTGTGCCTACTCGTCTGATGGAAGAATGCTTGCCGTGGGCGTAACCGGCAGCGTTAGCATTTATGACACCTCATCATGGACGAGCACCTATTCTTTTACAGCACCGGATGGAGTGGACACTATGGCATTTTCACTCGACGGCACAAGGGTCGTGTTTGGAGGGAGGGATGGGATGGTTAGGCTGTGGGATTGTGCCAGCGGCCAAGAGATGTTCGTCATGGAAGGACACCAGTCCGATGTGAACTCCGTTGCCTTTTCTCCCTGTGGCAAGCAAATCGCCTCGGCTGGAGATGACCGAACAATACGAATGTGGGATTCTCAGACCGGAGAGAGTCTCTTTGCCTTGGAGGGTCTCACGGACTATGTCTGGAGCGTCAAGTATTCTCCGAGCGGAGAGCGGCTGGTGTCGGGCGGTTCCGATGGGACGATTCGGTTTTGGGACTCGGAGACAGGAGAGCCAGGGATTGTTTTGGACTCTTCCTTGGGTGGGGGTTTCACTCTTGCTTTCTCTACTGATGGACGGTGGATTGCTTCTGGTTATTCGGGGGGTGAATTGCAACTTTGGCACGCAATGTCAGGAGAGCCAGGTCCCGTCCTGCATGGCCATACCGACTGCGTTACGGGAATTGCGTTTTCTCTAGACAGCCGGTGGATCGCTTCTTCTAGTCGCGACGAAACAGTGAGACTATGGGATGTGTCGACAGGCACTCCCATTGACACGCTGTCAAGCCATAAGGCCGTGAACGATGTCGTATTTTCTCCGAATGGTCTTCAAATCGCATCGGGTGGTAAAGACAACAGAGTGCGGCTGTGGGATGTCGAATCTGTTTTGACGTCGAGTGTTGAGCAGCAGGATCAAATCGGGCCAGTAGGGAAGACAGTGTACTCTCCGAATGGTCAAGCTATTCTTACAGTCGGCAACAGGGATACCGTCAAGCAGCTGGATTCTCTGACAGGAGCTCCCGTACCACTTTCGACCGAGTTATCGGGGTCTCTATCATTCTGGTCCGTGTCATATTCATTAGACGACATCCCAACCGCGACTGTCGATCAAGACAAGATTCTTCGATTGTGGGAGCTTCAGGAAGGAGGACGAGAGACTACTCTGGAAGACTCAGGGCTGTTGAATAACGTTACCATGTCGCCTTGCTGTCGTTGGATCGTGTCTGTTGACTGGGACAATACCGTGGCGCTGTGGGACCTTGCCAACACTCAACAAAAGCACGTACTTATTGAGAATGGCGGAGTCAATGACGAGGATATCCGCCGCTTGGCATTCTCGGCGACCGGACATCAGCTCGCAGTCGGCTCATTGGATGGCACCATATGGCTCTTTGATCCTCAATCGAAAGGTTTAATAACGTCCAAGTCGACAGGTGATAGTATTGAGGCGATGTCGTTTTCGCCGGACGGCCAGCAGCTTGCAGTCGGAACCGATGAGGGCTCGATCTACCTTTGGGGCTTACAGTCAGAGGAGAGCGCCATCGAGCTGAGAGGACATACAGAAAGGGCAAAATGCATTGCCTACTCACCTTGCGGCGAATGGATTGCTTCCGGCGGTTGGGACAATACAGTGCGAGTCTGGCACAGGCGGCGACCATCAGTCGATACGGAGACCTGGTCGTGTGTCTCAACGGTCCGTGGCTACTTTGACATGGTCCTTGACATTGCCTGGAGTCCGACCGTCCCTATGGAATTTGTCACTGGCTGCTACGACGAATCTGTCCGGGTCTGGCGAGTGTCGAGCGATGGTGAAGATGTTGTCATCAAGCTACTCTGGGGCACCAATCTTGCGATTCTCCACGCCGACGGTCTTGTGTTCATAGGTACGACTGGTCTTAGTCCGATGCAAAAGAAGTTATTGGTCCAGCGCGGCGCCATTGACGATTCGTTAACATTGGAGGAAGATGGATGATCGGACGTTGAGGAGTAGGAGATAAGATTATGATGGAGAATGAAAATCCAGGAAAGAGTAAATAAAAACACATATGTGACATTTTTCCATTAGTATTGGTGAGTTTCTTATAAAACACAACCCAAAGATTGTCTTATAGATAGAACATGACCCGGAGTCAATTAGAAAAGCAAAACGTTGGAATTAAAGTGATTCAAATGTTATTAGATCTTTACTATGTACCTGAATGATGACAATATCTAAGACTCTCTTGTTTTTGATTTGATGAGCGGATCAATGTCGCCTTGAGTCGACGCGTATGCTCGAGTACCTTTGTCTTGTCTTCGCCACTGGCTGTCCCAAGTTTGCCCCAGGGCCCGTGAGATGCTAAGCAGCAGACAGAGTGACAGGGACTCGTACCTCCCCCTTTGTTTTCTTCCGTGGACTTTGAAGTGTATGCATAATGGGTACGCATTTGCTGAAAATCCGTAGTACGAAAATACGTCAGCCTCGAGGTAGGTGTGTAAGGAAATGCATGTCCGCATTTCCAAAAAAATACCCACAGTGTCCTTTCCGCCTTTGGACCTCACCATACCTTACATTTCCGAGCGTAGACAGCTTTTTCGGGACCTGGAAACAGCAATATTTCTTGCCCAAGACGACGATGACGGTGAAGAAGTTGAGGAATTTTATACATCTATACACTCTCGTTTTTCTACTTCTCGCTTCATTCATGACCACAACTAGGCGACATCGAGACGATCACTTTTTTTGTCGAAAAGTTTCCAACACTCGCCAACGACGAATTTCGGTCGATATTCAGGACAACAAGGCAGGAGTTAGCCGCACTTGTTAGCCGCCTCGAGGACCATCCTGTCTTTTCGAACAACTCTAGATGCCTGTGGGTTCATCCAGCCTGGAAAATCGTCGTAGCTCTGGCTCGTTTCGGTGGGTGGTGGAAATGGCTCGTCTGTGACGAGTAAACAGGCGTTTACTGGTCAAGCAGTTGGAACAGTTGTCCTTTACACTAAGCGGATCACACGAGTATGGATGTCAGTCAGAGGCGATTGGATCTCATGGCCAGATGAAGCGCGGAGGAAGGGGATTGGTCAAGTCATGCGCAGTGAGGGGTTCCCGGGCTGTATAGGATTTATCGACGGAACTACTATTCCACTTTCTCAAAAGCCAGCTATCGATGGAGAAACATATTTAGACAGAAAGCAAAAGGTACTTTTGTTTAATACTAATCAGTGCCTAGCATGGTGGTAAGCAGCAGTCGCTTTTTTACTAATAGTTTTGTCGACTTGTCAATCTTTAGATACTCTGTTGCTATGCAAGTCATCTGCGATGTGGATAAATGGATCATTGGGGTACATGTCGGCTGTCCCAGGATCATGGGCCGACTCCTCGATTTTCGAGCGGATGGGTGTATACAAGGACCTTCACGACCACTTCTCACCTGAGGAGTGTAGTATGATTCAGGATCCGAGGATCTATTCGTATTCAACTAAAAATCGGAAAAGGCGGTAATCGTCGCGTTCTAGCACGGGTTCTGACTTAGAGGCGTTCAGCCATAATTTACTGGCAGATTCGGCTTATCATCTAACCATGACTTGCATTCCAGCATACAAGGCACCTGTAGCAAAATTTGCCAGAGAATAGGGACTCTAACTTTTGGCTTGCAAAGCCCCGAGTCCGTTACGAGAATTGCATTGGTGTGCTCAAATCTCGGTGGGGATCTCTACGAGAGATGAAACAACAGATTCGGAATATACAGGATATGCGTCATTTCGTAGAATGGTGCTGTGTACTCCACAACATGTTGTAACAGCTAGGCGATACATGGGAGAAGATGTATCTGGAGGGCGAGGGTGTCAGGGACAGTGGTGAAAGCTGGTTGGACGTCGTCCCAGTAGCGGAGGGAGAGATGGTTGATTTGCTTTTGGCAGAGGCCCAGGTCTGGGAATGCTTGGGAGAGGGTTTGGAAGAGGTCAAGAAGGTAAGGGGAGGGTGTTATGCTAATGAAGAGGAGGATTGTTTTTGGGCGGTGGTAGCCGTTGATAACTGTCTTTGGGGGTGGTTGTTGGTCCAGAGTGGTTGAAGTGAGGGTTTGAAGGTGGATACGCCAGGTATCGATGTGCTCGAGGATTGTGGGGACGTTGGTGGTGTGGGGTGTTAAAGAATCCGGCCATTGTTGTGTGGGGTGGGTAGCGGGTTGCTTCGTTTCCTGCGAAGGGTGTGTGGGTGGTGGTGGCGGTGAAGTAGTTGGAGAGTTGGGTGTGTAGGGTGGAGTGGAGGGATGGTTCTAGGTAGATGATTAGTTCTGAAGGTGGCATTGTGAATGGGTTTGGGGTGTGGAGGAGGGTGATGTGAAGAAGGGAGAGGAAAGATGTGTGGATGGAGAGGAAGGGAAAGAGGCGGTAGTGATCTAAGAGAAAAAACTGAGAGGTTGGGAAGTGAAACTTGCGCCACCAAAAAAAAGCGTGTTTCGTTCCTTCACGAGACAACACGATTCTGTGAGCGACTGCAAGAAAGGCTGGGTCCAGATCCCTGGACTCTGTCCTCGAGAAAGAAAATAGAGTCGCGGGGCAGGATCGAGATTGCTTTTGAATCGTCTTTGATAAAGGAGGTAGAGGAAGAACAATCAGCACAACCTGATTAGAAGAATTTTGTAGAGGAAGAAAACCTTGACAGAATGAGGTAAAGGACCGGGGTAGCCCGGCGATGGATTCTGGAACTGATCAGTTCCAGATTTTTACGCGAAATTACTGCGAATAGGGTCTTCTCTCCATATTACAAAAAATTCACCAAGGAGGTCACCCATTCAGTCCACATAAAAAAGAGGAACCACAACGAGAAGAACGTCCTTATCCACTTTAAGTGCACTCAACTTTGATAATCGCTTCATCAATTGTTATGCCTCAAACTCATCCGAGCATGGGGCGATGGGATGATGTCGGATCCCAGAAAAAAAGGATGGGCCGATTCGTTAACGTCAACGAGATGGACTGGCTGAACAATACGATGGTTAAGATAGGTTCAGAGCCAAACCTTCATAAATGAAAATGTTGTCGAACCCCTCTGACAATCAAGGGACTCTTTTAGGGGAAGAGGAAAAAGGGCGCCACAGCGAAAAATTGTGCATAACTCACACACACACCATCGACATTTCTCCCTCTCTCTCTTTCTTTTCTCTTTTTTCCTTTTCCTTTTCTTCTTTCCTCCTCTTCTTTTCTCTCTTTCTACACCGATATTGACTCCCTTCACAGCTCATTCCATTCTGCTACTCATCGTCACTCTTTTTCTTCCATCACAGCTATCTCAATCTCTCGGACTCATTCCACGTTTTCGTTGACGCTATTCATCGAGTCGCCCCTTTTTCACTTTTCCACCTGGCGCTCACAGGAACACAAGATTTCTCTTTCGTGTTCGCGTTTGAGCCCTAACGGCCAGTTTTCCACCTCCCTCGCACTCCAACCCGCCCAAGATACTTCAGCACATACCTGTGCGACCCACGACAATCATCTCACTCACGGCTCCCTGGCTTCGCCTTTGCTCCAGACCCAACTCACCGAGCAACGGAAAGGTATGAGTGTTTTGAAGTTACGTCTGCTAACATGAGATTGAGACCAATTGGCACCATCGCAGAGACTAAAAGCTATCCATGCTTCAGCTCCTTTATAGCTGCTCTCGCCACTTCTATCTACTCTTGCAAGAAAGCAAAGGATTATTTCCTCTTTTTCCTGCTGACACAAAGTAAGTTTGACTTTGATTCGCATTGGAGAGTGCTGCTTTGTCTCCTTTTTTTTGCATACAGATATGCTAACCCTATACTTGCATGCATGCATGTATGTATGCATATGGATTCTTCCCGAACAAGTTCAAGTGAAGCATAATTATTTTCGCCCTGCTCCTTGCCAAGGTAAAGCACAGACATGCGATTCTTGCGGGAAGTATCCCTTATCCACTCCTGCACAAACATAGGCTGACCATGCCTTCTCCCTCCTTCTCTGTGACAGGAACCTTCCTCTCTCTTTTTGTTTTCATAAGGCATCCCAGCCATTCCGCGGCTACTATCGCCAATCATCCGTTTCTCGTTGAGAAGTAAGAAGATGGGACAAGGGTACCCACCATGATTTATTTTTGTTGTGCGAGGTGACACGTCTTAACATATATATTTTTTAATAACTAAAACTTTGCTAAAACAGAAGAGGAGTCCACCATGACCAAGGACTCGCAAACAACCCCACCTGGGACCCCACCCCAACTTACTCAGGCGACCAAGACCTCTCACCCAAGAACAACTCAATCGGCCTCCAACAGTCCGTTCTCCAGCATTGGGCGAGCAGCAAAGGCAGCAGTCAAACCCACTAGAACGTTAAAGAGTCGATCTGTTGGTCATGGACTCGCGGCGATCTATATCGAACAGGGCAACATCGCTTCACTCGGCAACCAAGGTCAATCAAGCGCCCCTGAACATGACGCCGAGGACAAGTCGATTCCTTCTCCACGCAATCGGAAGCGAGATTTTATTCCCAATCTGATTCGGTCACTCATACCGGAACCCAAAGGCAAGCCGCAGAGAGAAAGCCCTAAGGCACACATCCGCCGCCACTCGACCGACAGCACCCATAACAGTGATATTCCATTTCCCAGTGTCGGTACTAATAAGACGATCGGGATCGAACGTGCAGTCGCCAGCACCGTCATTAAGGACTGGGATCCCAATGTTCAGCCCCCAGCTTTGTCGACCAAACCTCGCACGGATGTCTTTTCACACAACGTCAGCGCACCCGCCTTCCGAATCTCACTTCCCAAGCTCTATGCCCGTGTTAACTCTACTCCTCAACTCGCCTTGTGCATTGGCTTGCTTCGTGCAGAGAGCGACACTGCCAGCACGCACGAGGCCATTTGCTCGTATGTCACGTCAACAGACACCGCCGCTCAGCGCGATTGGGTCAACGCAATCAGGCAAGATCCGACCGAGCAGAACCAAATGCGATCGCTAGGGGCAAGCATGGTGGAAGAGTTTTCCAAAGACGCTCTCAAGGACTCTGTCAAGGTTGCTGAATTGGTTCTCCTTGGCCCTGTCCTGGACAGGGAGACCTTTCGAGATCTATTAGAGGCTACCATCACAGCTTTCGTACAGTGTGTCCTTCTTGATGTCGACCTGCTCCAAGGTCTTGTTCAGTTGGTTCAGTTTGCCCCTGCCGAGTCCCTGCTTCCTGACGACTTGGTAAAGATCCTTCGCATCCTCAGATTTCGACTGCAAGACACTCACCAGCAGTCTTTGGAGCACGCTTTTTATATCACGCTAGCTGTCTCAAAGCTTCTGGATGTTATGGCGGAACACAATGTTGAGGATCTGGACCGAGTTATGGAGCATGAACCTCTGTCAGGAATCTTGTTGGGATTGAGGGGGAGCTCGGATCCTTTCTTGATGTACCAGGCATGCTATGCTTTTCAAGCGCTGCAGTATGTCTACGATGACGAAACGCCTCTGCAGGCCCTTTTTCGACACTCCACAGGGGTTGTAGGTAGATTGGTCAAGGTCACGGATGTTCTGAAGTTGGATCTGGACGCCGTTCTCCTGGGACTCGACAAGTTACAGGCGACGATTGTCAGCGCCGCTGACGGTCCGTGCTCGTTGATGGAGAGTGGTCGAAAAGTTTTTGAGAGCCTGAGGCAAGGTTTTGATTCAGAGCAGAAGAAGCCTTGGTATGCTGCCATCCTTGCTGCCAACGCGCTTGCTCGAGCTGGCCAGCTAAAGGATCTCAACCAACTTATCTGTGAGGCACCTTGTCGCCAAGATCCCCTCTTTCAATGGGGTATCTGCCAGCTCTTGGGTGAGATTGCGTCCGATGCCATATGGGAGACCCCTGCTCGCCTGCAAGCTGTCGAACTTCTCGAGGAGCTGAACAGGAACGATTCAGAGTGGGGTCAGGACAAGAGCGTTCAGGCGTGGATGCTCAACATCACCTACCAACTCGGAAATGTCGACGAGCACGCCGTCAGTACCAGCGCACACATGTTGCTCAAGGGCATGCTACACAAACAAGGCACGGCCGCGAGACTGACCTACCCGCTGAGGAACCGCCTTCTACTCCCATCGTCTTCGCCAGTACTCACCCATGTCCTGGATATTCCCGATGTTAAGTTCGATCTGCACCGACTGAGGCAACAGCGACTCAACGAGTGCAAAGGAGGTATCTACATCTCACCTATGGCCAAGCCCGGTCTGAAGGCCAAGGATGACGATGTCTTTCCTCTGCTGGAGAAGGTGCTAGAGTTCCTGAGCAGTAAGCGTCAGGTGATGTTGGTGCTAGGCGACTCTGGTGCAGGAAAGTCGGCATTCAACCGCCATCTCGAACATCGACTCTGGACCGACTATAAGCAAGGCGATTCCATCCCTCTTTATATCAACCTACCCGACATCGACCGACCGGACCAGGACATGATCGCCAAGCAGCTCAAGTTTCACAACTTTAGCGATGAGCAGATCCAGGAACTCAAACTCTACCACCATTTCATCATCATCTGCGACGGGTACGACGAGAGCCAGCAGTTGGTCAACTTGCACCGGAAGAACTCGTTGAACCGACCACGACAGTGGGACACCAAGATGATTGTCAGCTGCCGAACCCAGTTCCTCGGGCCCACATACTTTGATCGTTTCAACCCGCAGTCCGATGATCGGTACCCTTCCGGCTCGCAAGATCTCTTTCAAGAGGCAGTTATCGCACCCTTCTCCAAGGACCAAATCAAGAACTACCTCGAAAAGTATGTGGAAGATCCCGCGTCGGCGCTTTTATTCCAGAACAAGCCTGTCTGGTCGGTCCAGGAATACACGGACAAGTTGACGAACATCCCCAACCTCATGGATCTCGCCAAGAACCCATTCCTTCTCACACTCACCCTCAAGGCTCTGCCTGGTCTGGCCGCGTCGCACAAGGATTTGGCGAGCATCCGCATCACTCGTGCCGTACTGTACGACATGTTTGTTGACCAGTGGCTGGATATCAGCAAGCATCGTCTGGAGACCAACACTCTGACACCGGAGGAGCTGGAGGCATTTGGAGCTTTGGTTAACAGCGGTTTCACTCGATGCGGGATCGATTACCTGCGACGACTGGCCGATGCGGTCTTTGAGGAGCAAGACGGAAACCCGGTGATCCAGTATGTGCATTTGCGCGATAAGTACACATGGAAAGCGGATTTCTTTGGTACTGATCCCCAGATCAAACTGCTCCGCGAGTCCTGCCCATTGACGCGCGCCGGCAACCAGCACCGCTTTTTCCATCGATCTATTCTGGAGTATTGTTTCTCTTGCGTCATCTACACCCCAGCTTGGATTGGCACCAGCTTTGATCCACAGGAGGATATGGAGACTTTTGCCTTCCGAGTGCTTGGTGCTGATAGTCCTTTGTTTGAGAGGAACTTGCTCAATGAGCCGTCCATCATCCAGTTCCTGTGTGACCGAGTCAAGGTGCACCCGGATTTTGAGCAGCAGCTGCGGGATGTCATCGAGCAGTCCAAGACCGATTCCAGTGCAGCCGTCGCGGCAACTAACGCCATCACAATCTTGGTCAAGGCCGGCGTGACCTTCCACGGTGCTGACCTCCGAGGTGTCAAGATCCATGGAGCTGATCTCTCTGATGGCCAGTTCGATTCGGTCCAGTTCCAAGGAGCCGACCTGAGTGGGGTAAACTTTTCGAGGAGCTGGTTGCGGCAGGTGGATCTGAGCGATGCGCAATTGGAGAGTGCCCAGTTTGGAGAGCTGCCGTATTTTTCGGAGGGAAGCTTTGTCGAAGCTTGTGCCTACTCGCCTGACGGGAAGTTGTTTGGAGCTGCTCTCTGGGATGGAAGCATTGCAATATACGACACGACGACTTGGACAAGAGTCCATTACATTCAGGGGGATGGAAAGGTCCGCGACATTCAGTTCTCACCCGACAACAAACGCTGGGTGTCCTCAAATGGATACACAGTGGGAGTGTGGGATTGCGCCAGTGGAAAGGGGGTGTTGGTGATGATTGCGCACATGCACAACTTGAACTCGATGATGTTTTCACCCTGCGGCATGCGCATCGTCTCGGCCAGTCAGGACAAGACAGTGCGATTGTGGGATGCTCAAACGGGCGAGTGTCTTTTTGTCTTGGTGGGACATACTTGGAGCGTCACTTGTGTCAAGTTTTCGCCGGACGGACGAGAGTTGGTGTCGGTCAGCTTGGACGAAACGATTAGGTTCTGGGACCCGGAGACAGGCAAGGCAGGCGTTGTTTTGAGTCCTTCGTTCGATGAGGTCCACAGCGTCGCATATTCTTCAGATGGTCGATGGGTCGCTTCTGGCCATAAGGCTGGTGCTTTGCAGCTTTGGAGTACTGCCACCAAGGAGCTGGGTCCTCTCTTGCGTGGTCACACCGGTGCCGTTACCAGCATTGCATTTTCTCCAGACGGCCAGTGGATCGCTTCTTCCAGCGAGGACCAAACGGTACGCCTGTGGGACGCATCGACTGGCATTCTCATGTCTATCCTGACTGCCCACAAGAAAGACGTGTTCGATGTTGTCTTTTCACCAGATGGCTCTCAGCTCGCTTCAGGAGGTGTTGATAAGAAGGTGCGGTTGTGGGACGTAAGGTCTTGTCTGTCGAGTGTTGAGGTCCAAGGTCAGATCAGCCATGTCTTAAAGATGGGCTACTCTCTCGATGGTCAAGCCCTTCTCTCTCACGGCGGTCGCATCGTCCGGCAGTGGGATCCTATGACTGGCGTTGGTGGGTCAGTATCGGTAGAGTTCCCAGATGTTTTGTCGATCGGGACCAAAGAGTTCCCACCGGACGGCAACCAGTTCACGAATGGATCCCGTGACAGAGACGTTCGCAAGTACAATCGCGGCATCGGTGGAGATATCACGGTGGGATGGGCGAAAAGAGTGGATGTCATAGCCTATTCGCCTTGCTGTCAGTGGCTGGCGTTTTCGGATTGGGAGAACATTGTGCGGTTGTGGGATATCCAGGACCCTGAGCAGTTCCATGTTCTTCTTGATGTTAAACGAGCCGTCAACAACACCATTGGCAGTGTCGCCTTTTCACGGACTGGACTCTTGCTTGCGATCGGTTCTTGGAACGGCACTGTCTGGGTCTTTGATACCCAGTCCAGGGAGCTTTTGAAGTCCAGGAGGCTGATCCGAGGACGCGTGTTGGTGGCAACATTTTCGCCGAACGGCCAGCAACTCGCCCTAGGCTCCGACTCTTCAATCTACCTTTGGGATCTCCAGTCAAAGACGCCCAGGATCAAACTGCAAGGACATAGCGCGATCACCATCAGCCTCTCTTATTCGCCTTGCGGTCAATGGCTCGTTTCCGGTAGTGAGGACAAGATGGCGCGACTCTGGCATCAGCAGCAGCCTTTTGGCGAGAAAGAGCACTGGTCTTGTGTCTCTGTCCTTGGCGGATTCTTTGGAGCCGTCCATGATGTTGTTTGGAACCCTGTGATCGCAATGGAGTTTGTCACGGCGTGTAAGGATGGCTCTATCCGCGCCTGGAGAGTGTCGAGCGATGTTGAAGGAGATGGAGGTGTTGTGGTCAAGTTGCTGTGGGGGTCTAATCTTCGAATGCTCTGCGCTTCAGACCTGGTCTTCAAGGATGCAGTTGGTCTGTGCCCGATTCAGCAAAAGTTGTTGGTCCAGCGCGGTGCCGTCAGCAGTGACCCTACTCATACTCCGTTCTTTGAGGGAGATGAGGCAGACGAGTCGCTGTCATCTGCCGACGACGATGCTTCAGACGAGTCTATATCTACGTCTGAAAGGCGCGAACAACAAAAACGAGCGCCTGTTGTTCAAAGGATTAGGACACCCAGGATTATGATTACCAAGGATAGTGAGTCAGAGAGGTCGTCTTCATCTGACGAGGTTGACTCGGAGAAGGAAGGAGAGGATGAGGTGTCATCGTCTTCGTCGGAGGGCGAGGAGGATGAAGAGGAGAAGCAGTGTCGACAGATGTAGGAGGGTCGTAGTGGGGTGGTTGATTTCGGGTGTAGTTGGGGACTTGATTTAGAGGTGGAATGAGGGGATTCTGAATATGTGAGGAATCCGATTGAATAAATAGAAGATATCATGTTTACAGAAGTAGGTCGATCATGATCGTTCTGATCCTGAGATGAGCACCCTTTTTGAGTGGCTAGGGTCCAAAGAGAACAGAGGAGACGAGCTTTAATTACAGTAGTAATAATAACAAACTGAGCTGAACACACTTCCCTGGTCTTGTATTCATGCGCTTGTTGTTGATGATGAACCAGGTTCATGCAATTGTGTTTATTGAGATTCTTTGGATTGCGCGAGGAGGTGATGGAAGAGAGTGAAATGAGTGCAATTCATTTTGGTGGCGCAATATATCACGTGTTATGCGCAGGATTGGGAAGAGTGTTTTTTGATTACTTTTCTTCACCTTTCGTCGAGTTTGCTCACACCCCACTCTCTTCTTTTCAATCATTCACTCATTCCAACTCGTTCATTCACCCACTCCACAACACTCTTCCGACACTCTCACCCACGCCTCTAGTCTCACAAAGCAACTACAGGACACATACTCGGCACACCCTTTCGCCCCACGCCCTCATAGCTAGACCAGGAACTTTAGAGAATGGGTAATCACCTACTCACAGTCAATTGGACACTCACGCTAACACGCTCTTGCTCAACCTGAAGACTCGCTCTGAACAAACAAACTACCAGAGGCAGCATAAAGAAGAGGGAGAAGAGTTAAGAAAGAACAGCAACAGGAGATCAAGTGGACCCAAACAACTAACACCTGTCGCCAATGCACTCTCTTTCTCCTTCAATTCACTACAACTTGAAACAGACTCCATACACGACCAATCCATCTCGCTTGAAGCAGAACACCTCATGGCACTGAAGCATGGCAAGAGGTACGCAACGAAGTGGCAGGAAGAAAAGGGGCCACGATTCATACTCACTGTGCAGACTTGACGTCAGAATGCTAACTTTGTGTGTATTGTGGTCTTTTTCATATGAACTTGATAGACTTGCCCCCTTCCCAGAGCCTTCGTTAGTCACCGCAGAGACCTGTACGTGTGCATATTTGACATTGATCGAGAGGCGATGTATTTCCTCACACACTGATATTGTTCTTAAATTGCGCACGCCCAAACACTAACAGCATATTTGCCAATAACTCACCTCGTTTTCTCTCTCATTAGTGGCACGGAAGGTTCAGGACGGCAGCTCAGATGAGGAGGAGATTGGATTTGTGCCACACAACCGCGGAAACAAACTCAAACGAAGGGCGAACCCGGTCACAGGAGGCTGTCGGCTCCAGGTGCCCGACCTCAACAAGCAACACCATCTTCATACCCAGGATGACAATGAGGATGAGATCCGCGCCAACTTTAGGCGATCCGTGGCAGTCTCAAAGGCAGCAGGACAATCTGGAAAGCGGGAAGTCATTCAGGTCCGTCGCCCCGGAGGAGGTGACAGACATGGGGATGGGCTCGATGGAGGAGCAGGAGGACAGCAACAGGAACCGGAGCTGTCAGATGATGAAAACCCATATGCCAATATCCGGTTGAACGAGATCTTGTCTCCCTTGGAGACATCGACCGAGATTTTGCAACGACCTCAGCACTGCAAGCTGTTCAAGAGTCCACAGTTGCAGATTATGGCCGTCCATGCGATGGCCATGGTTGAGCGTGAGAAGAAGGTCAACAAGATGATGAGCAGGGTGGCACTGATTTTGCAGGGGGATGACCCGCTGTATCCCCAGCTGGGCTACGGCATGGGCGAAGGATGTTCGACCGCACGGATGGGCATGCCCGACCAGGAGGATTTCATCCAGAAAAACGAGGAGTGGAAGCAGCACGGCGAGGATCGAGCGCAAGTCCAAAAGACTCTTTCCTTGCTCATGGTACGTCATGGAGGAACCTGGATGCAATTGTTCAATTGCAACGGACCCTGACGATGGATTGAGCGCGTTCACTAATCCGTCACAAACTTTGATTTCTTTTCATGTTGATAGGAGAATATCCATTGCAGCAACCAATATATTGAGTTGCTGAGCGAGAGTCGGGATTCTGTCAACCATGTGCTGAAGCAGAAGAGACGTCTCTGGAAGAAGCTGAAGGAGAAACGCGAGAAGGAGCTGCGACACCGCTTGTTGAGCAAGAACAAGAAGAACAATAGCAGCAACAATGCCAACAACAACGGCAGTATTGGCAATGCTAATAATTCGAGTTCGCAGCACGCAGGAGGACAGGGATCTTCAGGACACCAACAGCAGCAGCAACACCGGTAGTGTGAAAGCTTGTCTTTCTTCAATTGCTTCTGGAGTCTGTTATATCGTTTTTTTTCACATTTTTTTTTGGAAGGACAGGGGTAATAATAAATGGATTGTGTACTTTTTCATCACGAAGGGTGTTTCCTCAGGGATGGGTGGTGTGAGATATCCAACCGTTCATCTTTTGCGATAATCATGCGATAAATCTTTCCTGTTATCCTTGTTTGTAGAGAAAAAGAGAGAAAAGAGAGAAAAAGGGAGAAAGGACTATCCATTTCAAGCATGAAGCAGGGAAGAACAGGACGAAGCATGATGGATATATTTTCACAGGGAACGAACAAAGTAAAAGGTGTGATAGGTCGTCAAGAAAAGAAAGGGGTGAACAGCCCAGCTGGACTTTTGATTCTGTCCTTCGCTAGCCAGCCACTTTTGGATGGGGGCCGAGGGAGGTTTTTTTTCTTTCTTTCTTTCTTTCTTTCGCTCTTTTCACTCCCGCACACTCTTATTCCTACTCCCTCACCCTCACCTTCACTCCTCTTCCTCCTCCTCTTCCTCTCCTCTTCATTTCGACAAACAACAACAGCACCGGCAAGCAATCAGCAACAGTCAACCTTCACTCACACTCCCTCTCTCACACCATGTCCGCAACAGTCTCGACTGTCCCCTGTAAATACCGTACCGGCCGCACCCTCGGCCAGGGAACCTACGCCGTCGTCAAAGGTACACCTCCTCCCTCAACTCTTGCACCCTCATTGCTCGTCTTTGTTCACTCACGGAAAACTCGCTACCTAACTCTCACGCCCAACTAACACCTCTTCCCTTCCTTCCTTCTTTCCATACGTGTCTGCGTTCATATGTGTCTACTTTCGATAACAACCACCCCCTTTGTCGACTCGACCACTTCCTATTCTATCCTGCAGAGGCTGTCCATGTAAGTTTTCTTTCTTTTGTCCTCGTCGAGCCTATCCCTGCGTTTATGACATCCTCGTGGGAGTTGACAGAAGAAGAAAAAAAGAGGCGAAAGAGAGTGTAGCGTGTGTGCACGCACGCCCTTGCACACACGCACACGCACTCGCATAAACACCAAAAATACCCTGTTGACCTTTGTGTTTGCTTGTTCTCTATTTTGTAATAGATTGAAACTGGCAAGAGATATGCTGTCAAGGTGATCAACAAAAAGTTGATGGAGGGCAAGGAGCACATGATCCGCAATGAGATTGCCGTCCTTCGTCGCATCTCCATCGGTCACGCCAACATCTTGACTCTCGTCGACTACTTTGAGACCCTCAACAACTGTAAGTCAATTGGGCAGGATAATCTTTTTCTCTTTACTGGTGCTGTCGTTGCCGTTGTTATTCTTTGGACTGCATGTATTGTCTTTCCCTTTCCCATGAGAGTGGTACACCTGCTCTTCTTTTTTTTTTTTGTCCTGTCCTCGTTCATTTTCATAAAAAGAACGTTATGTTCTTTTATCTCTTGCCATCGGCATTCTTCTAACCAACTTTTTTTTTCTTTTCTATATTTATCACTGGCTTTCAAAAGTGTACCTGGTGACTGAATTGGCCGAGGGTGGAGAACTGTTTGACAGGATCTGCAGAAAAGGCAACTACTACGAGCATGATGCTGCCCACCTGGTCCGCACCATCTGCAGTGCCGTCGCCTACTTGCACGAGCAGGGTATCGTTCACAGAGGTATGCAATTGGATCCGCATCTAACAATATCCGGCCAGAAACCTCGTGCCTTCATGCTTATTATTTGTTGGAGTCCAGAGAAACCCAAATGTTTGGAGCATTACCTGGTGGTAGCCCCCGCTCCGCCCAGCCCAGCCCGCTGTTATGTTTTTCCTTGCAGGAAAAAAGAATGGACACAAGCGATAACATACATCCCCGTCACGCTACACCATACCACACACCGTTCATTCTCAATAACAGAGAAAGAATGTGGATGAGAACCAAAAGAAGTGAGAAAAAATGAGCCTGGGTCTTGGTCTGGGGTCTGAGCCAGGAACAAGGAATGAAATGGATCATGTTCATCCTCTCTTCCCACTTTACTCGCCTCATTTTCGATACTTACACGCGAGAATTGGAAGCGGGGCTAGGGGAGTGCGCGTGTCTGCGTGAAAATAAGGGATGAGGGAGAACGGAGTGAGACCTTTTTGTCATTACTATTCACGTTGCTAACGGTCTGCTTTCCCTCTTCATTCATGTTGCCCGATACGTTATATCTCGTCAATGATGCGCGGAAAAAAAAATCAGATTTGAAGGTAAAATAGGAAAACCTCCTCGGAGAAGTTCAATTGTGGGCTTTGTTGTTGCTATGCTATGCCCAATGCGTATTCTTCTTTTTTGACACTAACGGAATTCAATTCTTTTCTACTCCCTCCTTTTTTTTTTTTGCATTGCACAAATGATCCGATCGATCGACTGTCTGTGAACATTTACTGCCACTCATCTACTCACTCGCCACACCAACCACCTCAACAACAAAACGGCGACAATTGGCTACAGCCTGAGAACTTGCTTTTCAAGACTGCAGCCGAGGACAGTGAGCTGTTGATTGCTGATTTCGGACTCTCGAGGATCATGGACCAGGAGAAATTCCACCTCTTGACCACCACCTGCGGAACCCCCGGATACATGGTATGTCGTTCTCACTCTGGACATATATTTGGCTGAACTCCAGTACTTTCTATTCGTTCATTTCGTTTCTATCGGCTGTTTGGTTCCAACATCGCGTGGACAATATCAATTGCAATTGCAATAGGACTGGATTGGATTGGATATACATGACAACAATGGACGACTGACCTGACGTCGAATCATTTCACTTTTATTCATAGGCCCCTGAAATCTTCCAAAAGTCTGGCCACGGCAAGCCTGTCGACATGTGGGCTTTGGGCGTTATTACCTATTTCTTGTTGTGTGGATACACTCCCTTTGACCGTCAGAACAGTATGGACGAGATGCACGCCATCCTCAACGCCGAGTACCAGTTTGCTCCCATTGAGTACTGGCAGGGAGTCAGCGAGAGTGGTATGTTGCCTCTCTGCCTTTTCCTCTTTTAGTCAACAATGGATTGAATTCCACCAAGGTGCAATGATAAGCCACCCACTTACACTCTCTCGCTTTTCATTCCCAATAGCCAAGTCGTTTGTAAATGGATTGTTGACGACGGATCCTAGCCATCGTATGACGGCTGCGCAGGCATTGAAGCACCCATGGTTGGCACAGTCGGGTCTCAACCAGGATGGCCAAACCGCACCGGCACCTCAGGATCAAGACGCTGAGATGGAAGGACCTCACGATCTGTTGCCTTCGATGATGTCTCGCATCAAGGCCCGCACAAAGTTCCGCAACGCTGTTGGAGCTGTCAAGGCTATCAACTCGATGCGCAAGCGGCACGAGGAGTTGAGGGTTGTTCACCAGGAGGATGTCGACCAAGTCTTGCACCGTGGCGACGAGGAGATGGTTTAATGACTGAGGTATGCAGGATTGGTGATACAGATAGAGAAGGAGCCAAGGAAGGATGAAAAGGGAGTGGACTGAAGGCTATGGGGATAGCAAATCTCTGCACTTTCTCTTGCTTGCTTCCTGTCTACATCTGTACAACAGATCGTCATTTTGTGTTCTTTTGCTAGTTCTCACAAGTGACACTTTTTTTTTTTTTTTTGTCAATACGCATTAAACACATACGAGATCTCTTCAAGTTCATTGTACTGTACTATGTCGCACAACCCTGAATGTGTCGATGCCGTTGTTTGATTTGATTGGAACTCGCCAATGTGTGTCAGTCTCTGATCTCACTTTCGTCCTTTTCTCCACAGCCATGGGGCTAGCAGGCACAGGCGATCATCGGGACCAACGTTGCAGATACTGGCTATAATGATGATGACGATGATGATTATGCTAGCTGTGGGGATGATTATCACATCCAGCACTGACAAATGAATAAACGGACGAGCGCACATTATGAGCAAAAGCGTGCTCTCAATGTGTGCCAGTATGTATGTACTGTATGTGCCCACACTCCTTTCGTCTTTACGATTGTCTTTTCATCTGTTGTTTGTCCTCTGTCTGTCCCTTCCACGACTCGCTCAGCTGAGAGTGAATCTACATAGCAGGCCCTTATTATTCTCCTCTCTGCATTCATTTCACTCAGGCCTAGCCGTTTTGCACCCCCAAAACCCTCTTCACCTTCCTCTTGCCCTCTCTCCTTCTCTCCTCTCATCATCCCTCCTCTTCATCCCCTTCCTTTCCTTCCATCTCCCTTCCCTCCATCCCCTCCCGCTCTCCCCTTCCTTCCTCCACCTCCCTTCTTCACCTCTCTCATCCCACCTTCCCTTTCTTCACACCCTCTCTCCCTTACTTCCCTCGTTCTTCATCTCCGACTCTCTCCCACACTCGCTCCTCTCGCCCAACACCTCCACCTCCCTCCTCTCCTCCTCCCTCCTTTCAACAACAAATACAACAACACACATCAACTAAAAAACACTTAAAAAAATTCGAGAATGGTCTCAGAGACCCTAGACATCCAGGTCCTGGTTCGGGCCATGTACGACTACGAGTCGGAGGATGCAACAAACCTGACCTTCAAGAAGGATGATGTGATTCAGGTCCTCGCTCAACTCGATTCCGGTTGGTGGGCAGGCCATTGCCAGGGCCGCCAGGGCTGGTTCCCCTCCAACTATGTCCAGGTCCTAGGAGACGATGACCTCGACTCACAGGATGAAGACGATCCTGAACAGGATGGAGAAGACCTCGACGTAAGTTTCTTTTTTTTATTTTTTTTTTTGTCTCCTTTCACTTTGACTTCTTTCTTTGTCACGCTTCCTCATACCTTTGGACGAGGCAAGGAGGTAGCGCTGGTTTTTTTTTGGGTCATTGTTCATCGGTCATGAGTCAGTTAGGGCGTTAACCTTCTTTTTGTTATTCTTATGCAATGGAGGGAAGCACAAACAGAAGCACACCATAACAACAAAGGGGGAGGAAGGATGTTCGTTATCATTTGAAGAAAAGTGGTGCTACTCTGGGGATGGTTTAGTGCATTAGGCCATGGAGAGGAGGAAGGAGGATCGCACCACACAAACCCCACTTCACCCACACACATTCACATACATCTTACTTGCACTTCACCCACATAACAAACAAAACAGAGATATACTCTCCTGATACAAAGGGAGGGCTCCTTTTCTTTATTCTGTTTGCCCTTTCTATCTTTTCTCCCTTCCTCCAATCGAAAAGGGCAAACGGCCAACAGGCGAATGAAGTGGAACGAAAGGACAAAAAGAGTTAATGGAATTGTGGGTAATATGAACAGAGAGACGGACGGAGTGTGAGGAGAGACAGGGACGAGACAAGGAGAGCGAGACTCGCATTGCAAAAAAAAGATAAAAACAACCCGAGTGCTAACAGCAACAACAACATCAACAAAAAAAAAAAAAGATGAGCATCTCGACCTGCTTACTACACAACAAAAAAAGAAAGACAGAAGGAACGAGCAGATTTCTTTCTTCTTTTGTGCTTCCTTCCTCTTTTGTATTCACATACCTTGGGACCTTTGTTGGCTGATGGTCTTTTTTGATGTTGAGCTCATATAGAAGAGGATTGCTCGTTTTTCTGGTTACTGTTGCTTCTAGTGCCATTCTTTACATCTCGCTGCGTTGATAGGCGTGTTTGTGAGAGCGAAAGTGTTGTTGTTGATGATATGTGCATCAATTATGCGTTTCGTTCGTGCTCTCGTTTTCCTTCCCTCCCTTCTCCTTTGTTGACAATTGACATGAAAAAACAATCGAACAGACAGCGCTGTTTTATTGAAATGCTCTTCTAAGGGATGGCGTTTTCTTTTTGGATTCATACCACTTTTTCCATTCGAACAAAGTAAATGTGCGAACCAACAGCGTTCGAGCACTGCATAGATGGGTGTTATCCGGTTTTTGTTTATACCATTGCGGGTTGTTCTTGTACATTGCGTACTTCATCTACTTGTACCTCCTTTGTACTCTTGTCGTCGTTGTGTGCATTGTTGCACTCATGTTAGTATGTGGGCAATGAGGAAGGGAGGGGTATGTAGAGAGCCCTTTGCTGGGGAACAAAGTAAAAAATAGCTACCCACCCAGTTCAGTCCCCACTTAATGAGCTATCCAGAAAACAACAACAACGGCAACCAACAGCAGCAACAACAAAGACCCTCCTACTCTTTTCTAATGCCAATGTACTCCCTCGTGGCGCTTGACGTCGTAACCTATTCATGTACCAATTCACTTCCGCCCACCCCTTCCCCCCGCATTTCATTACGACCAACCAGGCCGATTCGTCGCTGATTATGCGAGCTCTCCTTGTTTTTTCTTGACAGTGGCGGACAGATCTTTGAGATCGATTGGAAGGTTGCCCTTTTCTCTGTGTTGGGAGCAAAGTGAGCACCCACGCCCACACAGACTTCCTTCATCCTCTTAATCATAATGCATAATAACAGAACCAAAAACTGACGCCTTTTCCCTCTCTCTCTCTCTCTCACTCTTTCTTTCAATTTGTTCATATCTTATGGTTGTTCCTGTGACTCTATCCACTCGCCTGCTCAACTCTCGACAATCAAAAACGACCAAAAATGCGGACTTTTATAATTTGACACTCTTTCGGAATGCATTGGATATCTGGATTCGATAACACCTTTCAGAGCGCAGATGACCTCTGGTTGCCCCAGACGACGCCTGATGGACAGGTCTTTTATTACAACCAACGCACACAGGAGTCGAGCTGGACTATTCCCGAAGCAGAAGACCATGCAAGCATGGGAACTGCAGATACTACTGGTCAGGATGTTGTAGGCAAGTGTCTCCTTTTTTCGTTGTATATGCAGGACAAGAGTCGAGGGGCGCTCTGTCGCATGCATGCATGATTAAGGCTGACAGGACATGGAGAACGAGAAAAAAAAGCTAACCAAAATCCGTGTGTTTTTTTTTTTTGCATATTCTGTTTGGCGACTTTCCCCCCTCTTTTACTGCTCTAGGTCAAACAGGATGGTCGGTGCGCGAGTCGACATCGAACGGCAACGGATGGTACAACTCAGAAGCTGAGGATGATGACCAGGATCAGGATCAGGACCATGAGGACGGCGAGCGGGCACAAGAGGGTGGCCGTCTTTCCCGTGCCTCCAGCACCCACTCTTCTGCCAACAACAAGGTAACTAGCAAGCGCCAGTTTCTGATGTCGTCTGGATTTGACGACGCAATTTCATTATGGGGAGCACAAGGACGAATAAGAGCTACCTGGAATATTTTAGAGACAGTGATATCCAGGAACAACCATCATCAGTCATTGCTGGCTGTTGGGGGCGATTGGTATGATCGCTTACTGGACTCTGTCCAATGGACGTGGAACTCTATTGGTCTCAATTAACGTCCAATCACCGACTTTTATCCACCACCCTCCATTTAATATATCAAACAACGATCGTAATGGATCTCGTACTTTGTAATTGTAATTAACCCCTGGTTCGTACTCATCCCTGAATTTAATGGTTCTAGGCCTCCAATGGCGATGCTACCAGCACCACCGGCTCATCGACTGACCCTGCTCAGACTTTGGCTACTGTTCGCAAGCCCTCAGGACTCACCACCGGTGCACCCCAAGAGTCTATCGAGGGTCTCCCACCACTGCCCCTCCTGCCCAACCCTTTCGACCCCGAACCCACATGGGACTCTCTCTCGGATCACACTGCCGCAGCTGTTGAGAACCTTCTTTCATCTGCCGAGAAGGGTTACAAGCCATACTACCTCATCCAGTCCTCTATTGTGGTCGAGGCCATCCGCGTCATGCTCTATGCCTCAGGAACCGTTGACAAGGATGCTGTTATCATGCGCCAGCACCGTGGACTCAAGATGCACCATCGCCAGATCATGGCCGCCCTCTCCAAACTTGTCTTGTCTGCCAAGATGGCTTCCGGAGTTTGGCCTGCTGCTGATTCTGTCGACAAGTTGTCGGCCGATGCCAAGGAGGTCAAGACTGCAGCCCAGAACTATGTCACCACCGCCATTGCTGCCGAGATTACAGTCCACCAGGTCGATGCCCGTCTTGTGACCGATGTCAAGTCGCCCCTTCGTGCCAAGGTTGCTGCCCGTACCTTGGACAGAGCTCTTTCGAACGGTTCCCTCAGGAGCGATCATGGCTCTGTCGGTGGCGATAGAAAGACTTTTGGATCTCAACTGAGCACCCAAAGCATCTTGAGCCAGCTCGACTACTATTCCAAGAGCGCCTCCAAGGCCATTAGTGTCTTGGAAATGCAGATTGATAAGGCTATCGAGAACCCTTCCCCTGCTCTCCGCCACAATGGCGTCAATGGAGGCTCTGCAGCCAACCCTGTCATGAACTCAGCTCAGTCGGCTCAGTTGGTCACCCAGGCCCGTCAAACCATTTCCCAGCTGGGCTCGCTTTTGACCCTCGTCACCGACTTTTACACCACTGCCCAGCAAGATCACCCCTCTATCCAAGAGAAATACTTTGCGGATGTCAGGACAGCCAAGCAGTCATTGCACGGTAGCACAGCCTCCATGGTGATGGCTATCCAGTCGGCAACGGATTTGTTGGCAGTTGGACAGACTCTGGATTTAGCACTCAACACTGTCTTGGCGACCGATAAGGCTGCTCAGAGCCTTGTTTCGGCAGCCCGTGCGTTGATTCAGGAGAAGGAAATAGCTGATGCCAGCGCTCCAGTGACTAGGACTCCCTATGACCCCTATGGTCGCAAGCCCTCCATGGCCGCCGTTATGGATCGCACGACTGAGGAGATTATGTACAACCACGATAACGACTCTGATATCGAGCCAGACTTGGCTCCTCGCATGGCTCCCAAGCAGCCCCACAGCGCCATTTCTTCTCAGCGCAACCGCTCCGATTCTCAGCCCTCGATTTTCTCCGCTCATTCCAACCAGTCGGGACCATTCACCCCAGGAACAGAGTACTCTGGACGTGGCACGCAGGCAGGATTCCCCTTCCCCACCTCACCTGGTGAGGGCGGATTCGGAGGCGTTGCCAACAGCGCTACCCCTGGACGGTACGATATGCGCGGAGAGAAGGTCAAGAAGATGTTGGGAGACGATGCTCCTGGACGTGGTGGTAGTCAATACTGGTTCTTGAACTATGATTACCAGCAGGCCGACTTGGTCCTCAACGCCGAGGGACAAGTCAAGGGAGGTACTCTCCTTGCCTTGATTGAGCGCTTGACTTTGCACGACGGTCTGGATTCCAACTTTATTGCGACCTTCTTGCTCACCTACCGGTCATTCACCTCTACCAAGGAGCTGTTCACTTACTTGTTCCACCGATTTACCATTCATCCCCCCATGGGTCTTGACCCCGAGGAGCTGGAGATCTGGACAGAGAAGAAGTTGACGCCCATTCGCCTGCGCGTCTTCAACATTATCAAGTCGTGGCTGGAGACTTACTACCTCGAGGACGAGACGGACGATCGGGAGGCATTGTCAATGATCAAGGACTTTTCGGGATCTACGGACATGAAGGATACGATGTCCTTTGCGGCTGTTCAGTTGATCAAGTTGGTTGAGAAACGTGAGCAGTCCGAGGGTGCCTTCCGCAAGATGGTTCTCAACTTAACCACCCAGGCCCCTCAACCTATCACCCCTCGCAATCTCAAGAAGATCAAGTTCTTGGAGCTGGACCCCCTCGAATTTGCTCGCCAGTTGACCATCATGGAGGCTAACGCCTACAACAAGATCAAACCTGTCGAGTGTCTTGCCAAGGCCTGGACGAGTGAGGATCCCGAGATTGCGGCCAAGGCTGTGAACATCAAGAAGATGATCGAGACCAGCAACTTGTACTCTAACTGGATCAACGAGCTGGTTCTCAGCGAGAAGGAGCTCAAGAAGCGTGTCCTCGTCATCCGCCACCTCGTCATGATCGCCGAGGTATGTGCCTTCTCTTCTAATGTCACTGTGGACCCAATCAATTACTGAGAATATTTGTTTTGTGATGTTTACTAACATGTTTGTTTCTTGTTCGTTCCATGATGAAAAGAAATTGCGCCAATTGAACAACTTCAGTATGTTGTCGGCTACGATGGCTGCATTGTCACAGTCCCCGATCCATCGTCTGAAGCGGACATGGGAGCAAGTTCCTTCTCGCACAATGACCGGATTCATGGATCTCCAGGCTCTCATGGGTGTCGCCAAGAACTGGGCCGAATACCGTGAGGAACTCCACTCTGTCAACCCACCCTGTGTTCCCTTTGTGGGAATGTACCTTACAGACTTGGTCATGATCCAGGACGGCAACGGCGATTTCTTGAAGAAGTCGAGCCACTTGATTAACTTTTACAAGCGGGTCAAGACTGCCGAGGTGATTCGGGAGATTCAGCAGTACCAATCGGTCCCTTACTGTCTGACGAGCGTGCCTGAGATCCAGAGCTTTATTCGTCGTGGACAGGATTGTACAAAGTCTGTGGCGGATCTCTACGAGATGAGTTTGCAATTAGAGCCTCGGTAAGTTTTTTTTGTTGTTGTGGAACATGGCTTGCTAACTTTTATTATGTGGGCGGTGATTGTTTCGCCTTTTCTTCTCTTGTTATTCATGGGAAACAAAGATGATGTTGAGAAGAACAATCTGGCTTAACTCCATTGTTTGTTCACTTCACACGCGTGCGCCCTTTGCTCTACCGTGATACCAGTAATGAGCGAGGAGACGAAAAGATTGCTAGACTTCTCAACGAGTCCGGGATGCTCTAAAGAGGCGGACTCTATAACTTGGTCATCTCTTCAGCAACCTCCAACACAACCCCACATACCCGAAATACCCCTTCCCTCTCTATACCTACATTCTCTTCTACCTTGGGCTGGCTACCGGTTGACTGACTCGATGACTGACGGACTGACGGATTGGATCTGGGGCGGCCTTGGCTTTGGCTGGCGGACTGACGAACTGACTAACTGACTGACTGACTACGGACAAGGGATCTCTCTGTGTGACGATATTCTGGAGGATCTCTACTACTGGGCGGGTCTGGCCCCTTTCTCTCCTTCAATACCCTTCTCTCTCTTTACTCTTCTTCTCCAACTTGTATGTGGTCAAGTCTGGCATCTGGGGGGGATTGAAACACGAGAGTACCCGATGCATGTGTGACCCAAGGATTCAACGACTCACCCCGTTTTTTTTATGTATTTATCTTTGCACCCAATAGCGAGAAGGTCGCATCACCCAACACTGTGGAACATATCAACAGCGTCTTCCAAGCAACAGGACTTTGAATACACAAAAAAACTCATAACATATCCCCCCTTTCCTTTTTTCCCCCTCCTTCCGCCACTTCTCTGCGTCGCTTTTTTTTCGTTTCTCTTTTCAACTTATAAATGTCCCTTTCCTACCATATCGTTTACTTTTACTTTTTTTTTTCTACTTTAGCCTACTTACTACCTTACAACAAATGACAAATTAAAGAATAGCAAAGCATCAAATAACGGATGGTCAGCTGGAAGGGAGTGTTGAGGAGGTGTCAGAACTCTTTTGTTCAAGGCTGTGGGGGCTTAGTCGAGAAGCTCCTTGAAAAAATAGTTGGTGGCAAAATCAAAATAATCGAATAGACTCCTTGACTGATGGTATTTTTTCGCGTCAAAGAAAATATTGCGTACTTTGGGACGTGTTTTTATTCTCCTTCTTTATCCCCTTCCTTCCAGATCTGCGATCGAAACCAGCAACGCGAAAAAAAATAATAATAGTGCCCTCATATCAGTGTCCACTACCAGATCAACAGCTTCCTCCTTTTACGCCTTAGTACTCGAAGATGCCCCATCCTTTGTTCAATTATTTTGTGCGTGCCATATTTGATGCCGATCGCCTTTTTTTTTTGGTGTTTAGCGTTCGCCATGGCTGGTCTTTTTTTTTCTCTCTCTCTCTTTAGAAGAGCTTCTTCTATTACTTGATGGTGGGCCTTTTTGGAGTCATCTGTCCTCAGAGGTAAGCACATGAGCATCGTAGATAACCCTTAACCTTTCTCTTGCCCAAACTATGTGTGTGCTACATATGCTTTACACTCCCATTTTTTTCCCCTTCAACTCCTCCTTTCTCTGCCATTTTCACCTACGTTTACTCTACTTCATATACCCATACAGCTCTTTTTGTAGTGCGTGGTTCTACTTTATCCCCTCCGTTGGGTTTCTGTTCGGAAGACGGCAGCGGTACAAATCGATAAAAAAAAATCCCCCCAGATTCTTCACAGAAATATGAACACAAAACGAAACAAGACCAATCTAACATCCTCCCCATGCCCTGAAGGGGACCTACTATTGGAGATATTGAAAGTACGAACAGAAAAAAAAAAAAAAAAAAAAAAAAAAAAACACGAAAAGAATGCTGCACGAGAAACAAAATAAAGCCATACAAGTCAAAGAAAAAGAAAATTGTAAGAAATCAGGAACGTACTGAAAGAAAAAGAACCCCCTCAGTTCTTCCTGACCAACATCTACAATCGCTCCCACTTTATTATTCTTTATCCTTTATCCCTTTTTTTTTTGTTTTGTTTTCAATATCAAGATGCCATCTTCCGGACGTTCGTATCCGGGGATAGAGTGAGTGTGCAGAGAAGGCATGTCGATGTAATGGTAGCAAATAGCTAATCGCATGTCAACAAACTTGCACAATCCCAACAAAAAAAAAAAAAAAAAATGAGCGCAGTTGTCACCTATCAACCCAAAAAATGAGGGACACTAGGTTCGGATTTTCAAAACAGTTAGTGTGGTGGTTTTGCGGCACGTACATCCGCAACATACTTTTTTATGCCATACAAAAAGAGTACGAAACCACCGAACGACTGATGCATCGCCCTTGTGATAACCTACCCCTTATCGCATCACATGGTTCACCGAAGAAAAAGTACCGTCGTTTTTCATCCTACGACCAGATCGCGCAACAAATGTCACATTTGAGATAGACGCAGTGCAAAAAAAAACAGAAAGACATCCTTCTCTCTACGTTGTAGATATACAAAGCGAGCACAGGTCTGTGTAAGAGGTAATGGTCAAGAAATGGTGTGAGAAAAGTATCCCTCCGTATGTTTTTTTTTCTGTCAAGTGAAGTACAAGATAGGGCGCCTTCCTTCATCCTCCAACCATACATTGATCGAGACAAGCTCGTAAGACAGAAAACAAAATCAAGAGGAACAAACAATGGTTTGACGGAGCAGAGTTCTCAATGAAGCAGAGAGATCCATCTGGTTTCGAAAGACGATCGCCACTCCTTTAGTTTTGCCAATCGAGAATAAAAAGAACATGTCAAAATAGTACAAGAAAAAGGGGCGACGATGAGACAGAGTAATGATTGAAGAATAACTTTTTAATGAGTGACAGAAACACAAGATAGGCCAACAAGCATCGCTACAAGATATTCGTTGAATCTGGTGTTGGGACAAGCGACTACATTCTAGATTTTTTTGTCTTCACTCTAGTGGTGTCTGCAAACCATATCGATGCATCCACCTGGAAGTTATAGTGAACAAAATAAGGTAGATAATGCCAACCAGCAGAAGTTGGAGTTTCTTGAAGGTGATCGATAGAAATAAAGCGTGTTTTGGCTGACTTCATCCCTCATCAACATTCCATTATCGTTCAGTTGGGATACATAGTGAGAGATCAAAGAGAGACTGCACCATCTGTCAAAATGTCATCGATAGCTCTTTTTATTTGTATTTTTATTTTTATTTTTATTTTGTCGTTTCAAAGTAGCAATGAAGCGGGGAGCGCGAAGTCTCAGCAGGTCCACTAGTCGACTCATGGCATTTCCCTATTGCCCACAAAACATCAATGAGGCAAGGCCGTCCATCAGACACATTCCTCATCTTATGCAGAATGAAACAACATTATCACACGAGAACCTCACAGGTGTGTGGCCATAGGGCATGTAGTACCACTCGTCGATCCGAAGGTGTGAGTTGGTGGGAAAAGGCAATGCTATATTATAGTCAAACGTCGAGATTATCGACCTAGAAAAAATACAGTGTAACAAAGTCTCTGGTTACAAACGATCGTGAGATGGAAGATATGAAGCATTGAGGAAGGAAAAAAAAAATAACAGTGCGACAACTGGCAAAAACGATCGGCCACTTTTCCATGGAAAAATAAAAGAAAGAAAGACCCCGAAACCATAACTTCGACAAATCCTTCGGTGGAACAAAATATGAAGCACTTTTTTTCAGTCACCGGAATCCGAGTTTGCTCACCCAATGAAACCATCGCAACGGCCTCTTTTGAGCCTGAATCACTTCTCTTTATAAGCGTAATGCCCTTCAAACGCTCGTGTATCTCTGGGTAGGTGTGAAACGCCGAATGTAGTAGTAGATTCGTGAAACCAGGTTAGAGAAATGTACACAGAAAAAGAGGGCAGGGAATAGAATTGGACGTACCGTTATGGGAAACAAGAGAAGAGTTCCCAGTCGACACACTAAAATGAACACGAAAAAAATAAATCGATAAGGCTGTCTTTGCTCATGCTCTTTTGGAGGCAGGACTCCCTTAAAGAGCGGTTAACACGCATCTGAAGGCGTCCGGCGATATTGAGACCTGGGTCTAGGGAAAAGAACCTGGATTTCTCATCCAACGGTTCATCTGTGCTGTTGCATCGCAGGGACTGACTAGTCGTCAAAGGAGGAAGGCAGGAAATAGAGCTGCAGAGAAGATGCGGTTTTTGGACGAGATCCATAAACACTTGGACGCGGTCAGAGACAAGTCTGTCAATGCGGCGACCTGCCGAGAGAGGCTATGTCTTGAAAAGTTCCATCCGCACAAAACGTTTCCAAGTGCGGCTGCTGGCCTTCAAACTACGCGAGCTACAATCCGTCCTGTATCGTCGTTTGAATAAGATCCACTTTCTGCCTAGGTTGACGTCGATTGTTGGCGACGTCAATTCAAAAGCAATCAAGAGTAGGGAGGATATTGAGCGTTTGTGGACTAGTGTCGGAGAGGAGATCAAAACTTTGACGCTCGATGGTGGTCAAGCCTCTGTGATCGACGCAATTGCGCACCTACCCTCTGAAACAATTGCGTAAAATTTGTAAGCGTGTGCCTACTCACCTGACGGAAGGATGCTTGCGGTAGTTGAGAACCAACGCGGCATTATGTTGTACGACACGTCTATTCGCTCCAATCCACATGGACTATCGAAGCGGTCCGTGCAAACAAGCGAAACTTGTGGCCCCAACGCACATCACAGGGCTATCCTACTCGCACCACATACATGGAGTATGTTCCAATTTAAACATCATAGTGTCAAGCGAAGCCCTCGTTCTGTCAAAATCATCGCGCCCCGACCATGATGACAATTTTTTGTTCGATGCGTCAATTGTCACCGTGGTCGCTTGCATATCCGCACGTATATCGTGTCAACAAGATGGACGCTTTTATCGATATACGTGTTCTTGTTAAGGATCAAAAGCCGCATTTGAAGGTGTTGCTCTATCCATCTGTTTTCTTATCTCTTCTCTTCCAAAGTGTCAACAAGGATCTCCACCAACTAAATCCGTGATCAACAAAAGAAACCCAAACACAGAGCTGCATGGTCGCCAAGAGGAAGAATTCCTCTATTTCTGAATAATATGACAAGACGAAAAAGGATGAGTATGAGAGAATAATGACGAAGGGAAATTATAAATGACTGTTAGCGACATCCAGAAATAAGGCAAAAAATAAATAAAGATACGAGGCTATCGTAGCTATTGCGGATGAACAAATCTTTAAATAACATATAAAAACGAGCGAATGTGCAACGTTTCGCCATTTTGCTATTCTCAAAGCATCTCTATCCCTTTTTCATTCGTCAAAGAAGTGACTTCTCGGTCCGATCATACCTCACTTTCCAAGTAGGAGAAGAAGGAGCAATGTTCAATTGCTTTCGTTTTTTCTTACACGCTTAGCCATCCATGAGAATGATTACATACGTCAGTAAAGGCAGACTTCTCTAACAATGACTATTGGCCCACTATCTGGTGATGGAATCCTGGTGTCAAACAATATATTTGAACATCGCCACGGATATCTGGCCAGATGCGATTCCTCGCTACCCCTCAGACTAAGTACTCGCAAATGTCTGCAATTGCATTATGAACTGAAGGAAGCAAAGCGGGAGAGAATAGAGAAATGGCAAAACCGTGGAGCCCAACGGATCCCACGAGTTCATTTCATGATATTTTTTATTCTTGGTTGCTTCCATATTAACGCCGAAGGCATCAAAGGCAAGTATAGGCCTCAGCCATTCCATTCGAAACCGCGTTTTTGTATTTCTACGTCAATAAGAGGAATGCTTAACTTACTCAGAACTATATGCAAAAAGTAATGGGATCAGATGTGAAGTGACAAAATGAAATACTCCATCACGCAGTGACCAAAACTAAAGGACAAGACTTGACTGGAGCGCGAATCGCGAAGTTGAAGTTTGAGCACCTTCTATAGTCAGTGACCTAGTGTCTTATACCAAGAGAAGCCCCGATCATATACCCAAATCGGCATGTACCTAACTACCATAATAAACATTTTTTTTTCTTTTTCGCTGATGCCCATCATGCGATGTGAAAAAGAAGAGTTAGGTTGAGGATGTGATTGGCAATCAAAGCAATGCGAGCTGGGCATAGCCCTGATGTATCCTTCGCTATGACATGTTTCGAACGAAAGAGAATGGAGACGCACAACCTTAGAAAGGATTACACATCGAACTACATTGGCATCGACATAAAGGGACTGCACGCATGAAGCGGGAGGAGAGGATGAAACGAAACGCACATGGGTCAGAATTCGAGTAAGGACCAGACTCTAGTGTATCTTTTCAACAAGGCAATGATGAAGCGTAAAAACAAAATAAATAAATACATAAATAGATGTAGACCTAGAGGATATTTTTCAATCCGTCTGTAAATCCCTAGCCGGGTAACCAGACTTCATTACTGTATGCTATCACAATTGAACAGTAGAGTGCTGAAAATTAACCCGATGCGAGATCCTTGTACATCGTGCCACTTAACATGTCCTTGCGAAGCACCGGGTTCGATCCGAGTTCTAAATCATATGTGAGCAGAAAAAAGGGTTTGACCTTGCGATCAACATCCTCGCGCATGTCCATAACTTGTATGAAAGATCCTCGTAGCCACTAGCTTTCGTTGAAAGGAGCGGAGGAAATGAAGGAGAGGCTCAGAGGAAAGAGTAATATTCCATATATTCTATTGAAAGATGATGGGACAACAGGATGATTTGGGGAAAAACAAAGCATACCGTTTGATGAGTCTTTCATTTAATATCGACCACCTCGCGAAGGAAAAAAGAGCGCGATCAAGATCGAGTTGCCTGCCCTCTCGGAACGTATCGAGGCGACTCAGCAAATGCTTTATCCTCGACGGTTAGTCAACGTCTTCGCGCACTGCTACTGCTGCATCCGAATGACCGATCGGCGAGTCCGCCAAAGAGGTACAAGTTGACGAGACAGAGCGTGTATGGGTCACAGCCATTGCTCAGGATCCAGCATAACAAGACCACCCTCGCTCGCTGGTCACCATGGTTGTCGAGGCATTCATTACGGACGATATTAAGGGATCTGCTATCATCGCCGAGGTTGATATTCTCGGGCCCATCCTCGATCGCGACACTTACCGTAGCCTGCTGTCTTGCTTCATCTCCAAGTTCGAACAAGTCACTATCCTGGATTCCAACCTCCTCCAAGGATTGATCCAGTTAATCGAGTGCGTTTCTCATGGCTCCCTCTAACACGACGACCTGGCTAAAACCCTGGCTGTTCTGCGACGACACCTGGAGGGGATGCACAAGACTCCCTCAGAGCTGTACCAGATCACCATTGCGATCTCTCGGCTCCTTCATGTTATAGTCAACGGCATGGTCAAGGACATTAACCGCGTGAATGACCACCAGCCCTGGTCATGGCCCTCACGGAACTCAAGAACAGTGCCGACCCTGTTCAGCTATTCCAAGTGGACTATGCCCTGCAGGCGCCGCGGTATATAATAGGCGACGAGTCGACTCAGCAAGCAGTCTTGCGGTTTGGTGGAGGAGTTGCCATGGCAGTATCGGGAGTCGGCAGTGTCTGCAAGTTGGATCCGGCCAAGCTTCATAGCAGTATCAGCATACTTCATCAAGCGGCGATGCAGACGTATGAGGGTACAGAGTCGGTCTTGGAGGGCATGAGGGTGTCGCAGAAGGATAGTAATGAGATTATCTTGTTCCTGTTCACCCTGTGCATCCACAGCCACCTGGACTTCCTGGGCTGCCTGTAGTTCTCGTCCCGCCTGTGTCGCGATCTCCAACAGTTCAGTGACTCCAACATCAACACTTTCACTTGCTGCTTTCAGCCCATGTTGTACGAGGTCAACTCTCCATCACAATCAACATCTCCTCGAATCCTTCCATTTCGTCGACCTATGTGCTTGGAGGATAGTGCAGCTCTCGGAGGAACGGGCACTGACAGAGTATGGTCATCGCTGGAATCAGTTCTTGGACGGTCTCTGGCCGCATATCGAGGAGTACATTTTTCTTCCAAGTCTACGTGGAATTGACAGCCCGAACGACCCTTCTGTTGAGCTTGCTTCACTGAAGAAAATGAGAGCTTGCCATGCATTTTTACCTTTGAGAGGCTCGAGGGGGTTGGTGGGTCGGTGGGCGTCGATGAGTCCCGAGTGCGAGTGTGGTACGGTGCAATAGCAATGGGCTGAACAAGTTTATAGGCACAATAACACCTATGTAGTTGTTAGTTTGTGTCATTGTTACCCAGGGTTCACGCTTGTGACTATTTGTATTTATTTGCATTTGCCTATTCACTGTGAAGGAAAAGGGAGAGGTGCGCATTTGCTCTTTTTGCTGCCCAGGGGTTGATTCCGAATGAGGATGGAAGAGGAATGAAACACAAGAGATGAATGGAAGCTGAATGAGAGAGGTCGGTGGTTGCTGATGAAAGTGAGGATGACAATGATGATGGTGATGGTGATGCCAAAGGGGGAAAGGTGAGGGATAAATGGAGGAGTGGAAAAAAGAGCAACAGCGAAAAAGAAAAAAAAATAGAGACAAGAAACTCGAGAAGATGCATAGGCCAACACACTGTTTCTTCTGTCCGACTTGAGTAATGGGAGAGTTTTTCACTGGCCTCTCCTTTGTTTTTGAGGTCCTAACACACACAGACAAGGACTTGTAGAAGGGTAGAAGTTTTCTCAATAGCGAAACAACGACAAACTTTATTTGTGTACTGTAAAAAAATAATCACCAAGCTCATTCCAGAGTAGGCCAATCTTTCAGATTTCTATGCGCCACCCTACCTTCCAATTGCTCGTCAGCAGCGAGTGGGACGATGATAAGAATACAGATGAAGACCCTCGACCATTACTTTCCCTGATAGCGAAAGCATCTCCAACATCGGTCGCTGGAAAAACAGGTGGCAGATAAAGCGCTCTTCTTGCTCAAGGGTAAGGTGAATGGGGGTGACTACCGACTCCTTCAGCATTGAGAGCATTAACTTGGTGCTCTGTTGCAACTCCCCATTCCTGCCTTCTTCTTGTCTTCTGCCTTTCAGGCTCATTAGGATTCTCCTCGACCACCTCCTCTTCCGTGACTGTCGCGATTCCACTGGTGAGGTTGAGCATTTCAGCTTGCTCTGTCACCACCAGTCGGGGAAAAGGAACATAGTTCCTTGCAGTCCTGGTCCTCCTGTTGCTCCAGAGTTACGAGTCCAGATGAAAGTCCCTATCCAGTCGCCATAAAGAAAGGAGAGCAAGAACAAGACAAGGGTTAATGACGCTGAAAGACACAATAGACAAACAAACACCTGCGCCCCACCATGACCTTGATGCCACCCACGCCTACCCATCTTGCCCACAACTACCCTTGAGCCAGCCAGCCTTGGCCGGCAAGCCGTCTCAAGTTGCCTCACTCACCACCATTGTTCAATAAGCAGCATGGTCAGGAATCGATCTCTGTGAAGCCTCACCAAGACACTCATGGGCAAGCCAACCGCAATGTAATGGATTTCAGTTAATGGACGCGGCCAAACATCCACAGGTAGACCTCACTTTCACACCGACAGTTGACCCATTCCGCACATGAATGTGAGGTAGAAACCAGGAAACCCCGATATTTTACAGCAAACAAGCCCTCGTGGAGGTGTTCTCGTCGACTGGAATATAAGAATGACGTTACGCTCAATCTTGGACAATGATAGTATCGGGAGGGATTTGGTTGTTGAGAGAGAGGGGGGAATTGGGTACCATGATGAAGGAAGGAGAATGAATGAACGAGTGTGTACTTTCCTGTTCTGTTTCCTTAATTAGTCAGGACGGAGTGTCGAACGAGGGAGTTTAATGTCACGACTGGCGATGTCCGAGAGAGCGGGAACGAGCGATGCGGCAATGAGATTGGTGTAAGGGATACAAGCAAGAGAAGACAGAGAGCGAGACATGAGAAGGAAGGAAGGATGGATGGGGAGGGGAGAATGAGAAAGGGAATCAAAGAGAGAGAAGGAGAGGGGAAAGAAGAAAATAGATACAAGAGAAAGTACATGCAAGAGAAACTGGCGAATGAAGAGGCAATTGGCTGAAACGAGGAAAAGAAGAAAGGAAGGAAAGGGATGACGTCTGCGAAAGAACAACCCAAGCGAAAAGAGGGGAACAAAAAAGGAAGGGTGGGTGGCGGTGTATAAGTTCACAGGATGAATGTACGTGAGGCAAAGAGACAAGAACAATAGTAAGAGACACCTTGGTGAAGCGAGTAAAATCTGAAAGGTTGTTTTCTGCACCATGGTGCATGGTGTGTCCATGTATTTGTAGCATTGTGCCTGCAACAGTGAGGACCAAGGAATCATCACTTTTACCATCAGGGACATTAATAACCTTAATAGTTTCAGTGTCGATCGACCATATCACAGCATTTTGATTCGCATTTTCATTTCTGTTGATCAGTGGCAATGTGAGCTCAATCTGACCATTGTCACTATACTATCGCCATATTTCATATTTGTTTGATGGGTTTTGATATGGTTTTAGGCTGGTTGACCAAGACCTGTGACTTGCCAAGCTCGTCCATCCATTCCGAAACTCCCGAGTGCTCGAACTCTGAGAGGGGAGACAGAGTAAAGTTCTCCAACGCCGGCACCACAGCCAAAAGATTGTGGAGCTCAGCGCGCGTCTACATATCCTCACCCAGAAGAGTGAGCTCATTTAACTTTTGGGGTATTTTGAGTCCTACCAGGTGGCAAATCAGAGACAGCCTATGATACTGCCACAATGAGCTGGGACAGGACAAAGGTATTGCTGGAGGAAATGAAGGGTCCCACAATTCCTTCCGTCTCATCGTCTTCAGCGTCAGCATCGTCATCGCCTCCATCCTCTTAACCTTCCTCCTCAAAATCGACCACTGCCTCTTAACCTTTATTATCATATTCCCCGATTTGGTTACCGGCCTCAGAAACATCCTGCTTGTGAGCTCCTTGTTCTTCGCCGAAGTCTCTACCAGAGTCTTCGACATCCAGCTCCTGTGTGTCTTGTGCCGCTTCCTCGACGTCCTCTGCTTGACCGTCAGGGATCTCAAGGTTCACTGAGGTGAGAATTTCGGCCTGTCGTGGTGTTGTGTCGACATAAATGAGGGGAATAGAAGTGTGTATGTGATAAATGAGCTTTATGGAGCAATAAGTGGGCTAAAAGGGAAGGTGTCTCTTTATTGTCCATATCCTTTTAGAGCACACTCTCTTAGCACACGAGTAAACATGCGGTCACTGCGACTATTAACTGCTAAATATCACAGACATGTTGTGTGCGTACACAACACCCAGCCATGGCGAGGTTCAACGAGGTCAGCTCCTCCAACTCCATCAGAGGTACGAAAAGATAGAGTCGTTGGGCTCGTCATTGACATCGCTGGAGAACGCATTGTCGGGATTTTCGTCGGGTTTTGTCGGGGTCGTTGTCAGAGGCGACGATGGCTCTTTAATTGCAGGGAAGTGATTGTAGTCCAGACAATAGGCGAAAGGGAGCCCTTCCACTTTCTGTGCACCTGTAACCTGGCGTAGCGGAAATGGCCGTCCATGTAACTACCGATATGGCGCAGGACTTTTACAGGGAGATTCATGTTCGATAGACCCGCTACAAGAGGAGGGCGGCCATTGGGAGGAAACGGAAGGACAGTGGTGTTGATTGCTGTGTGTGTTAGTATGTTTATGTATGCTGAATGAAGTGATAGTTGTTGTTGTTGTTGCTGCTGAGATTGCTGTTGGTGCAGTTGCAGTTCCTGAGGGAAGAGAGAGAGAACCGATGAATCGAGTGCATCGGTACAGGTAGAGTGGCAGCATTTTGTTAATTTGGGTCACATACAATGTATGGGTGGACAAGGAGTAAAAAACTGAGATTGTCGAAAGATTTCAACCAAACGAAAAAGTATGTCGAATGGGGGATTGACATTTGGTATCCTTGGCAGATCACCAGAGGAGTAATAGAGACAAGACTGCCGCCACTTGAAACTTGAGTAGTAGGACTTTCGGTCGATGTAATAAAAGTGGACGTGAGCATATGGGTTATCGGTGACAGTGACAAGAAAAGACGTTGAATCGAAAACACGACACACAAGAGTAAAGGGGGTCATGATTTTTACAGAGAGACGAAATGATAAAGTTATATTGTTAATTCAATCAGCTACTCATCCGTTCAGCCGACGACAACGTCAACATTCATTCAGAACGGTTAAAAAAACAAGGGGGGAGGGGAAGGAGGGGGGGAGAAGAGTAATGAGAGAAAGGGTTGTTGCTTGTAGTAATTTGTCTCATGACTTGAGTCAAAGAGAAATGCGACAAGAAAAAAAAAGAGGGGGGGGGGCGAAGATTCTTTCCTAGCAACGCAGCTGAAGACTGATCAACATAGTTGCTTTCTTCCGTTCCTAGTTCCTTGTTCTCATATATTCTATCCTTGCTCCCTTCGCCATTTCCCACACACACTATCTCCTGCATCGATCGTTGACAATTGTGTGAATGGTTCTGAGGAACTAGTTCAGATAATGAAAAAGGGGGGGAAAAGAAGTGACCTGTGACTTCGTTGTAGTTGCTTTTTTTCTCGTTTATCTCCTCCAGGGAAGAAAGTACCAATAAACGCAGCGCATACTCAACAACAACAACACACATATTCAATGACATGCATTCTACAGCACAACCTAGCAAACAGCATGTCGCCACTCCCACTCATTCCCCTCCACCACCGTCCTCAGTAGGCGCATGCATATGAGCAGCTGAGTTTTATTGCCAAGAGTCGCGTACTTTGGGCTGAATACATTTTCTCCACATAAACGGGGACATTTTTTCGCGTACCCCGGCTCACATGATAACAACCTTACAATAAGGTTCGACATGGTCCAACCAAGGCAACCATGGGCCATTTTGTTTGTTGATTATTGTTTTGGTATTACCATTTCTTCTTGGAGTATCTTATATCTGGTCTATAGCTCACGGAGGTTCTACGCGATATGGGAGATGTGCAGGACATTCATACTTGAGAAAGAGGACGGGAGGGAGCGCGAGTAGAGGAAGAAAATAAAGCAAAGGAAGATGCCACAGATGCTCCAAGACTCAATCACAACAAGACCAAGCGTTGAGGGATGACTTGTGATTTGCTGACGCGAAGTTAAGTTAACTTGACAAGAAAGTTGATTTAAATTTTTCCTTTAATGCAGCAATAACAAACGTTTCTGTTTGAAAGAGAAGTCAAACAATCACAGACAAGAGATGCGCCAAATTAAAAGTAGAGAAATCTTGAGCGTTGAGAACCGTACTTGTAGATGTGTGTTTTGTCTCTCTCTAATGAAGCTTTAGGTTTGCGAGACAATCGCGTCTCGCTATTGCCCTGGCCGATGAAAGATAAGTCCGCTAACTTGTTGTTTTCGTTTCTGTGGATTTTTTTATTTCATGAACGTGAGTATCCGGTAGAATAACCGTTTGGCTCAAGCAAGGAGGAACGACAACAAAATAAAAGGCAAGAGTTGAACAAGGAAAAGATAATACGTTGTCGGAACGGGGGATGAATTGCAATGGGTATTCAATCAGACAACTGGAGGAAAATACCAAGAGAAGGGTTGCTCAGGGTAACATTCTTTCCATTTGCGTCCGGGCAAGACTGGATTGAACAAAAAAAAGAAACAATGCATTATCAAACGAGGATTGAGTTGCAATATGTATTCAATCAGACGACCGGGGACGGAAATCCTAAAGAGAAGGTTTATGAAGGGTACCTCTCAAGCCCTTCTTTGCATTTGTCCTATTGTAATGCCTTTCATCCTTTGAGTTTGGGTTCGGACAGGGGGTGGGTGGTGTTTTTGTTATCAATGCCCTTGTTTGTTTTTTTCTTCATTTGTCGTTGCCGTTGTTGCTCGATTGCGTCATATGCGTCCTCTTTTCTTCCTTCGCTCATGCAAACAACTCTGTCCGTCTTTTTTGATTGACTCGGAATAAGGCAGGGTTGACCGTTTCTTGAGGAATGGAGAGTCAGAGATAGGGTATCAAGCTCAGACAAAGCATTATTCCATGTCTGTGTGGATACGTCTGTCCGAGCGTTTTAATATTTCCGGTCCAACGATTCCATTGTTTGTTACAACCATGCATGATTACAAAAACAATAGTACTTGCAGAGAAAGAAAACAACACAGCATGCACTGCCAAACAAGAGCTTTCTCTCCTTTACCGACAAAAAATAGTTGTTAGATAGAGAGAAAGCAAGACCCGCATTCACATCCATGTTGCTTCTCTCTCACTTTGTAGACGTACCTCTATTTGTTTTCCTGCGACATCAACTGCAATGACAGAAGTAGAACTGAAAAATAAAACAAATAGTATCTCCATCTTCCAATGCAACCACCCCCTTTCACCCTTTTTCTCATTTTCTCCCTTCCTCCTCCTGAACATGCGCTGTATCTTAAAGGTGATTCCACGACTGAGAGCAATCGAGCAACCAAAAGTAGTAATTGAGGGTGGCGTGTGCCTTGGTAAACTTGGTGAAGAGAAAGCGAACAATTTCCTGATCGTGTGGCCATGTAACCGTGCGCAGATCTTTTTGTCGTTGCTCATTCCTCAATGCACTCATTGGGTTCTGTCGTGGATGATTGTGGGAATGGTTATGGAGAAGAATGAGAGAGCAACGATGTATGTATTGTCCTCGCACTGTTGCTGTGTTTGTTTGCCCCTGTTTGACGTTCACTTTTTTCTCTTGCTTTCTTCAAAGAAAAAAGGAGAAAACGATTAACCAGTCTGGTACACTTCACGCTTTTTTTCAGGCAGAGAATTTTTCGATGGGCCCCCTTTGCACCAATTCCTCGAGATTAGTCTGTTGTTGTCTAACAGTCTGACCATTGACAACTGTCGATTCGAGAAAGAGGAAGAGGGATGGATGGAGAGAGCGTGGTGGCCTTCTCTATGTGTGTTCTCATACGAAATATGGCCTACAACTTTTATGTACTCTTCTTTTTCCTTCTCTTGCTGCCAGACAGGAAATGATGATCGATGAGCGCGAAGAGGGAAAAAAAAGCGCGTCTAATTGTATTGGACTGTTTACTCCATATATATTTTTCCTTTTTCTTTTCGATTGTCAAATGAAGGGTTCGCTTTCTTTTTCTGCTTCGTTGTTTTTTATTCACCGTTCTCTTCCTTGTCGCTACCAACGATTACTACTATGCTTGCACCCACCTTCATTACATTACTCGAAAGTCATGATCTCTAGGATTCTTGTGTTGCTACTCTCATCTCTCTCACTCCTCTAGTTGTCTTGCAACGACAAGATAATATCAACCTCCAGGCAAACAGACGAGCTTTTTTTTGCTTGGAATCATTCTTTTTTCACTCACCCAACATTGTTTTCGTCCCCTCTCTCCTTCTCTCTCCCCCTCTCTCTCCCTCTATCTTTGCCCATTGATGCAGTACAACAGCTCAACTCCCCTCTGTTGTCTGAATCGGCCATGTGAATGAGTGCACCGTGAGAACGAATCGAGGTCCTGGTGGCGCCGACTAGTTCCGCGCCGTGCGAATGAATAGACCGTGTAAATGAATGGTTGTATTCTCATACTTTGTCTTCAGAAACAATAAAAATCTAGTATTCCCCCCTGTTTTTCTTTCTGCTCTTCATTCACTCCACTTTTGCAGTTGCACTCGCTCCACTTTTACAGTTGCACTCGCTCCACTTTGCAGTTACACCTACTCCACTTTACAGTTACACCTACTCCAATTTACAGTACCCACTCCACTTTACATTTACATCAACTGCAGCTCAACCAACACCACCACTCAACCACCTCAACAACAACAGCAACTTCACCAGCAACACCCATGGCCAACCCAGCATCCAGCGCTAATCCTCTTCAGGAAGTGCACCTCCCAGCAGAAGTCATACACCAGATCGGTCAATCGCTGGACGGGCCGTCGCTGTACAGCGCACTGAGGGTCTCACGGCGATGGAAGGCGGCGCTGTCCCTCAACTTGTGGACTCGGATTTCAGCTTTACAAGTTCAACACAAGTCGTTCCCGTTTCGGCGCCCCTCTTCCCCTTCCTCTCCCTCACCCTCTTCGCCTTCCTCTTCTTCTCCCTCGCCCTCGTCCTCTCCCTCTCCCTCTGCCTCCCTGTTTGAAACACATTTTCTCCAAACTCAATATTTCCATTGGACGGATGTAGCGATTGCAAGAGAGTTGTACCCAAACCAGGTGCCTTCCAGCAATCGTGACCTCTCCATGAGCTGCCTCGGAAATATCTTGAGAATGACCAAGAGAGTCAAGGAGTTGATGAT